GAGACAGCCTATTCGGACATGCCTGAAGAGCTTGCCACTGTTATTTATCGTTGCCAGCAAGTAGACGTACAAGCCGGGAACATACGAAAACAGATGGCAGATCCGAATTCAAAGGTAGATCGTTCCCGTTGGTACATCGGAGCCGATGACCTACTCAGATTCGAAGGCGCAGTATATGTGCCGCATGACTACGCACTCAGGCAAGAAGTCCTGCGAGTCAATCATGACGACCCACAAGGAGGTCATTTCGGCGTCGAAAGGACGTACGAAACAATATCGTCGAAATATTTCTGGCGAGGGCTTTATGACGCGGTTCGATACTATTGTTCGACGTGTATAAAGTGCCAACACAATCGCGTGCCACGGCATAAAGAATACGGGCTGATGAAGCCATTGCCGAAATCCACGAAACCTTGGGAGTTAGTCACCTTGGATTTCATAGTGGAGCTTCCACCTTCGAATTGGAGGGGAAAAACGTACAATGCCATCATGGTCATCGTGGAACCATTGACAAAATATGTCATATATGAACCCATGTCTACCACTACGTCAGCAAAAGAACTGGCGGAGACCATATACGAATCGGTGGTCAAGTACTTCACCGTACCTAAAAATATCGTGAGCGATCGGGCAACGATATTCACGGCCACATTCTGGAAAACGCTCTGTTGGCACCTCGGTACAAGAAGGAGAATTAGCACAGCCTATCACCCTCGAACCGATGGTCAAACAGAACGACAGAATCAGACATTGGAACATTACCTTCGGTCATATGTCAATTCGTCACAAGACGACTGGGCACGGTGGTTAGCGCTAGCTCAACACACATATAATAATAGTGTGCATAGCACCACCGGGATGTCACCTACCGAAGCACTAATGGGCTTTCGGGGGGATATTCGCGTCAACGTTGATCAGGACCCCCCGGGTACAGGTTCCGATGAGGAAACCTCGGGGACAAAGAAGGATCGAATACTGGCAACCGAACGGGCAACCCGACTACGGGTCAAACGCGAAGAACTTCGAAAGCTACTAGAGGAAGCATCGGAGAATCAGTCTAAATATTTCAATGAGAAACGCATAGCAATGCAGTTTCGAATCGGCGATAGGGTGATGTTACGAACCACGAACATCTACCCCCCGGGCAGGAAGAAATTGAAGTTCGATTCCAAGTTTATCGGACCCTTCCAAGTACTGGACACATGGGGAACGAATGCATATAAGCTAAAAATGCCCCCACGATACCGACAGTTGCACCCGGTATTCCATGTCTCGCTACTGGAACCGTTCAAGGACACGGCCAGAAACGAAACCCCACCTGATGGTCTCGTTATAAACGACGTCAGAGAATACGAGGTTGAAGAAATTCGTATGGAAAAAGGCTCCGAAAAGAATAAAACGTACCTTGTTAAGTGGGCAGGCTACCCCGAAGAAGATTGCACGTGGGAACCTGAGGAGAATGTCAGTGATTGTGCTGCATTCGAAACCTACCTTCAAAATCGCAAGACTATTCATGACTCGAAGCGAGGAAGGAAGAGACAAAGGAAAGCTTGATTCGTGGTAGCTAAGGATAAATACAGGACCTATTTCATACTATGAACTGTTAGTGAGGGTCGTCGGTTGTAGGATTCGAAGGGAACTTACGCCATGTAATCAATGAAGGCTTGGCCAATTAATTGCAAAAGCCGAGGGGACAGATCACGAGATCGAGAGCCCGAAGGCCCGGGCACAGGTGCCCGCCCACGAATGGGCTCAACGAGGGGAAGCAAAGGAGACCCTCTTTCCCTGCCAAAGTCGGCAGGGTCACCAGCCGAATGTATCGACTGGGAACGGGAACGGCGAGGACGAAGCTCCTCTGACAAGGCAGCACGAATTGCCATAATCGAATGCTTTTTGAGCGGACTAGGCCGAGTCGAGGCTGTACTTTCGTCATCGGTTTCAGCACCGGAGTCTGTCTCAACGGCACGTTTTCTGGATGCACGGTTCGAAGCCTTGAGTGCTTTATCTAACGCACGGCATCGATCACCGAAGTCCCCTGCCACCGAACCCTGACGGAACTCGTCGGCTAAAGCCTTTAGGCGGTCCGACAGGGACTCGGGACACTACAAACCATCAGTATTGGTTATGAAATGAGAAATGTTCGATGGCATAGATGCTCGAACTGGAGTTATGAATGTGTACTTACGGGGACACACTTGCGCTTAAGCGTTCGACAATGCATGCACAACCGAGTCACGGTATCGTAACGAGCATGCCGCTGCTCGATGCAGTCATGAGGATTCGAAGTGGCCCAGGATCGAAAGCAGGCTAAGCACGGGAGCTCACGTAGAGACTCAACCGCACGTTCCTATACCCTATTAGTATCGAAACCCTGCACGTGGAATATCGTTACTCACCTTGCCCTTCGGAGACGCAGGGGGCTGGGAGTTGTCAGACACGGCACCAGGAGTAGGGACTGCACTGAGAGGCTCAACCGGAGGACCCTCAGGAGTGCGTGGAGGTTCGGGCTACCCATTCATCCGCATCAATATTTGCCTGACTTTATGACTCATCTCGTATGGCCAACTTACCTGCGTGGACGACATTTTTGCGAGGTACTCTGAATATGAGGACGAATCGGGATTGACGACAGCGAACTACTACTACGTTAGTGTTTTCTCAAGCATCGGGACGCTGCTCCCAAAGAGGGGGATAGCTAGAGCAGGTTCGAATTGTTAGAGTTAGGCACTCCAAGTTGACTGCCACGCTCAACCGTGAGATGGTCAAAACCACCTCACTGTCGCCCCAAGCATCAAATCGATGCAGGAAAAGCGAGGAATCAATAATATGGGATGCACTAAATCCATATTCGATGAAATTTTGATGAAAAAGCGTGGTGTTGAGATAACACTTACCATCGAGGAAGAAGATGAGGCCGAGGAAGAGAAGGGAAAGGAAGAGGAAGTCAGAATGAGGGAGATGAGGATTTGTGCGCGCTCACTACTAGCGCCAATCTCAACTACTTCCTACGTATTCAATCCTCTATCTGATGCCTATTGTCCACCTTCGATTTCTCCACCAAGAACAAGGATTTCGTTACGAAACTTGAACTACTGATTCTACGCACCGAACCCTACAAGCCTGCGAAGTTTTGGGCTCAGGGACGCGCCCTTATAAAGAGGGGGATAGCTGTAAGGCGGAATCCTGGATGGAGTTGGGAATAGCTTCAAAGTACAGCGGGCACGTGACCTCGCCCGGCTTCCCGCCGCTAATTGGACTAGCGGCTTGGCACACACCGCCTTATAACGGCGGGTGGCCTCAGGCCTTCGTGAAGCAGCGATTAGCTGCTGAGCATACGTGTATATACGTTCTATATTCGAATCTATTCCTAGGCCGAAGCCGAATCCCAGCTACGTTCTTGCAACCCCCGTCACACTATTATATTAACTAACTTATTTATATAAGAAAAAATAATTTTAAAGATTTATTCTTTCTTTTTATATTCTTCTACTTTCTACTTATAATTAGTCTTATTAATCTTATTCTTAAGATTATTAGAAGTAGAAGAATATTTATTTAATTTAGGATTCTTAAGATTAAGATTAATATATTTCTAAATCTTTCCTTATCTCACTCTAATTTAAATTAATTTAAACTAATTATACTAATATAATCATTTAATTAAGTTAATCTTCTTCTAAATTATCACCATTATTTCAATACTAAATTCATAATATTTTGATGAGATTGCCAGCATTTATTTCTAATAAAAACTATAAATTAGCAAAGATATAATTCTCAAATATATAGATTAGGAATAGCTTTAATAATTAGGATTTAGCTATTTATAAGCTCTTATATCCTATTAACCAGTTTCTTTTCTAAATTAATAAAATCCAATACTATTAAGACATACTATTATAATAACAGATTTAGAACACTGTATTAGCTAGTATTAAGAATACTATATAATCTACATATCTAACTAAAGAGAATATTCAGGGGTTACTTAAGGCCATATTTATAATCAGAATAGAGATCAACTAAGACACATATCCAATGCCTATTCTGGCCAATTAGGTGCACCTCTGTGAAATACGGTGTTGGTTGTGGATTACATGCTGTATTCGGAATAGCGGTCATAATCCGCTGTCACATGCTTTTAAGGAAAGATGTATGAAATTGGTTTTAGGTAGACCTCATGGAATGTATAAGATCGGGCTTAAAGGTTAAATTCTAGGTGAGGTCATTGAAATGTAGTATAAACTGAGTAGCCTCGTTAGGAATTGATCATTGAGCTGGGAAGCATATATTTGTTATTTTCTCCGTGTTGAGAATGGATTCTAGTATCATGTCTACTCGAACGTATGTTTACCACAGCTAGCTAGGTTCGTAAACCTGAGAACGATTTCTCATCTATCTCAATACCGTCGAATGGCTCTGATACTAGTAGCGCAGACTCAGACTTGTTTCAAATATGACAACTGGTGCACGATTGGCTCTGGTCAGTTGCAGGAAAGACGAGGGATTGTCCTATCAAATGAGGCCATGAAGCCCTACAAGATATTAACAATTTATCACCAAGGTAGATAGAGTGACCTTATATTCAAAATACCACGTCGTTGGCATGCTGGAGTCCAGTCATACTCCCTTACAGATATAAAATCTAGGAGGCTTCCCGACAACGAACAAATACTCCAATCGTATACCAGTTCAAGATTCAGATGGATTCAAGATTTAACTGGATTACTGCGCTCTGTTGGAAAAGTCTTCTCTAGATTGTATATGTATTTAGGGCAAGATGTTGCAATTCCTTCGTTCCGATTGGTCTATCAATCATATGCGTGCAAGAAGGCCGGTAGCCTTGGCATTAAAACATCCCGCTCTTGATAATTGGCGTTGCAATGCAAGTTCCAAAAAGTCATACAAAAATAAGTGTATGTGACTAATACATGGTGACAAATGAGTGCCTGATCCTTGTATTTTATTGGTTGATTTAAGGTGATCCAAGGATCCGCGTAATGTTCAGCGGTCGAGAGTCTCCCTCAGTCTCGCACTTGCTCCTCCTCGAGGTCCTTCTCTTTAGCATCGTCAGCCTATCACAAGCAGCAGCAGCAAGCATGGTTGACCAAGGTAAGTTATTTGATACTCTACAATTGCCTTCACCGTTGTATTATCTAGTGCTCTGACTCACATAATATTCAGATTTAAAAATGAGAAGCACCTCTCCTTCTCCTCCCCCTCCCGCCAACATCCCGGTCACCAATGCTACAACCGCTGGGGTTGTAGTAAGTGTAGTCTTTCTACATGTCTTTGTGGTGCAATCACTAATATAGCAATCAACAGGAAGATTCCCCTCCCCCACCCTCGCCCTCCGACGCTGGTGCCCCTGGTAGATTTGCTGCGTTTCGTCTTGCTGTAAGTCTGTTTAGTCTTGTTATCTCTATCATGTATCAGGGGTAGCCACTATATAACTTTCCTCGGCAATGGGCTGATCTTCGCCTTTGGGATCTGGGATTACTCGAAGACGCTTCCGCCAGCTCTCTGCCACAGAATATCAGTTTTCCTCATCGGCATAATAAGTTAAATACGTCGCGTAGGTGAGGACGAAGAGGGAAAAAGAACGTGATCTTTTGCATTTTGTCCTACTGGGACATTTAGCATTACTTTGTTTCCTGGGAGGAAAAAATTATTACTTTGAGTATGCTTGGAGTGCTCGAGCATTGCATATTGACACATTCATTATCTGGACCTTGTCGTTTGTATCCCTCTCGTTATCCTTTCTTGGTCCAAAATATGGTAGCGATTGCCCATCACAAACGACAAGCCAGAAGCTTAGAATAATTGGATAGGTCCTCATAAGTTGTCATCGAAGTCCTGCTATATTTCAAAGACTGATATTGTTTTCACATCACCCAAGGAATGGCATATCAGAGCCGTTGGCAATTTGTGCCTGGGAAGACCAAGCGTCTGGTTGAGTCTGAAAATGACTTGCTATTAGATCTTTATTCTTACAAGGGCACATATATAAATCATAAATCATATATATTGGAATTATTTCATACAACTAGTTAGTCACTATAGCTCGGCTAACAGCTCGGCCATCGAGACTGGCTTGCGTACTGCGTTTGAAAATCCTTCGTGAAATGTCACCCATACCTTGCGGTCATGTCCATGCCCACTCGATTTACGTTTATGATTCTGCGGGCGCGCAGCACTGCCAGATTGATTATTTTGAATGACCCTGCCAAAGAAATCTCTATTGACGGCTGCATCCGCACCAGACTTTGTCTTAGAGCCATTCTCCTTATCGTCATCATTATGCGTCTGTTTTTGCTTTGAATCCTTGTTACTACTGCTCGACGGAAGTCCCATTTTGGCCTGGGAGCTTTCTCCCTGTTTGCGCAGTGTCTCTTTGCGGTACTCCTGATCAAGCACCTGTCGAATGGCGTAGCGTACGGGGCCTGCGCCATTAGTATCGAGAATGGTGCCCTTCGTCTTTGAAAAGCAGATTAATGTGTCGATAGGCCTTGATTGAGTTAGCCCAGTAGACTTTAATATATATATATACATTTCAGAGAAGAAACTTACGGCTCCATTCTGTATACCCACCCAGTGTGGGAACCTTCATTTCCTACACGCACCCTTTCAAACGTCACGCCCAAGCCACCCATCACCTTTACTGCAGAAAGAACCAGTGCCTTTTCGCTCTCTTTTCTGACACTGGCAACATTGCTTTGATCACTACCTCGCACAACGACCGGCTTTATATCGGGCGATAGCATGCGCACAAGATTCGGCACCAGATCAGTAGCAACACAGTCGACAGAGCGGAACAGTCTCATGAGTGGTGCAGAAAAGGTTGACTGAAAACTGACAAGTGTTGATTTATTCTGTTTGAGTGCTTCAAACGCCGCAAAGTCTGCCCTGGGTCCGGAAAATGGATGGTCTTCTTCTTCTGTGTTTTCGTCTTCGAATTTTCTCTTATTCGAGGAACTAGTAGCACTAGCAAACAAGTGATGAAATGCCAGAATTGACTGGCTCAGGTACGGATTCAACTCCCAGTCCTGGTTTGAGAAAACTTTAGATGAAATCATGTCGTGAAACTGCAGCCAATCGTAAGCGGAGTTCGGTTTAGAAAGAAACGTATCGTCCTGAAAAGTTCTTGTAGGATATTCCGTGAAGCAGTCCGTGATACACCGATCATAATCCCCGCTTGCATCTATCATCTCGCGCAGCTTGGACGCTGCATGGCGTCTGCGCAGCTCTGCAACTCCCACTGGAGTTTTGGTTTTCTCCTGATCAAAAGGGTCATTAAACGAGTCAATGCCAATAGGCGCTAGTGGGAAGCCAGCACCTTCGATGAAGACGCGATCTGTAATCTCTCGAACTCCACCTCTTCCGAGCCCCTTGGAATATCCACTAGATTGGGCGTCGTTGAGGATGTTCTCCTCTAACCAACGTTTGGTCAAACGAGGTGCTGCTGTTGGAAAAGCTCGAAGTTTACGCACAACCCACTCCGCTGAGACTAGAATGCTTCGTATGTCGCCCTCGCCAACACCGCGATTCTTTTCGGTGCGGTCTTTCTTGGCAGTCATACCCCAGGATGCTTCGCAAAGTCTTCTGACTCCATCACCGTCATATTGGATATTCTCTTTTGTCAATATTATCTTTAGACGCTGTATGACATTTTCCATCGGCACTTGTCGAACGTGTATCACTTCAGCAATGCTAGAAGTGCGAAGTGGCCTTAGACTGGAATGATACGCATCGTTGCAAATGAGGATTATGGGCCGCAACAGACGGAAATCGTCGCCTTTTCTTCTTTTTCCCTTGAATGATACAATTTCACTAGTCCGAGCAGAATTCTTTTGGTCTGTCATGACTAGATCAATGAGAGCTTTGATAAAACCGCCCTCACCACCCGAGCCTGAACCGCCAACAACACCATCAACCTCATCCACGACAACGCAAACGGGACGACTGGGTTTGATGGCCTTGCTTGAGTTAGCATTAACACTTACGCTTTTCACGTTCTCTGTCCCAACCGCATCTCTGATGCGACCTTTGACGACATCCCTGCTACGTTCATCACTAGCATTAATCTCCAGGACTTCATAACCTGCCTGTTGTGCACAAACATGAGCTAGGGTAGTTTTGCCTAGACCTGGAGGACCGGCCAACATGAGAATCTTCCGGTGTATTCGTTCGCCCTCTTCGGCGGCCGTTTTCATCGGCTTCGACCGAGCAAGACCTGGGAAGACAACTGGATCCCATCCCTTAAGCCATCGTAAGACTGATCTATGAGTCCGCTCGTCTCCAATGAGATCTGCAAATCTTCGAGCACGATATTTTTCCGTCCACATTGGATTGGCATAATTCTTCTTGGACTTTCCAATTACCGGTGTTTCGATGGAATGTTCAATGTGCAGTTGTTCTCGCTTGCGGTTCATATCCTCCTTTATCTCACTGGCAGCATGGTCCAATAACCGGTGGATTTCAATTCCGTAGTAGCTGCGCTGAGCTTTTCCGGCAGCCGTCTTTGAGCGACTGGCAACAATCCTCTCGTATGATGGAGCGCTTGCACGCTGGCGCGGTTGGACTCGAAGTGTTTTCCCCGAGCAAGTCTTGATAGTGATAGGCTTTCCCCTTTCCAATGACGTACCATCTGACCCTAACGAAATTATGGGGGCCGAATTAGACATCATTCGGAGCAAAGTGGCATCGCTGTTCGCAGATGTATCCCTTAGCGCATTGGTACTATCCTCTTCCTCTTCATCCTCATCTTCGACGAATGGTCCATGAGTCTTCTGATTGGGTACATTTTCCGGCAATGATTTTTCTGTCTGTTTTCCATATTCCGTATTCTGAAATGAGTAAATTCCGTTTTCATACCGTCCTAATTCAGCCAATGCATCCTCATCGTCGTCATCATCGTCATCGATGAATCCGCCTATCATTCTTGGTCCATTATGGTCATTGCTATCTAAATTTGTTTCTTGCAACGAGCTCAATTGATTGTCGACAACAATTTTTTGCCGTTTCAAGTCCTCCTCCGGCAATGTCGATTCTAACTTTCTCTTTCGGGGATCTGTCAATGAAGGACTAGGCGTAAGAGCGGACTCCGCAGATATGGACGGCGCCATTGCCGTTGGCGGTGTGGAAGGAAGGAAATTTTCTATAATGAGACCTTTGCCTAGTTGAGGGTAATTCAAGGACTTCGTTGGAGTGACTACTCCTTGGTCAGTAAATACCACACAAAATTAAAGAAGACCTTGCATACGTGGTTGTATGTCGTCGTCACTTCGAAACACATCCGATAGATTCCAAGAGCGATGCTGAATCACGACTCCCTTACGTCGATTTTCTTCAGCAATCTCCAAGCGCCGCTGTTGTAGCGCCTCGATGTCGTCGGCAAATGAATCAAGGTCTGGCTCGGTTTGAAGTATAATCTCTGGTGGTTCGGAATGAAGATGTAGTGCTGGGTCGAAGTCAGATGACGGGAAATCATTCGCCATCAATGACAATGACGAGTCGTGATAGTATGGATTAGGCTTTGAGATGGTGCATGGGTATCTGCTTGATTGTTATCTTGATCCTTTGATTATGTCCACAGGCTGTCTACGTAACTAACGGCGTTGACGCGCGGAGAACGCGTTCGACGCGATGTCAACCACGCTAGCCTGAAAGTGGATAATGTGAAATTACTTGAAAGTTTCAATACAGCCCTAATACACGTAATATTATTCCTAATTAGGTTAGCTTTATCTGGGCCCTAAGCCCTAATTCTTAAATCATTCCCAAGAACAATTCTTCCTATTCCTCACCCACCTTAATCCTAGTTAGCCGGCCCTAAGAGTGCAATTCAGCGCTGCTCAGAGCGCAATCCGATCTCCGAGTTCAACTGCAAATCACTCCGAATTGGCGGGCGCTTCCTTTGTCAAGTTATGCCAGAGTTGCTTTGTAGTCGGTCCTAATATCAGATGATTTGCTCCTTAACCATAGGAACTATCTCGATATTCAATTCTAGTTAGCATCACGGGGACCTTTGTCGGTAACAAAGTGCTGTTCATTTTAGACGCGATAAGAAACGGGGACTACTGGAACATTAAATGGGTTTTCTAGATGGATGCGGTGTGAGCACTTCATTTCACGACAAGCCCACAGCCTGATAAGACTTTGATGAGTCTCAGAGATCTCTCGATGTTCTGCCAAATAAGTATGCAGTATTCCATGCTGGTGCAGTGCCTGCTTAGTGGCTTCGCATCCGGCTGCCATAGATCGTAAGTTCACAATTCCCTGGCCCTGCCACGTGCTATTTGGCTATAAAGAACGCGATTGTGGACTGCGGGGTATGGCTCATTCTATGAATATGGAGTTCTATCTTGCTTGTAGCTACTGCTTGTCAACCAATTAAAGTCCCAATTCTTGATATACAAGTCCCACCATCACGACGCTCTACACCTAGATACCTAGGTATACACCACGCTAAAGGATCGACCTCAACCCTGGTCTTAGTCAACACGAACCACATTTGTCTCTAGAAAATACCCACAGCATGACAAAAATACCAGAACTTCATACCGGCAGTACGCGCAACCGGAAAGGCTATCTCTCGCCCATCGAAGACTTTCAAATTCCGTTCGGAATCGTGGAAGGCGTTCAATATGGTCCCACCCTCCTGATAACTGCAGGAGTTCATGGTTCGGAGCTATGTTCGATTGAGGCGGCGTTGCGCTTAATGAATATCGACGGACATCAGTTAACCAGAACGCTTTTCGTCTTGCCAGTCATGAATTTCCATGGCTTTCGTGCTCGAAGCATCTACGTCAATCCGCAAGATGGAAAAAGCCTAAACAGACAATTCCCAGGAAATCCTCTAGGTACAGCTAGCGAGCGCCTTGTTCATTGGCCATCGGGTATCTTCCCGAAATGTGACGCTTATCTAGATCTGCACGGTGGTAATCTGGATGAAGAGCTTAAGCCTTACACAATATTTAACGAAGATAGTGAAGCATCGAAGCAACTAGCAGTCGCATTTGGCCTGGAGACTGTTGTTGCAGCATCTGGAACTCGGCGCGTCTCGTCAAGCTATGCTACCCGTCTGGGAATTCCAGCTATTACGGCTGAAGCAGTTTGTAACGGCCTTGTTTCTGAAGACAAGGTCTCCCTACATTATGACGGTGTGATGCGTGTCATGGCTTACCTTGGGATGTTGCAGTCACCCGCGTTACCATTGGCCGTACCGGAACGACGCTTTGTAAAACTTTCGGTTCCTATTGCATCTGCAGAAGGGCTCTGGTATCCACGACACCGTGTTAGCGCACACATCGCGATCAATGATATTCTTGACGAGGTGCGAGGTATTTTCGGGGAGGTCCTTGTTACCGTAACAGCTGAAGTCTCTGGTGAGGTGCTTTATCGGCTGCCGAGCCTTTGGGTAAACAGCGGCGAGCAACTGATGGGTGTTGCTTACATGGTTCCTTCAATGTGACGTCCAGTATTTTTTCTCGGAACGGGAATTGAATGTAATGTCTTTTCTTTTAGCAATGATGTTACGTCTTCGCCACAGGTGTGAGAATCGAATTCACCTTTTATGAATCTTGGCTGGTCGAGTATCAATCTTAGCTTTCGACATACCAGTTGCGAATCACTGCTCTTCGTACTAAAGGAATTCATTTCTGTCTATTCTTTTCACTATGAATATAACTATACCTAGAGTGTGTTTGTGCATAACTCAATTGTTTGGCCAGATTCTTTTACTCCGCGGCCTACATGCTAACGTTGCAAAGTGAGGGTTAAAACCTTATACGATACACAGTGAATTTGAACGTAAATACTATAGTGTTTTTGAAGATTTGGTGCTTTCATTCTATTACCGATGTGGCTTATTAAGAACCACGTCAGAATAGAGACAGCTGAAGTATTGACTATCTCCTCTGTGTTTCATATGTCATGCAACTGTTTTAAAGACCATCTGCCGCCATAATATTTTGCCGCCTGGCATTAAGATTCAGAAACGATATGCAGGAGAACGAGTTCGGCTTCGGAATCTGAAATGCCTCAATCAAACCTGTAGCAGTTCGTTGGACACCGTGGATGCAATTATGTATACTTACCTTGGACAATGGAATATCGCTGACTCTTTGCCAGGCATATAAGCTGGCACCTTGATAATTGGGTTTATAGCTGTATTGTTCTTCAAAATGATAGGCGTAACAGCCATAGACGAGATAGACAGTGCAAATATAGGTCTGAGCCCCCAACATAGCTTTAACAGTATCATGAGGCCGCATCGTTTCTGCTAATAAATTCACAAAAAGTTGAGCACTAGCGTATCCTAATACGCCAGATAACAAGCAATCAACTGAACCGGCTAAATTACCTGGTGGGAGATTACCGTAGTATATGATTGCTGGGAAATTGCCACCTGTTTTCGGAGCTATAGAAGCAGCATTACTGCGCTGCTAGCTGAACCTAACCATAATTCGGAACAACATATTGAATAACGTTTACGGTGTAAAGATGATTAACAAGTTCAGCTAGGCACAGATGCCTGCGACCCATCCATACGATATGAGAGTCCGGATCTACGTGAGGATACAACTACCACAAATGAAGAGCCCCTGGGCGATTGTCACGATGTCTCAATACCGTAGCACCTCGGGCCTGTATATGGCAGAGTTTGCCCAAGCAAAGCTGTTGCAAAATTCACACATGTCATACACAGAAGTATAACTGCTGCTGAATCCAATTATTGGTCGGATAGGATTGTGAAACCTTTGGTATACCTAGGTGTTGGTCAAGTACGTCCTCGGAAAAGAGCGGCGGTGGAGCACAAAAAACCCGACTTCCAGTTTGCTATTGCCTGTAGTAACAAGGGGCATCCCCCAATGAGGCGAAGGGCTTTTAAGATCAATACAATATTGATTCCAAGGGATTTCGAATACTGTATGAACATACCTAGGTACTCAACGGACCGTTCTGTCTCGCTTGCAAATACCAGGTTGAGCACGTGACGTTCTTAGCGCGTTCTTAATTTCTTGGCACAGCTGTGGCTGACGTTAATCCTATATGTGGCGTACAATCTGTTTCCGGTTAGCGTCTGTGGCTTGACTCTTGCCGCGCGAGTTTTTGGAAATGAAGCGTCGCAGCCATCCCGTTCGTGTTCGCGACCAAGCAGTAAGCTGTCAATCGGCCAGCCCACACTTACTCCAAATATTGGATTTCGAGGACTCGCCATCATCGCGGGCTTTTGTAAAGGTAGTGAGGCTAGATTTTGTACTAGCTACCCTCATTACGACGCGCAGTTTCCACTTGCGCCTGACCTGAAGGAAGAGCTCTGCCTTTCCGACGATCAACCTAGCGCCCATCGGACCCCCCAAATTCATCAGACACGCCATAATGGACGAGCCACAGAAATTTTCTAGTGGATCTGGCGAGGAGCATCAGGTTTTAGAAGTCGCTCAAGATGTTACTGAGACGACTCAAGCATCTGGTAACATTCTTTCGCCCACCTACTTCGAAGTTGTGCAATATGGCTGACTGGGGAATTCCCATCTTCTTAGCAGCTGAACCTCACCAGCAGTCTCCAGTGAAGAATGCAGAGGGAATTTCTGATAATCCTTTGGATGCTCCTGCGTCCCCGAGACCTCAGGATAACGATGCGGAACCCGAAGACGAAGAAATGGGCGGTACTGAGAACGAAGCAAAAAAAGAAAACGGTGCCGATGATGGTGATGGCACAGAAGGCCTCCAGGGCGTCGACGCTGTCGGCGATGATCAGTCTGTACCAGAAAAGTCTACACTCGAAGCGGCAGCTCGCAGCCACCTCATTTCGCAGACACATGCCATTATCCTGCCAAGCTATTCGAGCTGGTTTGACATGCATCAAATTCATCCCATCGAAAAGAAAGCAATGGGCGAATTCTTCAATGGTCGCAATCGAAGCAAGACGCCAGCAGTCTACAAGGATTATAGAGATTTCATGATCAACAGCTATCGATTGAATCCCATAGAATATTTGACTGTGACGGCTTGCCGCCGCAATCTTGCAGGAGATGTTTGTGCTATTATGAGGGTTCACTCTTTTCTGGAACAATGGGGTCTTATCAATTACCAGGTGAGTACTAAGATTTTTAATCTTCCGTGCCAAGTAGATTGCTAATCAAGATAGGTTGATCCGCAAACACGACCCTCGAATATCGGACCACCATTTACAGGCCATTTTCGAGTTATTGCAGATACCCCACGCGGTCTTCACCCATTTCAGCCTGGACCTAATCCTCTCGTTACTGCAGGCAAACCGTTGGCAGCCACTGATCGTGCCGCATCAGGAACACCCGTTAAGGCTGATTTAAACCTTGAAATCAGACGCAATATCTATGACGACAAGGGCAAAGAAATTACCCCTGCTGAAGATAAAGAGAAGCAGACGAATGGAGACACACCTGCCGCAAACGGTACATCATCTGAAGCTGCAAACAAAGCAATGGAAAGTGCGGTCAGAGAGCCTCGGAAAGTTTTTAACTGTTGGTCTTGCGGCATTGATTGCACCCGTCTGCGATTCCACTACACGAAATCTGCTCCTGTTTCGAGCAATGCCAATGCACCTGACAACAAATATGACGTTTGTCCCAACTGCTTCCTGGAAGGTCGACTGCCTGCAAGCCACACTGCGGCCGATTTTATCCGACTAGAAGAAAATGACTACACCAAAGTCTCGGACAAGGATGCTCCATGGTCTGATGCAGAACTTGTTTTGCTCCTTGAAGGAATAGAAAATTTTGACGACAACTGGGAGCAGATTGCCTCTCACGTGGGCACAAGGACCCGAGAAGAATGTGTTATGAAATTCCTGCAATTGGAGATTGAAGATAAGTACGTCGAGGACGTTGATGGGTCAAATGATGCCACGGTACGTGCGCTACAGGGTCGCGATCCGATCAGTAAACTGGATAATCCTGTACTCTCTGTCGTCGCCTTTTTAGCTCAGCTAGCCGAGCCGTCCGTGGCTGCAGCTGCCGCTGGTCGCTCTGTTGAGCAGATTCGGAAAGAACTCAGAGATCAGTTGAATAAAAGTTCGTCTTCAGCTGAAAAGGGTAAAGACAAAGAGGGCCAGGAGCTCAAAACTGAGGATACAATGGATATCGACACTACCCGTGAAGCCGAATCAACAACTGGTACAAGCGAGAAGCGTGAATCCCTGGCAACGGTTGCCCTTGCTTCTTCTGCGGCTCGTGCCGGCGCTCTCGCTTCTCACGAAGAGCGAGAAATGACACGGCTCGTTTCAGCTGCGGTTAATGTTACACTCCAAAAATTTGAGATCAAATTGGCCCAATTCAATGAAATGGAAGAAATCATTGAAGCCGAGCGACGGGAGCTAGAGCAGACTCGACAACAACTTTTCCTTGACCGGATGGCATTTAAAAAGAGAGTCAAGGAAGTGCAAGATACTCTTCAGCACGTCAGCTTACAAGGACCAGGCGCAGATACCACTCGAGCTATTCATGATGCCGCTTCTGCTGGAATTAGCTCGCGTTTCCATTTCAGTCAGGTTCAAGGTGACGGAAGTAACGGCATCCAGCCATTGAGTGCCCAGCCTGGTTCCGATTATAAGAACTTTGATCTTTAATGGTGCTTTCCCTTTTCTTTCTCTACTTCTTATGGCTCTAATCCGGTGGTGCTTTGAACTACCTAATGTTTTTGGGTCCGGTTTTTCTCCTCTATTACTGTTTTCTGTCTTCATTTCCACGTTCTGTACAAATATGCAGCGGCGATATTGAAGGGCGGTCTACAATAAAACCGCAACCAGCGGAGGATAGCAGACGTGAATATGATACGTTTCTTCGATCGAGGTTGAGGAAAACTATGGGTGTGATATTTTACTGGCAGGCGCAATTAAGGGGGAGTCATCAAATTTTCTATTACCATGTCTTGTATTACAAGTGTCCGTGTGAGATTAATTTCCTTTTTTTCTTTCTGGATCGTTCTAAGTACTATTTCAACTAGGTTCGTCTTGTAGAACATTTAACGAATTTGAATGTTGACTCAATGCATTCGATCCACAAAAATACATACACATTAATCATGCTAACGTTAGTGGGAATTATAACAGCCACTTTCCAAGTTGTTCAAAGAAATCATCCAAAAGTTCTGACTACTCAATGCGTCTTCTTTTCCTCTGTTTATTTTGAACTTGTTGGCCATCCATGCGAAGATCTGTTCCATTTGACCCCCATTCAGTCCGATAGACTAGGTCCGTTCTCCAGTCAATAATCGCATGCTCTCGAAGTGTTTGCTTAGTCGGTACTGGCGGTGGCTCTGATGCATCTTCCTCTGTATTCACATTGAACTGAAAGCCGTTTTCCCTAAACAATGCTCGCAGCTCTGCTTCCGCTTGTTTGCTGGATTTTCGGTCAAAGAAGTCAAGGTACTCGTCTACCTTTCGATCATATTCAATTTGCTCCAGTTCAGAGATTTCTGAATCCTCAAGGAGTGATGTGTCAGAAAAAAAAGTTCCATCGTCGGACGTTGACGAGTTTGTCTCTTCTCGATTACCGCCTAATTGACCGCCATCTCTATCCATCTCGCTGTCTTCTTCCTCGTCTGGTGTCAATGATTTCTGAAAACCATCTTCATCGCTGTCGAGACCATTAACACCGGCAGCATCAGCAATATGTCTACTTTTCTGGTCTCTTGTTGAGCTTTTGGCATGAGCCCTGGAACTCGTCTCTTGGGACAATTTCTTTTCGACTTCGTGATATGATAGGTACTCGTTGTGTCCTTGTGCCCCTTTTTTATTTACGATGTCCGCGACATCAAGCCGTAATCGGCGGGCAAGATGGATGTAAAAGTGAAATGGATTGCGCTTCATGTGTAGAATTTCGGCCGCTTCTACAACGTCCTCTTTCCTCACAACAGGGGCTGTGGTTCTCTTAGATCCGGCCACTCGATCATGTGCCACGGAAAAAGACTTCGCCACTAGGCGTTTGGTGATATCACGAGTGAGTGTATAAAAGTCACAGAAGGCATCGGCTGTGAGTGATGGACTTTCGCCTTCAAAAGCAACATTCCTCCAGTTGTCCTCAAACTGTGATTCCCCAGCATTCATAAAAAGCCTCTCGGATAGTCGTATCCATTGTCTAATACTCAACAAGCCAGCGCTTTGGAAGATCTTAGATTGTGATTCCGAAGGTGTTTTGGATCTTGACTCTAAAATTCCTTCAATTTTCTCCGCAACGTTGCTGTCAATAGTCCAAAAGTCGGAACCATGAATTTTCTTTCCTTCCAGATCATCCATGCGCTGTTCCAAAATCGAAATATGTTCGGCAATAATGTCAAGTGCCTTTTCGAGTTCCTCGTTAACGTCGACAGCTGCTGGTATGGCCATTGCGAGAGGGGGTTGCTGTTGCTTTTTCTCTTCCTTTTCCTCCGAAGTCTGCATTCTTTGTAAAATTTCATCCTTTGCAGCGTCCTCTAATAATTGAATATACTCTAGAACTTCTAATTTCGACTTAGACCCAAGATCCTGCGCAATTTCGTAAGTTCGAGATTTTCCCCTACGGGAAACAGCAGCAAACAGCCTGCTTTCTTCTCCTCTGGTCCATTCGACCAGGCCAATCTTGGTCGATACAGTAGAGTCATCTTCAGTAACTGTGTTTGGCTTGCATGCATCCGAGCTTCTTTCCTTCTGATCCAGCAGAGACCGATAGGATTCTAGGGACGCTTTCCAGAAGTAATGCCTTTCATTGCGTCGAACCCAAGAATCTAGATCACCTTTTGGACGTTCTCTAGATGACCCCAATTTTGATGCCCCATTTTCTGACTCTGATGTTTCGCCTGCAATTTCATTGACTTCGTCCTCACTTTCATTGATCCCATGCCCCTTCTCCTCTGGGACCCGCGGTGCGCCCGATTGAAATTCCTTGCCTATGACGAAAGACTGAGAGTTACGCCATGGTTTCGATGATGAAAGTATCGGAATGCTCTCAGGCGATCCCAGGATATTCTCTCTTTTGTCTGGAAGGGTTTCGTCTTCTGCACTTGTGCTCATTGTTTATTACTATCGCAGAATAACGAATGAAAGATAGCAAAGTTGCAGATGTCGATTTTTTCCCCAAAGGTGATGTTCATGTTGTGCATATCTGACCATATCAAAATCTGCTCCGCTGCAACAATAGATGGTTGATATTATGTTGAATTGAGAGCGAAGAGCTCCAACCGACTTCGAGGAATCTCAGCTCGAAAAATATCCCTTTGATAAGATAAAAGTTTGCATTGTTTGCTTCCCGTCGCGTCTTCACCAGCGGCGACCCCCCGACTACAGAAATTCAGACAAAATGCAATGCGTATGGAGCTTCTTCTACGACGAGGCGGAGCTCAATTGGCACGGAGCATTGTAAGGCCACGGGTGTGCCGACTTTCTTTTTATATTCCGCAAAGTCCAGCCATCACTCGCCATGCCTCGACGGTTATCTCTCCGAAGATACAGCTCCGGGATTACCAAGAAGAATCCATCCAATCTGTTATAGATCATCTTGAAAAAGGCCACAATCGCCTGGGATTGTCTTTGGCTACTGGTTCGGGCAAGACAGTCCGTTTATTTCTCTAAATGTCTGTTACTATTAACCCACATAGCTGACTATCACCTAGGTTATTTTTACCCAACTAATTGGACGCATCCCTCCCCGAGATGGCCGAGCAAACCAAACCCTTATTATTGCACACCGAAAGGAGCTTGTCGAACAGGCTGCATATCACTGTCGACTCACGTATCCAGACCAATCAGTGGATATCGAAATGGGCGCAAGCAAGGCATCTGGAGCCGCTGATATAACAGTAGCTTCGATAAGGAGTCTAGTGTCGAAAGATCGACTTGAGAAGTTTGATCCCAGCATGTTCAAGCTTGTGTTGGTTGATGAAGCACACCACATTGTCGCTCCTCAATACCGCAAAGTCCTCGAATATTTTGGCTTGACTGAAGCCTCCGACCAAGCGCCGGCGCTCGTCGGAGTATCTGCAACATTCTTCAGATTTGATGGCCTGAAGCTAGGTTCGGCTATCGACCATATTGTCTATCATAAAGACTACATTGACATGATTGGAGACAATTGGCTCGCTGACGCTGTTTTCACTACGGTCAAGACAAACGTTGATCTCTCCCGCTTGGCTAAGGATTCATCCGGAGATTTTGCCACAAAAGCTTTGTCTGAGGCCGTCAATACTGCCACCGTGAACGACGTTACCGTAAGGTCCTGGATCACCAATGCTCATGATCGTCAATCGACACTCGTTTTCTGCGTTGATACCGAACATGTAAGACAGCTTACTGACACGTTTCGGGAAAATGGCATTGATGCTCGCTATATCACTGCCAGTACAGCTAGACAGACGAGAAATGAGGTGTTGGATGCTTTTAAGAAGGGGGAATTTCCCGTACTGCTTAACTGTGGGCTTTTCACCGAAGGGACTGATATTCCGAATGTGGATTGCATTGTCCTCGCGCGTCCTACCAGATCAAAGAGTCTGTTGATTCAAATGATAGGGCGAGGTCTACGATTATATCCAGGGAAGAAGAACTGCCATGTAATTGACATGGTTTCGAATCTGAACACTGGCATAATGTCTACGCCTACCTTATTCGGTCTTGATCCCAACGAAGTCCTTGATAAACAAAGCGTACAGGATGTACAAAACAGAAAGGAGACTGGGGGTTTTGGCTCACATATACATGGCGCAGGTGACATTCCACTCAGTGGTGACGGCGTTGATGTTATATTCACAACATATGATAGCATATTCGATCTCCTCCGTGATGAGGTCGTAGATCGGCATATTCGCTCTATCAGCCGCTATGCCTGGGTGCGCGTTGATGTTGATCGATATGTACTGGCCGACAAGTCAGGGTGGATGACGATCCGAAAAAGTGATCGAAAAGCGGACGGCCCGTGGGTTGTCGAACATGTTCTGAAGCTTCAGAGCGATATAAAAGGTGGTTCAGTACACACTAGGCCTCGAGTTGTTACTCGAGCACCGGAATTGGAGCAGGCTGTACACGGCGCCGACACATTCGCTCGCACGCACTTCAAAATAGTCACAATCAAAACATCGGAAAAATGGAGGCAAGCTCCAGCAACAGAGAATCAGATAAACTTTTTGAACAGCAGAAAGATCCGAGAGAACACCATTACATCGCGAGATCTGACCAGGGGGCAGGCAGCAGATATGCTAACGAAACTGCGCTTTGGAACCAAATCAAGGTTTCAGATTGAACAAAAAAAGAGAAAGAAAGAAGCCAAAATTCGCAAGGAGTTTGAGAAGCAAATGAGCCAGGGTAATATTAAAGTCGGGTCTCTCAGTCAACAGAACTTATAATATTCTGGGAAGCACAGCTAATAGTTGCTCGTTATATCAATTGACCTCCATTGCCTATATCATTTAGTTCCAAGATTACGTTGATGTCATACTGAGGCCCTACTCTTAGCTAGGTAGATCATTCATGAGAATCATATAGTCTTTATAATACATAATATACAATATAGTACATATTTTTTAGCCACCACTAGCAGACTTCGCGGTCATCATCCACACTATCGAATATGCCGAGGGACATTTCATCTTTTACCGACACAGTTAGGGGCTGGCCACTCTTTTCGTTTGGGAAGTCAAATTTTGGTTTGCCCATCGCGGATGTCGTTCGCTGAGGTGTTAGATGGTATATTTGTTCCCACAAAGAACTCATAAGTCTTCGTGTCAATCGATGCGGCCGGCCCAGGACGTATTTTCTGAATGATAGCCCATTCTGCGGTCCGTCACTTAGGAAAGTTTCCAGCGGCGACAAGGCTGCAGGAGGAGAAACTGTCGCTCGTCGTGTAGGTGGCTTCCATGGCTCAGCGCCAGATATCAAGCCTCGCAGAACATTTAACTCGGCTGAATCAAGAGGTGGTAGCGCCCCGAACCTTGCACGGTTGAAATATCGCTTCCGAATATTCTTGCGACGAACCTCAGGCATGGGCATCTGCCAGCTGTTCAACTTGGGCACTTTTACGACTTCATTGACTTTGAAACGTTTCATGTAAGCGCCCTGCGGGAAGGCAACCTGATTTTGCGACTTTAGCAGTGCTGTGAGCACTTCGGGAGGCTCCCACTCGTCCCCAAACCGGACTATTGAGACCTTTCTCAAAAGATCTTCGACATCCGTGTTCGAGTTCAAGATTTTATCTTCTTGCACATCCCTGATTAGAGCATAAAGTAGTGAATACTTTTTGGCGCCGACGCGGCCATATGCTAGCATCAATACCTTTTCTAAAGAGTTGTGGTATCCCTGACTAGCTCGTCGTAGTAGTAATAGAATCTTTCTGGCGGATTTCCAAAGTCCTTTTTGCCTTTCGAGGCTGGCAACTTTCACTTTTTCGCGGTATTTCTCAGACTGAGACTGAGATTGGCGAATCTTCCGGCTATCTGAAAGCAAAAGAGAGGACGACCTCTTGCGGTAACGATCGAGGACATATTTGTGCATGTATTCTCTAGCAATCGGGTCGGGTAAATAGGAGCATTCGCGTAGCGTTGCGCGGAGAAGGTGTCGCCATACTTCGGGCGGACGCAGAGAAGCCTGAGACATGCGACGAGAAGCGCGAAATCAGCAAAGGGAGAGGAACTATTTTCTCTCAAGGATCCGAGTCCAGCTCAGGACTGACGAGCAACTGAGCGAGTTGTGCTCCGTGACGGTCAAGCTGTGACGGAAGAAAAGCCGGGCTAGCCTAGAGAGGCAAGAATGGTTTAGTGTGTCACGCGTCTTGGGCCGAACGCGAAAAGGCCCCGCGACTTCCTCGACACGCATCCTCCCTCGCCAACCAACCCAATTCTTCTTTGCGCTCGCAATTCACTAGAAGGACTGCTTCATTCTTGCACCAACGCCGTATATGTGATCGTCTTGTGGTCAGCCCATTGCGCCCATCAGAGTGCGTTCTTAGCGCTTCTCTTCCCTGCATCTGTGGGGGGTTGGCCTTCTGTGATTCGCCTGGAACGCGCTACCCTTGCCGGCGCCTTTGCACATACCGACCTCCTGCTAGTTGTTCATGTGTGAGCGAACCTTGATTATCACCGTGGGGAACCGAAGAAGTTGCTGACTCTTCCCCTTTGATTCCATAGCAATGCTTTATTTAGAGCCGCAAACTTGATGCACGTCTCCGCTTGACTTCCGAGTCCTCAGCATTCATTCCACAGTGAGCATGACTACCAGCAGCAATCACCGCCAACGGCCCAGTCTTACTATGTCATATCCCCAATCCAACACTGAGCCCGCTCATGGACTGCCTCTGCCCCAATCGCATATGGGCTCATTCAGTCACTCGCAATCAGTCGCCTCCACTCCCACCCCAACGCCCCCCACGCGAGGATCGCAGCAGTCAGCCATGTCATATAGTTTTACAAACGGGGTGTCATACCCCTCGATGCCAAACGGCTTTGCGGGCTACGAACGCTCGAATGGCTATGGAGTAATGGCTCCCTATCAGGAAGAGTATAAGCCTCAAATTTACCGGGTATGTTCTCAAGTGCTAGGAAAAGTTTCCATTGTTTTGAATATGGTCTTCATAGACTGTCAGCCGTATAAAGAGAATGCCGAAATAACTAACAGCTTTTGCTCTCTCCTACTAAGGCCGTTTATTCAAATGTCTCCGTGTACGAAATGGAAGTCAACGGTGTCGCTGTTATGAAACGTCGGTCGGATTCCTGGTTAAATGCAACTCAAATTCTGAAAGTTGCCGGTGTTCTCAAAGCCAAAAGAACCAAGACCTTGGAGAAAGAAATTGCCGCTGGAGAGCATGAGAAGGTCCAAGGAGGTTATGGCAAATATCAAGGCACATGGGTGAACTATCAACGAGGTGTCGAACTTTGCCGTGAGTACCAGGTGGAAGAATTGCTCAGGCCCCTGCTCGAGTACGATATGGATGATGGAAACTCAAAACGTACATCGCTCGAAACTCCAACCAAGGAGCAGGCAATGGCCGCACAACGGAAAAGATTATATAGCGCTGAGAACCGAGGAATAAGCCAACCGGCCCAGGCAACTTTTTTCCAAAACATGTCCCGTACCGCAGCAAGTGCCGTTAATGCTATCAGCAAAGCCCGTTTTGAGTCGCCAAACAAAAGGAGACCCAGCGTGGTGCGCCAGTCATCGCAAGCGTCACAACAAATGAGCAGCCAAGAGTCCCTGAATGTGCCCGGTGGTACCCAAACTAGCATGTATAGTGTACATTCTGACAGTGGATTTGCAAGTCAGAATGCTCACAACGGGAGAAACGATATTGCTTTCGATCAAGAGACTGGCTTGGAACCACCACGAAAACGTGTCAGGAGCTCTTCGAATCAAGGACGCTCGTTTGGGGGAAACAGCATGATGTCAGCGTATGATCTCACACCCACAGAGCCAAACGATTCATTCTACCAACAGGCAGACGACCCAATGGCAACTGATGATGTTCATGGACGAGACCCACTCCCTCCAGCAACACATCCTGATCGATTCCAAAAGATGAAACTTATCATGACTCTCTTCCTTGACAAGCGTATGAAAGACTTTGCCGACCACCCTGCCCTTGTACAGCTGTCTGGTGAGGACCTTGAAATTCCGCTCGATGAATATCAAAATAGTGCTCTTCATTGGGCGGCAATGCTTGCCCGACTACCCCTGCTTAATGCTCTTGTTGAGAAGGGTGTCAATATTTATCGACTGAATGCTGCTGGTGAAACCGCACTGCAGAAGGCGGTGGGAACGCGAAATAATCTTGATTACAGGACTTTCCCGCGATTGTTAGAATTGCTTGGCCCTAGTATTGACATGGTCGATCACAGCGGCCGGTCAATTCTTCATCATATCGCCATTATGGCTGCAACTGGTGGCGGGGGGCATGTGTCAGCTAAACATTATCTCGAAGCACTTTTGGAATTTGTCGTACGTCATGGCGCAGGAAGCCAGGGCGCTCAAGAAAATGGGAAACCGATGGCAAACAGTGGGAGCGGAATTAACGTGAATGAGCAATCACAGCCTGAGATTATCAGTCTGGGTAGATTTGTCTCCGAATTGGTTAACTTGCGGGATGACCAAGGAGACACGGCTCTGAATATAGCCGGCCGTGCAAGATCAGTGCTTGTGCCACAGTTGTTGGAGGTTGGCGCTGATCCTCAAATCCCTAACCACACGGGCTTACGCCCTGCAGATTACGGCGTGGGTGTTGACATGATTAATGAAAGCACCCAGATACAACAAAATGGAGAGAAAAAGGACACCTTTATTGATCAACTGGCTAAAACGAAGAAAGAAATTCTCGATGGTAAGGATTCGAATCGTTTGTGTTATATTTGGTGCTAACCCTTTTCACTTCATAGCTACGCTTGCACAAATCGGATCTCTGGTCGAAGAGACCTTGGGTGGAATTGATCGAGATTTGACCTCGGAGCTGAGCAAAAAGCAAGCGGAATTCGATCACTGGCATGCCAAAATACGTGAAAGTGCACGTGCCAGACAGATCGATCAAAATGAACTTGACGACCTGAAACGAAAAGCATCTGACCGGCTGAATGTTGGCCGACGTATAAAGAACCTTGAAGGTGACTCGGAAGAACTAGTTGCTTTTTTAAAGAAGACCTACGGGATTGACTTCGACATATCAACTATGTATCCTATTGGCTATGGTGATCATGACTCTAGCGTTGACATCGCTGAATTTCGCACGCTCTTTTCAGAGTTCGACGCCGGTGAGGAGTTATCCCCAGATCAACGAAAGTTCCTCGCAGCATTACCGCATGCGAGCGTTCTAGAAAATCGCCTGGAGGCATATAAAAGCTTGAACAAAGATGTACAAGACGAAATTAAACTGCTAAAGTCAAGGAATGTGGTTCTCGGCGAAAATTATCGCCGGGTAGTCATGGCCTGTACCGGGTTTACAGCCGAACAGGTTGATGAAGCTGCAGAGGGACTGACCAAACACATCAAGGAGTTAAACGAGAATCCAGTGGCAGAAGATGAAGCGATTGAGATTTTGATGAAAGATCGCGGGCAGGACTGGTAGGTAGATGCAGAGACGCGCCTCACGGCGAGCTGCTCGGTTCTCATAATAGATCCTTACACATGAGTTTACTCTACGTCCCATATTGGACATCATAGTTGAAGTATGAAAGACCTACTCTTTTTTGATTCGTTCTTGTTTGCAGATACCCCTGCTCAGTTAATGATTGTTCTACTATGTATACACATCTTTTTGGCATGTCTAGTATGTTACATTTCTCAGACCATGAGGCGATAGATGTACCATCCACGTTACATGATTGTACACACATTGAGATCTACAAAATAATGACTTTTGCCTTTGTAACAATCGAGACGAGATTCTTCTATTGAGATCATGCATCCCTGTTATTTTTCCATATGACACGCGCATTGTCTGAGGTCAATCCCTAAGCCCTGGATTTGCTTCTCTTTACTTTAACTTTTTCTACCTCCTCTCACAAGCGCTTTTTACTCAATTTATGTATTTTTGCGTTGATGCAGCTTTGCAACGGAAATTACCGAATTAGGCAAATCTTGACGCTTGGCCCGTGCACTGCAACACCAACGGTCTCAGAAATGCAGTAAAGTATTCTAGCTCGAAGCTCACTTGCAGCTTCTCAGACACTAAAAATTCCTTGTTAAGTCTTCGGACTTTACGAGACGTGCATGAGATTTGGCGCTTGGCCAGATCTAGGTCGCATTAAATATTTCTTTAGAGGCCTCGGATTTCTTATCATACAAATGCAGTCTCAGCAGTAGGTAAGTAATACTACTTACAGACAAAACTTCGTGTTATCCTAAAGCTCAAACTTGGGGCCCTTATTTTTTCAAGGAGCTTGGCTATATGAGACGATCCTGGCTGGCACAGTGTGGGTGTCTGGTCTGGAGGCTCGGAAAAGCTTTTGACCCCTGTCGATGTTCCTGAGCTTAATGGGATTACCCTGGTTCCGGGGACGTCATACGATGAAGTATTCTTTTTTCTATCTTCTAAAAAAAGCTCTTTCCTTCCTGGCGCAAGCAGATAGTTTTGAATGTGTTTTATTAATATATGCACTTCCAAAGTGTCTCTAATGCCGTTATTAAAGTACCTGGATAGCTTTATGCACCTTTTAATACCCTACATCTTATTATAATAGAAGCTTATTCTCTTCCAAGTCAGTACCACGTAGGTACTGACTTTCAATGTCCTATCTAAGGGCCTGTCTCAAACGTGACTAGACTGCGACAGTTCTGCTACGGTATCGAACCTCACGGGTACATTTACAATTATGACTATGCCTTTTCTTCTTCTTTTTCTTTACCTCCTTGATACTGACTGCTTCGTCTTTCGTGCTCCTGGCGCCATGCTACTGACCTCCTTCAAACAGTTCAGACTCGTCGTTCCAGGTTGAAGACAATATACACGGAACACACATGCATAGTATACCTTCATACACCTCCCTTTGTATTGGGCAGGTTTGAAATTGACATACTCTGAATATAACGCGGAACGAAGGCAGCGTCTATAGCTGATCAGTCAGGTATGAGGGTTGATACGCTTTTCGCAACGAAAAGTAGCTTCAGGATGTCTTCAATGAACTCCTGTCTAGTGTTCTCTCTCCCTGGCATGCTTCATGTACAGGAGTGGGTTCTAGTGATGTTATCTCAAAGCAAACTCGAAGTTGAAGCGCAACTATATAAGTAGCCACAGATACCACGCTTATTCCACATTCACAGAACCAAATACTACAATCTCAACAAGCAAGCCCTACTCAGACTCTACAAAGCATTCTCCGCTGAAAACTTTTCCATCATTTCAAAGGCCAATTACTCAGCTCCTCACCTTGTCTCATTCCATATATTTGGTATCATGGCATACTACCGAGCTGTCACTCTCCTCATTCTTCTCTTGCAGAGCTCATCGATCTTCGCAAAGAGCCTGCTCAACAATGATGTTGACCTACTATTGAGATTGCGCAAACCCGAACTACCATCAATGAGGCATCGCTTTTCCCTCGACACAATACAGAATGACAACGACACACACTTCAATACCAATGCCTTTTCAGTAAAAACAAAGCAAATTTTGGCTCGCGCCGACATTTCTAATTCTACCGTACCGACTTTCAATGAAACTGCCTTCAATCAGAGCGCTTCCACTGCATGCGCCAACGCCGTAAACAACTACACAGCAGCAATCAACCCCAGCGGACTTGTAGCGTGTTACAATATTGCTGTCTGGGACAACACCACAGGCGTCTTCCAGACCGATGTGCGACTATATCAAAAGTCTGCTGCTATCGGCTCGTTTGAGGGATTGGCTCCGTCAGATTTCTCCATGTCATTCTCAATCCCCGAGGCAACTCTATCCGCACCGATGATGATGACAACCAATGAATCAGTTACGGCAGATACGCCAGCTACTGGTGAATTTGTATTGGGGTTCCAGAATATCGGACAAATGTCCAAGAGCCTTCAATTTTCGAAACTCACTGAGTACGCATTCCCCCCTTCTCTCTCTCTATCATTTCGGCTGTCTGACTGATATGCACTCTCTAGTTCGGATCTCCGCGCGCTCATGATCCCATCGATTTCTCTGGGAGCAACATCTCCATCCGGTGGTACTGTCGATACATCGCTCGCATCCGACACACTCTCCTACGTAGCCGGTGAGTTCACGCAACCCGACGGCACAGCGACAAATATAACCACCCCAGAGGCAATAACGTTATCCTCTCCAATTATTGCCTCTGCGTCAGTCTTTGTCCTCCCGGGAACGCATATCAAGGTCTACCCTGTGGGCTTGATCATAACCTGTATATGGGCGGGATTGCTGTTCATTGCTGTTGGAGCAGGCACTATCGGCCGATATCAATTTAGGGTTAATTACCGAAAGCGTGTCCAGAGTTCAAAGATTACTAGCAGTTTTATATAAGGATATCTTGTACTTTGTTCTTTCTCTCTTTGTCATCTCATTGTCGGTTTTCTTCCTCTGGGTCTATACTTATTATACCAGGCTTTTGGTGCATTGGCGTTCAGGATACTTTTTTTACAGAATATTTTGCTTTTCCCAATGGTTTTGGGAGCTTGACTTAGATTGATACCTTCCCAATGTATGGAAAGTATATACTTCAAAAACGGTGACTTAGGTTTCTGCCTGATTATCTCATATATACATACAGATTTATTCATTCCGTCACAGTTATTAGCCAAGTCTAATCAGTCAGTGTTCACGTTCCAGCGTTGGAAGTATTTGTTAATGGCCGTCTGGAGTACGTCTTCATCACTTCGGAGCCAACTGGTATTTTCATTCTGGACTCTGTTATTAATATGCGTTAACGCAGCTCGAGTGATATATGGAAACATTGGAGGCATGGCGTCAATCACGGATGTCGCCGTATTTGCAGGAAATCCAAGGATGACGGACTCTGCAATATCGACAACCACCTTCGTAACAGTATCAAGTGCCTCTTGCGATCTGTTACGCCACTCCTCCAGGGGTATGAAATTTGCCCTGACAGCCTGTGGATGCTGGTCGAGGATGTGCCGATGTAATGTAAACAGTGCCATGTTTGAAGAAGGTTAGGCCAGGCCGGTATTGCTGTCTAGAAGAAAACGGAGGAGCAATAACTAAACACATTGATGAAGTAGAAAATATGGGGAATTGTGGAGAACTGACCTAATGGAAATGCTTATTGCTGCACAATAGACACCTAATTGCCCTACGGTATTTGGCATGACCAACGATAGGAAGTTTTGGATATTCGTATCTAATCTGTCAAGTTGGAGTAGTTTAGAATCAATGTCTGAGGAATTAAAGCATTTGAAAACTTGATCCAGAAGACAAGCCGCTTGGGCTGCCCGACTAAACCCTCCAATATTTGGCAACGTCAAACACGACACAGGAAAGTTGGGTAGGGACCTTGGGTCTAAAACATCGAGCTGGTCGAAGACTTGAAGATCGAACGGAAGTCTAGCATCTCCACCAGGAAAGACAGTCACCAACGGTTGATCGATGCATGCTACTTCGCTAAAAAAGGTCCTGTTCACAGCATAAGCTCTTGTTGCGATGATCATTTGTCTGGTAAGCCAGGAGAAACATACCGCTCAAAGATGACGATGGCCCACCATGTATTTGCTGCTTCCTCAGCCTGCAGCAGAAGGTCGCTATTTGTATTCTTGCCAGCTATATGTGTCATCTGGGCTTTGTGACGGTCACGAGCGTGGATACGGGCGGCGTATGCCATCCGTGCACTGCCTGCAATAGTCACAAATGCATCGTCCGGTCGGCCGTGTGTGTATTCATACATAGCTAACAAAAGACTAGTCTGGACTAGAGGGACGGACGGTGGGCAAGATACCTGGACCTGGGCAAATAGAGACCTCGCAATGAGATAGAGGGTCTGCTGTTCGACGGGTCGAGGGGCTTCATGACTGTGTTCGTACCCCAATGCAGGAGCATGCGTGATAAGACAGATAGTCAATAGCAAGACGGAAAAGTCGGCAGCTCGAGCTGTTCCCAGCGTGATGAGGTTGTTGTAGAAGCGCGTACGAGAGATTATGGGCAGATGGAGGTGGAAACTTCGGAAATAGCGAGTGCTGATATCGTCAACAAACTGGCCTGTTGAACGAATAATATTTTGGACCTCACGATACACTTGGTCGCTGTTTCTCTGAGTCAGCCATATGCTAACTTAGACACACGGTCGATAGCTAAGCTCTAATTTTTGACAACGGAAAAGGATAACTAAACTGAGGCTTAGTCTGGCCTGACGATAACTTTGGGGATATGACCATGTGAGAGGAGAACATATCCACAGGCGGCCGTGCACCACTGGGGTTCTCGTCGGTAGAAGCAGTACGGTTCCACGGGCTTGATATTGAAGCGTAAAAACAGTCTAGCTTCTTCCTACTTCAAATCTCAGCAGTGTTAATCATGATTCACGCTTAGGCAACAAACTGGGTGCAATATCCGCAAGACGGCAACAGTTTGTTGCACTTTTTCTTTCGCGTCTTACAGATCACACATGCGTGTGCGGCTTGAGGGGCACGTTGTCGACCGCTGTCGGCCGCCATTCTAACAATCTGTGTCTGGGAACCAACGAACTAAAGCTTCAGATGCCTCGAATAGATGTCCGGAGAGCAATGATGACAGTAAAAGCCTGAGATGCTGTCGGATGCTGGCCGACACTGTCGGGCTCTGTCGGCTGCTAAGCCAAAAACGGCAAAAGCTGGAACAGAGGCGTTATTATGTACGTAATGCCAGCATGGAATGACGAAGCGGTTATTGGGCAGTTATATGCGCTTAATGATGTCACGATAAGGGGGAATGGATTATAAATCACTTGATGTTGACGGCGTGCGAACATCTATATGTAGCTTCAATGCATTGGAATGGAAAAAACAAAAAAAAAAAAAAAAAAACCACAATCAACACTTAGACATATATCAACAACTTCTTGTCAATCAACATGACAATCTCAGACTGCTGCATCAAGGGCTTCTCGTGGCAAGGCACCCCCACTGGGCGCATCGACAAACTTGCTGGTAACGATGTCTACATATCGGGCGACAACGCCGAAGTCGCCATCCTGTTTATTTCTGACCTTTTCGGCTGGAAATTTCCTAATGTCCGTCTCCTTGCAGACCACTTTGCCCGCGAAGTTGGAGCAACAGTCTACGTACCGGATTTCTTTGGCGGCGAGGTTCTAGACGTTGATCTCATTGCCGCAGAGAAATTCGATCAGCTCGATCTTCCAGGGTTTCTGCAGCGAAATGGCCGTGAGCAGCGCGAGTCCGAGATTTTTGACTGTGCACGTACTTTGAGACAGCAGCATGGATATAGAAAAGTTGGTGCTGTGGGATACTGCTATGGCGGGTGGGCGTCGCTTCGACTCGGGGCAAAGGAGCACGCAGCTGCGCCGCTGGTGGATTGTATTTCGGTTGGCCATCCGTCACTTGTCAAGAAAAGCGATATTGCCGAACTCAATGTTCCCGTGCAAGTACTGGCACCGGAAATTGATCCGGCTTTCTCCCCGGAACTCAAATTGTATACGTTTGAGACGTTGCAGCAGCTGAATATACCGTTCGATTATCAGAATTTTCCAGGAGTCGTACATGCTTGTTTTATACGTGGCGATGAGAACAAGCCTGGTGAAAGAGCCGCGATGGAGAGAGGGAAAAATGCGGCTGTTGGATGGTTGAGACAGTTCTTGAATTAGGGCTGAACTTGAAGTTGTCCAAGCGACAATAGATTGGTTTGCATCGACAATGTAAATATCATTTTTTGTTCACTCTCACTATACTACACGCTGTGTATTATCATATATAAATTCGCTTTGATAAAACTCAGATTCAAAATCTTAGTACATTTATCTAATATAGAACTAATCGAGTAGTAGCCAATCAGCACGCGCCTTGTATATATTTTGACCCACCGTGGAGGGACATCACGCGCTAATCCATTTTTAGAACCGATAGCGATAGCAGAAAGAGAAAAAAAAGATGCCGCGGGGCACTTCGCGATCATCACTCTTGTTCTTTGCTTGTTTAAGACGTTTCAACTATTTAGACTCTTGCTTTATTTATCCTTTCCAACCCGCGCTTTGGTATTAGCATCGGGCCATGAATGCAGCTTCTCATGTTACGGTGCCCTCTTCTGATATGAACAGTTGTTGATCGTCCGTCAGAGCTGTATACCTCCAGTCTGTCAAAACACTGCTTGGCTTGTTGCTCACAATGGCGCGAGAAATATCATCGTCTCCAACAATACCTACCCATTTAAATACGATATACGACGACGAAGCGTCGAAGTCAAAGCACGATCCCATTCGCATCCGCACTACGGATCAGCTCCTTCACGGTTCCCTTGCGCAGGAACTCCTAACCCTCGGATCCAAAGACTTGCCATCTGAAATAAAAGCGATTACTCAGGGTGACAAATGTTTCACACAGACTGTCGCGGATAGAGTGCGAAAAGCTGTGGCAGCGGTAGGACAAAAAAGCAATAACGACCATGAATTACTTTCACAGATATTGCACGTCGGGTTGGCGGCACTTTTCTACTTTTTGCAGTCAAATGTCACCGGCCCACCCTTAGAATTCGATTCGGCGACTGTCGTGTTTGGACAAGACATTGCGGGCGATGTTTCGGCGCTTAATGCGATGCGACAGAAGATGCTGAGGGATTTGTCTGTGGATGGAGAAGCTGTCTACCCGCTTACGCCGAATATTGAGCTATTTTGTGTCGCGAAGGCTATCTTAGTTGACGCAGAAGTATTGGTAAATGATGAGTCGCCTCTAGTTGCCCGGACGGCCCGGATGAGGGTGAATTTCTTGCACCAGAAGATGCTGGGTGAGGTAACAGGAACAATGCAGAAAGTAGTTTACGATGATCTCGACACAATATCTTCGGTTGTACTGCGTGATAAATCAGACTCGACTGGCGCCATGAAGGCAGCATTTCTACTCGAACGAGCCGCAATACATACACACCACGGACTAGACACCAAGGCTAGATCTGATCTGGACAAAGCAGCTTTGGCGTCTGGCTTTCAATATGCTCTTACTGGAAAGCTAGGGAAACGAACGAAATTTCAAGATAGAGATATCAGTCAGCTTGTCGTTTTAGCCTTGAGCTCTGATACAGAGTTTACTGCAGGAACTACAGTGACGAAAGAAGAACCGGAGACGTCGGTACCAAAAGCTCTAGACCTCAACGACGACACCCTTCTTGAGACAATCGCCTTTGCAAAAGAAGGGGCAAAGCCTGAGAAGTCCACAACCGTCCAAGGCGAGTACTCCTTGCCCGCTGGATTGGCGTCGATTGATCCTTCGAATCAACCGAAACTTAACCCTTTGGACTCCGCAATACTCCTCGCTATGGCATCTGCTATTACAAACAATTCTCCCGAGCACGGATTAACTCGTGAAGAAACACTCCCATATGCGACACGTGTTATCGATGGTGGCAGTCCAAATTGGCAGATTTACACACAAGCACTTCTTGTTCGGAGCCGATGTGAGGCCTATAAATCACGAACGGTCGAGAGAGGCGTTCTTCAAATGCAAGCGCTCGTTGATCAGGTTATTGCTGATACAGCAACCACAAACTCGGCTGTGGTAACGAGCAACACTGTTACTAACGAACAACAACAAAGCCAACCCGCAACTTTCCTACCTCGACCTCAAGAGTCAGAGTCTGCGCCTGCCGAGGAGCGATTGGAATATCTATGGACGCTCAGCTTCCAGACAAGGTGGAATCTTGAAGCAGAGCTTGCACAGAAATGGGTTAGCTTGGGTGCCTTGAGGACAGCTCTGGACATCTACGAAAGACTGGAAATGTGGGCCGAAGTTGCGTTGTGCTATGCGGCGACTGAGAGAGAAGAAAAAGCGAAAACGGTCACTCGGCGTCAATTGTACCAGCGTACAAATGTGGATGCGGTCGATGGCGATGATAGCGAATCATACGAAGGGCCCGAGTTATCACCCTTACCGGCAGATGCACCGCGTTTGTTCTGCATCTTGGCTGACATTGATGCTGAACCAGCTCTATACGAACGAGCTTGGGAGGTTTCTGGTCAACGTTATGCGCGAGCCCAGCGGTCGCTTGCCAGGCTATATCTCAAAGCTCAGCCTCCTGCTCTCGACAAAGCGGAGGAAGCATACAGGAAGAGTTTGAAAATAAACCCGCTCAATCACGGCGCTTGGTTTGCAATTGGCTGCGTGCAGTTAAATCGTGAGCGATGGAATGAAGCTATTGAATCATTTACTCGCACAGTGCAATTGGAACAAGATGATGCTGAGGCGTGGAGCAACCTTGCTGCAGCACTGCTCCATGTTTCTTCCTCCAATGACAAACCTTCTGAGAGCACTACTACTTCAAAAGAGAAGGGAGACACGAAAGACGCAGAAGGCGAAGACGTCAAAGAAGTGGACCCGTACAAACACACCCGCGACGCCCTCACAGCTCTCCATCATGCTGCCCGACTTAAACAAACTGATCATCGCATCTGGGACAACATAGTTACAGTAGCAGCCTCGCTGCCTCCCCCAATAACACCTTACAAGGACATTGTCCTCGCTCAACGCAAGGTCATTGAACTCGTATCCCCGAAGAGAGGCGAGAAGTCCATTGATATACCCATCCTGGGCATGTTGGTAGATCACCTTGTGGACAATTACGAGTATTCGGATCTTCTCATTCCTATTGAGGACGGCAGTAATCAGAAGATTCTACGCAGTGGGACAGTGGCAGGTCAGATTCTAAGTCTTATCGACAACGTTGTGGTGCCTTTGATCACCCACTCTGCTCCACTCTGGATCATTGTTGCTAGGGTAGAGTTATTCCGTAATCGACCCAGCAAAGCTTTTGCAGCACATGAAAAGGCGTGGCGTGCCACGGTGTCTTCGTGCACTCAGGGTGCCTTCCAGATGGGAGATGAGAAGAGGTGGATGCAGATTGTTAAGGCCACTGAACGACTCGTGAGGGACGGGTATGCGAAGATAGGCGGCATGACGAAAGAGAAAGAAGAGGGGGATAAAAATGGTGAAGTAGAAGAAGAAGAGCTGGTTGCTCCGGACTGGAGATTTAAGAGCAGGAGTGCAGTGAGGGGGATTTTGGGTAAAGGCAAGGATTGGGAAGACAGTGAGGGTTGGATAAGGCTCAAAGAGCTGCAATCAGAGGTTTCCGGATAGAGATATTGGAGAGGTATATACTCGGTGGGAGGTATATGGATATAGAGATAAACTAACATCTTTGAATGAAGACTTCAGCTGTGTCGCTAAGTACACGACTTATAAGTCCAAGCATATGTATATGATCACGAATATGACAGTGGAAAAAGAAAAATCCACTCGTGGACTGACCCTTAATGCAGGTGAAAATACTAATATCCATGCGCAACGCATCAAGAAAGCCATTATCGACGGTGGCGAGTGCCCGTCCTATAAATTCAGGCAGGAAATAATATCCATACGGGGAACCCCTTCAAAATCATAATCAGTTTCTTTCAGTTTAATAAGCAAATTATTCTCCGGATTTCTAGAATAAATATAGTTTTTCTATATTATATAAATAAAAAGAGAGATAGTAAAAGAGATAAGCTTAAAACCCTAAATTGACTTCACTTGATCTACCCGTTCCTTCCCGAAATGGCAGTCCACGTAAGAAAATAATATATACAGCTTGCTTTACTCGAACTTATTCTCAAGGTAGTTTGAAATCATTCATTGAATTCATTCTATCTATATGACTTTGAGTTGTAGTACATGCCAAACAATCTGGTACAGAACGTTTTCCCCCTCCATCAAATACGAGGTAGCTAGGTATGATTCTATTGTGCTTTTTATGTTTTGCCCGCCTTTTTGCCCGCTTTGAATCCAGTATTATATTATTATGTTTTATTTGGGCGATTCGAGATGATATATATGTCGAGCCTAAAGGCACAATTAGCATATTTCTTCACGAAACATTTAGTAGTATGCGTATGCTATGCTCACCCATTCAATCGCTCATTATCGTCGTCATCGTCAAATGGAGAAGTGAACTAGGATTTGGATGAGTGACAGTTGTTGCAGCGATTGTAGCCGCAGATCTTGCAACGCCAAATGGCAACAAATGGACCAGAGTTGCAATCGGAGCAGCGCCAGGTAAGAATGTTGCCATTGGTCGTTTGGATGATGGTGAAGACATGACCGGAGCATTGGTTGGCCATTATGGTTGATTTTGGATGTTATCTTCTTGGAATAGGAAACTGGAGACTCTGAGAGACTGTTAGTGAGTGCGAAGGAGTGAATCTGGAAAAAATAGTCGAGGTTGGTGTACCTGTTTGGTATGGCCGTGGACTAAAGTGACTGAGAGGGAAAAGATAGAAGAGAGATGTTGGCGAGTTCTATTGTTCAAGTCAGACTGAATCAAGCAAGTATATTGAAAGTAATGAAGGGTAATGAAGAAGAATGCAGAGCCATATGACGCTTCTAAGGCCGAGGGAAGTTTCTCACATTCTGTTCTGACCTGAAGCAAATGAAATGACTTTTTTTTCTCACGTGGTGTTCTGTTCCTGCTGCTGTTCCTGCTGCTGTTCCTGCTGAAATCTCGATGAGCAGGGGGAAAAGCTTCCCTTTATAGACAGCCACCTGAACTCGTCCTGGTGAGAGCAGTTGAAAGGGAGTGGTCTGTTTGTACGTAGATCCTGTCTGTAAACCACACACGGATACACAAGTCGTATGTGTACAACAGGCAGGCGGATTCAACACTGTTCTCCGAAGAATTTATTTTTTTATTTCTTTACAAAAAGAAAAAAAAAAAAAAAAAAAAAAAGGAACAGTGCCAAGACTAAGCAGATCACAGATATCAGAACGGTCTTTTCCAGTCGATACTTAAACCGCTCACAGTACGTATCCGATCCAGATCCTCTCCGAGCTGACGTCCTACTTCGAGTAAGATAGTATTGGTGATGGTGCTCAAGATAGTTCAGCTGGTGGCATTGCTTCTTCTATCGTGAAAGGAGGCGGAGCAAGCACGTAGAATGTGTTGAGACTTCATCAATCAACATGGAGAACGATGGATACGCGAGGCGATCCACCATGCAAAGCAATTACAATCCTGGCTGCATCATGTCTGTTGGGAAGTCAACGGGGGCCTCTAGGACGAAGTGGTAGATGAATTATAGGGAGCAGAAAAAGAAAGAAGTTGATATCCGTCTAGACTACATATTGGATAACTGCCCAGTAGCAATAGGTTATAGGTACCCAGTAAAGAGCAAATGCATTCCGTACAACCCCCCCCCCCCATAAAAACTGTCATCCCCTTCTTCCCCCTTCCAAACAGGCCAAGAGCACCAACACTTTTTGTGGTAGTACCACAGTTCTGGTTCTGATGGGTCTCGCGCTAGACTATTAGACTAGATACTAGGCAGTAGGCAGTCCGTGCTATGACGAAGGGAAAAAGAACTAATCCAGTGATCCACTGTCTGGTTTTCGGTTTCTGGGCCCTAGTCCCTGCAGAGAGATGGGTCTTTTCTGTTCGCTAAGCGATTAGCTTGCGTGAAAGGAAGAATGGTTTACGGCAATTACGACAAGCCCTGGTTAGATCTGTCTATGTATTGGTTCTTTAGTTTTAGAACGAAGCAAGTGTTTGCCTATATAATATCTAGTTTGGAAATTAGTGCGCACCTGGTCGTATTACTTCAAGCCTGGAATGCTACTAACTATGGCTGCCATGATCCATCATTATTATTTACTTTTAGCCTGACATAGAGTTGGCTCCGTAATCCGTAATAATTCAAACTGGCCTTGTTGAACAAAGGGCATTATTTCATAATTTTCCTGTGGCAGTGAAACAAAGTCGATCCCTGACTCAATCCAGTTTCTGTTTGCACTTCCTAGCTGATAGGCCACATCCCTGTTTCAAAATCGTACCGCGCCGATCTAGAAGGGGATTAATTCCAGCCAGCCGAAGAGGAAAAAAACGGTGAAAGAAAGTGGATTTGCAGTACGCCGTACTTACCGGTAATGCTATTACCCGCCAATTACACGCCCCCGGGGATACGGTTCCGATTGCACTAGTAATTTAGGGTGTTTGCTTACGTCTGCGGCCGTAACTTTACTATATCCGTCTCGTCTTATTGCTCGTCTGTTCTCCTATGATCTGCTTATAATATTAGATACATCTACCGGGACTTCGTGGTCTTGTTAGAGAATCAGCCAGCCATGTGCTCCTTGTTCTATTGTCGTACATACTATTCCGGGTTTCAATCAGAAGTGAAGCAAAATCCTGCCCGTCAAGGCTTGTGAAGCTATTCAAACAAGTAGAGAGGTGATATGACGATACAGCCATACTACTGCACGCTCTAATATTTATGCTCCATAGCTCCCTCTCCGACTTGTCCCTTTTCTGCTACCTGCAGCATTCGAGATTGACTCCGTAGTGAGTGAGTTTAGTGTTTCCCCTAGAAATCAAGGATGGCCCGTCTAGTGCCACCAATCTTAACTAGCTATCCTTAGTATACTAAGGACCAGATTCGACTAGTTCCACGTCCACGCTTGCCTGTCAGTTCCATTTATTGGACGTAACGGTTGGAAATAGATAACTGCTCGTTCCACCTCTAACATCCTAGCGCGTGATATCTAAACTAGATACGGCGTAAGTTAGATATAGACGCCGCCGGACGGTGGTTAAGTGGGTTTTGTCATCACTGACTGAAGAAGCTGGCTCCTAGAGCTAAATCTAAGCCGAAATATCCTTCCAGCTGTATGGCGTACGGCGTGAGCACTAGCTAGTTACATAATAGCAGTTGAAAGTTGAAAACGTCGGACTACATAGTACAGATTTATCATTCGCCTTGTGGTTGCTTTCGTCTTGGCACCAATTATGGTAAGAGGAGGGAACTTACAGCCCCTGAAACCAATAAGACATAACGTAGTATTATTGCGGAAATGATTCCAGTTACTCTGTTACACTGAGGAGATCTAAATACTTAAGAGAAGCTCGTTTCATCACTCTGTGTTGTGTATGTACCACGCATGATGTAGTTTGTACCAATACCTAAGTACGAATTGCCTCCGCCAAGAGTTCTCCTATGGCAGTTAAATGAGTTAAAATCAAACTGGCACACCAAATCAAGCACTCGAAGCAAACGGCGGGCATCCGGTATCAGGGGAACCCCTGCTTTGCATCTCACCGTTGGCAGCTCGATACGTTGAGCTCGGTATACCAAATGGTCTTGAAGACGAATGAAATGCTACGCAGAAAGGCAAAATAGCAAGGAAAAAGCAATTCGCAACTGGATAGCGTGCAGCTAACAATTGATTGGTTGATTTTCTGGCTATATGTATGACTCCGTGCTTCCCAAACTCCATGGGTATACGCATCCCGGAGATTGGGAACCCAACCACATCAATGCGTGTTGACAGGGATCATACTTCTATCGGACATCCTATGAACATGTGACGCCACAAACCCTTTTTCGGGTGGGGAATAAAAGAAATCTAGGCTAGGTTTGATATATGTAAATGAAATGCAACTCCTTGCCGCTTTTACGTGATATCACATGAATAAATGTACTCGCATCACTAACCAATGCTGAGCACTTGTCCCAGGACACGGGCTAATTTTGACTCACACGAATTGAGAAGGAATAGATGGTGGGATAATAGTCACTTCCGGAGAGAACGAAAGACAAAGTCAAGACTAATTAATCGATTGCCTATTCGGTGGTTCGTCGTGAGAGTAGGAATTGTGATTGCAGTTTAATATCAGAAGAGTAGCTCGAATTGGTCATTCGGGTTATGCCAGGCTATTTACATTCCCAAACTTTGCGGCGGGTATTTATTGTAAGAATACGTGCATATTTACTGCGAAGAGAATTTTGCGTTTTATGGTCCATAGCCGGAGGAACTCAGACAGGTTTTAAGCAGCTAGTATAGTATCTCCACTGGATTGTCCGAGCTGGCGAAGTAAACTTATTCTTGGTCGCATTTCCATGTCGCTGTCGCTTTTTAAAGCGGACACAGCTTAAAATAATCATTGGCTTTGCCCACGAAGAATGCAAAGGAACTCTTATACAGGGGCCAGCAACTTAACACAAAGCACATTGGATCTGTCGGCGGGAGGGGCTTGAGAACAAATTCATGATTTCCGGGCAGGGGATCCGTTCCATGGCATCGAATGTATGGGAATTCGCTGTATCTGGGGGCAAAGGCACAGACTACGATTATGTATAAGCAATACACTATACAAAATGGTCATCAGAAACTGCACGCCCCTATCGATCTTTCCCATTATCAAATGCTTCGCCACGGCAATACACTTGATGAGTATATTTGTTAAATTAGCAGGTGTACGATGCTCACTGAACAGTCAATGAGGCCCCAAATCCTGCTCAGTGAGAGATACTTGAACCGAACTGAGCATAAAGCGGCATGATATTCGGCGTCTTAGCGTCGTACATTGCTTTTTCCAAGTACCTAGGTATTAAGTACATGCTACATGGTACTTGCATATCATGGACGGTATGAAAACTTGGATTGAACGTGGCAAGCGGTCTGTATCTCTATACTCTTTGTTGACTTGTTGTTTGGATTTGTTTTGATTAATATTTTTGTCGGCCAATTTCTTCATCCTGTATATGGAATGTCTCGTACCAACAACCTAGACACCTGGCTGCCTAGGTTCTGAAGACCTAGAAAAAATTTACCTTTGGATTTATAGTCATTCTTTCATTTAGGAAAGTGTTCTCGAGCTCTGTTACACAGAAACGACACATATGAATATACCTGGGGTCATACAGACATGTGCATCCACAAACAGTCGGTGTATGTATGCAACCTTCCGCTGGCATGCTCTTTCTCCCTAATGGAAGTAGTATTCAGTTGGGACTACGTTCTTTTCCTTTGGCATTCGGTTTTACATGCAACGTCGGATGTTCAGGTGTAACTGTATATGTCATTTCGGTTCAGCACGCCCATAGAATCGCCTTTCCGCTTCTTTTAATGACGGATCATTTCAATCGAAGGCACGGTAATTTACTAACTAACAATGGCCAGCTGAATACAGGCATCAAATTACCTACCTAGGCAAGTAGATCTGCTCTAATATCTAATTAGTTGGACGGAAAAGTCGATCCTCCTCCGGGTGCCCTGCTTAGTTGATACATCTATCCCTGTCAATAATACTAGCGTTCTCCCGACCCCATGACGTTGAGTGATGCATCAGATCGCCGCAAGCGACAGGGGCTGCACGGGCTCAGGGCTGTCAGGCAGAAGACCCCTGTCTCTCGGCTATTTTTCTTTTCTGGGGTTTCTTCCGCATTTTGGCCTGTTATTGATTGGCTGATGTGAGAATTCCGGAGTCACAATAAACGAAAAAGAAAAACACGGAGTATCTCGGTTTTACTGGTTTTTGGGGCGATGGACGCCTTTGCAATAGAAAATCTACATAATGTGCGTGCAAGACTAGCTGCTATCCTTCAGGGCATGATGAGCCGATCTTAGGGCAACATGAGTTGGAGGGCTAATGGCACCTATGTATGCTAGCAAACGCGTAACTACAGCGACGGCTCGGACTCCTTGGTCTTACACACCGCTTGGTTGTTCCTGAGCACCTCCAACTCAACTCAATGTACGTACATTTAGGCACACGTATACGATAGTCCAATCCAAATTATTGAACTAAATTGTTCGCTAATCATGGGCCAGTGCATTCGAATGCTCTCTGTGAGGCTAGGCGAATACCTCACTGGTCGCTCACAAAATCATGTAGCAAACCCCCTGACTCTCCGAAATTTGAGAGTGTAGTTACATAGCTAACTAGAAGAAAACATTACTTCAGGTGAAGTGCCTTCGATCTCGGAAGTAAAAGGGGTATGAGTGCTGATAGGGTTAGGGTTATTCTCGGTATAGATTTTATTCCGAAGATATCGTGATTCATTCCGTGACCCTAATCTCGGAATAACGGGAAAGAGCACGCACGCCATGAGTCAACGCGCGGATTCTATCTTCTATTTGCATTAGGTGAACAACGACTCATACCTTGAAGGCATTCCTCAGAGAGGCTCTATTCCTATATGTGCAATGCTGCGTCGCAATGGCAAACCCACCTCTTGCGAACCTTGCCGAGTAGCGAAGGTGAGGTGCGATCATTGTACTCCGGTATGCCGACGATGCAAGTTGAAAGGCATTGCCAGCCAAGTATGTTGATTCCTCTGCCTGATAACGCCCGACATTCAGAGATTGACCTATCCTTCAGTGCTACTACCATCCTGCTCCTTTAACTAAAGCAAAGACCCAGAGTGACGGCGCTTCCCCTGTTTCAGCACGCCCGCCTAAGCCCAAACGCTCAGTCCGGTCAAGCAGGCAGGAAGATATCACCACTCATATCCACACACTAACAGATGCTCAGAGGAGGGATACATCCCCACCGGCATCTGATGCCAAAGTCTCGAGCCACTCAAATTTCCTTGGTACTACCGGCTACTTGGGTGTGTTCAGAGAGACACCCTGGTGGGGATCGCGAATATCATGGAATGGCTCTCTCCAAACCGAATTTGAACACTGGCGAACAAACCAAACATATACATGTGCACGACTAGTCCGCCTAATTTGTGCCGTAGGATTTTACCGCAAGCATATTACTTGGTACTATCAGCGAGGACGATTCACCATCATTCCCGCGCCTTTGGTTCTCGATTCATTGAGCTTGGTACAGGAGCACGTCGAGAAAAATGCCTGGAACCAGGAAGGCAATTGGAAAGATATCTATGAGCGAATTACTGCTACCACGTCACAACCACTAGAATTTTCCAGTGACACCTCAGCGGAAGAGTTTTATTCTCTCTATACAGGGGAGAATCTCCGGTGGGAATTCGTCGGGTTCATGTTTGCTTTAGCCGGAGGTAGCGTGCAGCGTCGATACAAAGGCAATCATGTTTTGGACTTGGGAAATGGCGAAGAAATGGTCGCCGACACTTTCACGAAAGAGATGGTGCTTGCGACCAACGCTTGCATGGAGATATGCAGGCAGCTTGGACACGTCAATGACTTGATGATTTGGATGCGACACACTTATTGCCTCGTAGGATCGGAAGTTTTAGGTGAAACCAGTACGTTTCTTTCTTCTATTATCTCCATTCACAATTCTGCAACTTTAGCCTTGGCCTTTTTCCGAGACAGACATTTTGGCTAATTGCAATAGGTGAGAGAGTATACAATGTTTTCGGCGACATCGCATCAAACGTTTATGCTATGGGCCTGCATAGGGACCATTATTCTGCTAATGTTCCTTTCTTTCTTTCCGAGACACGGAAGCGAGTGCTCGCGGCTATACACAAATCCGATAAGAATGGGGCAACGTTCCGTGGACGACCACCTCGCCTACCATATCAATACTGCGATTTCGCTCTTCCATTGGATTTAGCCGATGATCAGCTTTTTCTAGATGAGAAATCTATACGAGTTGCCCTCAATGGGCTTGATGACGAAGGCTGGAACTCCCAGGGGCAGTTCTACCCGGCAACCATAATACGCATGCGCCATATCGTAACCACTCTTGGAGAGAAAATGCTTGGGCTTTCTCTAGGTTCTAGAACCATGAGTTATCACCAAGATCTTTTGTAAGATGACTCACCATTGGTTTTAATATGTTGGACCGTGAGACTAACATGCGTGCACGATAGGGAAACACATCAGTTGTGTCAGCAAACTTGGGACAGAATTCCGGTGCGGTTCCGCTACAGTTCAGACTGTTGGCAACAAAAAGACCATCTTGAATGTCTTGCTAGAGCAATTGTATACCTTGATTTTCTCTCAAATGTCTTTCAAATACAACGAATTCGGCGCCAAGAGGAGCCGGAGGCAACGAAAGACCTGCTTGATACTTCAATGCAGTTGTTATCAGTTATTATTGACATGATAAAACAAGTTCAGCGGCACGAAAATATAAAACAGATTCCATGGATTGTATGCTCTGCCTCTTCATCTACTGACACAAATTGCCTAACTTCGTGCTAGCTTTTGATTTATGGTATCCCAGCCGCAAAGGTACTCGTTACCGAAGTGCATCGCCACACTGTTTCAAACCAGCCTCTTCCATCATCTTCATCTCGTTCAGAGATAATTCGGAACCTCAGTTTTCTAATCTCGTGGGTTGAGACTTCGGGAATGTCACCGTCTGTCACCGGCGCCGCATGCTTGGAACTCACAAAGTTGATCGGCAGGCTTCTCGATGAGGCGCTTAATTACCAGACTCCTCATTTTCCTCCTTCTTCCTTAGTAGGCGCCACAAACCTGCAAGAAGTTGATAAGTTGGGTCTTGTTACTCTCGCTCAAAGCACTGTCCCTGCCCAGATCACTACTGATGAGGCTATGAATCGATCAGAGTCTCAGAACCAGCTTCAAGGACTGATAGATCTCGGAGTAGGGGACGACGCATTCCTTGGGTTGGGATGTGGTTTTGCGAGTGATCGGTTCAATTGGCTCGATGAAATTGAGTTGGAAACAGATATGGGCCCTTGGAGACTCTGATATTGGGCCATTGCCGATGGTATGTAATCAGACAACGTTGTGAGTTATACTAGCATCTGTCATTTTGATATATCTGCATAGTATTATGAGTTTTCACTGCACAATGAACACTTCGAAGCATAAATACATTTGACGCATCAGTTTGTTCAAGGGCGTAGCTGAATGGAGAGATAGAGCACACATAAAGCCATCGGCGACAAGAGAATCTGCACGAAGCGGTGAGGATGGTTCTGTACAACCCACCCATTTCACCCAAGTCATCCGATCTTGCCTACATAAGAAAGGGTGACCACCAGGTACGTGCTAAGGACGAAAATTCAAAATTCAATGCATAAAGTAGTACACACAATGCATACAATGCGTCCAAGTGCCGAAGTTGACAGAGCGTTCTTTTTTCCTATTCTGGTAATTGCTCGGGTGCGCAGGTGATCATCCGACATGATCTTGATTGATTTTCGTCCGCATACACCTCGTGACAACAAGCATACATTCTTGGCTTATAGGCAAGTCCTATTCCAACTTTGAGTTGGTCTTACCTGTTATCCTAGACCTATGCCAGTCTGGACAGGGGCCTGGTTACTGCCTTTATTGAAATACCAACCGTTGATTTGGAAATTGGCTTCAACAAAAGGCACAAAGTGAAGGACCACGTTGTGAAATTCGAAATTTTTAATTCACAATGTATAACTATGCGGAAGTACTTCTTCAGCTGCCGGTGGAGACAACACTTGTCGGCTTTTGGGCTGTAAATAAATACTCTGTACCACGATGAGAAAGACTGGACATTGGAAAAACAGGAAATGAAAATGAAGATTTATCAAATAATTCATTGGTTATATTCATCCTCTACATACCTACGTAAAATATCATTACACATCCATATGTCCGAAGAGTTCTCTTGCATCGCTTCCATTGACCCGAAGATCCGAAAACGATGCCTTCGTTCTCCGTACAAAAGCCCAAGTAATATCCATCAATATACTACTAGAAGTAGCAATAAAAACGAAAGACACCACACTGGGCTTCTGTTGTATGTATTCTTCCAACGCTCCGTTAAGAACACCCTAGTTGAGTAATCAATGGCAAGATGTTCCTGCAGGACCCTTAGTGGACCTGCATCGTTGGTTCAAATCAATGGGTAGGTATTTGATTTTAATGAGGATGAAGATGAAAAAAGAAACCTGCAGATAATCTTCAGGTGGAGACTTAAGATTTTTTCACGCTTGTCATGATGCCCTAGCATGAGAGTAAAGAACCGAGGAACAAACTAAAGACTGAAGTCTGCTGTTTGAAAGGGGAAAAATTCAACAATCATCTGCACGAGACTGTCATAAAGCCATGGAGCCGTGTGCTCTTGTCATAATGTAGATAGGTTGCAAATAGAACATACAGTATCTTGTGACACCTATTTATCGTTAGGAATATCATAAATTCGTCCAGTAGACTGGTCTAATCGGCCAATTGAAAGAGAGCAGAAATGCTGAGAAGTATGTCAGTAAAAACTCCAAAATTCCTTGTTTAGGAGCGTAGCTAACCTTTCACCGTAATGGTGACGTCGGATGCTCTCTGACATTAGCGTAGACACATCGATAACGGTCAACTTCTTCGACAGACGCATCTTCTCAGGAGGAATGGGGAAAGAATTAGTGACGACAATATGATCAATCACGTCACAATTCTCCAAGTCTTCCAAACAATTCTCGCCAAAGAGCCCGTGTGTAGCAATACAGTACACTGTTTTTGCACCGCCCCTCCTGACAACTGTTTCCGCCGCAGCAATCCACGAGCCGCTTCGGTCAATCATATCATCAACAATGAAAACGGGCTTATCCTTAACATCCCCTACTAGTGTAATCGTTCTTTCACCCGGATCACTGGACCGTGCGGGTGTATCATCGTCATCCGACTCTGCAGCATCATACGTGCCCCCAAGAGCATGATCTTCATGCGATGAAAGAATCGAGATCAGAGAAGAAGCCATTGGATCATTCATCGTACCATCGTCATTTTCTGAACTGGCTGGCGGAACAGGAGTGGCATCTTGTGAATCGCTAACAAGGTAATCATCGTCGACAAGATGTCCTTGGACAATGCGGCCTGTGATCACTTCACGAGCTTTTTCATCAATTGTGTATTCTGCGGCTTCTAATTCAGAAGGTCTTCGAGCAGCAGGAGGTGTCTCTGGTCTCAGAGTATCGTACGATTTTGAGACCAAATAATCATCCACGGCGGTCTCTTCTTGGGCTTGATCATCAGCAGGCCGTTCCACTGTTCCAGCATTTGAAAGATTTCCTCTTTCGATAGTATCAAAGAACACTACGCTATCAGTCATGGATGTATTGACCTTAGGCCTGCGACGGTCTGTTGTGACAATGCTAAAGTTGAGCTTCAAGGTATCCGCAAGCGAGGTCACTCGTTTTGTACCGCCTGCATTCTTGCTAACGACGACGGCAGTTTTCCAGCTGGGCACGTTCATTCGAATCCAGCGGGCAATCAAGGGTTCTGCGAATAGATTGTCGACGGGTTTAGCAAAAAAGCCTTGCATTTGCGATGCCTAATAAGATTATGAGAAGAGGTTAGACACTCAAGCACGTAAAAGTCGTGGCAAGCTAAAAAGGACATACATGTAAGTCTAGAGTAATCACATGATCAACACCAGCGATGGTAAGCAGGTTTGCAATCATTCGAGCAGTGATAGCACCTCGGTGGCTTTTTTTCTTTGACTGCCGGGAATAGGGAAAGTAACTTTGATGAAGGTGAGATGGAGAACTCAATTTTTTTCATTGTTCAAGAAGCAGGATAAACGTACGGCATGACAGCTGTACAGTTATTTAATAAGTCATGTGTTTTGGTTGAGCAATTATTTCGGGGTCATACCAGTAATGGTCTTCGCTGATCCACCTTTGCAGGCAGAGATCATGATCAAGAGCTCCATCAGACTATCATTGATCTTGCTGCTTCCACTCTGGACAATATAGACATCCTGGTTCCGAACAGAGATGCCAATGTTGACCAGGGTCTCGCCATTGCTGAATTTCCTGAGCTCAGCAGGTGCGGGGACAGCTCCCAGACGCTCGCAGATGGAGTCTGTCAAGGTCGGGTGGGATGTCCCTGAAAAGATCTGCACGCCGCGCATGGTGGTTTGTGCCAGTTAGTCGGAGTAGATCACCCAGTGTCCCAGCTCATGGAGGAGAGTTGAAAAATATAAGAAGTTGTCCAGTAAAGATTGACATCTTCAATGGAGAAGAAAGAAGGTTGAGACAGAGAGAGAGGAGAGGAGAGGAAAGAGCAAAGAGGGAAAAATTTCCAACTGCGGGATAGAGCGAGCAGTGGTCCGTGCACGCTCTTTTTTCGGAGTCTCTGGGCCAATCGTGTTCGCCCGGCACAACAACTACAACTACTACCACAACCACAACCACGAGCAGTCAAGGACAGCGTCGGTGTCTCCGAGATGTCGTCAAAGCAGTTTCCCGAAGTGCAAGGAGGAGGTTCTCTCATTGTTGCCTGGCAGGTCAGGAACAAGCATGTCTTGGTCGTCGGAGGCGGAGAGGTGGGGGTTTCCTCTTGCTCAGTACCTTGATGAACATATTGGATGGGACTGATAGTTCTCCTTCTTCGAGCTTGAAGCTAATACGCGAAAAAAAAAAACCAAAAACATTTAGGTAGCTGCAGGCCGTATACTGCATGCCCTCAATGCCGATGCCGCAGTGACTGTCGTTTGCCCAAAGTCTGGTCTGAATGAAGAAGTCGCCTACCGCGTTGCGCAGAACCAGGTGTCCTATATCGATCGCACCTTTGAACCTCAAGATCTTGATACTGCCGACATGGTCCTTTGTGCAATCGACGATCCAGAAGCCTCGACACAGGTTTGGAAGCTGTGTAAAGAGCGCCGCATACCGTCAAACATTGCAGATGTTCCTTCCGAATGTGACTTCTATTTTGGCAGCATGCATCGCGATGGACCACTGCAGGTCATGGTCAGCACCAACGGAAACGGACCAAAGCTGGCCAATATAGTCAGACAGAAGATTGCAAATGCCTTGCCCGAGAATACTGGAGCTGCTATTGAGAATGTGGGATTGTTGCGTAAAAAGCTGCGGGAAATCGCACCAGATGCCCGCGAAGGCCCAAAGCGAATGAAATGGTTCGTGCTTTCATGCATACCGCCTGGTGAATTTGGAACTGAAACAGAGAGCTTTCTACAGGATGTCGAATGTCTGCGTCTCGTGGACACTAGAAGATCTTGTAGCAATGACCGATAAGGATATGGATGCCCTCCTGAAACATTACCAGTCCGGAAACGTTCCCAATCTTCAAGAGATTCGCGAAACATCATCCTGAAACAACTTCTATACATCTAACGGATATCCACAGCCCACCTTACCGTTGGCCACACAATAAACCGCTATCGATCTACTGACAACCAGGAAGGCTATATATACCATTCCGACACATCTGCGTTCAGGCTCCTGTCCCAGTGATTCATTCGATTGTCTGTTTTATCTACGAGATTGATACAGTGGTTCCTCTAAATCGAAATACCACAAAATTCTTGGCTATTATCCGCCCTACGACAATGAAACATAATCTGCGCAAGTCTCTGTTACCATATCGTTGAAATCTAAGCAGTGTGCAGTTCAAAAGCAGACATAAAGCCGATGTTATCTTTCGAGAGACAAAAATAGTTTTTCTGCGAAGACTTCATAGCGCAAACGCTTTCAGATCCAACGCACAAGACCCAAGTTCATGATGCTGCAGTCAATAGACCTATCAACAAAAAGAAAGTAAGGATAAATGGACTTGTCACAAAAGCTGGCCAACGATTCTACAGACGTTGGAGTATCAGTACATAGTGTTGAAGTATACAAATACATAGATATTGGCATAATCATGATAATTTTGATACTTCAAGTCATAACTCTAAAAATGAACAAAAACAAAAATGCAATATCCTTAGACAATAGTAAGAAAAGAAAAAGTAGAAGGGAAAGAGTAGAGTCCAAGAATACAATAGGGGGAATTAAATGCATCAAATGATTTTATACTAGGAACACTTCCTCTGTTTCCAACAATCAGGCACGACTGTACCTTCTAGTAGAATTGATCGACGACGCGTCGACGGGAGCATGCGAGAATGTCAAGCCAAGTTTAACCTCGCCGATTCGTCGAAGGAGAGATTGAATAGCCTGTCGGATCTCAGCAGAATTGAGATCCCGAGCTAATAGATCGATGGTCAGGGGGTAAAATGTTTCAATATACTGGGAGAAGCTGTCCTGTGGGAAGTTGTTGTAGCCTTCAATCACATCAACTACAACAGGTCGCCAGGCGACGATGTTTCGATGTTGTGTCTCCTCGTCAAGGCGGACGAAACTTCTAATGATATCTGCACATAATCTATTGATGTAATGTTAGTTAAAATGCATATGGGTTTTGGAAGGTTTTGGGTGGTTCTTACGGAACGAGTGCCGTTTCAGTCTCGGCTCTACTGCTCTTTCGTTCTTGTCGTTCATCGCCATACATTCGGAAAAGAATGTTTACATATGTAGCTGCACTGCCGCTTTCTTGCTTCAGCAGATTGGGTGGCTGCTTCATAAACCCTTGACGCCATAGTTGCATTCGTAGATCCTTGTCTTCGTTGAACTTCTTGGCAAACTGATAACTCTTCTTGAGTAGACCCATGAGGCGCAGAAGGTCTGCGCTAGGGATCTCATCGTAGACATTATCATTTGAAAACAACTCATGCACCGTCTCAATCATTAGCAATTGTAGAACACAATTAGTAATGATGCGGTTGAAAAACCGCCGTCTGGCGACTGTCACGGCTGCCGGTTGCTGATTCATTTCCGGGGCTTGTGGACGGAATCCCTCAAGTTCGGCTGTTGATGTGGTAGTCTCTCCAGCATCTCCATTTTCAGCTACTGGTGTTTGTTCCCCGTTGGCAATAGATGATTGATCGTCTTCTGCATTGGGCTCTACGGCCTCTGCACCCGACACAGATCCGTTACTTGTGGCATGGCCAATGCCCTTCGCTGCTTCTGACGTTGGAGTCTTTGGTGGTAAAGGCGAGGCAGCAGTGAATAGTTCGTAGGCAGTTGTCTTGTCAAAGAGCTCAACAAATGCACCGACAATCTTGTCCCAGTGTTTGTCTGAAAACTTGGTCACGTTTTGCAGGATCAACTGCTGTAAGCAATTACTTCCAATTCGTGCGATTGTGTCATTCTCCTGGCAGATGCACAGAGTCAAAAGCCCTAAAAAGCGATCAAGCATACTCTGTAGCGCGTCAAAATAATGGGTGAACAGAGTAATCATGTGACGCAGGGCTTGAATCATAGTCGTCGACAACCAAACAGAGAGTTCTTCATGGTTGGGAACTTTGGACATCTCAGACTTTGACTGCAGGACTACAAAAATCGGGTAAAGCAATTGCCTCCAAAGGACGTCCCAGAACTCGGGCGGATAATCACCACCGTACCGAATGAGCGTTTCAAAGAGGTAGTTAAGAGCCCTGCAATACGATTAGAAGGTTTGCTTCCCCAATTTCTGAGAGAACAATGTTTGTCACTTACCTTGAGCGAACCTCCAGGTCGTCTCCAGTCATCAATACATCTTGGAACGCGATGAGCACCGGATACCAAAATTGTTCTTCCTGTGACTGGCGGTTGAGCTGGTGCTTTAGATTAGAACTGGTATCTTCCGTAACATCTGTAACGACAATATGTTTCCGCGAAAGAGGACATTCTGGAGTTTTCAACATTTTGCTAATAGAGGATTTCAGTGTCTCAATAGCCTGTAGTGATTTCTTCTGGAACTTGGTGTTTTTCGAAAATTCAGTCAGGCAGACTATCAAGTCTGCAAAGGCCCCTTGGCTAATCACTACCCCAAAACGAGTGTTGTAGATTTGTGTCACATGTTCAAAGGCCATATTCACAATGCTCTCTGCGAGTCTGTTAGAACTATATTCAGAAGATCAAAAAAAATTCTTTACTTACCATATGGCTCCCGAGCTGCAACCGTAAATACGCCGAACATTGTCTTCCAACCCGAGCGTATGTTATGGCCACGAGCTTGAATCATCTGAATAAGACACCGCAAAACCATGTCCTTAACAGTAGCGGTATTGCTATTTGTCATGATATGTTCAAATGGCTTGAGGAAATCTTTCTGGAACTTGAAACCAGGGAGCTCTTCAATTTCCATGAATCTCATGGAAAGTTGACGCAGTGAATCAAGCGCAAAGAAAACCACATGAGTGTTAGACTGGCAGCCGACTTCATTGAAGTGTTGTCCGAGGATTTCCCAGATTCTCGACCACTCAATTCTGACTCGAGTCATGTTGTAATAACTGATTTCAACGACTTTCTGGAGACTATAGGTACGAGGAGACTCGCTTTGTCCAGAGGACTTGATTTCCTGCAAACTGACTTCGCTAAGTGCTCGAACAAAGTCGACAATAGCCTCATGCGAAAGATTTGCGGTGTTGCTAAAAATTCGGTCAACGGCATGAACCATTTCGGCCGAACGACTCTCCAAAGCTATTTCAGGTCTGAATGACAATGAACTGTTGGTAGAACGTTGACGTCGTCTAGCAGTCTGTGTAGACTTTCTGGATCCATCACCGTGCGTGGAGCCTACAATTCGTGCTCTGGATACATCAGGCAACGCTCCTTCATCCACACCATCACTCAGCAGCTGGAAGCGATCCAATTGACTAACACAAGTGAGGATCTCCCGCCAAGACTCACGCAAATTGTTGCCTTCGGAAACAGCAACTTCTAATAATATTCTCAATGCTTCTAAATTCTTGCTGGTCATTTCTCGAAGGTTGCCGAGGTTTGTAAACTTGGCCAAGGCCGTCACAAACGCCACTCTCGGGGTTTCCAGATCAAAGGAGCAAGAAATACGAATTGCAAGTCTGATTCCTTCCATACACAGCCTAATCTTTTCAATATCTTGGGTTTCTTGAACGGGGGCAGACAGCCCAGAAAGGAAGGACGTCCAAGTGACGTTGAACATGGATCCGACATGACGAACAGAAGTGGCCGGTATGAACCGGGAGAACTCGTCCCTAACAGCCGTTCGGCGCTGGGCTTTGATGAGACTCCTGTAAAGTTGTTCCGTTTTATTGGCCATCTCTTCCGATGCCTGAGCATATTTTTCTCCTTGAATATCTCTTCCTACTGTTGCAAAAACTTGGCCGGCTCTGGAGGCAAACCCTGTGGGAGCAGCGGGGAGCACCCCTTGTTCAGCAGCATGTTCTCTTTCAGAATCGAGTACAATTTCGTTCTTGGCGATCTCATCGAAGATAGAGTTAAGATATTCAGCCGGAAGATCTTGATTGTCATTTATGCCTCGATTGTTTTTGATGAAATCCTCCTTTGTCATACGGGGGCCTTTCATCTTGCTACTATGTTGGTCTGTGTTAAGCAAGATAACAGAGTACGCTAGAACGTACGCTGTATCGGCATTGGCAAAGCTGTTTGGATTTCCTGAAAGGTAACGCTCTGCGAACTTGAGCATGAATCGATCGATCTTCTGGGCTTCTCCAGGCAAGCGGAAACTCTGCAGAAAGTGACGGAGGGCGTCGACGAATCGTCGTTTGGAGAAATCCATAGAATCAACGAAAGCGTGCATAATGGCAACATTCTCCGGCTCTCCTTCTCCAAGATACTCCCCAATCGCAGCTTTGTCAAGACGATCATTGCGGAGTAAGAAGTTGGCAATGTCTTTTGGTGAATCAGATCGGATGAACCCATCCTTGAGGAAAAGCTTTATTCCACGCTTAGGCTTGAAATTAAACTGCTGAATAGCTTGAGCAAATGCCGCTTTTCGCTGTCTAGCTTTTTCTATTTCATTCGGGTCATCTTCCAACGCCGGTGTCGTACGTCCAGTGCCGGTTCCTCCACTATCAACAAATGGTGATGGAAGAGCGGTGGAAAGAGACGGAGTGTCTAAAGATTCTCTGTAATTTTCCACGGACTTTCGAGACAAATCCTCACGGTTGCCACTGCTAGAGCCTGGCAACCGCTGAGACGACCAACTATCTAGAGACCGTAGAATTTCGACCAGACAATCGAGAGCGTGGTACTTCATTGAAAACTCTGGTGACAGGTTTTGTTGTGCAGGAGATGTACTGCTTGCCAGACTCACGGTGGTCAGATTGGGTGGGAGAGTGCCGCGCTGGTGCCAATCATAAGTGTTCGTGGGCTTGACACGATTTTCATGAGGGGGGTGTTGGTTTGTGGTGGGCGCCGGCATGATCAAGAAACGAGATAATTGCTCGATAATCCTGAGAGAATTAGCATATAAACAGTTTGGTCCGAGGGTAGAAGATCCTATTTACTCTTGGAAAATATTTTCTAGTGCAGTCCGATCACAATCATAATTGAGATATAACTCTACTAGCGCTCGCGAGTCCCCTGCAAGTCTCTCAATGATTTCCATGAAGTACTGCTTCTGAAATGCCGGAGAGCTGCGTCTTTCGAGGATGGCAAGGTAGATTTCTTTCAAGAACACCTCCAATTCTTTCTGCATAATAGTTTAGCGGCCCGCAGCATTGGCAGGGTGGCTTCAAGGAACTAACCTTAAATGTTACTCTCATATATTTGAGCATGAGCCAAAAGATTTCGCAACAGACTTCGAAGACTTTTGGAACAGAACTAGAGCCATTGCGGCTCAGACTCAAGCACAGGTGAGGTCTCACAGCATGGAGAAGAGTCATAGAGTCGGAGGGACTAGCACTGTTTCGAATAGTTGCCAAGGGCGAGTTGAAAACAGCGATGTGGTTATTAATCAAGTGATGGATAAGATGAAGCGACAGCAGCTTCGATCGCATATTCTGGGATTTGATATCTTGCTGTTGGTCGTGTGTAAGAGACTTATGGCTCAATTTACACATAGCCCTAAAGACGAGGAAAGCATCTTTCACGTAAATCTCATCGACCTCATCGTCAGATGCATCCACATCTTCTTTTTCATCTGTAACGTTGGATACAGATCGAGACGGCCGATGGGCAGGTCTTGCGCGAGTCACCATAGTGGGGGCGTTGTCAGTGACCATTGTATCATCTTTGCTCGACTCGAAGCTCTGCAATGTGAGCTTCTCCCTAGGTTCCTTTTGAGTCGGATGATCGGAAATATTTGATACAGCCTCGGTTGACTCCGATATATGACTCCCGTCGCCGCCATCGATTGTCGCAGTTTCGGCGGAAGTTTCTTGCTGGCCGTCTGGCTCACGCGTGCGTGCTTCTTTCAAATCAAGCCTTAAACGAACTCTATCAAAGACGGTTCCTAGCATTTGCGTCAAAGAGCCTTGTGCAATTTGCTGGTTTTGACTTGACTTTGAGTATATAAATATGTTGTAAATCTGACGCACAGCTTTCAGGAGACCGGCGCCATGAACGACTATCTTGTCATTCAAAACAGCTGCCAGCAACGATTTTATAATTTGTTGTTGAATTTCCACTGGGGTGGCTTCGTTTTCAAAGCAATCGCATATCGTTTCAATGGCCCGTTCGATCAATGGGAGTTCCCTGTCGGAGGGCTTCGTATCGTCCTGGCTAGGACGGCTTGAAGGGAAGGCGAAATAGGAATACGTGATCAGTTTTCCGATGCAGTCTAGAGCCGTAACCTGAAGTGGAATGCTGAATGTTTTGGTCGCCAATTGCAGAGGAAGAAAGATAACCTCAGGGTCGAGAGGTTTTGTATCGGATTGTTTGATATTAGCAAGTGCCTTCTGGACCGAGTCTTCCAGTTCCTTGTTCCTTTTCGCATCTTTCGAAGCAGCGATTGCTTCCAGGGCCGTGACAACAAATACGGTAGAGCTTACCGGAGTAGACCGGTGTGTTGCTTGTGTAGCAGTGGTGGATCTGGAATCGGAACGAGTTCTTGGGTCAGGGGCAGCGGCGTATTGGGGTTCTGGAGGAATTTCAGCAGCGGGCTGAGGTTCCCCATTCTGATGCTTTTCATCCTGGTTCTCAGTATCAACATCATCTGCACTCGTGGCTTCTGTGGTTTCCGTCTCCGACGGTCCCGTAGCATCATCCTCAGCTTCGTTGGCTGCTGGATGGGCATTCACAGGCGGAGAGTCATGGCCGTCGACTCCATTGGACTCATTTAAATCTTGATCATTCGTCTCTGCCACTTCCTTCCATTCTGCCGCCGTCGGAAGCTCGGCCTTGTCTGCTCTTAATGGTTGCGGCGATACAATTTCGGGGTCGTTGGGTGCATTGGTTTCTGCCTGAGAGACCACCTCTGCAACTTCGCGCTCGGTCTCAGCCATTGGTGCGCAATTCCGGCTAATGAACGCGAGCCGGGCACTGTTCAACAGGTCAACATGAGATGGTTAGAGGTGTGGAAGCTCAAATGTCGAGAACATGCTCTCACTCGCAATAATAACTAACTTGATGGAGCCAGCCGCTGTGCCGCTACCTTCCACGGGCCGCGCTAAACCGCATCGGGGTTCCTGCAGCGTGTCTTCAACGTGAACAGCGAAACTCCGGCCGCCGGCAGAGGCCCACTTGGCAGCTGGTCCCTGGCCAACCAGCGACTGCTTATGTCATCCGGCCCTTCTTCTGCCGATTTGATCCGTTCTTCTCACCGGAGCTCAACAGAAAAGTTCCCAGGCTCTATCTCGGCTCTGTGCTGCTTCCACTCCATCCTTGTTGTACTGTCTGCATCCTTATTGCGAAGGCTTCCTGTTGAGGGACGCGGAATTCTTCGATTTTTGTTGCAATTGGTGGTTTTTCTCTGATATTCGAGCTTGTCAGAATGCGCACTTCGAATGTCATGCTCTCGAAGGGCGCCGCCTTCATGAGGCGCCCCCAATCCCTTTACCGATTCAAAGATGTCGCCAGGTATTATGCGCTTCCGTTTGATTGCCTCTGTTGAGGGATACTAACATTGACTCCCGATCGTCTAGGCCTCAGTTATTTGCGGCCTCTGCCCTTGCCCGGTATTATGCCTCGAAGTGTACGTGTCTCTGTTTTTGCATGTCAACATATGCGAATAATTCTAACAACGATTCCAGCCTTCCCTCCACACACAATAATTAGCATGCCCGCGCTGTCTCCTACAATGACTGCTGGAAACATCGGGACCTGGCAGAAGAAGGCTGGCGACGCCTTGAGCCCCGGTGACGTTCTCGTCGAAATTGAAACCGATAAGGCGCAAATGGACTTTGAATTCCAAGAGGAGGGTGTTTTGGCCAAGGTCTTGAAGGACGCCGGTGAGAAGGATGTTTCCGTGGGAAGCGTAAGTATTGTGATGCAAATTGAGACAAGTCAACAAATACTGAAAATTACTAGCCAATCGCCGTTTTGGTTGAAGAAGGTGCCGACGTCTCCGCCTTTGAATCCTTCACCGTGGAAGATGCTGGCGGTGAGAAAGCCCCCGCTGCTCCAGCTGAAAAGGCTAAGGAGGAAGCACCCAAGCCTGCCCCTTCGGAAACTCAGGACAAGCCTGAAGCCGTTGAACCAGAGGTTACCGGAGAGCGACTACAGCCAGCTTTGGACCGTGAGCCCCAGATTAGCCCTGCCGCCAAGACCCTTGCTCTTGAGAAAGGCATTCCTATTAAGGCTCTCAAGGGTACTGGCCGTGGTGGACAGATTACCAAGGAAGATGTTGAGAAATACAAGCCTGAAGTATCAGCCGCCGCCGGACCTACTTACGAAGATATTCCTTTGACTTCCATGCGCAAGACTATTGCTTCAAGACTGCAAAAGTCGACGCAAGAGAACCCCCATTACTTTGTTTCCGCTACATTGTCCGTCAGCAAACTCCTAAAGCTTCGCCAGGCGCTCAATGCCTCCGCTGACGGCAAGTACAAACTTTCCGTTAACGACTTCCTTGTCAAGGCCTGCTCTATTGCCCTTCTCAAAGTCCCGGCTGTCAACTCCAGCTGGACTGAGGTCAACGGACAGCCTGTCATCCGCCAGTACAGCAACACCGACATCAGCGTTGCTGTCGCTACGCCCTCCGGACTCATCACCCCTATCGTTAAGAATGCACAGGGCCTGGGTCTCTCCAGCATCTCCAACCAGATCAAAGATCTCGGTAAGCGAGCTCGTGACAACAAATTGAAGCCTGAGGAGTACCAAGGTGGCACTTTCACCATCAGCAACTTGGGCATGAACACCGCTGTTGAACGATTCACCGCAGTCATCAACCCACCTCAAGCTGCCATTCTTGCCGTTGGTACCACTCGCAAGGTTGCTGTCCCTGTTGAGACCGAGGAAGGTACCTCAGTTGAGTGGGATGACCAGATCACCGTTACCGCAAGCTTCGACCACAGAGTCGTTGACGGAGCTGTTGGTGGAGAATGGATCAAGGAGCTGAAAAAGGCTGTTGAGAACCCATTGGAGCTCATGTTGTAATAATTTGATCTTCATTGATGAAGGGAGGATGGCCATATACTTGGGGATGTGCTCGTTTGCTGGATATCGGGACATTTTAATATTTATCCCATCTCTGCCCTGTTCCTCTTACCTGTACTAAAATTATTCTCCTTTGTTCGTCAGCGTCGAATGATATGTGATTAGATCTCTTTACTTTGTTTGAATGCAAATGCATCAAGGCATAATAAGCTGTCTCAACGTAGGTGTTTGTCAGCGTGTTTGTTAGATATGCATTTAGGGCATAACGCCTCCTTCCCCATTTGGGCAACTCACAACATTGCCCGAAGAACCTTTTTTTTTTTACGCTTAACAATCTCTCTACCATCTGCTCCAGTTAAATACAGTCCCAAAGCTCAATCAACCGCAAGCTACGAGGGGCCTTTACCTTTTTTTCATCTACCTTTTGATCATCAAATAAGCACGATGGAAAAGCAAAGTCAGGATCAGCCAGAAATAGTCGATGATGAGGAAGTCGTCGAGACAAAGGCGAGTCTTGCACGATCTCAGTCCTTCCCCTTCCTCACTCCGATGCTCATTTCGCCCCTCTATTTCACTGCCTTTCTAACCCAAAATCGAGCAGTGGAAAGAGATGGTCCCTCCTATAATTCAAGACCTATACACGTCCATGATTCACAAACATCGCGACATTCAGGCATTCCACCTTTGGCTGCGTCTGCTTGAAGATAATCTCGTGCCTAATATCAGGGGCCTGACTGTGCATTACCGTACCGTCCCTTCGACAAGCGATGACTATGATCTCGTCCGCATATCCTTTCACGCGAATCCTGAAAAGGCGCACAACCGCAAGACACAAATCCAAATCCTTGCCTTTTCTCTCCCTTCTACATCACCGTCTTCGTCCTCCGGGGCCTCTTTCTCTTCTACTGATAGATACAACGAATCGCCACCGAAAGGGTATCCGATTCCTTGGGATTCTTTCCTTGAAGATGTGGAAAACCAACATCGAATAATGCATTCCAAGGGCGAGCTAGATGGCGACTACGACTGCTTTGTAGTGTTTAAGCAGTATGCAAGACTCTATGCCCTACGAGGTGTAGAGCATGCTAATATCAGGGAGTGCTGGGTGAGTTTCGGTGCAGAAAAGATGCAGAGCCAGGGTATTCAGCCTTTGTGGACGGATCGAGATGATTTTGGTCCTTTGTTTGAGTTTAAAACGCACTACACTATGATTATGCATTTGCTGAGGGCTTTTGCTTGGAATATCAATATTCCATATGTTTTCAGATCTAGGCCAGCACAGTGATTGACGTTGTTTGGGTTTTTGTGGGCAGGATAGATGGAATTCCGGATTCAGGCATGTATATGTTGGAATTTCATTATTGTTATTTCTCCTTTCAGCGTAGAACATATTCTCCGGTCATGCTATAAAATATACGAAATTAAATTTCGCTTCAGCAGGGAATCATTAGGAAGTATCTACTAAAAAATATCTTTGGATGCAAACAAGGAGTACTGTTGAAGCATCCACCGTGTCTTTCAAGTGTAGATGCTCTGCAGATAACAAAAAAGATTAGGACCGACTCTGGCATTCCCAAAAAATAAATAAAGCTTCGGAACTACTCACCACCGTAATGTGATTTACAGACAGTCCTGGTTCAGCCATTTCGGCGTCTTTCAAGAAATCCAGCGGCATCCAGACTAAATGGCCTTTAATCTTATCCAAATTCTCGCGGACAGTATCCACGGGTAAGAACGGATCGTGGAGATGGCCCTGTTTAATCGACTTTCTCGGCGCGAATTGGTCGTATTCCTCGAAAGTTTTAATGTTGTCATCGGGATCTGCACGGAATAAAAATCGAAATACTTCTGTATTTGTCGTTGCCTGCGTGGTCCATGTTCCCCAGAGCTCTTCGTTCAGGGGGTCAGCGACGAACGCGTCGTACTCGGTCCCTTCGTCATTCCTGTTTGGGCAGTCGTCGGGTGGTTGCGCGTTTGGGCTGTCGCTTGCATCGTATTCCTGAGGCAGGAGCAAGCCGAGATGCTCACGCCAAAGGTGGCGTCGGAGAGTCGCTGCGAGGCGTGCAGCGCGGTATGGTTGACCATTCATGGTGCTGTCAATCATGTCGGTGTCTTCGAGGACGATAGCCAGTTCGCTATCTCGATTGCCGAGTTGTGACTGATAAGTCATAGTTTCTTGCGTGAGTCATCAAACATCAAAGGAGCACAGTACTGGTGCCACTAAGCAGAAACTTACTCGATCATTGATATTTGCACTTCCACAAATGACAATCCGGTCGTCGACAATGCAAACTTTGTCATGGACATAAAGCTCCTCCTGGATAAAATTTTGTTTCTCTGTCTCAGGATCGTCTTCTTCCCAGGGCTCTTCGCTCACTTTTCGCTGGTTGAGCATGGCATTTTGTGCAATGTTGTCTCTGCTTTTAATCTCTCGATCCTCTCCATATGCTCGTTCACGTTGCTCCTCGAATTTCCGCACATTGTCGATCTTCTGCTCCTGATGTTCTGATTCAACACTATAACTCTTTTCTGTTTTGTCACCTTCTCTGCCAATCGCTGGATGGACACTTTCGCCCATGATCTGTTCCGCATTTGCGCGCTGTATGTCTTGGTAATGAACACCAGATTTCTCTTCCTGCTCGACTAGCCTTGATGTTTTGTTGATCCGGTCATATGATCGAAGGTTGAAGAAGAATATGTGCTCTGTTATTTGTCATTAGATAAGTAGATGCAATTTGATCAGAACATGGAAGGTCCGCAGATACCTGTTGGATCAACACCTTGCGCTTTGATCTGCTCAAAAATAGAGTTTTCGCCTCGCAATATGGACTTATACTGATAGTCCATGATTGCTCGAGTACCTGCCGCAGCGCTCTGGCGCAGATCTCCAGCAAAGCCTGGGATGGACGGAATAACAATGATTACTTTAAACTTTCGGCCTTCTTTTCCGGCGCGAACCACAGCATCAACAATAGCACGGCCAATGGTGTTTTGCACAGGCGCTTGCTGGTCTCCAGTCGCAGTCACTTGATTGATGCATAGAGTCAGTAGGGGCTTCCAATGGCTGTCATAATGGCAAGACCACCTACCGAAAAATTGATTTTCTATGTAGACGTAATGTTGTGCATTCCTGATAATCTCCGAGTATGCATTCTGTATACTGTGCTCCGTCAAAATTCCAGAGGACCAGTCACCGCTACTCCTGACTATCTGAGCGTGGACTGTTCCCTGGTCACCGCGGGATTTTGTACTCAATGGGGTCAAGGGATGTTGGATGTACTCTCCGCAAGGATATTGGGGACGTTGAACACCGATCAGATCCTCGTCTCGGCCCTCCAACATGAGATAGTCCACGTTATCGTCGCGTTTATACTTGTCTCGTTTGACACAGTTCCACCTTAGAACGAAATGCTCGGCTATATCATACACACAATCACCCATTAAGCCCATTGAAACATCGTGCCATGGCATACGGCCGTAATCGGTTTTGTCTAGCTCGTTGTTTTGCCAGTCCTCGACACTTTGAAAATCCATGATACGGTTGTTGTTGAATTCTTGGCCTGGGAAGATCTCATTCTTTATACCAGCCGGATGGACGTCTGCGAGCAAATGTTGATGATTATCCCATCTCCCGAAGCAGAGATCAATACCGCCGATAAATGCAAGTGAGTAGTCAATTACTACGAATTTTTCGTGGTGTGCCTGTACAGAAATCAACCATTATGTCCGATTTAACAAGCGAAACAGCAATCTCTTACCCAATATAAAGTCATATCCCCAAAGTTTTCCAAGAGGTTGTGGTCGGGGTGTCGAAGAACATGGATGTTCCCAGCACCTTTTGTTCCCTCGGGACAGAGATTTCTCAATGCATGTTTGGTATGTGCAGAATTACACGTTATAGCTTGATTGACCTGGGCATATGCTTAGATTCATGGGGTTCTATCACAAAATGCCAGGAATGGAGTGGGGAGTACGAGTATCACAACATAAAGTATTATATACGTACCTCCTTGTAGACAATGACATAAATCTGAACACCTGCCTCGGCGCGTCTCTTGAGAATCTGGTCTAATCTCCATTCCTGGTTGACCTCTGGAGGTCTTCGCATGAATAACTCGGGAGAAAGCCACCAATCGGCCAGATAAATGGTCTCTTGAGCACGATCCAGCGCAACAGACACTGCCCACATGTAATCTGACGCATCGACATACCATTTTACCTTATTTCCGTCATGTTCAGGAGCAAAGGAACCAAATCTGTGAGACTCGGAAATCGCAGTCCGTTTTTTGTCGGTCTTCTGTTCGTGAGCCTCGTCATGGCGATGGTTTGGGTTGACGAGGTTCTCAAGCTTCCCAATTTTATGTTTCAGATGCGATGCTTTGGCTCTGACATCATGTAGGTGAGTATCTGCTAGTTATTAGAACCGTTATGTCTTTCTAAAAAATCTAAGGCAAACGTGGGATTTGCTGTACGATGTAGCTTCTCTTTGAGGGCGTCCATTTTGATTGGCGCAATGCAATTGGCTGAATGAGCGAGAACTTTAGGATTGCAGCCAAATCGCACACAGCAGACAGCAGTGAGCAAGTTGTATGACTGTTATGGCATCGGATATATGATGTGGAAAGACACTCAGTATCTCTAGCCAAAAAAAAAAAAAGCATAGGTAGTCGTCGTAGTGGGATACTGGTCCCTCCTTCCGTGACATCATGTGCAACTCTTGGCGCATCAGCCCTCGCGTTTAGTGCGTCGCTAGCTTTAACAGCATACGTACGCTAACGCCCTAATAGTCTTTGATTCTGTTCTCTTGCTGGATATGTGACTGGTCACTCCAAAGTCAAGTCCTTTTTTTTTTGTTTTACTTCGGGGTCTAGGTAGTTGTCCGCATAATATGTAAACGCCCCCCGCTGTAGAGATGTCTGCCAATAATGTAAAAGATATGAATGATGTGCCAGAAACGGCATCTCGATGTATGTGCCTCTATTATTTTGCCCACTCTAAACGAGGTTCGTCAGACAAGCCACCACCGCCCATGGATAGTTTGACTGTCTGTGATCAATATTCTAATTTTTTTCTTCCATCAAACAATCTACACTGCGATTCTCCTCTCACACTGTTTGTTGCTCGACAGAATCACATGGGAGAAGCACACGTGATCTCGGAGCAATATAAAATCCGGGGCAACCCTATTCTTAATTCACGAGGTGGTGCTTGCCCTGTCAAACAACTTTCTCTCTCTTACGTTCTGCGTATGGAGGGAATATTTACTACGTGTTATATTCGAGGCAGCTGATGCAAACTTGGGCACAATGGCTTCATCTCGAAATATCTACAAACGAGAAATTGACTTCAGGGCTCTGGCACTCGAGTCCCCAGAATTCGCAAAACGGTATGAACAAACATACTTTCATACGAATACAACGTCACTCGTGGCTGATCTGATCCATCCGTAGTCTGAAAACGAATGATCAGCTAGATTTTACTGACCCAGAGTCAGTGAGGTAAGTTTATTTTGGAACGTCGATCACGACGCTGATTATGTTTACTCACTGTTGATAGACAACTCACGAAAAGTTTACTGGCACGCGATTTTGAGCTTGCTGTGGACCTTCCCGATGATAGACTCTGCCCTCCAGTATGTTGTTGCCCTACTCATCGTCGGAGGTACCGGGATTAATCAATGTATATGGGTTATAGGTGCCGAATAGGTCAGGAGAGTTCCTCTGCATTAGAAGGAGAATTATGCTAACTCCATTCAGACTAAATTATATCCTCTGGCTTCAAGATCTCCTTGACACTAGTTCTAGGACAGGCGACGACCAGTATGACCCAAATAGACAAGTTCTCGGTCTGGATATGTAAGTTGCCTGGTCTTTCAAACTCGGCCATAATTGTGTTAACCATATATGTCGTGATAGAGGGACTGGATGCTGTGCTATCTATCCTCTATTAGGGTGCTCCGTGCGTCCGCAGTGGAACTTTGTGGCTACAGGCAAGTTAATATACTTGCCATAATATATGATTGATGGTGTCCCTGATGCAGTGCAATCAGACATCGACGACAGAAATATCTCGTCATCGCGCCAAACCGTTTCGAAGAATAAGCTTGAAAATCGAGTCAAAATTATAGAAACAAAACCCGATGATCCTCTCATTCCGTTCGAAAAACTCAATGTTGACAGGTATGGATGATCCCCTCTTATCACAATTCAACCGAAGCGGGTTCAGCACTTGGAGTATATAAATCTATATCTCCCCTTTCCTAGCACATACGACCATAGGGTGTGGAAAACAGGGCTTCCCGTCCGCTCAGCCGTACTTAAGCCACACGCCGGCCGGTTAGTAGTTGGGTGGGTGACCACCAGCGAATCCCGTCTGTTGTATGTTTTTTATTTTTTGCTGGATATCTCGACCCCCCCTCCCTCCCCTTTTTGTTTTCATCCTGCCTGAAAAAGAATAGCGAGAGATCAGTTGTGTTAACGCTGAGGTTGTTGACGGGATATCAGATTGGACTTTGTTATGTGCAACCCGCCCTTCTACGAATCCGAAGAAGAACTCACCTCCTCAGCAGCTGCGAAATCAAGACCTCCATTCACAGTTAGTCACGATTCACTATATACAAGAGAAAGGTGACAGATGGAAGACTGATCCACATTCGTTATAGGCATGCACGGGTTCGGCAGTCGAGATGATAACTCCAGGCGGCGAAGTTGCATTTGTTTCGGCTATAGTGATGCAGTCCGTAGATCTCAAGACACGAGTTCTCTGGTTTACAAGTATGCTTGGCAAACTGTCCAGCGTATCGGTAATTGTGCAGAAACTCCTCGACATTGGCATCAAGAACTGGGCCGTTACAGAATTCGTGCAGGGCAAGGGAACTCGTCGTTGGGCTGTGGGCTGGAGCTTCTCAGACTGGCGACCACGGAGTGTGCGTTAGCTGCAGATCTTTATTATTTCATAATGCTAATTTTGACTGACTGATATGACGAACAGGATGCGAGCAGAGGAATCACCACACTCTCCAAGAATCTTCTTCCATTCCCGTCACACTACAGTTTTGATGTTTCGATTAAACCAAACGATTTATTAAAACAAGCCATCGCCAATATTAACACGGACTTCTCATCACTCAGACACTTCTGCTATTCCTGGATCTCTAAACAGTCCTGCATCGGCTACGCCAAGGAAGATGTGTGGTCGAGAAAGGCACGACGTAAATTTGCAAGGGAGCAGGGAGGGAAGGAGCAGGGCCAGCAAAGCGACAAAATGCAGTGCAGCAATGATGGTAAGAGTAAGCAAATGGAGGAGATGATAGAGAACGCTGCATTGGGATTTCGCATTGACTTGTCACTTCAAGCTGATGGTAGCGTCCATGTGGTTATCCGCTGGCTCAAAGGACTAGATCAGGTGCTTTTCGAGAGCTTTTGCGGTATGGTCAAGAGGAAGATCATGGAGGAGATACGAGCATGACAATATAGAAACCATCAAAAAGTTCAGCTCCATTGTACAGATATTGCCTAACTGGGGAGGTAGAAGGCATGCTAGAACATGATTGGCCAATTCCGGCATTGACACACGTGCAGACCCACCGGCTGCCAGCTTCTGCCTGCCTGACTATGACGTAACTGCAGCTTCCCAGTCCGGATGATGGCAGCACACATGTGACCTTCTTCTTTCTCTTTCTCTTCGTTGAAGTCCTTCCTTGCTCTCCTTCTGTGATATACCATCACCCGATCAACAAAGCCCGCTGCCTGATCTTCTACGTGATTACACTACACTATATGTATGTTTGTTTTCCCCTGCTCTCTCTCCCCTCCTGCTATTTTCTCCCTGTTTCTGTTAAGATGTGGAGGCCGCACGACTGTTTCCACACCACAGACCGTATTCTAAACTGACGCAACTAGAGACATCCCCTACGAGGTTTCACATCAAAATGTCGTATGCTCAAGCTGTCGCCAGTGGTCCTTCTCAACCACCGCATGAGGTAAGTTTGCCAATATCACCTTGCGAGTGCTCTTTGCTAACAATGATGTCTAGGCGTAAGTATTGAATATAATATCCCTGGTTCTAAACACGACAGAGACTCACATCTACAAAAGTCGCGCCCCAGCTCCACCGGAGGTCGAGAAAACCGAATCCGTCAGTACCGCTTCTTTAGTTGATGTGGACGCACCCTCTGTCCAATCTGTCCACTCCGATTTCCTCAACCAGGAAGTAAAAACGACCACACAAGCCGAGCGTCTGCAACGAGAAGCCGAGGACGCGCTTTCCCGAGAACAGGCCGCTTCTGGCGGCAAGAAAGGGAAGGGGAAGAAAGAACGAGGATTTAGTAAAAACGCGCAAAATCCTGTTTACCTGGGCAACGCCTTCATTATTACTGCACTTAGTGCCGGTCTCGGATATGGTGCGTACCGAAAGCATGTCGAAGGAAAGCTTTCCTGGGAGGCTGCTGGTCTTTGGGCTGGTGCCGTGGGACTATTCGCTGGTGCGGACTACATTGTTAGCAAGTAAGTGTTATCCAACTTGGAATGGTTAGGTAATTATTGATATTGATCGCTGGGTTTGGTATAGATGGCTCCTCCAAAACAAATATCCTAAGAAGGATTAAGGATGCTTATACGCATTTCCTAAATTCCTTCCGAATGTACCTTTTGTTTTTTAGTTTAATTCCACTGAAAGGAACGATCATCGTCATTGCACTTGACGTCAGATTTTCCAATATTTGTTAGTTCGTCGGGCTGTTAACTCTCATGTCTTCTCATTGGGTGATTTTGGAGTTGGCCGGTTGGATAGCGTTTACCCTCTCTACTTTTCTGGAATCGCGTGTCCGGGGATGCTGTTTTGTAGATAATCAATGGTGACTTTCACAAACAATTCTTTTCTCCAAGTGGTATAATGTCAGAAAACCGTGTCCAACCGAGGCAAAGATAAAGAGCGTCATAGCGAAGGCGGTGAGTGGCGTCATTTAATTTTGAAGATGTGTCCTTGGCCCCGTCTAACTCAAGGTTGACTAGCAGCTGGTTAATCATTAGATACAACGAATGATGAGACAAAACTCGTGATGCGATACGAGGACTGGCTTCAAAATATTCCTTGTTTCTTCTCTTTAATCTCCTACCTTAAAAGTGACTGCTTGTCATAAGCAGTATTCGTTATATACCTCTTCGGCACGACTCGTAGTTCCCATTTCAAACAAAAATGGTATTTATTTCTATGTCCTGTCAAAAAAAATTTTTTTTTTCGTACGTATCTGTTCTAGGTCTAATATTTTTTATAGAATTCTCTTTTCAATTCTGCTTTGAAGCAGTCTACGGCCATACGTCATGATCTCGACACATTCGCCGAATCCCCTGGCACAACATCGCCGGCACTACAAGGTGAGCATATATGAGAGAGAGAGAGAGAGCGCGCGCGCGTTAAAACGACACTTGCTTATTTATTTCATGAATAGGACAGATATCTGCATCGCTTGCCTCCTTTTCGCGGACGATAGACGACTACGCGGCGCTCGCCAAAAGTGAACTTATACCGGAAAAGAAGGAAAAAGCGACTGAGCGGGAAAAGTCCTTTCACACGGCATTGGCAGATTATCGTCAACAGTTTGAGCGTCTCCGTAAAGAACGAGAGGATACAGTAAGGGAGTCCTCCTATGGTTATGGCGCGGTGGACTTCAAAATATTACGTGCTTCTAACAATGCCTGCGTAGATATCGAGGACAAACCGCAGTGAGCTTTTTGGCCGTCGTCCACATCATGCCGCGACTCCTGAAAACCCGTATGCAGACCACGCTCTCCCTCGATCATCTGCATTTGGGTCAGGGAACGCGTCGGGTTCAGCTGGCGGGCTGAGTTTCGGCGCCGGTCCTGGGAACTACGATCGCGAGACACATGCACTACGAGAGCAATCGTTCTTCGCTCAGACCAATACGCAACTGGACGAGTTTCTTGATCGGGGCCGCGCGGTCCTCCACGACCTGGGTCAGCAGCGGGATGTTCTGAAGAATACACAGCGTAGATTATACAGTGTCGGCAACACATTGGGGATCAGCGGGGACACCATTCGCATGGTAGAGCGGCGAGCCAAAGAAGACAAATGGATATTCTGGGGCGGCGTAGTGGTGTTTTTCCTATTCTGCTGGCTGGTGATTCACTTTTTGAGGTGAAGGAAATTGCTACCGTGTAGTCTTGTTTTATCTCGAGCGTTTCAGCAGGCGTTTTTCAGGACGGTGGCGTTGAATCAGTCAGTATATACAAATCAAATGAACATGGCCTCAGTGAAGAGTGACTGTAGCAGACGTAAAGCCTCACCGGAGCTCGTGCTGCCGGCAAAAGCGGCTTGGCTGGGGCGGGCCTCGGCGGAGACGTCGGCTCAACGGGGGAAAGCGTCAGCGTCGGATCGTTGTTACCTTCATCCACCACAGCTTTTTCATCCGCGATCTTCTTCTCTCCCCAAAAGACTCCCCAGTCTCCAATTGCCCATCCCTTTGATACCCTCTTTTTTTCTTCCTCCTCTACCATACCATAATAAAACCGCCATCATGTTCGCTGCTCGCCAGTCGTTCGGTGTCTTCCAGAAGCGGGCTTTCTCCGCCTCCGCTCGCCAGGTGCGCTCTTTTTCTTCGGCTTCTGTCTCTATCCGATTGACCTTTCATCAATTGACTTTCTGATGAATCATGATAGGCCTCCAAGGTCACCGTCCTCGGTGCTGCCGGTGGTATTGGCCAGCCTCTGTCTCTGCTGATGAAGCTCAACCCCCGTGTTACCCAGCTTGCTCTGTACGATATCCGCGGTGGTCCTGGTAAGTTGTTGCCATCTGTTTGTTATCTTGCGTCATCCGTCCAGCGGATTCAGTTGACATGATGTCCACTTTTTCAGGTGTCGCTGCTGATCTCAGCCACATCAACACCAACAGCACCGTCACTGGCTACGACCCTACTCCTTCCGGATTGAAGGAGGCCCTCACTGGATCTGAAATTGTCCTCATCCCTGCCGGTGTTCCTCGCAAGCCTGGCATGACCCGTGATGGTATGATACAATCAGTACAATTAGCTAGGGAACCCTTTTTTTTTTCTTCTAACTCATCTCTAGACCTTTTCAACACCAACGCCTCCATTGTCCGCGATCTCGCCAAGGCCGCTGCCGATGCTGCTCCTAACGCTAACATCCTCGTCATTTCCAACCCTGTTCGTCATGTCATATCTATATGTATAGTGTAAGAAGCAAGGCTAATTAAATACAGGTCAACTCCACCGTCCCCATTGTCTCCGAGGTCTTCAAGTCCAAGGGTGTCTACAACCCCAAGCGCCTGTTCGGTGTCACCACCCTTGACGTCGTTCGTGCTTCCCGCTTCATCTCTCAAGTCAAGAGCACCGACCCCGCCAACGAGGCCGTCCCCGTCGTTGGAGGCCACTCTGGTGTGACCATTGTCCCTCTTCTGTCTCAGTCCAACCATGCCGACATTGAGGGCGAGGCCCGTGACGCTCTTGTCAACCGCATCCAGTTCGGTGGTGACGAGGTTGTCAAGGCCAAGGACGGTGCTGGTTCTGCTACCCTCTCCATGGCTTTCGCTGGTGCCCGCTTCGCTGAGTCCCTCCTCAAGGCCGCCCAGGGCGTTAAGGGTGTTATTGAGCCTACTTTCGTTGACAGCCCTCTCTACAAGGACCAGGGCATTGACTTCTTCGCTTCCCGCGTTGAGCTCGGCCCTGAGGGTGTTGAGAAGATTCTTCCCGTTGGTGAAGTCAATGCTTACGAGGAGAAGCTCCTTGAGGCTGCCCTTGGTGACTTGAAGAAGAACATCAAGAAGGGTGTTGACTTCGTTGCCCAGAACCCTTAAAAAACCTCGAAGAAAAGAACGAATTAGAGACTTGAGGTGTATGTTGTGATGAAGAGCTGCATACTATCGGATGGGTTTCTCTCCGTTTCATCGTTCAATAGCAGTCTAGATCGATCTGTGTTTAGTCTGGTATAGTTAATATGTAAAACAGAACAATGATATTTCCTTTGTCGGACAATTAATAAACTCTTATCAGAACACTCTTGTCTTTGCATTTAATTTCGATTATTTGATTTTCCATAATGCCTTTTAGCACTCAGGCAGTAGTAATAGCCCTAATTCGCAACCAACATATATACGTAAAAGTTTACAGTACATCGCCAGTCGAGGAATAACATTGATATATTTTGAATCATTTATTCAATGGAGACCTACCGCTCAAAACAGTTATGATGGGTGGGGGAGAAAGGAAAGATTTCTCTTCGTGACACATACATTGAAAAGGAAACGAAAACAATACAGAATGGAGCAGGATGGGTAATCGGTTGGAATTATCATTCATTCTCTTCATAGATGGATTGATTGGGGTTGATTGATCCATGGGTTGCTCGTATTTATGTTTTTTTTTTTTCGTAAGTTCGCGATTTGGGACATTGTTGTATGTATGCGTTAGATGGGGATGGACGATGAGGTGGAATGGGATTGGATATGGAAATGAAAGTGCCCCCAAAAAATGAAGAAGAAGAAGAAAAGAAAAGAAATAGAATAGAAGGGGGAAAAGTTAAAAGAAATGCTCTCAGGTGTAACTTCTCATTGCATCCAAATATCCTGTTCCACCCCTCAGATCCTGATCGAATGTTTCGGCGACTTCTAGGACGCGCTTGATATGTGACATGGAGAGGGCGGCCTTTTCGTTGACGGCTAGTGCTTGTGCGGTGCGGACGGAGTTTTTGATCTATTTTATACTTAGTATTACCGTCTGGAAGGAAAGGGGAGAGAGAGAGAGAGTGTGTGTAAGTGAATATACCTGTCGTCCATTGAGGTTGTGACGCGCAAGAACATCAAGATCCTTGTCGGTGAAAGTAGACGTTTCTACACCGTCAATCGATTTGACTTTCTCCAAAAACATCTTCCAGATACTCCGTTTCGCCTTGGTGGTTAGATCGCCGTAGCGCAGCGCAATGTGGATGCGAGACTGGAACGCGTCGTCGAAGGTTTCCACGCGGTTCGTGGTCAGGAATAGGATTCCCTGGAAGTACTCGAGAAGACGGAGGAAGATGCTGACGAGTGCGTTACGGTGGATATCCTGAATCGTTCGCTTTTCCAGGAACACATCGGCTTCGTCTAGGAGTAACACGGCGCCCCAGGAATGTGCAATGTCGAGAATTTTGTTGAGCTCCCCTTCGAGACTGCGTGAGTCTGTCCCCAGTTCACCTGCACTGACCATGTAGAGAGGTCGTTTTAGGAGCTCGGCGATTCCTTCGGCTGTCAAGGTCTTGCCTGTTCCTGGTGGTCCGTGTAGAACTGCCACGAGGCCCTTGCCTTTGCCTTGGATGACATCGTCGATGTTTTGAGCGGCGTTGAACGTGTGGGATTCCACCAGCGCTTTCACAATGGATTTCTGGTTATCTGGCAATACTAGAGAGTCAAATGCACCCTCGTTCCACTCGATTTCCTTCACGCCAGACACGCTGAATTCAAGCCACAGTTTCTCGCTGAAGGCAAATCCAAATACCACGGGGCTAGCGACCAAGAGATCTTCTTCGGTGAACTCTGGCTCTGGGGATGATGCCTTGCCATCTTGGTTGTTGTTATCATTGTCAACCGAATCGAGGTTTTCCTTATTTGTGATTTCAACACCGTTTTCATCATATTCAATCTCAACCACGTGGGCTTTGCCTTTCTTGTCCCGGACTATCTTGAACTTGGGACGCGGAGGCTCGGAGTCGTTGTTGCTCATATCATGGTGTTCCTCGTCGGACGACGACCCTCCGCAACAGCAGTCCTCGCTATCTGCGTCGGAGTCCGAATCGAAAACGTCAGGATCTTTAGGTCTGACTGTGCTGATAGGGTAGTTGGGGTTGATGCGGCGGTGTAGAGCAGGGTCTATCATGACTCGTCCGTTGATGTTGACTTTGATAACTGACCGCTTTTTCTTGAAGAATGCCATGCCCTTGTGGAAGCGGTAGTTCATGCCACGCAAAGCAACAAATTGCTTCCCACGCTCGATAAGCTTGGCTTTGAGATTCTCCGCATCACGGTGGTATTTCAATGGATAACACGCCAAACTGGTGATCTTGCGGGCTCCTTTGAAAGAATCGACATCTGCAGCCATACTACCCATGCCGAATGATTTCCCATCATATTCAAGATATTTTCCCTCAATCACATACCATGTTCCTTTCATGAATGACGATTCTCTAGAGGCATATTCAATTTTGAAGGCCCGTGGCTCGTCGGTATGGCCGTATGTGGGGGTGTACGCAATAGTGTTAGGTTTGAACAAGGCCCAGAGGAGATCAAAAGTAATCATGTTGGACTCAAGCAGCGGATAGAGTGTCTTCTTGGTCTCGGCATAGTCAGTGTCGAGGTATTTGAGCAGGATTTTGAGATGGGCAACTTTGGTGGCAGCCAGTTTCCGAGCCTTTTTCTTCTTCTCAGTTTTGGCAAGCTTCTTCAGCTCCTTCATATGAGAACGAGTTTCTTCCAAATACAGGAAGAGCATATTTGGGTCAACGACTGGAGTTTCGGCTACTAAGCTTACTCCTTTGACACCATCCATGACGGTGGCCAAGGCATCCCTCAGAGGCTTGCTCTTGATATCCACCCATGTGTCCATGTACTTGTTCTCCCAGTCGAATTTACGGCGCACGGTGAAAATGTATTGATCGAACTCGTCAGCATCGGGGTCATCCATGGTCTCTCGGAGCTTGAAGTTATGAATTGTACTATCCCAGACTGTTTCGTAGTGCGTAATTTGTAGTTTGTAAGCAAGTCATTCCTCATCCGCTTTTCAGCTAGTATATTGACTTACGCTCATCAACCCGCTTAAAGGCCACCTTGGAAGCCCGTTTAGATTTTCCCTTCTTACCCCTTTCTCCCTTGTTTTCTTTGCCCCTTGAACGACGAGATCCTCCCTGCAACAGTTTAAGATTAGCCAACTGCTTACGCAATCTGAGTTCTTTCGAGTCAGGTACATCTTCCTCATCCTCTTCGTCGGGCAGATATTTCTTGGCCAACTTTTTCGCTTTGCGTTTCTGTTTCACCATCTTCGCGAGCTGCTGTTTCACGGCTTTCTGGTCTGCTAGTGGATCGTCGTCGTCGCTTGTGGTGGTTTCTGAATCAGACGACTCTTCCTCTTTGATGCTGCGGTGGCGTCTCTTCTTCTTTGACTTCTTCGACTTTTTTAGTTTGCGCCTCCGTCTGTGTCTGTCCTTCTCACTCTCACTGTTGCCAGATTCTGACTCAGAGTCTGTGGATTCGGAGTCTTCAGAGTCAGTTGGACTTGCTGACTCTTCGTCAGAAGATGACGACGACGACGACGACGACGACGATGTTGATTCCTCATCGTCAGACGTAGGCTCGACCTTGACCTTCGTATGTTTCTTCTTATTCTTGCTTTTCTTACTGGCCGCTTTTTTTGTAGTCAGGCGATGTTTGCGATTTTTGCACTTTGACTTCTTGCCTTCATTCTTAACTGCTGTTTCTTCCTTGGGTGTGGTTCCCACTGCCGTGGACTCTACATCGTTTTTGCTGGTTGCGGTGGATGCAACAGCCACTGTAGAGGAAGCAGTCGAGTCAGTCGAACCAAGAGGCTCAGTTGCTGGGGTTTGCTGCTGCTGCTCTTGATGGTCTTGCTCTTCCTGGTGGTCTGTCACAGGAGGCTCTGCCATGTTGGAAGCAATGGCACCTTCTGGCTGTTCTAGGCGATGCTGGTGATGAGAGGCAGTCTCTGAGGATGGTGTAAGGAATGGAGATGGCACAGTGCCAGGACTAGATGCAGATGCAGTTCTCTCCTGGGGCTGCATTGGAGTAGCCAACAAAGGCAAAGAGAAGGACAGGTGAGAGGGAGAAAAAGGAGAGCAGTATCTGCTAGAGTGCGTCAGTAAGAGGGCAAGGAGAGAAAGAAAGAAAGCAAGAGGCTGCTCACATCGGCAGGGCACCAGGGAATGAGGTGGATGGGCGCAGCACAAAGAAAACGAGGCAAACAGCAATCAGGTCGCACGAGTGAGTTGTTCTAGATCCCCCAGGCAGATCATGCAGGCGGTGAGGAGAGCTGGAGAATGTGAGCGTGTGAGGTGAGAGGTGAGGCAACAAGCAGCCAGCCAGTCAGACGAAGCCAGGAGCAGTGGACAAGAAGAAAGCGGCTATTTATGAAGCCAGCGAGGACTAGGCAGCCGCGCGCCGTTCGAGTCATCGTATGAAACGGCGAGGATGTCCTGCTATGGAGGTTGGTTGGGATGCTGCCTTGCTGAGTTGGCGCTGGCTGCCTGGATTAGCCTTAAAGCTAAGGCTCCAGCGGCAGCCTCAAGCCCTAAACTAAGCCGTGGGTCTTTCTCCATAACTTAACGTTAGTTAGTATCTAACTATGTATGACTATGAACATGCTAGACAATCCCTTTGATCACCTCTCGCCTAGCGCGAGCTTGCAGGGCCCTGTCGAGCTTCCCATTTCAATAGCATGCTCGGTACGGAGTAGATAATGTACAAACATGATGCGGCAAAGCAACGAGTCTGCCTAACCAACGCATGCGCATAGTGACGCTCGTCGTCATGTATTGAAAACTAATGAACCTCCAGGGCTAGCTAGTTGGATCGCAGCTCATCGACAGGCTAGCTGAACTCGGGGTTGGCTAGAAATGCGTCACCGACTTTTGTCTCGGTGCAGGGCTTGCATGAACTATTTTTCCGCGTCTGACGAAAGAATTAATTAAGCATCTTCGTGAGAAGTGGACTATTCTAATTTCTTTTCCAGAAAAATAAGAGGGAAAAAAAAAAAAGAAAAAAGAAAAAAGAAACAAAATTCTCTTCTTTGGCAGTGGCGTGGATTCAAAGTGATGCTTGTTAGAGCAAAGCGTGGCTGAGTAAGGTTGACTCAGAGAGTTAGGCTGCTTGCCTGATCTTCTGGGGTCGCCAATCGGCGGTCTTGCTTGTATTGACAAATGTGATATGTCTAATTCTGTGGGATATGCACTTGAACAATGCCAGGCAACCTGCAATGATGACCAAAGCCTGCATATGTGTTAACTAAGTTATGCTGTGACTTTGATGCTTAAGCTACGCGTAATATGCTTAGGGCCACGTTAGGATTCATTCAAAGCAAGTCGCTCTATGTCTCAATTTCATTCCCATCATGCATATTTCAGATAATCGACATGGGTATTCGTCAAACGCCAGCTTCAGAGCATGCCTAGACAGGTAGGTTCCTGGCAGTTCCGGCTATTCCATTCGCTGGAACGTGAAAAAAGAAAGCAACGAGAACAAGTTGGTGTAGAAAGGAAAGATTTCGTAACAAAAGATGACATGTCAAGTCCCATCGCCTATCCTTCCCCGACGTTTGCTTGCATCACAATAGACTAGCCATGCTCACATTTCCGCCCGTCGAAAAAGAACTACCCCAGATCGAACTTCCGTTTGTCAGCGTGGCCCGACCACTATTGACGTCGTCAGTGCTGCGACGCGGTAGCATTACTGGCTTGACTTTGGTCCCAACAAAGCCCCTTCGATCACGTCCAGTACGGCCTCGCCCGAGCCAATTGTGTTTCAGAGTTTTAGTTAATATTTCAATTCGTTCTTGTGGATCGTCGCCGCTTTGAATGCTAGCAAGCACGCTGAAACACTGCAGCATGCGACCTACCGTGTCTGTAATGACATGAGATGAGTCCGCCGTTTGATTGTTCCGCAAGGTCTGCAGCTGGCGTTGTGAAGGCGCTGTGAACGACTGAAAAATCAATTGGTCTGGGTTGGACGACGTATTGGAAGTCGCACGACTGCGATTGACACTGGCCGAGTCGGACGAGTAGCTACCCGCGATATTGAGCAGCGAGGATTGGGAGTTGAAGCTGCCGTATGTGGGATCTAAGGATGCCGCCGTACCAGGCCGGCCACCACTGTTGCTGCTGTTGGAAGTAGAACTCAGGGCGCCGATAGTTGCGTTAATGGTGTCGAGACTCAGGCGGGAAAACACCGCCTTCAGTCCCTCGTAGCGTTGCAATATAACCGTGTCACGAAATGCGACCAGCACAATTGTTCGGACATCAAGCTCGTCACCTATAGCACTTTCACTCGTATCACCATTTGTAGGCAAGCCACCCCAGAATTGCCTAGCATCCCAGGCATTCATCACCGATCCGCGTCCTTTGAATTCAAGGTCCAGCGGGAGAAAGACTGCCTGGATAAAGGGTAAAATCGTCCCAAACGCCAACATCCAAATCTGCATTAGATGCGGTACTAGTTTTTCATCTGGAACGCCACTAATCGAATGATTCAAAGCAGAAAACCCTGTACGCAGTAGTTCTCGTAGGTCTTCCACCACGGTAGGCATATGCTTTTGTACACAAAGCTGAATATGTATGATGACCAGCTTGTTTAGATCCTCCACAGCGATACGCACGTCGCCTCCATCAAATACAACCAGCAGTTTAGCCTTGAGAAAATCCCAAACATCTTCTGCCGCCATGTTATGTAGGCCAAATCCCTGAAGCATTTCTTTGACACTGTCGTTACTGATTGCGTTCCCAGAACTGCCTAGTGACGAGGGACCGTAAGATGTCACTGAGCCGTTGGCACCAGCACCAGTTACAAGAGGCCACTCTGAATCTGGATCCCGGTTGACATCAAATGCCTTTTCTTCTCTTCTCTTCTCTCGCAAAGCCCGACCGCCGTGGAGGAGGTCTAATCCTGATTTCGGGAATCCCGATGACGAAGGTCCCGGAGAAGATGGCGCAAAACTGTAAAGAGACTGTGGAGCATTCGGGTCTAGAGGTTTCGAGTTGCTAGAAGCAGATGATAACACTAGGTTACGGTGCTCGTCTTTGAGTTTCAACTTCTGGCGAGACAGGAAGTGGTGTTTGTGGTTTTTGTCTTTGTCCTTTTCCTTTTCTTTCTCCTTCTGACTCTCGCCCTTGTCAAGCGGTACTACTGTACTGGCCGATGCATTTGATAGGTTGTACATAGAGGAATTGTTGGAGCTCACTTCCGTTAAGTTCGTCGTAGATGCGCTAACAATCCTTGACAGTCCACTGGAGGTACCAAACCCGCCCTTACTCGGAGATGGTAGAGCTTTGTCTTTCCAGTCTTTATCTCTAGATATACCGATATGTTTCGGCTTGGAGAATAGCTTCATCTTGGATTTTTCCGTCTTCTGTTTTTGGTCTGCCAGCTCTGGCACTGCCGATTGCCGAGGAAATGCAATATTGGCAGCAGTCGTAGCTGCAGCCACGCGCGAGCCAACAAGCCCATTCTGGTAAGTAGAACCGGAGAAACCGCCTGCTCCAGCAGTTGTGACATTAGTTGCCAACTGAGCTGGAGGAGGGGAATCTCGGCTGGCCTTCCGGGTCTTCGGCCCGTCCTCGATCGGAACTGTCTGGGATCGATGCCGCGTGTGGTGTTGGGTAGATTGCATAGCCGCTTGAGCGGCGATCTGAGAGGCGGAAAGCGCTGTCATGGCTGCGCTATGGTCGGAGAGACTCGCTGTAGGGAGTGAAGGTTCGAAGAAGCCCTGCGAATGCTGCCGCGGTCGATGTCTCTGCAGTTCCTGCTGCAGGCCTCGTGGCGAGGGTTTCCTAGACACTGGATCGTTCGGCAGCCGCAGAGATGCGCCGGGAGGCCGCGACGAAGGAGGAGAGGGCAGGGAAACGTTGCTGCTGTTTGCACTTGGGCTAATGACGCCAATTGAGGAGGTTCGAGGAGGATGGGGAGAAGCGGTATTGAGAGCGTGGAGAGGGCCTTTGGGCCGGGTAAGCGTCGTTACCCGGGATGACACAGACGAAGCATCACTGTCAGACGAGCCCGGACGGTCGGTTTGAAGCTTTTGATGGCGAACTGTATCAGCCCGAGAATCAGGGCGGCTGGCGGGCGACCGATGCATTGTCAAGCACCAGAAGCAGCACCCAGGCAACCAGCATGCGGACGATCACTACTACTAGCACGGCATGCTCGTCGGGTTTTGCATCTGCAATCATAGAAGACAGTGGTCACAGGCAATTAAGGACGAGAAACGGACCCTCAGGGCCATGGCAGAGCATACATAAAACAAAATCCACGAGAGAAGGGACGCTCTGGCTTTGCTTGGCGCAACTTGTTGTTCGACGTTGCGAGATTGAGTGTTGGCAAACTGACCGAGCGAGATCCCGGCTGGGGGTGCCTGAGGCTGCCCTGCCCTGCCTGAGAGCCTTAGAGCCTGAGGCGCCCGGCGAATTTAAGAGTGGAGCCCGCCCCTCCTCAACTTCCATTACGTCGACGCTCAGTTGCGGGAAACCCTTAGTACTGCGCAGCATTGCAAAGAGCAGACTGTCTCTTAACACACAAAACACCCATCAAGGAATTACTTATCTATCCTTCCGACAATGATGTCCGGCCACAAGCAGGCAATATCTGCGTCATACGCTTCCCCGCGACCACCCACGTCCCAGCTTTTCCGACACGAGATCGCTACAGTTCTGGACCAGGAAGGCTCCGTGGCAAACAAAAAGGCATATTTAACGGAGCTTCGCGGCCTAGTCACCCTGGTACAGGCTGAAATTAACGTTTTTCTCACCGAGAGAATGGAAGAGGATAAACAAAGGGAAGGAGGTGGAAGCAAGGATGCAGAGCAGGAAGCAAAGGAGGAACAGAATTATGGCGAGGAAAACGTCGAGGATGATGATGATGCTTAGGTTGTGAGGCACACACATTCACCTTGACGAGGAAATTGTCCGAAGCGTTGGAAGAGAAGGAAGTGAAAAGCATCTTTTGCTTGAGTATCGGTCACCGCCAGCTTGGGGAAGGGAAAAGAAAAAAAATAATTGACATACACACTACATATTTCATACATTCACACTCGAAAGGAAGTACGGATACAATCGGCAACTAATTAAACAACTCCACTTCGCTTTGGGTATCATCGGTACAACGAAAGCAGGTCTAATCTCGATCGTTGCGGAAACGAAAAATTCAATGGAAACAGGAAGAGCTCATGCCGTAAGGGGCGCAAAAAAAAAGGAGGGAAGGGGGAAAAAAAAAAGGGGGCAACAGATGCCGCAAACAATGAGATCCGTGCTGAAATGGTATAATATTCCGATGAGATCAGTTATTTGGTCGACTTCAAACGATTCGCACAACCCAGGTGAACGACATTGTTACTAGAATCGGGCATTAGCTATATAGTCCTTCTCATGTTTCGAGATAGGCTCAGGAAAAATACATACTCTGGGAAGACACTGATAACGCTGCCGCCCAATCTCTTATAGCAAATACCGCAGGCGCGCTCTTCGGTAATTGTCACATGTCGACTCCGGGCTTTGTTATCGTCTGCAAGGCCCTCTCCAACCAGAAGCTGAGCTTGCATCTTAATATTCTGCGCCTTCTGCAAATTGGCTACGACACGTGCCTCGTTCATAATTGAGCTGGCAGCACGAATTCGGTTGCGGAAGTAGAACTCCAGTTCTCGCACGGCAATACCCTCGGGAATCAGGTCGAGTGTGGAATTCGCGGGCAGCCGAGAGCCGTGTCTGGCTAGTATATCCAATGCTGGGCCATACTGCGCCTTGTAGCCATGCGGAGGAGAAAGATAGAGAGACAGCAATGTCAGGTATATTGTGGGTTTGGTGTTATCAGCATCGGTGGGTGCCAGGCGCTGGGATGGCGCGACCTCAGCTGTTGTTGTTTCTTCCGTGATATGAATGTGATTGCAATATCTAATCATAATGAGAACATAATTTTGAGAGAAAAATGAAAAAAAGGGCAGCCACTTACTCTTCTGCTTTTCCATGTTCCTCCAATTTGAAAACATATATTTCTAGCGCCTGTCGATGCTGTCCCATCTTACTCAACACTATTGCCCTAGCCTCGTAGAAATCGGGATCTTCTCGCGGAAGAAGATTTAGCATTTTAGCTGGAGAGTATTGAGGACTTGACTTCAGAAAATCCAGAAATCTTGTCTTCCATGAAAGATAAATATCGTCAGTATCGACATTCGCTTTCTCTGTCCCTGCTTTGGCCTTGTAGTTCTTTAACCGTTCCAGATAGAGCTGTAGTAGCATCTGATGCAGATCAGGGCTCAAATCATTCAGCTCGTCAATCACATGTTCCAGATACCGAATTGCGAGGGCAACATCAATCTTCTTAAGAAACTCGACGACCTGATGTCGAGGGAGCGTCTCGGCATTTTCAGTGTCAGCCAAGAATATGTCCATGCCAAGTTCGGCGTCTTCACGTATAGGCCATTCTGCAAACTCAAGAATGAGATCAATGTACTCAGACGATAAATGCTGTAGATAAGCGACAGTCCGTTTCGGCCCCTGAAGTAAGGCTGCTGCAGGGTTATCTTCTTCGTCTTCAACCTTTGATTGGCCGAATTTGAGGAGTAATTCCAAGGCGCGACGATGCATTTTTTTGCCGTAGTAGAAATCGATCAGCTCTGTGTCTCGACCGTTCTCTTCCAGCTTCTCCATGACCACGTCAGGGTCACAGAAATTAGCGATGCGAAATAGAGAGCCGGCTAAAGAAGGCGTGGCATACATGTGCGCTCTGAATAGCGTTGTATCGACCAATTTAGCATTATCACGTAGTTTTTCCGCGAATTCAACGCTTTCAACATTTTGTGACAAGCCGAGCAACATGAGTACAGATTCTTGGAACTCGTCGTTTGCACCATCATGTTGCAGAGATTCAATACGTAATGTGCCATCTGCATTGAGGAATCTTTGGAATCGGCGCCTGACGTCTGCTAGATAACCTTGAAGCTCGCGCACTGCCATTTTGAGATCTTTTCCTTCTATAGTCAAAAATGTTAGAGATAAAAGAATCATTAGGTAGGTAAACGGTCTTACATACTCAAACGTTTGTTCGCGTCCAAATTCTCACTGGACTTCCCTCTAACACTGCCATCATCGCTCCCTTCCTCACCTTTGGGGCGTAGGAACGAAGTAAGAGACGGGGCGTAGGCAGGTGCTTTAGCAGGGGACACAGCATCTAAAACGGGCCCATCCGTCTGTGCATATATTCCACTCTGCCGCTTTGGGGTTGTAGGGGCTTCTTCTTCACTTGATTGCTCTGAGTCTTCCTCAAAGGCCGACAAGTCCCCTGCGATGACCTTCGGATATAGTCTTATGACGATTTCTGGGGGTGCAGAGACTTCCGCAAACAGGTCAAGAGCTTCGCGGTACTTTCGAGAATCAAATAACTTCTGTGCTTTTTGTAACCGAGCTTCACGTAATCGGCCTGCTTTATTCGTCAAAAGAGCATCCTCAAGCATGGTGGTGAGGCTAATTGCCTCGTCTAGATGCCCGTTTTCAACTAGTCCGTCAATCTGATTATCGTAGCTGAGAGCCTCCATTCTCCAAATGACCCGATCGCTGGCTACCAGAAAGCCTTTCCCAGCATGCGCTAAGCTTATGTTTGGATGTGGTATATGAAGCAGACTGGCCGAGGGTAAAGAAATGGACTGGAGGAGAGACAATGTATCGGGATTTCGAACCTCTAATGTGCCTTTGGAAGGTTCCTGCAGGGCGAGCAAGTATGGATATGAGTATCCAAGGGCTTCGGGGGCAGTATTCCATGGTATCTGTCGTTTCCCCAACGATTTGCCGTCACTGTCGATGAAGTGTGTGTTGACATCCTTTGCGAGCAAGACCTGCCCTTCACTTAGCCGTGTCGCTAGAGGTCTGGGTGCCGAGCCGCCCATTCCAATGTAACTCATGCTAACAACGCCAACCCCTCCTAGTCTACTCGATTCCTGGCCAGGACCACCGCCAATACTTCCTGGTCCAACAATGTCACTTGTTTCCATCGTCTCGATATCGACCAAAACATAGTTCGAGCTTAGGCCCGCTATTAGTCTCGTTCCCGAGATCCATGTCAGTGTCTTGATTCCGCTAACGAGGGTGATCTCGGTCACGTCGGAGCTCAGTTCCATGTCCTGCCATGTCCAGAGGAGAATCTTGCGTTTCACAGCGACGGCTAGGCGCGAAACAATCGATGGAAGATCGGTCTCTACGTCATTGATGACATTCGAAGTCACCGCAAATGTGCTCGCTCCTTTGCTTTTGGATAGTTGTTCCTGTAATTCGTAGCTTTGTAGATCATGCAACGAAACGTAACCACCAGCTAGTACGACCAGGATATTTGCTTCTTTGATGAAAGCAAGCTGCTCCGTCTTGTAACGCGTAAACTTGTCCTGTTCTCGCAAAAGCTCGGTCGAGTTCACGGCAGCAGACGTCTCTAGACGGTCGTCATCGCCTTGGTTATTATCGTCTTTGGCTGCTGCGTTTTCGGGCGCGTGGCCACTTCTTTCGTTCGCGGCTGCTGCTGTTTCGTTGATTCTGTATACCCTGAGATTGCCATTGTTAAGTCCAACAAGTAGACGGTCGCCGTATGCGAGGATGGATTCGATCTTGGATTTGTCGCGTTGCTTGAGTTCGACGAGCGGCCGCGGCTTAAAGGCGGATAACATGGTTAGGAGAGAGGAGCGCCGAGGTATGACTCCTTGGCAGTGAAATCCTTAAACAAATAGATAAATCATTGTCTATGAGTTGATGGCCATTGCCAGAGCTCAGGTGCTTGGTCGTCACAACAGGCGGAGTTGTTAGTGTAGGTCGATATGTATGCGATTGCGGAGACCTTTCAAGCTACCGTCATAGCAAATACGTCATGTGACTAGGCTGCGTATTCCTTCAACCCAAAAAATAATCCCGTAACGTTGGACTTCTCACTTTCGATGAAGGGTTTATATCATGCATACAAAGCATGCGTATCGTTATGTTTGGGAGGCTATAACCTCCTATAAACACGATAGGTTTACCAAGAGAGCAACTAAATTTCTACCTATGCGACCTAATTTGATGTATGCATATATACATTTATATATATTTGTTTAAATTCCAGATATAAAGCTGCAGCAACGAAGCTACCCGTGCCGAAACTATATCAAATGAAAGTCCTAGTACCGGATATATGTACCTAGTATGTACATTGTACAGCCGAACGCCGCGCCATGCCATTGCTGGACAAGTAGATATCCCAGTTTGAATGGAGAGAACAACCAGCAAGAGTAAATTAGGATCAAAGAGTTGGCTTTCTTTCAATACTTGTGGGACATCAGGAGATCAGATCAGTGCCCCGACTGTGTCCCTTCAGTTGGCTCTTGGTGCTTGGCTGAGGTTCCCTTGCCTCGCCACGTGGATACAGCTGGAATATTGGCCTTGAAACGTTTCTCCTCCGTACCAAACGCCCTAGGGGTCAATTTTATCAAAGTGTGCAGCGGAACTTCCATCCATGGGCTCTGTTCTTGGGACATATTATGGAAATAGGCGTAAATGCATCGCAATACCGCCTGGTGGGTGACAATCATAATATTTTCACTGCGTTCCAGCTCCATGATAATAGGTTCTAGTCGAATGACGACATCACGATATGACTCTCCGCCTCGGTACCGGTAGTTATATTTGTCTTCGTCTCGTGCGGCAAAGTCCTCTGGGTATCTCTCAGCAATTTCTTCGTACGTCAATCCATCACAGACGCCTGAGTCGAGCTCATCAAGCGCTTTCCATTCGAGCTTATCATATCCTGTCTCTGCAGCGAGATGTCGTGACGTCTGTATTGTACGCTTCAAGGTTGACGTCCAGATGGTGAGTTTTGTGCCGGGAGGAACACCGGACTGTTTTAGTAAGCCAGGGAGCGCACGAGCATAGGCTTCTCCACGAGTAGAGATGTCAGAATCGCCACCAATCTTCCCCGTCAGATTGTATTCTGACTCTCCGTGCTATTTAGCAGATTAGTTGTCTGACGTGTGAATAAGCAAGGGATCAAACATACCCGAGATAACCAGATAGACCGAGGTTTAATATGGAGATTTTGAATGTAATAAACCAGTCTACTTGATAGGTAGTCTTTGATCTGATTTATAATGACGGTAGACCCCACGTTTATCAACTTAACATAGGTGTATGACTTCTCATCATCATCTATCGTTTCGTAAACTTTCTCATAGTTGCGGATGCGATTACGAAAGTCTTGGGCTGCCACCTCCGGATCTTGTCCTTTATAATCGGGCGATGTCGTCTTAACCTCGAGTATATTGTTCATTATAATATCTTCGTCGTCGCAGGATGATTCTACGAAGAGTGTCTCGATACCGGCTTCGGCACAGGTCTTGTGAATCCAGGCCCGCCTCGCTTTCGTCGAGTTTGTGGCATCGAAGATTCCAACAACGCCGCCAGATTCCTTGAACCATTTCAACATATCTGATACAGCAGCCTCGGCAGCAGCCCATCGCATCTTTTCGCCTTCCGGATTGTGTGGATCAAAGAAGTTTGCTAGGGGGTGAGGCGACACCTTTCGACGGTACGTCCCTACGTTGAATATGCGCGCTGTAATTCCGACCCAGGCGAGGTATCGCAGAGCTAATTGAAACGTGAGTATTTCGCACAAACACTTGCTTTGTCCCAGCTAGCGTACCTTTTCCAGCAATAAGACTTTTGCCCCGCGCGGGCAAGCCAACCATAACGACGCATATTTTTGTATCGTCGGACTAGTGAAGGAAATGTTAGTTTCACTAATAAGTACGGGAAAAAAAAAGGTCATGGCCAACCGAAGTTGGCGTATGATTGAACAAAACAGCAAGTGTAGGAAGGCAGAAAATTGACATGATTTCCCTGACACGAATAAGATAAATTGAAGCTATGAATATCACAGTGAAAGGAATTATTACTGGAATGTGAAAGCGAATTTGTTTTTTCTGGCTGACAGCAGCAGCGATGCGGGTCATGATTTCATATAAACTTGGCCCGTTAAGAGCCAATCGATTTGCACTGGAGGATTGCAAAGGTCGCGAACGCAATCACTTTTCGCAGAAGAATCAGTGGTAATTGTAGCTTTGAATCATAACCGACAACCGATAATCGAATCTGTGACTGCCCAAGTAATACCTCAGAAGATTGCAGATTGTAGATCAACGCGGCGATCGTTTAGGGGCCCGAATGGAGGAGAGACTCTTAAATCTGGATAGTCTACCGGCATGGAATGCGAACAAGGGCAAAACGAGACATTTAAATCTGGACAGTCCGCCAGAATGGTATGCGAAAGACAAAAGAATGTAATAATGCTCCTTGACCGCTCACATATTTCGTAGTCTGTGAGCAATTTTATGGGCCTGGGCCAGAGCCATCAACATCTTTTGAGGTATCATCTGACACAAATGTCGAATGAGCGGTGTTGGAACTTGGGCAGGGCTAATAGCTTCTTCGCGACTAGGCCGGACCAGATCCATCGATGGCGGGTAAACTAGGCGGGGAGTTATCCGAGATTCAAAGATGACGAATTGAAACCGGAAAAAGCTCATGGTTAAGCCTCGGTGAGCGCCTCGCCCCTCGGTAGCAGCAGGGGTAGCTTCGCTATCTCTTTAGTCCCTTCAGCTTGTGAGTTCGATTTTCCGTCGTCTCAGCAGATCCTTCGGGTGAACGGTGCAATCAACAATCATTCGATGCTACCAGACTACTTTGTTCAGGAGGCCGATTCCCCCTCTGCGCCGCAATTGCTGAACACGATTGACCATCTTCCAAGACACGACAGTAGATCTGATCCACTAGTGATAGTGCAGGGTATGTAGTCCGCAAGACGAAGGAATGTATGTCGAGCAACGACAAAAAGGGAATAATCGATAGGAATATGCAGTGCAAAAGTAGTAGAATAGAATATTGAAAGAAGCCACTTACACTAGCATAGAAGGTCTTGCTTGCCGACTCTGTGCGACCGGATTCCCCAGATGACATGATGGATCAGATCGTCGCAAATGCCGCGCATGTAGGTGAAGGGGATCAAATGAAACAAGAATTTCAAAGATAAAAAGGCTTTCCTGGCAGCTGTTTGCCGGTCGTGGTTGATGCACGTCGAGTCCGGTCTCAAAACGAAGAGAGCGGCCAGTTGTTCACGGTTTGAGCGGTTCCTGCGGCATGTAAACAAGCTCTCGCTTGTTCAGTCCTTGGAAAAGCGCGACGCGTGGAACTGGAATGCCAGAAATGAGCAAGCTGTTGCTTCGTAGATATAGTCGCGCGTTTACAGACCTGTTCAGTGCAGGCTGTGGGTGAGTTGGAAGTCAACTTGAAGGTCTTCTGGAATCGCGGGGCAAGACCCAAGCAGGGAAGGAGCTGCTGGCTGCGAGCTGTGGCGGGGAAGCTGCCTACCGCGGACTACAGCGGCCGCAACGACAAAAATCGGGCTTGCCTCTCACCACTCTCTGTGCTCGACAAGCTCTGTACACAAGGTAACGCGATCCACGAAGTTATTCGATTATTGCAGTCCAAACCCACGGCCTCCTCATTCGCGGAGGTTATCTAAGAGCTATCCAGAAGATCAATTCTACTTCTACAGATTGAGACGTGAACCAAGAACGACCACAACACGAAAAGAAAGAAAGAGAGAGGGAGAGAAGGGATATACATAATAACAGTACCAATACCAAATGCCACGGGTTGAAAGCCATGTTCCAAAATCATTGGAGACATACGATCAAACTAGTTCTGGCCGAGCCCCGTCAACACGATCAGAGCAACGTTCAGCACAGCTATCAATAGCCAAATTACAACGCCGATGGCGATCGTGAAGATATTGTTCTGCATATAGACCTCCTCCGAAGACAACGGATTGCGCACTACCATCACCGACTTGCGACTTGTAAACCAGATCAACGGTGCGCTAGTAAAAGGGAGAATCACACTGAGTGCGACTTGCGTCCCGTTCAATGCATTGGTCAGGCCTTGCATACCAACAGCTCCAGCAATGATGATGCTTGGTATGATGGAGATTGAGCGTGTGACAAGCCTTCGAATCCAAGGCCGAACAGTCCAGTTGATTTGACCCTCGCTCACAATCTGTCCGGCAATGGTACATACAATACCGGCCACGATGCCAGAGAAAAGTAATCCAAGAGCAAACAACGTGCCCGCAGCGGGCGTCAATGTGCTAGATAGGAGATCATGCACCTCAAACAGAGATGCATTGGAGGCACCATCAATGTTGTAGAGGCAGGCACCAGAGACAATGAGAATTGCGCTATTGACAAATAAAGCAATTACAAAGAGAATCAACACTAGTTCTGTGATGGAAGTCGAAAGACAGTAACGGATGGCGGCGATACTGGGCCGGTACTTGATCTCCTCGTCTTCGGCGTTTGGGAAAGTTCCATGTTTCTCGTCGTATTCCCGAAGGCGAGGCTGGACAATACCGCTACCAAGATAGAGACTGTGCGGCATTACTGTGGCGCCGAGTATTCCACAGGCTTGAACTAGTCTTTATTATAGGAGTCAACAAAATTCACAAAGAAGAGGGAGGAGAAAAGCTCGCTCACCCGTCTGACTGGACGAGACTGGAAGACGGTAAATAGCCTCTAAATACTTCACCAATGCTTGTGTCCCTAAGCAACGATAACTCAATGCAAAAGCAGATGGTCACGGCGAGGACTAACAGAGCCACAAACGCTTCAAAAAAGCGGAGGCCTATAGTTGACCCAGATGGCTGGTAGAACACAAGTAGGACAAGAACATCAAAGATTGAGAGCGCACAGCCGGCAATGAGGGGAATATGCAGGAGCATATTCAAGGAAATGGCAGTGCCTATGACCTACAAAAGAAGTAAGCTTCTATAATCTCTCGTTCCTGTCTTTATGTTGGCTGTACCTCTGCAATATCGGTGGCAATGATGGCAGCTTCTGCAAAGAAGTATAGGAGATAATTGAGCCATGGTGGACAGTGTTCTTTGATGTTTTCAGCCAGATTGAGTCCTGTCACCGAGCCTAACTTCACACATAGCGCTTGTAGGTAAACAGCTATAAGATTGGAGAGCAACACGACAAACAAAAGCCGAAATTGAAAGGCCGCTCCGGCAGAAGCATCCGTCGAGTAATTCCCTGGACAAGGCACATTATTTCATTAGATAATCATGGAGAGAACGAACAGGGTACCTAATTGGGCATTGCTTTACCGGGATCAATATATGCCACGGCCACCATGAAACCAGGTCCGACGAATTTGGAGAACTTCCAAGCACCGTCACCAATTTTGCGTGCTATTGCTCGAGCTTTCGAGCGATAAAAATGGTTGTTTGTATTATTTGGGAGAACTTGCGAGCAGCGGGGGATATCTTGATATCCCTCTGCTGCCCGTTCGCCCTCGTTGGCTGGCGCAATTGCTGGTTGCTTGGGCTCACCTCCTTGGCTGATGCAACAATTCGAGCTGCTAGCCTGAGCCATGTCCGAAGACGTATCCTGGTGGCTGGCACGGTGATAGCGCTGGTTTACAATGCCGTTGCCATCTGCATTGGTATCCAACGAGAGCGGGTTTGGCTGCTGATTCCATCCGTTTGGCAATGCCTCAGGATCAACTCGGGAGGGGCAGTTCATTTTGAGGAATTGCGACTGGAACAGTTACAGTATGGTATATGATATGAGTTGTTAGTGTGAGATAGTTAATGTAGCTTTAAAGACAGCGTGACAAGTAGTAATCAAGCGTCTCCCACAAGGTCCTTATGGGCCTAGTGCGTCTACTATTTCTTGTATTAGCCAATCAGCGGCCGTCCTAGATGCAAATTGCGCAGTGAGAAAATATAGATTTGGTAAAAACGGATTTTTGTGGTTATTCTTCTATATATATATATACTTTCCATTTAACAACGGCCGTTTCGTACATCGTGACAATTCATGGCTTGTTTAGATATCATATCAGTACAGACCAAATGGAAACAAAATAACTTTTCCCCCATCCATTGAATGCATTCAACATATGAGATCATGACAAAGAAGACATTATGCCGGCGTTTAGTAGAGTTTAAAAGAGAACAAGAAAAACAATCGAGGTAGTTTAAGCCGCAGAGATGGCTGCAGCAGGCTCAGAAGAGACTTCTTCTTTCCGGGATGCAGCCCACCTCTGTCTCTCTTCAGGCTTCCACGACTCGCCGCGGGCTCTTCCAAGCCGTACTTTTCCTCCCCAGGGCCCTTCTTGTCCATCGAGTGCGACCTGTGCTGCTGCTGCCTCTTCGACGCTGGCGAAATCGACAAATAGGTAATAGTGGTTACCGGGCTCGAAGCGTTTGGACGGATGGGGAGAAATTAGCTTTGTGATGGCCTCGCTAGATATCGGGGGAAAAAAGAGTCCTTGTAGTCAGTATCATCGTTGTGGTGCACCGGGGTGAAAAGCTGCAGGTACATACACATTATATCCCTTGAAGAAGGCTTGAATATCCGAATCGATGGCTTCCTGATCCACGATCTTGGGGAGGCCTCCAACATATAGACGGCGACTGTTCTCATTGCTGGATGCTTTCGCCTGAGGAGAAGGGGCGTCACTTCGTTGCCAACGGTCATTGGTGGCGGAGGGAGAACCATTGAAGCGAGAGGGTGAGTTTTGAGAAGAGCGCAATGTTGAACGGTCTTGAGACGAAGACGACGACGACTTTGCAACACCAGGCTTTATTCTAACGGGGCGTCCCTGGAAGTCATTGCCATCCAATTCTACCATGGCGCGGTCTGCTTGCTCCTTTGTGGCCAGTTCGACAAAGCAGTACGACGGGTTGCGACCTGTAAAGGGATCGACCGAGATGTCAATGCGTTCGCTAAGGGTAAAGAAAATCAATCAGCCGAGTCGCGCACTTTTATCTCAGTAATAGGCCGCACATTGTATAGTCTCCTCCCACGAAAATTGTCTCCACGTCCTCTTTCTTGGCCGTGTAGGGCATGTTGCCAACATACAGCCGTCGGCCTTCGGTGATTGCCTGGGAGACTGGCTGCCATGACTTGTTGTTGTTGCTATTGAAGGGCGAGCGAGAGGAGTTATTGGTGGACTGGGTTGTAAATCGAGGGCTGCCGCTGCTAGGGCTGTTTTCAGTCTTCATCCGCCAGTTTGGCGAGTTGAAGGCTCGACCGGTAGTGCGGACACCATTTTGGGGCGCTTGCTTGGTGGGTGCTATGGACTATTGTTCAGCATATACCAAGGTGTATAAACGAAATGCTTTCGGGGAGAGCATACTCCACTGTTGTTGTTGTTGTTGTTGTTGTTCGCTAGTCTGCTCCGTTGCGTCGGACATGTTGGCTGCGGGTGATATCGCGACTATTAGCAACCGCGCAGAGTCATTGAGCGCAAGACACGCAATGAATTGGGAAATATTACCTTCTGGTGTCGCGAAGAGAGATCTTGACAGACTCGAAGTGGAAAATGTGATATAAGAAAAATTTCCCGCCTAGTGAGATTATTGTTGGGCCCCGCAAAGAAGTTTGGGTACGCGGAATACAAGAACTCTACTGTAGTCGAAGACTAGACCTCAAGAGAGAGGAGCAAGTTAATAGATAAATGAACCTAGTTACATCTAGACTCTTATAAATTCCCATTCCTTCCTGTGGACAACAGTCAAATCTGACATTATCGCTGGTGGGCAGTCAGTCTGAACTCTGAACTCTGAAGAGAAATAAACCCGGCTAGCTCTTTCAGGAATAGCGCGCCGAGTACAAAGACTTCCGTGTGTTTCTTTCTTCCTCTTCCCTTCGCTTACCACTTGCTTCGTGCCATAAAAGATGAAAGTCTTCCTCATCCGCCATGCTGAAACTGTCCATAATGTAGGACAAGTTTGGTATTACAATAATTCTCCACTTGCTTGCTTGCTGCATCGTGCCATTCCTATTCCCTTCCAAGCTTCAACTGACTGGAAAATGAAACTTATCATACAATAACAAACTGAACAGGGCTGGAAAAACAGACTCCCCTCTCACGAACCACGGCATCCTTCAAATCCAGCATCTCGCAACCCATTTCCGCGCGGCTCAGATACGCTTTACGCATGTCTTTTCGTCCGATCTACAGCGAGCCGTGGCTACTGCGGAGGGAATATGTGAAACACAGCAGCGTGTGGACCAGGCGCCTCAAATGATTACGACAGCGCTACTGCAAGAGCGGGATTTTGGGTCGTGGGAGGGTGTCACGTTTAAAAGACATACTTCGTTGGAGACGACGCATCGTGCAGGAGAAACAATAACAGCAACGGGACCCGCAGAAACAGAACTGGCTATGCGCGGACGCGTAAATACGTTCTTGTTGCAGTATTTTCTTCCCGCTCTTCGGGGTGCTGCTGCTGACGATGACGATGACTACCAGGCCATCGCAATCGTTGCGCATGGGGTCATCCTTCGTGTGCTATGGACATGTCTTGTTGAGGCCCTGTCTCCACTAGACGTACACTATCGTTGCAGTAGCAGCACGCTTGAAAGTGCTGCTGCTGTTAACCCGCATTGGAGCAATACGGGGTATATGGAGTTATCTATTCGTCCTCGTGTCAAGGACACGAGCTCTTCTAGAGGATCAATAGCAGTCCTATCTATAAATAACACCACGCATCTGCGAGACTTGCGACGTACAGGCGGCGGGATAGGTAGTTCAGCGCATGATGGCAGGCAGCGAAGTATTGCGTCTTATTTCACGGCTGCTAGACAAGCTGAAAAGTAGAGAGGGAGAGAGAACTCAAATGATGATACCCGTTTCACACAGACCTGTTCCGAGGATATTCTACTCGATGCGGAAAGTGAAATTACATGTCCAACTGCTGTCTGACTGAGTTGTTCTCTTTTCTTTTCTGCTTGTTACGTTGATTACTCAGGGTAGATATTACAGACACAATCTAGTTTATCCATATATTCATCATATTAACATGTCTAATTCACGATACACAACTTGATCCGGAACAGGTGAATCCTCCTTCTCATAAAGAACTTCGGGCCTGATATTTTTCCTCCGGAATATATACCGCTTAATTACATACGGAATCTGGCGCAGACCCCATGCAGCATGAAAGCGCGTCGGGACAGAAAACACCTGGTCTAGTTCTTCGAGCGTCTTGCCCTTTGTCTCGGGCATGAACATCAAGACGAGCCACCAGCCTACAACGTTCCAGGCGCCGTACCATGCGAATCCGCCTGCAATGGAGAAGCGGGATGATAGCGATGGCCAGGTAATGGCTAGCACGAAGTTGAAGAACCATGTTGTTGCGGTCGCGAGTGACATGCCGTATGATCGGACGTAGAGCGGGTATGCCTCTGCTGAGTAGGTGAATGGTACGGGGCCTTCGCCCGGTGAATACACGACGCCGAATAGGAACAGCCCTAGGGATATGCATCCTATGCGGGCCGTGTGGTGTATCTCGGGGATCAGGAAGCTGAAGCCCGTGAAGAACATGGATATTGCCATCATGGGGAATGTTGATAGTAACAGATTGCGTCGGCCGAATGTGTCGATTGTGTAGATTGCTGGTATGGCTAGTAGCCAGTTGGTGACGCCCCATCCGAGGGACGCGCCGAACGCAGATATAGGGGAGAAGTTGGCATCGAGGAATATCTGAGACGAGTAGTAGGCAATGACATTGACTCCGCAGAACTGACTCGGTTGGCTTTGACTCGCAAGAAGCAGAAGGTACAACTTACCTGTTGCAAGAACATGACAATCTCCGATGCTATTAGAGCACGGCGATTGCGTGGAACCGTGATCAACTCGAGAATCTTGTTCTGTCCTAGTTTCATGCCCGTCTCGGCTTCCAGGAGAGTATGCATGTAGTATACGTCTCTGGCGGCTTGTAACTTTGTGTATCGGAGTCGACACATCGAATGATATGCTTTATCATAGAGGCCTTTACTCATGTACCAGCGAGGCGACTCCGGGCAGCTGAACACAAGCAGCAGAACAATAATGGCAGGGATGCATGCAGAGCCCATCATGAGACGCCAGTTCAAGCCAATGATATTAGGCAGATCTTGCACCTTGAAGAAGGCTAGATCAGCTGCGTATCCAAACATGATGCCGAACGCCGTCCACATCTGCCATTGCATAACCAAGGCGCCTCGGATGGCTGGAGGGCTTGTCTCGGCAGCGTAGATGGGCACAGTAGCTGATTTGGGGCCAATGCCAAACCCGAGGACAAAGCGAGCTATGAACATGTGCCACCAGGTATTGACAAACCCTTGCCATATGCATGCCAGCGAGGAGATCACGCAGGTGATGAAGATAGTTCCCCGGCGACCAAACCAGTGGTTGAAGGGAATCGTCAACCAACAGCCGGCAATGGCACAGCACAGATATGGAGCCGAATTGAGGAGACCGAGCAGCCAGGTAGACCGTGAGTCCTGACCAGCTATGCCGAATTGCTCTTTGTATAGCACCTGCGCGCCGTTGACCACGGTCTCATCTAGCACACCGATGAGACTTATATCAGGAAGAAGGTACAAGGAAAAGAAAACCTACCCATTCCCTGAACAGCAGCACAGATAGAGCAAATCAGAATCACCACATACATTAGCGGCGGCTGAGACCAACGATTCGTAAACTCTTTGCGCAGCACCCTCAACTCATCTTCCGTCAGACCCTCAATCTGCTCAAACTTGTCGGGGGCCTGTGCCAGAACAGCGCCCATCTCGAAGGCGCGGATATCCTCTTCGTCGCCCATTTGGTGAGTGATGCTGAATCGCAGGCCCTGCTTCTTCAAATCGTCGTGACTGTATCCGGCCAGCGGATTGGCGAGTTTGGCGTTGAGGTTGCGTCTCACTCGCTCAGCAGCGGTGAGATGCGAGCGGCCTCGAGCGAGCGTGTCGGTCTGGGCGACATAGTTGACGGTGTCGTGCTTGTATTTCCTCCCATGTTTCTTGTCGGCAAGCATGGTGAAGTCTTGCCGGCTTCAGTGGAAGCCTGGTAAGAGCAAGGTCATATCAAAGCGACTTCGCATGGGAATGGTATTTCAGGCGGTCTACAAACAAAGAAAGAAAGAGTCGGCAAATTCGGGTTTTAAGACAGCTAATTGCTTGCTATTTATCATTCTAATTCCAACCAGCTAATTAACTTAAAAATCGGAGGATGCTTCCATCCTGCTTCCATGCTAAGCCTGATTGATTGGATTCGGAGATAGGACCGCCGCCCTCCGTATGGTTACTATACTATATAGATCCAATCAATAATGTTGGCTTCAACCTTGTAGGGCATGAGTCTAATTGGGCATAGCCTCATGCTCATGGAAAGCCCGCGTCTGAGCGCAGTCAGCCCCCTCGCTTATGCCTGGAGCATGGATAATTGGTTGGAGCTGAAAGGCGATCAAAAGACGAGCTAGGACTTGCGGGCATTATCTTTTGTTCGCATTCGCATTCGCCATGCCATTTGGCCGGCATTAGTTTACTAGTTAGACAACTACTTAACTAGTTAGTCAACCTACTGAATATAGAAAGAAAGAATCATGTGACGGCTTCCAGAAAAGCCATGGAACAACCTTGGGAGGATTAACTTTCCAAGATGGCGCTGCTGCTGCGGCTGCTATTGGCTGGCCATGTCTGGGGGCCAATATTGATAGAATGGAGGGATTTTAGTTCAGTTCAGCTTATACGATGATTGGGTTAGCTTGCGCTCTACTTGAAACCAGGCAATGTAGACTACTGGCCGCTGGCTGATGCATAAGAGTGTAATATAAGTTAAGATAGACGTGTTTAGCAGGCATAAACCATGTGACATATCTATAGACACGAATTGCAGCATAGGAATAACAACGCGATCATTTAGTTGGTGCTCAAAGCATGCAAGAAATAGAATCGATTTGAAGACCACCTGGGCAGAGCACGGTTCAACCCGAGTATATGACCGAGTCCAACTCAGCATGCAGATTAGGTATAGACACGTCTGTCGGGCTGGTCAAGTCAGCCGCTTGGATTGTCTGCACAGACTGATGTATGACTATGTACGTAGTACATGGACAGCATGTTACGGAGCTGCTTGCTTGCTTGCATATGCTCGTAATTTTCCTGGTCATCCCCACATATACACGAGCTGAACTGTCCTGTGTATGCGTTGTTCGAAGTGTTGAAACTTATTTGACTCGACACGAGCTGAGAGTTATATTCATTTGATTTATGTCTTCCCCCCCTTTTTTTTTCCTTCCTTTCCCGGTCGGGATCTTAACTTCATTTCACCTTTGGGGGGGGGGGGGGTTTATTGGTCTTGATTTCAAATCTCTCCTGCTGTCTGTCGTTCGCAATGTATAATTGGGGTGAGCCGGGTGTCCAGATTAGGGTTTGCGTGGCACCTGACTGGCACTACACATCACGGAAAATGAAATGCATGCAAACGAGTACCTCTTTGTACTATCCAGAATGGTCAGGAAGATCGACTGGTGAAACATATATTGAGCAAGGATCTAAAAATCTGAATCTGCAGGCGTGTGTGTATGTGTGTGTGTGCTCATCATTATCACCGTCTCACAAGGAACTGGTACATAACATGTGCTGGCTGGGCTGGCTGCTCTCAAAGCCTGGCAATGATGACAACAACCTTTGGGACCCTGGAGAGAGAGAGAAAAAAAAGAAAAAAAAAAAAAAAAAACAAAGCGCTGACGTTACTACTTCGGCGGGTGGGCATTGGGGTTACCATTGCCATTGCCGTTGGAAGGAGTAGAAGATGAGAATGGCAGCCAGAAAAGATCACGAATCAGCCACACAATATACAGAATGCCGAGCACATAGAGATACGCGACAATCTTGTACGCAGACGAGCGCCATGTGACTCTGCGCCGAAGCTGGTAACCCGGGGGCCCTTCGATGGGATTTCGTCGAGACATCATGTTCTGCGGAGGAGAATAAGATGACGACGAAGGAGGAGGGGATGGATGTCCGTTGGCAGGATAAGCGTAGTATGCTGGTTTGGATTGTTGCTGTTGCTGTTGCTGTTGCTGTTCACTTTGCGAGTAGCCACGCTGCCACATGTTTGCTGATCACCAATCAGGGCTGATAGAGGGCCGGACAAGTTGACATAAAGTAGAGAATTTTATAAAGATTCGTGTTGGCTCTCTTTAAAATATGGTATTGAGTATTGTAGTCAAACTCAACAACAACGCGTGTGGGCGAACTCTTTTTTTTTTCACCTTTCTCCCCGACCAATCCTGATTTAATGATTTGTTCACTCTCGCCTCTGCAGGGCCCCAACCAGGCCCACCTCCCACCTTGATTAGTCGCGACGTGAACGAGCCAGCGTTGAGCGGACCGCAGAGAGGTAGAAGACACGGAGGCAGTAAATCAAATAAGTGGCGCTGGAGGGGAGAGTCACTGGCGGCACCCGCTTTTTTCCCGCGTGTTTATACTTCCACGTTCCCGAAGAGGGCAAGAGATATACCTTAGTTGATATGTATGTATGTATATATGTGTATATTTACGTATATAGAAAATTCGGCTGACCGACCGACGCAGGAAAAAATTCAATTGACTAGTGCGTATGTGATGTATTAATTATTCCTTCAGGCGGCACGAGCTCAGGCCGAACGGGAGTCCAAAGGAAAAATGATAAATTAAGCGTCATGGTAACGGTAACTAACTAATAATAATAATTTATAAAGCAGCCGGATCGGGCAGTTTGCGTTAGTTGCGAAGAAGATGCGGATCCAGGATGGATTTTAGCACTGTGAGTACGATGGTGGATGGATGGATTTATATGCGCTCCAATCATGCACGCGATCAGGCAATGTTAGCCTTTGCATCAAATCCCAGAACAGGGTTGCCCGCCCGATAATACTGGAAGAATGAGCCAATCTCGATCTCACAGCACGCTCACAGTGATAGCATCGAGGATCAAAAATTACAGGCCGGGAGCGAAGAGCGAGCGATGTGGGCAGGCCCCCGTTGCGAAGACTCCACCAGAATGCAAGGTGCTGTAGGGGGAAATCGCACCTTGTGAAAAAAATATTAAATAATCAAAAGAAGACGGTTTTGTTTTTCTTATTTATTTTTTTTGGTCTTTTTTTGCTAAGGAATATTATGATCCTCTCCCATAAGTAGCAACGCGACTCTTCCTCGAAACAAGCCAGCCTGGCCTTGCTGGTGTCAGCCGTGTATGTCTTTCTGATCTCTCTCTCTCTCGGCAGGAGCAGAAGCAAAAGATAAGAAGAAAAAGGCTTGCACAAAGGCGTCTCATCGTGATCGCGCGGCTCCTAGGCATGAGTCCTGGACTAATAGAATTACCAGGTTGGGCGAAACGCACGGTTAGCGCGAGAACTAGGACAGTTAGCTGGAGTATATACTATATAATATATAGTACGTAGCAGCGCTATGCTCACGCTTGATAGTGTTGGAGAGTTGCAAGTTGCAACAACAAGAACAAATGAAGAGAGTTGAAGATGGAAGAAGTCTGGAACGCGGGGTCTAGGCCAAGCGGTTTCCGGCTGGTCATGCGACGTATTGATACGGCACACTGACAGTGCAGGGTGCCAGAGAGTCAGTGGAAATCCGTCAAAGTGACGGTATTGTGACGCGGTAATTGCATGTATTGTAAGCTTTTCGCGCGGGGATTGGCTTGGCGGACAGACGCTAAACCGTGACGGGCCGCCGGAGGGCCTTTCCGCACAGAAGTTTATCCTCGGCCAATCACATCGACGCTTTGCAGGACTGCCTGATCGGCACGTCAACATGCAGTGATATCGTGATATTGTGATTTCATTCGGTGCAACCTGGGGGCTCGCTCTTGTTGGACTATACTTTTACTACCACTTAGCAGGTGATTCCTGCGAGGCTACGATCGGCGGTGCTAATGCCGACGCAACAGCCTAAGCTCTTGGGCTGTATAAACTCGACGGAGTACGGAGGGCAAGTTACTGCCTTGTCCATCTTGTCCATCATCCTCCTCCTCATCCTCCTCCTCCTCCTTCTCCGAACCTCCAGAGTCATGCTATGTCTATACTTCAGAGTAGTAATCGACGTCGTACCGCAGTGTCCGCTATGTTGGCACGTGATGCATGCAAGCCTGGGTCACGTGCCTATGCCACCCGTGACCGCAGCGGACGAACCTACCTTGGCATTGATTGGCATTGGCACGCTTCTGAGCTTCTGATTGATTCTCGGACAGCAGGAGATTTTGTCGGATTTGCAGCAATGAGCATGGCATGATCAAGCAGAGAAGACCTCGGCAGTCAGCTCGGTCCGTCAGCCGCCCGCAATTGGCCGCTTTTGCCCTCCCGAGACCCGGCGGTAAACTAGTCCAGCCTGAGTCATCGATCCATCTATCTATCTTTCTGCGTCTCTTCAGACAACGAGACAAAGACAAGAGGCAAGCACGCCAAACAAAAGCAACTGAAAATCGCAAGTCGCCTTTCACTCGTATCATCCGGTCTGAGGACCTGATGGCGGATTGTTGCGCAACATGTGGAAGGCGTCAGACAAATTGATGGCCACCATCAAATACTATGCAAGCTTCCCCGCAACGGGAGTGTCTCTCAGGCAGATGGTGCAGTTTGGGGAGACGCCGTCGCCAGGTGAGTGTTTCTGGCATTCGCCGTGTTCTAGTCCAAGTCAATTGACGGCTGTTATCCCAAAAAATCCTTGTAAGCTAACGTGGGCACGCGACCAGGCACTTTGTTTAGAGCTTCGCAGTTCCTGTCCGAGGAGCTCCCCATCCGTTTAGCACACCGTGTCGAGGAATTAAACCACCTGCCAGATGGGCTCAATGACATGCCCTCCATCAAGAAAGTGAAGGACTGGTATGCGCAATCATTTGAGGTGAGTTATCAACAAGCTCATTTAACTATGACTCTTCTGATGAACTGCCTCTTCCAGGAGATTATCAACGTCCCCAAACCGACTCTAAGCGAAGAAGTCAAAGCACACCTCCTCCGGCCCATGCGCAATCATGGCAAAGAATCCAAACCACTCAGCGAGACAACCTGGAACCCAAGCGTGCGGGAAGGCCAGTACCGCTCGTCTCCAACAACAATCTCCTCCCCTCCTACACACGCCAACGGCCAAGAATACGGCACAATAAACGGAAATGGCAAGGCGAAACTGACTTCGTCGCGGCGCTATTTTGTGCCCTCAGACGATTACACCGACTGGCCGCCGGAGATTGACGCCTTTAACCAGCGATTCAGAAAGACTCTCCAACAAATCAAGCGGCGGCACGATGGCGTAGTCACTACGGTTGCTCAGGGTATTCTGGAGTATAAACGGAAACGGCAACGACTGCAGATTGATTCAAGTATACAGGCCTTTCTGGACCGATTTTATATGTCGCGAATCGGCATCCGTATGCTGATCGGACAACACATTGCATTGACTGAGCAAACACACGCCCATCACCCCAACTACGTGGGGATCATATGCACAAAAACGAATATATACGACGTAGCCATGGAGGCTATTGAAAACGCGCGATTCGTGTGTGAAGACCATTATGGACTCTTCGAAGCACCGAAAGTACAGCTTATCTGCAAGCCAGACCTGAATTTCATGTATGTGCCAGGACATTTGTCGCACATGCTCTTTGAGACCTTGAAGAACTCGTTGCGCGCTGTGGTTGAAACTCACGGGCCCGAAAAGGAAGAGTTCCCCGTTACCAAGGTTATTGTTGCAGAGGGCAGGGAGGACATTACGATTAAAATCTCGGACGAAGGTGGCGGAATCCCCCGGTCGTCGATTCCATTGGTCTGGACCTATATGTATACAACGGTAGATCAAACGCCGATGCTCGATCCGGATTTTGATAAGAGCGATTTCAAGGCTCCCATGGCCGGGTTTGGGTATGGACTGCCTATTAGTCGATTATATGCGAGATATTTCGGTGGAGATTTGAAACTAATCAGTATGGAGGGGTATGTTTCTCCCCCTTTTTATTCCAATTGCGTTATGTTGTCTAACTTGAATAGATACGGAACCGACGTCTACCTCCATCTCAACCGATTGTCATCGAGCTCCGAACCTCTCCATTGACAATCACCAGTCATGAGGGATGGTCGAGCGCGGTTCAACTCGTTCAATCGGCTGCATCCTTTCTACCCGGAGCCTGAAACAGAATACCCATCTCCTACTACCAGTACACCAGGCTCGCGGGAAAGGACGAAGACGAGACCATCCCAAGGATTGACGCTTATGAATGCACAGGCCCTGCGCCAGAGATTGAGGACTAGAGAGGTTTCGGAGCGAAAGCAGGTTGGGGATGTAGAATCTACTCTTCATCAGAATGAATCGTCTGTTGGAGTAGGTAGATAGAACTTGGGACAGTTCGTTCGTTTTGTTGTGTTGTGTTGGCTGCGTTGAAAAGGATGAAGAAAAGGAAGAAAGTGTACGAAATTTGTTGAGGTGATGATATATCCTGTGTACGCTGTACATTATCGTGCATGTGCCTACTGAGAGGTACTTGAATCATGACAATTATGACTATCGATATATATCCATATGCAAGCGCTGTTTTGGAGTACTAAGTTTATACTCATTTGCTTGCTTGGAAGGCTCCCGTGGAATCTAAGTGGTATTTAGCAGCAAGGAAATATTAATAGGGATAAAGATTAAAGGAGTCGGTGAGATTGTTTAATGTGCCTAGGTAGAAGTCAAAACATATTCCGTACGATCGAGATATATATCGCGATCCATAAATCATACCTAGGTAAATAACCCCACTGTCTCGTATCCAGGCATGGAAAATATAGGTAGCTAATTAATATCCTGACACTATTGATATCCCTTAGTTGAATCCCTATTCTCATGCCTCGTTGTCTACATAGGTATTGCGACGAATCAGACATATATTCGTGGATGCCTCTACGCATAGACATGGATATGTTTGACCAAAACCATTTCTACTTCTAATCCACCCAGGTGGGTAGACGAATCAGAAGGACTTATTCAAGTTAATTTGTTATTTACTCAGAGGTATTCCCGTAATCAAATCTCGTCGACAGAGCCATATACGTCGTCTGAATGATGACATCCATAAAACCTTGGAAGACACAGAACAAAACAAGAAGTAATTAATCGCGGAATGGATAATCGCACTGTAGCCTGGTACAATATCTGATGGAGACAGAACAAGAACCAGACCAAGAACCTTGGAAGTCCTGTCTATCTATCCCTTGCAGAGTCTTGGAATAGCAACACGTTCTGGACCGGCGTATGACAAGATTCGTCTGGCAATGTAAATAGTAATACTACGTACGTACTTGGAAATTTACCGCGGTACATTCTAGGGATATGGTTTGTTTATTATTTGGAAGGGCATGAGCGTAGGTCATCCTACTATAGGCCTTGGAAGTTAGGGCTGGCTCTGTTTTCACGTGATGTTTTGTCCTTCCTTCCTTCCCTTGAAGGGCCTGGATAGACGTCAAACGTCGTTGCATACTGATGATCGTCTCTCGTGCAGCTTCTTGCATTCCCCTATATTTCTAATGTCTCTCCGCGTCATCATCGCTGCAGTGCATTCCGCGCGCCATTCACGCGGGCAACTGGATTCCTCGTGCAATGCAGCCCTGTCAGCAACAGGGCAGTCAGTATCTTCATCTGCTGGTGGTGGTGGTGGTGCTCATTGTGAGCATCTCGCTGGCCGTTGGAAGTCTGCTTCAACTAGAACTCGTTAGAAATAACACAGCATTTGTATGTATATTGAACTCTATCAACAAAGATGAGGAAGGCGGATTGACTAGCAGTTCATTCCGTGCTTTGCGTACATGCCACCACCACATTCTCACATGTCTTGGTTCTCTGCTCCTCTCCCCATTCTTACTGCTCATTGGCAGATCCTGGATACCTTGACAGATCCAGGGTAAACCTGCTTCCAGCATACTGTTTTTGTTCCCTGGTCTGGATTCTTTCGCTTTTCCTTCTATCTACCTGCAAGCCAGTCAGTCAGTAAGCGCATCGTGTGGTGGACGACACCGTGACTAACCTACCTTCCTTCTTTTTCACTCCAGTTTAGGGACAATACCCCAGATTGATCCCGTCCATTCGCTGTGATTGTTTGCAGTTTCGCGTTTCAGTCAGTCTTTACCCTGGTTAGGTTGGAAGTGTCCCTTCGTCGCGCGTCAAGATATTCGAAAAATTTGCATGAGGAGATGGAATATTAAATGGTGCCAAAAGAGACTGAGAACGAAACACTACGCGTCTTTATCTGATTGTTCGTTGATTGGGTCTGCTTGAGATATTGATATTCGGCGCTGCTGGAGGAAAAGAAATGGCGGAGGAATTCAAGAAACACAGTTTGAAGACTTTGAGTACTCGGAGTACGCCCCATATCAGACTTAACTCAGGCAACCATGAGCCCTTTGTCGATATGGAAGATGGAAGGCAACGGCTGAAGCACACATTTTCAGCACGGTCTCGTCGATCGCCCATTACAGCGATGAGGCTGACCCCTGGGAACGAACTGATCTCCCCATCACCCATATCCCCCACTGAATCTTCAGAGCTGCTGTTTCCGCCTCCGAGAAAGGTGCGCTCTCGCGGAAGCCCAGATCGATCGAAAGCGCCATCGATAATTTCCTATCATCGTAGCGATAGTTGGGATACGCACTCGGAAATCAGCAGCCACGACAGTCGTGGGTATCCATATGACCCATTTGCAGATTCCAGAGCGCCATCTCACGCAAGCAGCGATGACGACCATGTCAATACGCAGACAGTTTCGGAGAAGTACAACATCATGCCGACAGAGGCGCTGCTTTTATTCCCGGAAGATGTCGAGAAAGATGATTACCTGCATAATCCAGATCCTGCAGACAGAGAACGTGATTGCGACATCTGCAATCCAAGAGGATTGTGTAATGTGGGCGGTCTCGCACTTTTGATTGTTGGAATTATCGCATTGTTTATCGTTTACCCTGTGACGTACGTGTCTACTACGATTTTTTGTGCGTGAATTTCTCAATAACCGACTCATTTGATGTAGGACTTTTGTTGGCCAACTCTTTGAACACCATCAGGATCCATGCGCGGAGGATCCAATGTGTATTTCCATGAATACACCGCTTCTGAAGAACGTTAGGAGCGGTCTTATCGATCCTGCTACACCGAAGTCAGCTATGACGAAGAGATCAGCAGATGGCTCCGAGTGGCAGCTTGTCGTACGTCCTAAGTTAGTTTTTGTCGAGCATAGTCTAATATTTGCTCTAGTTTTCCGACGAATTCAACGTCCCCGGAAGGACCTTTTACGAAGGCGATGACGCCTTCTTTCAAGGCATGGATCTTTGGTATGGAGTGACACAGGATCTGGAGGTTAGACTAATGATTACTGTCTTTCACTAAAACTCCCTCAGCTGATTGTCTATGTTAGTGGTACGATCCCGACGCAATTACAACGAATGACGGTGTGCTGGAAATTCACTTTGATAACTTCGACAACCACAACCTGGGCTTCCGATCTGGCATGCTACAGTCCTGGAATCAAATGTGTTTCACAGGAGGGCGACTAGAAGCTAGTATATCACTGCCTGGACAGGGAGATATCTCTGGTTTCTGGCCTGGTTTCTGGGCAATGGGTAATCTTGGAAGAGCGGGATATGCAGCAACAACAGATGGGATGTGGCCGTACAGCTATGATGATATCTGCGATGCCGGCATCACGGCGAATCAGAGTTCCCCAGATGGAATGAGCTTTCTTCCTGGAATGCGTCTGCCTGCCTGCACGTGTCCAGGATCAGACCACCCAACACCGGGGAAGTCCAGAGGGGCTCCAGAAATTGATGTTATTGAGGCTAGTGTTACGGTGCTTGACGAGCAGCAAGACCGGATTGGTGTGGTATCACAAAGTTTGCAGCTGGCGCCGTACGATATATGGTATATGCCAGACTATGGTAGGTATTCTGTCTGTCGAGCTGCAGGATATAAATCTAACGTGACATGAATAGATTTTGCCGCTGTATACAACCCCTCAATTACATCCATCAATACCTACAGAGGAGGACCCTACCAGCAAGTTGCATCGGGGCTGACCAACCTCAACAATGACTGGTATGACGGCAAAGAGTATCAAGTATATGCATTCGAATACGCACCCGGTGCGGCGGGAAACGTGACGTGGTTCGTGGGCAGCGAGAAGACCTGGACTATTGACGCTCAGGCAGTTCGACCAAATGGCAACATCGGGCAGAGGGTGATCCCCATGGAACCGATGTACCCCATCATCAACTTTGGTATGTCGCCTTCGTTCGCCATGCTCAACTGGACGGGTCTCGCCACGACGTGGCCAGCTACGATGCGTGTGGACTATATTCGCATTTATCAGAATCCCGACGAAGTCAGTGTCACTTGTGATCCAGAAGGGTATGCAACGACGGACTATATCAAGAAACATCCAGAGCCATATCATAACCCTAACTTGACTCAATGGTAAGTTGGTTGTCTATTATACTTGTGTTGAAATAATGGACTGACTTGACTTCTAGGTCGGAGGCATACGACTGGCCTAAAAATTCGTTCGTTGACGGATGTTAATCTCTGTTCTTAGTGGGAATGGTCAATACTATACCGTTCATTATTGTACGTGGCGATTAACTGCCACAGTCTTGTATACACTCGTCATCCTGTTTTTTGATGTAGTCTAATCTTCGTGTTCTCTCTGTCTGAGTCAGACACGTCAACACATCACATCTCGATCAGCGGCGTTTCTCTTCTTGATTCTTGTATAGATTATTGTGCTGTTGTCTCTGCTGGTATTCCGTTCAATGCTATTTACCGTTTGTCTGTTGGATATAGTACCTTCAACTGCTGTAGAGCTGTAGTTAGGGCTTGTGGGGTCCGCGATAGACCAATCAAAGCCTGGCCCGCATTAATGATCAACGAACGACTTGATGTCGATGATCTAAACATATCACATCCAACACAACAACAAGACAACCAGAATGTCCAGGCCCAACACCTTAAAACACCATGAATAACAATCCAATCTTAGTCGACTCCGACACGGACTCGGATTCATCCATGTTCGCATCCCTCAACACCAACCAGCACAATGACAATAACTATAACAATTACACCCACCACCACCACCACCACCATCGCCACCACCACCATCGCCACCGCAATAACACCCATAACAATAATATCAACACCTCAAAAGACGCCACCCGCCGCGCCTCAACGCGCATGCACTCGCGCGAAATACGACATACAGCGCACTGCATCCTCGCGTCCAAGGAACTTCTTCTTCTGCACGCACTCGCATCCAACGAGTCCGTGCCGCGCACGCGCCGGCGCTTCATGGCCCAGGTGTTGGAACCGGATGATCCGGAGGCGGCGCTGGATGTTGCTCTGGATCATGCTGCTGCTGTTACTGCCGGCGGCGGCAGTGGTGGTGGTGGTGGTGGTGGTGGAAGAGGTAGGACGCCAGCGATTGGCGCGATTCAAGGGACTGCGGTGGCGAGTAGGAGGATGTTGAGGACGGGGAATGTGGTGGATGTGGTTGAGACGGATGATGCGAAGGGGTGGGAGCTGTGTCGAGGGTCGTCGTTGACGACGCCGCGGGCGGGGAAGAAGAAGTTGTACAATGTTAATGCTGGTTCGGCTCGGAAGAGGAGTCAGCAGCGGGTTGTTTCTGGATCTGCGTCTGCGTCTCCGTCTAGATCTGGGATACGGGCTGCCTCTGGGGCGGTGGGTGGTTATGGTAGCAGTAGTAGAGATCGAGATGATGATGTCGAAATGGAGGGTAGCTAACTACAGAGCAAAAATAAAATGAATAATTCAGATTCCACGTTTTGTATGTCACAACTATACTACTTACTACCTAAAGGGGAGGAGAAGGCCAAAACTAGGAGATTCATCGATCATGCCGTGCAAACGAAAAAAAAAAAAAAAAGAAGACAAACCTGAGAAGGGAAAGCGAATCCATGGTGGATAGATAGACATCAATCCTCATGGATTGAATGTATTGCATGTCAATAACAATAACGAAAAATGAAAAGAATAAATAACAAAAAAAGAACGGCACAATTCTTCGGTAAATCATAGACTAGGCACGAACAAAAACCACCAATGCCAACGTCTCATTCGATATTCTGATGATAAAACACCAAGAAACAGAAAATAGATTTTAGACGTAGTCTCAACTGCCTCCCCTGAGAGCGGTCAGGTAGTCAGTCAGTCTAGACTGCTTCCGCCTTGGCCGTGCCATTGCCGTTAGCAAAACTGCCGTTACTTGCACTGGCGTTACCATTACCATGAGGGCTACCCTTGATTCCCGTCGCGGCGCGCTTCTCATCATCACCGTCATCGTCGTAGTCCTCATCAACTTCCATCTTGCGAGCAGCAGGCTCATGCAATGGTGCTGGTTCCTTGCGAATTGTTTCTTCCTTCACTGGAGTCTGCGTGTCCGGTCCCGCAGAAGGCGGGTTAGATCCAGACGGAGCTGCCTCAGCTAGTGGCGGAATAGAAGGACCGCCAGGCTGCTGCATATGCTGAATAGATGGGAGAGTGTGCGGGTGATGCGCTGCTTCTGAAGGATGGTAGTTCTCATTGGCGCGACGAACCTCTGACGAGCTACGTCGGTGCAGTTCTCTAGGAGGAGTGACTCGACGGTTGATTTCATCAGCCTGACGAAGGCGGCTTTCCTCATTGGCAATCTTCTTTGACGGCGCTCCTTCAGCACTGTCCCATTCACGACCACGCTTCATCGCAGACGGAGGGCGGTCATCACGGTCACGGTCACGTGCGGCAGCATCAGCAGCTGTCAGGGCGGTAGCAGGAGCAGGCGCGCCACTGGCAATGCCTGTACTAGCGCCACTGCTCTGGAGACTAGGTCCGTAATGGAATTGCTGTTGAGGGTACGTAGGGCCCGGTGAAGATGGCCGATCGCCAATATCACGAATCGGGCGGATTTCAGTGGGAGGAGTGAATGGACGAACATAAGAGGGAGGAGCAGCTCCAGGAGCTGGCGCGCCATTCGGACCGCGGAAAGCAGCACCGTTAGGAGCGCGATCATGCGTACCTGGAGCCGGAGGCGCCAGCTGAGGTAAAGTGTGAGTCTGTGGATACGCATTGGGCGCTGGTGAACGGGGGGGAATCTGTGGTCCACGAGCCTCTGGGAAAGAAGATCGCACGGCTTCCTGGCGAGGGCTCGGATGCTGCACAGCAGTGGGACCGCGAAGAGCATCACGCTGATCGTAGGCTGCTGACGGCTGATGAGGAAGCGGAGCCGCATTCTGGAGTTCATTGATGCCACGATTCCAGTCAGCAATCTGGCGAGGTGGTGCTGGTGCTTGAGGAGGCGGGCCGCCGGTTGGAGCAGGAGCTCCCCACTGAGGAGCGGGTGGCGCTCCAACCCCTGGTCCCTGGTAGGCTTGTGGGTGAATATCTTGTGGAACCGGTGCCGGGGCGCTGGCCTGTGTTTGGCCTTGAGCCTGGCCTTGAAGGAGCTGCAAGCGAGCTTTGATGTGAACGTTCGTAGGATCCAGATCAGCCGCGCGACCGTACGCATCCAATGCATCGGCAGTCTGGTTGTTGCACGACTCATACAGCGTGCCAAGGTCATACCATACTTCCGAGATGTAGGGGTTAAGCCGGATGGCACGGGAGTAAGCATCAAGAGCATCGCGATATTGGTTGATCTGGTAATAGAGAACACCAATTGAGCACCAGAATGTAGGGTTGCGCCCGTCTCGGTAGACAGCTTGTTGGTAGGCTTCGTACGCCTTTGGATATTTCTGTTGAGACATGTAGCAACGACCAAGGAGGTACCAACTTTGCGCATCGTTGTTATCTTATCGGCGAAGTAATTATTAGCAAAGTCGTTCATGTGTTTAACGGGAGAGAAGAAAAAAAAAACAGAAAAAAAGAGAAATGGGGTATGCTAGTATGTAAGCGAAACTTACCTGCGCTGACCGACTTCTCCAGATATTCAATGGCCTTTTCCTGACTTGCGTAACTGGTGCTCTGTTGGTGGTACAGCCATCCGAGCTGTTGCAACACCTTGGCGTGATTCGGATCTTTATCGAGCACTCGGCGATAGGCCGCTTGGGCAGCGTCAAACTATGGTGTGCTCGATTAGTACCAAGGTGAGCGAAATTTTGTGTTGTGGAGGGGCAATAAGAGATCACTTACATCCTTTTGCTGCTCATGAACATGACCAATCTGGAAGTAGATGTCTTCTTCGGTCAAGGGGCGTGGAGGGTCATTGACGATATATTTGAAGCATTCCAAGCTTTGGTTGAACTTTTGCTGCTGCTTGTAAATGATTCCCAGGCGAAAATAGATTTCATTGGCCTTCTCAAAGTCTGGCGCCATGCGCATGACCTGAGAAAAGGCCTCTTCGGCATGGTCAAGAGACCCATAGCGATCATAGAGAATGCCGATACCGTACCACAGTTTGGGTTCCTTGATAATGATAAAGAGTATGATTAGCGACGATATCCGACAAAATTAAGGCGAATAAGAAACGAACCTTGGGGTCTCGGAGATGATAGAGCGCCTGCTGATAGGAAGTGTAGGCTTCCTGCAGGTTGTCCATCATAAGGTGGCAGTGACCTGGCCCGGCAAGTTAGTCAAAGGTGACACAAGAACAATCTCATTGATGTAACAAGGAATGCGTACCTAAGCTGCCCCAGGTCTCCCCACTCTGAGGATCTAGTTTGAGAACCTGTTGTAGATATTCGATGGCCTTGGGGAATTGCTCCCGAGTCCGCAGGATCTGGGAAATGGCGGTCATCGCGGGGATGGACCATTGGTTGTGTCGGAGTGCCTGCTCATAGGCACTCATACCGCCATCGAGGTCGCCCATCAATTCAGTCAGACTGCCTGTAGAGTTTTGTCAGTATTTTCTGCCCGCAGGCAACAGTAATAATAACCGACCACGAGGATGTAAAAGACACGCGGGAGAAAAGAGAAAGGGAATAGCCTACCGATTTGAAGCCACACTTGCTCGTTCAGAGCAGCGATTTTTTGCGCAGTTGTCAGCGGCGAGCCCTTCTGGGCCTGCGACTGCACAGACAGGTGACCGTTCATCTGTGGGTGAACTGCCAGAGGACCATGATGGGGAGGCACGCCTCCGGGCGGCGAGGGTTGAGGATGGGCCATCTTCTCTCGCGTCGCGGCTCGAGCGATTGTCTCACACGCGCCGCGAAAGGGTCAAAGAATTATAATTATAAATAGGGTGCAAATAACTCCTGAATGGCGAACAGTGATGCGCAATGCGTGCGACGGACACAGTGCGGTTGGATACGTGGGAAGGAGAAACGGGGGTGGGTGGCAGTCAGCCGTCAGCCGGCAGGCAGCCTCAGGCAGGTAGGCAAGCAGGCAAGCGTCGTAGCCGGACAGCTGGCTGGAATGCAGAGAGTGAGCTGGCAGTGGTAGTGAACGATAATACGAAGAGAGAGGCAAAGAGAGAGGGGGGAAGAGAGCAGGGAAGCAGCAAGACGATGGGAGGGGGGGGGGGAACGGCTTCAGGAGAGAGAGAGGAGAGAAGGGAGAGAAAGAGCGAGCGAGCGAGAGGATGGGCTTTTTCTCGAGGGGCGGGCGGCAGAGGGTGATTTTTGCCAAGCGGCGCTAGTGGTTGTGCAGCTCGCACCCAGAGAGGGCAAGTCAGCCAAAAAGGCAGCACGGAAGGAGCGAGCCTTAGCTAAGCATGCGTTGGGCGGGTTAGCGTGGCTGGTCGGTGGTGGTCACGGGGCTAGCCTGGACTAGTCCGGCGCAGGAGACAAGATGAGCTTGAGCCTTGACGCCTGAGGCTGCCCGCCTATGAACATTACTTAAGCAATCGCTAGTCCAGGGGAGGCAATGGACAGCCACAGTGGGGCCCGATGAATTTCTGATCTGAGTCGCTCATTCCTGCTCCGACGCTTCCATGCTGGCTACGTAGGGCGGCTAACTCTGTGCAGCGTGCACTGACGTCGCATTCAACTTTCAGGCTCAGTTCCTTCGGCCCCATGGCAATTATACTCCGTAGTGCTGAAGCCCAAAGTGGCTAATGTGTGATGTTGAGTCTTGACTGTAAGTGAAACAATTCGAGTCAACTCGTGGCAGAAGTGAAAAAGGTGTCAGTGTCAAGAATACGGAGGTGGATCATTGGACGAGATGAGATCGGATCGTCCATAATTCTGTCATTCCTATGAGATGAACTGAACTATGTAGTACTCCTCCTCCTCCTCCTCCTCCTCCTCCTTCTAGTAAAAAGCGCCAAACAACAAAGAAAGGCATGGCACTATTTCCCAGCTAATTCTTTGTTCTGTAACCGTGATGAATTAATTCTAGGGTGGGAAACGAGCAGGACGGCGACTACCAACTAGGGTGGGGTGGGGGTTGCTGGCCTCGGGTTTGTTGTGCAGCCAAGCCAAGCAACGGATACGGTAGGCCCACCAGCAATCCAAAATAGCGCCAAGCCGTGCCAATTAGTCACTGCGTAGTTACTCCGTAGCGTTATCAGTGGCTGAGCCTGGAAAGCGGGGCCAGCTCCACTGCATGGTCCCGTAGGTGCATGTGGTCCGTGGGCAAACAAAGCTGCGCTAAGCTCCCAACTAAAACAGTACTAGCGACGTTACGTGCCCGAATGCGGCTAGTGCAGAATTAGCCCACCCGTGCCTACTGCCGAGCATCCTTTCCCTCTCTCTTTCTTTTTTTTTTCCTTCTCGTTTTTGGCTTCCCCACCTGGCACCCACCCACCCACACACTGGCTTGCTAAAAGCCTAAAGTAGTTATTATGAGTTTGGTCCAACCCGTAACGTTCTGCGACGGGCTCGTTACGGAGCCATGCCTAAAATAGCCCCGGACCCCCCCGGGCTTTCGTGATGATGATGGGTGGGCCTGCCCGACTCCACCTAGACGAAACAGGAATGGCTTGGCGGCTGGCACTAAGTTCATCGACGATTCTATTATTTATTATTCTATCCCTTGTCCGTGTTCACTCTGTTCGCTGTGCGCTGTTTGCTCGCGGGCTGATCCTCCTTGGTAGGCTCTGCGTACTCTGTATGGCTCTCTAAAAATATGATGGATCCCAAGCTTCGATTGCCGCACATATAGTACTCGGTATAGAGTCGAGTGACTGCATCGTACATACTGCATAATCATATTAACAGTGCATGTGCCCATACGCTGCAGTCATGATGCCGCACACAATGCCGATTCATGACTTAATGCCGTGTCTAGGTTGTGGACTTAGTTTCCAGATTCATTATGACGATGTCTTCCAAACAGGGTACTCCGTGTCTCTGCCATGCAAAGAGGAGGCTCTGACTGTCGGACACGTCTCTTGATTCGCCCAGGTCAGCGCGTGCATATGTCCGTACAGAGTACATGATCCGGCAGTGTGTTGACCTTGCAGGGTTGGCAACTTGCATGGCGTGACTGACCCTAGCAGGGTGTTACAGACAAAATCAATTGATAGATGCTACCAACCAACCAACCAACGACGTACTGACTTATCTATTGACTAACTATTACCCATGCATTTAATCTCATCAAACTAGTTACTAATGACCTGTTTCATTCTCTGCCGCTGCCGCAATCACTAGCCACATATCCAGCCACATCCCCCATCCATGCCTTGATTTTCAGGCCGCCTAATCTATCCTACGGAGGACGGAGTGCCCGGAATTTTCCTGTGCGTGTTTTATCTTCGCCCCCCCACTCGTTCTGCTGTCCAAGGAAATATTTGACGGCCTGTCAAAGTTGTGTGTGTGTGTGTGTCAAAAAACTCAAACGCAAAATTCCGGCCAGTGGGTCAGTATACCCTATTTTTTTTTTCTTTTCACTTCGTTTCGTCGTCTCCATCAAATCTGAACGGCGTAAGCTCCGAATAAGCTTTCGGTGAGAGTCTGATTAAGTATATTCGAGAACAATCAAACAGAAGAAAAATATTAAATAAGCAAGACATGACAGAAGAGAAAGAAAAAATATTCGCTGCATTCCACTCGGTTGATGGCATGAGCGTACGTAATTTGGCATACCCGAGCCTCCACTTTATGACCACGTATCTGTATCTGCTATCCGGCCCCAGCCGTTGTGTCCTTATTTAGCATCTCGATCGCTGGTTCAATGTTTACAGAGTAACTACATAATAACCAGTAATTGTGACTTGACATCACGATGAATTCATGCAAGCTTTATTACATATCCCCGAGCTGTAATTGGCCAGACTCAATATGACGGGGAATGATAGGGAAGATGAAGCCCTCCCGCCACCCCCGCCAATGCCTTGTATTTCCGGCCAGTAATAACTTGCGGATTGTATTGTTCAAGTAAGTTGATCTTCTGGCTGTCTGCCAATCATGTAAGGTATACAGCAGATGACAGCTGATATTAAACAGGATGATCTATGAGTGTTCGTCTCGATTCTATTTGCAAAAGCATGCAGTCTTATGTACTACTTAGGAAATGCATAAACGGGTGACAGGCAGTTTACGCACTTTAAGCTACAGCTTATTCCCAATTAGATATTTCCAGCTCATCTCTAGAAGAAAAAAAAAGGCTTGCAAAAACCACCGTATGTTATTGTTTGTTTGTCCATTTGATATAACAAAAGATCATGACTTAAACCCCAGAAAATACAGGAGATGCCCATTCTATCCATGAAAAGCAAAGACATATCGTCTCGAGACAAATAAGATCAACAATGAGAATAAAAAGGTATATCATTTCAAAACTTCCAACTCCTCTTCCCTCCCCATGCGGAAAAAAAAAAGGATATCCACCTAGTAAACCTAGGTTCGATTTTATACGCGATCTACCACCCTGGGACCAAACCGGGACACTTGAAATACTTCCAGGACCGGTTATCCTCATTTCCATTCCAATACTGTCACAACAGTTAGCAAAGTCATACTACTCAAAAGGCAAAAGGTAAGTCCAGGGGATAACTCACAAGTGCGTTCAGCGTGAAACATCTCAACGAGAAAACCGTTTTGACGCCATTGGGACATGCTATGGTGGGTTCATTGGGGGATGTTTTCCAGCAATAGGGCTCGGCGGAGTCGGCGATTTCTGGTCCGGCTCTTTTCACGCGTGGTTCGCTGCTGTTGGTGTTGATTGGCAAGGCGCTGGTGAGCGTCAGAAAGGATGAGAGGACTGGGAGGAGCTTCATGTTTGGACTTGTTTCTTGATTGAGGCCCGTTCTTGGTTGGAGGACTGGGCGTTGTGTAACAAGACTGGTATCTATGGATGGTCAAATTGGGAGGGTTTGGGAAGAAGAAAAAAGGAAAGCCAAGGGGTAGCGTGCAAGATTTATACTCGGTGTGTGATGGATACCTAGCAGGCAGTCAATCAATTCTACTTCGCTGTCTTCCAGGAAAGCTCGATGCCTGTGCCTGGTAATTACTGCCTGGTAGTGAGATATTCAAAAATAGAATTCGTGTAGCCGATGCCTAGTTATATACTCTCAGTGTTCGGCTGGAATGGCAGGCAGAGACACTTGGGGCTTGGAGCCTGCGGCAGTACCAGACCGGGCTGCACCTGCGATTTCCCCGGTTGATTAATTTTAATATTGGACAAAAAAGAAAGATAGTATATTAAAGACTCCAAGGCAGTCAAGCAGAAGCCTGGAAGCAATCATCTCGACACCGTAGGCTACCTAGGTACGATCTGTGACTTTGCTCGAAGATGTTCAATTTTCGAAGATAAGTAGATCGAGCTATATCCACTTGCAGGGTAAACACCAATCCGAGACCTAATATGTAATATCTAATACTTGGAATCCAATATTGTCAGTTTGAAAATTAGATGCTTTGTTCGCGAGAAATTCAGGGATAATTAAGATACGGATAGCTGCTCTCTAGCTGGTCTGATAAATAGGTATTCACACAGAGGTCAACGAAGAAGTAGAATGATGTCACGTGGTGACTGTCCGCCGGCTCACGACGAGATTGACGTTGAGGGTAGTTCTTTAATCAGACCTCATGACATTCATGGTTCGTATATCTAAAAGACAGGAGATACTCTCTTCAAGACTTTTCTTTCAACAACGGGATATGACATTTAGAAGCCGAGTCCTTATACACAAGTACTTAGAGCTATCTCATCAACACATTCGAGCCTCCATAATTTGTCCGATAAATATGGAAAAGACATGAGTTGGCCTTCCTAATGCAGAAATTGTCACACTGTTGCACGGGATTTGGACTATCCTCGAGGAGGTAGCCCGTACCTCTTGTCCAAAGGCCATAAGGTGCTGAACCAGGATCTCAATCCGCTGCCCAATGCGGACGGTGTCGTGCCCACGGACTCGTGCGCGTTGAGCAAGCTGAGCGGTGAGGTCGTTGCCCGCTGCTTTGCCGCCGATATCTACGCTCTGCGCATTGGGGATGCGTTGTCTCCGGAACAGTACGTCACCCGGCCAGAGACCCGGAAAGCGCAATGGTTGGAACTAAATTGATACTCGCGGTCTAGGCCAGATGTGCCACCTAGCCGTGGAGAAGGATGGCTTGGGCTTCCTGGTGGTTCAATGCCAACAACAATAACAACAACACCATCATCACCACGGTGCCGACGGAGGGATTACTCAAGAAGACCTACCTCTCTAAACGAGTAGGGCCGAGTGAGTGATAGATGCTGCAAGCATTGATTGCCATCTCAACGCGGTTGGAATGCAGACGTTAGCAGTTGAAGAGCTGGGAAGTAGCATGCATCATCTGGCCACTACAGCGCCGCTTATGTACTCCCGGCGGGCTGTGCGTCCCGTTCCGCACATGCCGCTCAGAGTCAGAAGTGCCTGCCTACCTAGGTAGGTATAGGCGGATGGACGAGAAGACGAGAGATACTGCGTCGAACGGTGTCAATCAAGGCCCCTGAGTTTTGACTGGAAGCGACTGCAACCTCCGAGTCATCTAGTATAAGCACAACGGAGGGATAATGGCCAAGTATTGAACTAGGCACTCCATATTAATTATTATATTTCTAACTTAGGGTTATCGCGAATGCCCCAGGTGACCGGAAGGCTGTATCCATGTCGACGTCTACCTAGAGTAACTGTATATGCTTGGCACGGCTCGACCCTTCACATGTCTTCTTCAGTTTGCTCTTTTTGTTTTTTTTTTTTTTTTTTTTTTTTTTTTTTTTTTTTTTTTTTTTTGGGTCATGTCGACTGCCTGATGGAGATAGTGCTGGTTTCAATGTTACCGGGTGCACGGCACAGCTCGGATGCCTAATGCACTTGATGCATGCATTCTACGTTATCAGATGCTTTGTTCATGCTGCTTCGTATCGACTAGTGTATTACAAACCCAGCATTTACGTACTAATCATAAGAGTAAGACAAGAGTTATATATTGTTGCCAAGTTGGACTGGTTCAATCGACCACTTCAGCTCATTATTAACTCGCACTACGTACTACGTAACTATATCCATGGACGCGGTCAGGGCTAAATTAGTTATAATGATACGATAACGTCTTGGCGCGACAACAAGAGAGAGAGGGAAAAAGAAAAGTTTTCAATATGTCAAGTTCCACTGTTTCAAGCTTGGAGAAGTATGGTTGTAGGCTCGGCGGGTTTGACTGGACGGGTTGGAAATACTTCCCTCGCCAATGGCATCACCTGATACTAGGTAGGTACATGCGGCGTAGGAAGCCATGAGTCATGACTCTGATCGACAGTTCTCCGCCAGAAACACACACGCACACACACAAATCCATGTCGAATTGCTTCGTCCGTGAGCAGTGTCACGCCGAGACATTGGCAAAGCTAGGCACGCAAATTCGCCGCCTGAGCTGGAAACTGATATATATATATTATATATGTGTGTGTGTGTGTTTGCCGCGGCAATCAGACTCGTATGCCAGCACTGCAGCGTCGCGGTAACATGCTTAGCGATATAGCTGTATAGAATAAATATATAGATCGTAGACATGTATTAGCAAGTAACTTGGACTGCCAAGCCCCGATGTAATACAGTCAGCGAAATACCGTATCGGACCCGCAGCAAAAACGGCCAAGCGCGCTACTCTAGCGGCCCAGCCAATGACCGCCCGCCCAGCCGCGGCTTGGGCATGCCAAGAGGCTCGGCATGCTCTTGGCGGGTTTCTGGTCTTTTTTGTTCTCGTTGCTGGACCGAAGAAATGCCTCTCCGCCGGGCATTTCCTCTTGGCGGGAAGCGCTCTCTGGCGATTCCGCTCTCCTTCTCTGCTGCTTCCTCCCTGATGCTCCTCCTCCTGCCTCCGCCCGCCGTTCTGCTGCGGAGCAGCTGTGTCGTCGTCGTTCTGTATATCTAGGGGACCTCTGCCCATCCCCTCCCCCCTCCGCTGATCCCTGGAGTGTCTGTCCTACCTGTGCCCTCATCATCGACAACCCTACATTCCACACCCTGGGTCGACAATGTACTACTGACTACTGAGCAACCCAGGGAGCCGCAGGCCTTCGGAGAGAAAGAAAAGAGAGAGAGAGACAGACGACACCTCCTCCTACCATGCCACGAGAACCTGGACATGGACATGGACAAGACGTGTCTTTGACTCCCTTGCCAATTGCTGCTGGAGACGAGCAGGTTGCCGCTGCTATTTCATACTCGAACAGCTTTATCCACGTCTCGCCAAAGCAGCAGCAGCAGCAGCAATATCGTAAACAACAGCAGTACCCGCCCAGTGTCTCGTCAACCCCCCTCAATTGCTATCCAGTCCCAACAGCCTCGTCGCCCGAGGCTCGTATCTCTATGTCGGGGTCGTCTGCGGGCTCGTACTCGATATCTCCGGGGGTCAACTGGAATTCCGCCCCCATGTCATCATCGTCATCATCACACCCCAAGGAAACACATACTCATACTCATACACATGCACATGCACATACGCATGCAGATGCCCCTCGAGCAGAAGCAGGCCTCGTCACGGAATCGCACAAAGATGACCGTGCCGGGCTCAGCTGGACTGCCGACATTTCGCTGTCCGATGGCCGCAACTCGCGCAGCCTCCACGACGCTCCAAACACCGTGACTGTATATGCATCCGAAGACAAAGAGAGGGAACCCCTTCGAGAGCCCAATGCGGTTTTGGTACTGGTGAGTTGTCTCTGCGCGCCCCTCCGTAGGCTTGATTTGCTGATTATGTAGCTCTTGTTTTCGACACCGATACCTTTCTTCTCAATATGCACCGCCATCTACACACTCATTGCTTTGTTCCTGGTGGTTTTCACGACTCCTCTTCGATTCTGTCCGCCTACCGCATTCTTCCGCTCGACCACATTCTCTACCCAGCTTTGCAGGTTACTTGCGCCGGCACTGCGCAACCACGAACGTCTTGCTCAATCTAGTGCTTCTTCAGACTACCAGCACCACGCCAGCTCCTCTCCTTACAATAACAACAACAATACTCGCAGTGGCACTACCGACCACTTCTCTGCAATCTGGTTGATTGTAGTTCTCACTCTGGCCCCAGTCTTGTGCATGGGACTGTTGCTCGCAGTCTGGATTGCCGCATTTTTCTGGATCTTTGCCATGATTCTCGGTAACCCTGACGGCACCGAAAAGGGCGATGATGGCCGTGCCGCTGTTCTCGGCGTGAATGCCTGGTGGCAGACGTGGCTGAACAAGAGTCGAATCCGCCGATTCCGATAATTGTCTTTTACGCCTCTCGTTTCTCTTATTACTTACTTTCCTCGACCTTAAAAAGGAAAAAAGGAAGATTTTTTTTTAAAAAAAAAGAAAAGTATGATTTGAAAAGAGAACAAACCTTTCTTCCATTCTCCATCTATTTCATCCACCTCCATACAGATAGCATTTTCAGGTGTTGGCGCATTTAGCATTTCTTTTTCTCCGCCCTTTTTTTATCCCCTTGGAACTGAATTCTAACAAATTAACAACATATAATTTGGGATGGATGGGACTCTTTTTTTTTCAATCAGCATAAATGATCAAACTGTGCATGGGGCATGATACTATATTTTGATATGCGAGGTGGGATAATCTCTATGATAACTACATTTTAGGGCATCTTTTTCATTGTTCCAAGATACCAAATGCTTTAGTTAGGTACTTATTCTACTTGACTATATGCTTAGCATTCATGGATATTTTTTTTTGTCTAAAAGACACTGACTGCACAGTGATGTATAGTTATGTAAAAAATAGGGTATTATTTAAGTTGCCTACCTAATAAAAGAATAACACAAACACCTTTTTTTTTTCTCTTTTCCCTTTCTCGTATCAATTTGTTCTGTTTCACCTGTTCAGGTCCTTTTTTTTTCTTTCTTACAGCCTTGCCTACATCTATACGTCACCATCATCGTCGCCCACGTCCTCGACCTCCTCCGCCTCTCGTCTTCGCTACAAATCCACTCCCACTCCTCCTCTTCTCAATCCTCGTTGCGCCGTGAGTTTTGGGCATGCCCAATCCCCTCCTTCCAGCTGCAATTCCACCGCTGCCGCTGCCGCTACCACTGCCACTCCGTTGCTTTTTGTTCCGGGCATTATTATTGTCGTCATCATCGTCGTCATCATCATCAATGTCCATTCCATCCGCGCCAGCAGACTTGTTATTGCTGAACTTGAGACGCCCCTTTTGTCCGCGGCGGACCGCGTTGGGCCCACTGACTGCTTCGAGGTAGGCATTGATTCCGCTTTCGCCGCTGGCGCCTGTCATTTGGATGTCAGCGTTTGGATTAACGGCATCGTCGTTGTCGTTGTCGTCTCCCCGGAGGATGAGTTTGCCATCAATATCGACTTTGGCGCCGTGCTTCTTCCTGTTTTTGCCTACGCCGGCGTCCAGGAAGCGAAGAGATGGTTTCGTGGTGGATATAGAGGCCAGCGCGTCGGGAGCCAGGAGATCGAGGGGGTTGGATTCAGGCGAAAGTTCGCGGATGTATTGTTCGCCGTTGGCGCCTCGTTTGCCGCCTTGTCTTCCTTTGGTTTTCTTGCCTTTCGTTTCGGTGGCGTTGATTGCGCTGGCATCATCATCGTCGTCGTCCTCGTCGTCGTCGGATTCGTCGTCGGACGATATATCTGAGCCGTAGACTGCTTTGTCGAATTCGTTCGAGAATGCGCCGCCCGCTTTGGCAGCATCATCGTCGTCTCCGTCTTGGTCTGCACCTCCATCGCCGGCTTCCTTCTTCTTGCGCTTCTTACGTTCGCGCTCTTTCCGGATATTGACGACTAGTTTGCGATCTGCTTCGCCGACTAGGCCTTCGATAAGAGGGCCGCCGAAGCGGCGGACGAGTCGGTCAAGGATGCCCTTGACTTTTGTGCGGAGACGGCCCTTGTGCTCTTTGCTCCATACCATGAGATTTGGAACCATGGAGTTGAGGCGAGGGCGCAGCATTTCGTCGGGGAGGCAGACGACGGCGACCTTGGCGAATCCGAGCACTGAGCGGACGATTTCGCGGTTGTTGCTGGTCAGGAAGAGCTCGACGGTTGCCACGAGGTCGGATAGGGTTTCGCTGGTGATTTGGGTGCGGAATTCAAAAAAGAGGCGCGATAAGGCGGTCACTGATGCGGCGACCATGTGTGGCGAGGTTCCTGCTAGACCCGCGGAGACCATTGTGAAGAATTCTTCGAGAGTGGCTGCGGCGTCGGGTGTGTCGTCGGGCATGTGTGGGACGAGCGAGTTCCGGATCACTGTTCCTGGTGGAGTGCGCTCGGTGTCTGTGATGCGTTTGGCAAGGTGGATGAGAAGGTCGAAAGCGGCTGTGCGGGCTTTGTCGTTGGATTCTTTGCATCCGAGAATGACTTCGGGTAAGATGGAAGGGATAAAATGCAGGTCAGACGTGGGGAGGAAAGTCACCAGCTCGTGGATAGCAAGGAGTCGGTCACGGCGAGCCGGCGTTGGCGTCTTGTCGGCTGTTGCGAGCAGCAAAGCTTGTAGTTCTGCACTGCGTTCAATCAAAGCAGCCTGTCCTGTCTCCGTCGATGCAAGACGGGGGATGAGCTTGTATGCTTTCTTGGTGAGTTGCGAGTCTGATGAGGCGTCTCTGTTCAGTACCACCGACGCGATGCGGAAGAGGTTTGCGAAGCTCGTCCTTGGTAGATAGATGGACATGGCAATCAGCAGGTCAATCAGCGTGTGCGACGTCGGTGGCATCTTGTTGTCTGTTCCCTTTTGCAGATTGCCCTGTTTGGCGGCCGCTTCTTCGGATGGCAGCTCGGATTCGAGCATGCCAGTGACTCGAGTGAATGTTTCTTCAAGTTCCTGATATAGATATTAGCATCGTAATAAGTTGAATTTGCGGAAGAAGAAGATGAAGAAGAAGAAGAAGAAGAAGATACACACTTTCTCAGGGGTAATGCTCAGATACGCATTGATACACTGCAAGATGTATCCTCTATAATGAGGCAGTGTCTGACTGTACACATTGAACAGCACAGCCAGCAGGTTGCTTGCAAACCCAGCTAGATGCGCCAGGTTCTTCGAAGCAGCAGCTTTGGTAATCCGGCGTTGAAGGACCATGTTTTCCCCCTCAGCACCCGTCTCAACCTCGACTATGGCTTGATTGGACTCGACAAGATTCTGTAGCGCGCGGCAGACATCGACACGCAGCTCCGTCTGCTTGTATAGCACGTTGGACAACAATTCCGCAAAGCCCTGATCAAACGCCGACTCCAGATCAAGCGGCAGCTCGCAGTATCCCGGAAGAATGGACCAGGTTTGTTGGATGATGGTTTCGAAAATCTTTACTTCCACGGTCTTCTCTGCCTGTCCAAACTCCATAACGCGCTGATACAGGGCCTCGCTCAAGGGGACCATCTCCGAGCGGAAATGGGCAAGATCTGTGTTGGAGACATTATCGCGGAGAATGGGTAGTAGCCACACGCGACCAGGTTGGCCGGGCTTTTGCTCGACGATGTTGAGCGGAAGAATGCGAAGAACTTCAGCAGGGCCCATGGCGTAGACGGCTCGGCCGAGGACTTCATCGGCTTCCTTTTTGCCCTGGAAGGAGTCGTTGCTGCGTAGCTCGCCAATCGTCTTGACGATGTTTATAAGGTATGGCGATGATCGCCATTTGAAGGCTTCAAACATTGTGGCACAGACGTTGAACACCTCAACCCAAGCGGCCTGGTACTTGACAGAAAGGAGATCCATGGCGAATTTGGCAAGCTTTTCCAGGGTCTTCTCGTCATACACAGACGGCTCTACAATGACATGATCAGGCACGCAGTTGGCGAGGAATGAAATGAGACATTCAGACGCAGAGATGCGAATGTTCTTTGATGGCGAAGCTAGAAAAGAAGCAATCAGCTCAAACAGACTCGGTAGCTTCTCGAATGTGTCCTCCGGGTTGATCTGGGCGGAAACATCGTATCCGCGCGAGAGAACAGCGATCCAAGGTGGCAGGAGTTGAGAGTCGTTTTGGGCTGGTCTCAATTCTTGAATGGCCTCCAAGAGACGCGGAAGCTTGGAAGAAGAGAACTCGTCCGCCATTCCTTCAAAGATGACCTCGAAAACCTCGAATGCGCCCATCGTGATGAACTCATTGCTTGATCGCGACACGTTCATGAGCAGTTCGCACAGCGCCTCGATCTTCTTGCTTGGCCACCCTCCCGAAGCAGCCGCGACGGTCTTCACGAGATGCAGAGAGTGTATGATGGCGGGCTCGTGGTGAGACTCCTGTTTATGCTGATGTCTGCTCTTCTTGATCTTCCCGGCAGCAGCCACGCTGTCGGCCAGTGTCTGCATGGCTGTCTCTGCACACATATCTGCCGCCGGGTGGTCGAGTGAGGGGCTCGGCGGGGGGGTTTTGAGCACCTTGACGAGGGCATCTTGAGCTCGCTTGCGCACCTTGGGACGATGATCCACGGCCAAACTCAACAGACCAGCTGTCGCTCGGCGCGGGCCGATTTGTGTATGCGGAAGAGCCCAGGAATTGGCGTCTTGGGCGACCAGGAGCGTCTCCAGGATACCGATTGAGGGGCGCAGCAGCGGCGCTTCGACATCGGGGAGGGTGAGCGCGGGGACGAGACTGGACAGGATCTGGGAGAATTTGGAGCGGAGCAGCGGCGCAGGCACGTATTCCGCTGTGATGTCGAGCAAGTATACCACTGATGTGGCCAGGTCTTTGTTGACGATCCCATGCGTGGTGTTGAGCGCCTGGCTGAGGAGGGCAAGCAGCGCGGCGAAGTATGCTGTTGCTGAAAAATCGGCCTTTTGATCGCGAAGAGTGTCTTCCACGGCATTCAGAACAACGGCAGTCTGCGAGAAAAAGCAATGGCTGTCAGTTTCACGGTCGCTTTCACGGTGGCGGCACTTGGGCACTCACATGGTGTTGGTTCTGAAGCTTGGGCGATTTTATTTTTTCAAACTTGTCGGCCAGAGTCGCCATGATGGGAGACGAATGCCACAGAGGGCAGAGCAAGCGACCGGGAGTCGGACAAGCTTGTGTACTTGGCAGATGCCAATATCAAATACCTATGCCAATGCCAGTACTGAAGTGGTGCAGGTGCTTTGTATGATATTTTTTTGGCGGCGGACCCGATAATAATTTTCACCGCAGATACACGAGGCTTGGCGGCGCTATCGATAAGTTTAGCCGCCGCCCGGACGGACTGACCGCCATAACTATGATGGATTGTTGCGCTCTACGAATGGCCATGCATGCTTCCCACACTATCTAGTCCAATGCTGACTTTTAGGCCAACTTCTACGTCTCTAATAAAACAATGCAGATATTCAGAGTCTGTCTTTTATATTCAATACTCGTCTATCGTTCACAGCCCTCAGAAAAGCACCTCGCCGCTATGCTCCGGCTCAAAGCCATGGCTTTGTAATTTGCCCGTGCTCTTTTTATCTTTCCTCTTGCGCTCCTCGTCTTCTTTGTTCTTCAACTCTCTGACTTCTCGGATTGGCGCTTTTGTTAGGAACGGGGGGACGTCGTCTTCCTTATCAAGATCCTGCAATCGCCTTGTTAGTCGAACAGGCATAGAAGACTTATCAAGTAATATGCAGGAGTAGTGTAGGTATAGCAACTCACAATCTCTCCTAATAGCAGGACATTCTCGCCTCGAACTAGATATAGTCCAACATGCTCTTCGGCGTAGAGTTTTCCGGCGTATAGTCTTTCAACAGTATCCTGCAAGACCAAGTTCGCTAGACGGCGAGAGGGATTTGTGTTAGATTGATCATTGTTCTGGATATAAAATGGTCGGTACAATGGCGAATCAATGTGTCTTACCGAATTGGTCCCAACTTCGAAGAACGCCGATTAATTTCCGCCCGTCACGGAGGACGAGAACGAGCTTTTCTGGACGATACATGGCAGTGGTAAGCTCTCAGTCCAGTTCAATCAAGACAATTCAATAGACTCGCTGTGGGCCGGTGTCGCAACATAAGCCCAGCTAATGCCTTCACCAACTACTTCGTCTTTCGTATTCTGCATCGTCTGATAGCGCGAAAAAAAAAAAAAAAAGAAAGCCAGATACCACTCACTATCTGTTAAATCGAGTAGCTGTGCAGCCGTCGTGAACATTTGCGGAGGGAGTTGCGGGGGGCCTTGGGCAGGTAATGACGGCGGAGGAGGGGCGGGCGAAAGGCCGCCGGGAGCAGTAGAATGATGAGGATGAGGATGTGGATGCGTTTGAGGGTGTAGCCCTTGTTGATCTCGTATGGGTAGTCTCTCCATATTATTAAGCTGAGCAGGATTCGGTTTTTGGTATGTGTTTTCGTCTCTGCTTCGGTAGAGGGAGAGAGAGTAGGTCACGTCACGACTGCAGAGGAGGAAGCAATTCTGGCCTCTCGCATTCTGGAGAGTCTCGGCGCAGAAGTCTAAAAAGAGGAGAAAAGCTAAAAAGTGCCCTGATCAATGTACACGATCCATTGGCCTTGCTGTGCTGAATGACGCCGTGAGGTTTGCGGTCAAATTCATCTTTGGGAAGGCGGGCGTGTTTGCTTTGTTTGACTGGATGGGTATCTAGATGTATCACGTGACTTCCTTCCAACCTCGAAGTTGGTCCGTAGCTGTCTAGGTATATACACCGTGCCAACGCATACCCACAGCGATCTGCGTCGAGGGGCGCATTGGCAGAGTATGGCGGCTGTGCTCTCAGCTGTGGTATCCCTTCGGTGCACTAAGACCTGATGCATCGTCGCGGCCTCGTAAAGGCTCTAAACTCATGATTCACTACACACTACAATGCCCTGGTCCCAGACTCGCAATGGCAGATACGAGCGTGCTCTCGGGGAGAACGAAACGTTCATTAAAATCCTTGGAGACACCGCTTTGCCATTCAGCCGCGAGCATTGGGCGATCAATATCGCCGTTGCAATCACGCCGACGGGCTCTCTCACGCAGGAAAACATGCCACATCTCTTCCGCGAAGCTTGGAAGGCGTTTCGTTTCAATCACCCGACAATAGCTGCTTACGTTGTCAATGAGACAAACTATGTTTATGACGTCCCTGATAGGGACGCCCTAGAGAAATGGGCGTCTGAAACGTTCAAAGTGGTTGAGGGCAAAACTGCGGATGAATTGATATCTTCTATTACCATCTCGCCGTATGCAACTATGTACTATCTACCCATGACAAACGAGCTACTGGCCCACTCGCAGCACTGGCGAACTGATGGCATCGGCAGCCTTATGCTCATGGATGACTTTCTTGCTCTTGCGACCTTGTCTCCATCACCAGACGCTGCTAACTTGCCGTGGGGCGAGGAGGCAGCTCGTCTAGCACCTCCGATTGAGGAGGCCGCAGCTATACCTACCGCCAACCATTCCGAAGTTGATAAAGAACTGGGTGCCAGATATGTTGCTACTTTCGGCCACGCAGTTGGTGCCATCGGGATACTCTCGCCTGCCCCGGCAGAGACTATCCCTGGTGGTACACGCATCGCCCATCATCGCTTTACAGAGCAAGAGACCAGTGCAGTAATTCAAGCCTGCAAAATACGCAATCTCTCCGTAACGGCCGCCGTGCATGCCTCCATTGCAGCTGCAAACTACGCGCTTGCTGCTCCTGAGGACCAAGCTCGGAAGCATTACACCAGCACAATTCGCTATAGTTTCCGTCCATTCCTATCAAACCCATACTCAGGCCGGCAATATGCATCGACAATTTTCACGACTGGGTGGATGGTTGCTGTGCCGGCCACGTCGTCATGGGAGGAGCGGGCCAGGACCTACCATGGCGAGTACCGCAAGGGTCTAAGCAAAGAATATATATCCGCACATCGCGAGTACGCCATAGGGCTGTGCAACCTTTTGCGCGGTTTACCTGCTGCGGGAACCCCGTCACCGACTGATGTTGACATTAGCAGCCTTGGTGTAGTGGAAAAGTACTTGGATAGAGAGAAAGGCTCTTCCAAGCGAGGCATTCGCGTGGACAGGGTCTCGCAAGGCTTGGAGATGATGAATAGGCAGGGTGTATGTCATGTGTTGACGTTCCGCGACCAGCTGTGCTTGAATTTGGTGTACAACGAGGCGTTTTACGAAATGGTAAGTATGGATAACTTTGTCAGGGCTGTCAGAGATTCTTTACTCAATGAATTGGCAGTGGAGGTTTAATAAGGGTGGAAGTTGGCTTACGGATTTTTTTTTCTTTTATGTTTCCTGACGTTCTATACATGAAATCATTTTTCTAGTACCTAGGTAGACCTATAATCGTCGCTTGCACTGCATAAGCAAAGTCAAGAATAGCAAAAGGAATCATTAGTACAACGCTGTGAGTATAGCCACCAGACCGTGGCGCTGTATGAAAAAAGAAAAAAAAAATGTATATCTGTATAAACAACGAAGTAGAAGAAATAGCAGTACATTAATGTCGGCATGCTATACTACACTGATACCGTGACGCTGTTCTCGTAACCGCTTTTCTCGTCGCGGACTATACGTGGAACAGTATGGCTCGTCGGACGAGCCAATGCTGGCTCTGACGGCATCCTGTGACGGGTGATATGCCGGACTGTCCGGGGAAGGGCAGAGTTGAACGGCTTTCAGCTGGTCTTCGGTGATGATTTTCGACTGGTACATGTACTTCATTAGCTCGAAATTGGGCCGACTCGCCGCAAGAGTATGCCCCTTCTCAAAGTGTTCGTGCGCGACATGCTCGAGCATCTCCGTCCACGTTCGAGCGGCGGTTTCCCCGCCAAAGTCGACGGCACACCACGAGCAGCTTGCTACCGGCGGGAGTCGGCAGCCGCGGAAGTGACTGAGCACATGTGTCTGCCATTGTTCGAGACTGTCGGACTGATAGTCGCAAGGCAGCATGTGGAAGAGACAGCGGAATACCACTGGGGGTTGCTCGGCGGGGGCGACGAGGTTGCCGGTGCTATCGGTGTCGAGGAGATTGACGACGACATTATTCAGCGACTCGTTTGATCTGCCAGACACGGACGACGGAGAGCCGGTCGACAGGCTGGGGACCGTCATGCTTTCCGAGGCTGCGATGCTGGAGTTGCCGTCGTGGACAATGACGGGGATACGAGTCCGCTTTGGGGTATGGCGACTCATTCGCGAGGGCGTCGAAGGAAAGTCAACTATGCATGCATATACATCGAAGGACTGACTGCCTTGTGCAATTAGAAAGCAGCAGCGAGCATCTTGGATTCGGCCCGATTCAATGCAATGTCGTTCCCCGAGGACACTGCACCTTTTCAGGCCAGTGAGCGGACGTCACTCATGAGCGCGGTGTTTCAGACTGGGGTAGGAGAGCAACTGAACTGAGAGAGAGAGAGAGAGAGAGAGAGAGAGAAAGAGAATATCTCCGACTCGGGCAGCCACGTTGAAATTTTATTGCATGACAACTCCGCGCGCGGGGTTGGCCAACGGAAAGGAAAAGCCAACGGGCTGTCCCGCCGCCGCATCCTGCACGACATACCGAAAATTGATTGTTGTGCATGGCCGCCGCTGATTGGGCACGATATCTAGTTATTTTACAACCGGCAAAAGCAGAAGAACGAACTGACTCTACAGCTAGTATGTACATTGGTCCTCGGAGTCCCCTCGCTTGTGGTTGACCGTTGCCGAGAACTCCGTCTTGGTCATGATAATCCCCGACGGAAGATTGAGCCGTTCTTCACTCGAGTTCTCCCCTTCGTTCGGCATCACGCTCGTCGTCGTCTGTCCGTAAAAATGCGGATCGTCCGCCCGCGTCGAGGGCAGGCCGGCATCCTGGCCGGCATAGCGTTTCCTGGAGCCCGCCATGGACATATTCGTGCTACCCATGGCTATCTCTGACCCCTGCGACTGCTCGTGGTGGTAGCCACTGGCCTTGTTGCGGATAAAGTCGACCAGTTGGCCCAGAACAGCGAATTCGAGCTTCAGCTTGACGCTGTAGACGGCCGCCTTGAGGCAGATTTGGATCGAGTACTGGCTCGCATACTCGAGGATGAGGAGGCTCAAGTCCATCACGATGATGAAGATGTTGATCGCGATGATCTGGTACTGGATGCGGCGATGTGCCTTGTTTTTGCGTGAAATATGGAGCAGTTTGTACGTCTCGTACAGATACAGGCCAGATATGATGGCTTCTTGCAAACTGAAGCCGGTGATTTCAATCTTTTCCATGATATTGTACCCCAGCACAAAGTCTATGGAGTCGTCGCGGAAGTTGGACCCAAAAGTCAAGACGGTGGTTGGGATGTGCAAAAAGACGGCGTTGATCATGATCATGTACAGCACTTGCTTCAGTCGCCTTGAGCTCCGCAGGACTAGATGCAGGCGCGAATAGAGAACAACGGCCTGGCCCGTGACCATGGTCCACCACCCGATGGTGAGAATACTGCAGGAAACCCAGGGGGTGACCAGGGTGAAGAACTTTAGCATAAACCCGACTGAATAGGGGATTACGCCTAGCAAGGCGGACAGCAGGAGCGACCAGAAGTAGAGGCCTCTGAAGCGTCTGAAAGAAACCAAGACCATCACCGCGAGCTCGACCGCGTTATACATGGCCATGAGAAGCAAGAAGATCACGAAGGCTGTGAGCCAATTGTTTGAGTTGTGCAAGAAGCCTGATATGCCATTGAGGCCGCCGGCATCGAAATTGAGCACCATGGCCGGAGTTGAAAACTCGACCAAGGCTGTTTCCAATATCTATCCTCCCCCCTCCCTTCTTCTTTTCAGCTTTCAGTTCCCAGTCACCCTTCTGTGCTTACAGAGACTTTCTTTCGTGGTAGCATGTCTGGGTCTCCCGTCCAAGAAAACCCAATGCAGTGTTAATGTAAGTGAATTGACGAACGAACAGGCATAAGTACTCGGTACAGCATGAACCAACATGCTGCCCGGTCCAACTCTAGCAAAAAGTTAGAATTGTCAAAGCGATCTTGGCTTGTTGTTTCTGTTGGTGGGATTGGATGGAGAGCGGGCGATCTCAGCCAGGGGCGTAATATACCTTACCATTAATACGGCCCCTAAGTACGGAGTATATGGCCGCTTATGCTTGCTGTTACAGATTCTAGTCGGTACTTTCTCTGTCTGTATGATTCTAGACTGACTGTGTCTAATTATTTAGTTGCTTATCAAATACTTATGCGATCTTGCAGTGAAGTCTATACCAAAGTGTACGGGAGCAAGGCCGGCCGCCTAAACAAATAGCCGGTATGTAATATTCGTATTCGGAATACATGCCCGCTAGTTCTCCCCGAGAAACCCCTGGGAAAAAAAAAGCTCGCTAGGCGCTAGCAATCCTGCGAAAACTGTAAAACGCGGGGAGATAAAAGATCCGCGCTCCGATTTGTGCTTGTTCTAAAAGTTTCCTCCTCTTGGGAATCAGGTCAGATGCGTGGAAATGCTGGTTGTTGAGGGATGCAATGCTGATCTGGCATTCAAGCAGCAGGATGCAAGTTCCCTCTCGAATGAACATCCATCCCATGCAGGGATTCGCAATTGGGCCGGTTGGTGCCTTAGGCGCAGAGCTAGCAGCTGCCCCACGTCTTCGCTCCATCTTTGGTTTACACTTCTTGCGTGGATGATTTGCATCTGAGGCTTCCATCTGGAGAACCGTCAGATCCACCCTCTATGCTCATCCATTGTGTGCTGCCATGGCGACCGAAGAAGGCATCATGCCTGTGGCAGTCAAGCCGAGAGCCTACCAGCAAGAAATGCTGGCTGAGAGTCTGCGCCAAAACACCATTGTCGCAGTGAGTCTCAGCTTGTCTAGATACACCTTGAACAGTTAAGCACTAACTGAACCCAACAACAATATGAATAGATGGACACTGGCAGTGGGAAGACACAGATGTAAGAACAAGAAATCAAACATGCACTGGCCATGTCCTCTGATATGTGCAATGTTTATATCAGTGCTATTCTTCGAATCCAGGAAGAGCTTGCACGCTGTGCACCAGAAAAGGTGTGTTCTAGGCTTTATATATATATATGTGTGCCCCCTCGCGAAGAGAAAAGAAGCTGAGCCGCCTCTAGTTGGTATGGTTCTTGACTCCCACCGTGGCTCTAGCGGAACAGCAGCACGCGGTGATTTCCAAACAGCTGCCCCTCTATCAAAGTAGGCTGCTCCTGGGAAGCGACAATGTGGACCATTGGAGCACGCAGGAGATATGGAACAAGATACTATTGAACATACGCATTGTCGTTTCCACCCCACAGGTGTTATTGGATGCCATGTGCCACGGATTTGTGAAGCTTTCGAGCCTGGCATTGCTCGTGTTTGATGAAGGTGGGCTGCTGAGTACCTTGCATTCCTCCAGAATATCGCTGACGGAATCACGAACCTAGCCCATAGATGCGTTGGCGCCAGCCCATTTAATGGCATAATGCGTTTATACCATCATGCCCGCTTATCAAGCGACGAGTCTGTGCTACCGGCTATTCTGGGGTTGACTGCGACTCCTGCTACACGAGCTACTGCTGAAGCAGTGAAGTAAGTCCTTGGGAAAAACTTAGATCTGCGTATGAACCTGCTAAGCAGGATCAGATTACTGGAGGAAAATCTCCATGCAATATGCCGAACGCCAGTCGTTCAAAGAGAAGAACTTTTGAAATTCACACATCAGCCGGAATTATATACTGTTACTTACAGACAAAACATGGAGGAGCCTACAAAAACCTTGCAATGTCTCAGCACTCTACTAGACCTTACGTTACAAGACATCGAGAGCGATCCTTACATCAAGTCATTACGAGCGAGCAAGGACAATAAAAGTCAAGAAACGCTCATCAAGACTCTTGAGAGTGGCAAAACTTTCACGAGAAAGGAGCTGAAATCGCTTTCTCAGCGTGGAGACGTTATTCACGAGCAACTCGGAGCTTGGGCAGCCGACGTGTTCGTAGGCACATGCGCCGAGAGGTTCATTGAAGAAGTGACTCGAAGATCCAAGAACGACATTTTCCGCCATTTCGAGGACGCAGAAAAGACGTATATGATGCAGTACCTCTCAATGCTTCCGGACACTGTCGAGCAAAGACGCTGGGGAAGCCAGCCGGACAGTATTTCGGAGAAAGCGGGATTGCTGCTCAACACCATTGCAGAGTCTTACAACCCGGGATACCGGATTATAGTGTTCGCTGAGCAACGTGCCACGGTAATCATGCTAGCCCATCTTTTGTCGACCCACCCGCTGATGGAAGGGATCGTGACGAAATACTTTCTTGGAAACTCAAACTATACTAGCCGAAAGTCAAACATCACCGAGCTCTCCTCCCTCAAGGATCAAAAAGATGTCTTGAACGACTTGCGTGTTGGAAAAACCAACATACTGATTTCCACCTCGGTTCTAGAAGAAGGAATCGATGTACCAGCCTGCAATGTGGTAATCTGTTTTGACCCTCCGAAAGATTTGAGGTCATTCGTTCAGAGAAGAGGGCGAGCCCGAGATCGCCAGTCCGAACTCGTCGTATTTATTGACGGCGATGACGATGACAGTATGGCCAAATGGGCATCAATGGAGCAACAGCTGAAGGCCTTATACGCGGACAACATGAGGGTTCTGGAAGAAATCAAAGCCCTCGAGGACTTTGAGGAAGAGAGTGCTGAATTTTTCCGGGTACCCGAAACTGAGTGAGTAATTATCTCTGCTGTATAGGACTTCGGAGGTTAACATGTTGTATAGGGCCGTTTTGAATCACGAAAATGCATGCCAATATCTAGTGTATTTCTGCTCAACAATGTCATATGCTTTCACTGACAATAAGCCCGATTATATCATTGAACGATGTGATCTAGCCTCTCAGATCGTTAAAGTCACGGCCAAGGTTGTTCTGCCGAGTTTATTAGATCCATCTCTGCGCGTTGCCCATTCGAAATCTAAATGGAGAACCGAGAAAGCGGCTAAAAGAGACGCTGCTTTCCAGGCTTACTTGGCTCTCTATACAGCAGGACTGGTAGATGACCATCTCATGCCTAGTCACCGGAAGAAATATTCAGACCCGGAGATAACAATCCAAGAGAAACAGGTGAAACTTACCCGGGTCTCGGAATGCTGGAGTCCCTGGCACAATATAGCTCAGCTGCGGAAAAGCGGTCTGGAGCTCATCCAGACACGAGTGTGTTTCGAAGCAAATCCGTTAGGAGTGCCTGACATGCTTTTGCTTCTACCGAGTCGTATCCCATGCGATTGGTCCTTTGAACTCTTTTGGAACCAGGACGTCACGTTGCGAGCAAGGATTTGCAACGATCGCAGTATCACACCGCATGTGAACTCCGAGCAAGCGGCACGTTTCACTCACCAGGTGTTGTATTGCACCTACGAGGGTAGAATGGCCTCACCGGAGGCGGATTTTCTTACATTATTTTGGCCTGCAGAGGCTATCGACGTGGCTACTGAGGAATGGCTTCTCTCAACCGAGGGGAAGTATGATGGCACAACTATTCAAGCAGACCAGATTACGACAGAACAGTTACAAGAGATTGGCATGGCTCGCACCACAGACCAGAATGCCCGACCGTTTTTCATTGAGCAGATTGTCAACTTGCCTGTAGAGGATGCTGTGATGCAGGAAACAGAAACAGACGAGCAGCCTACGGCAGCTGTCAGATTAGAGACACATCTCAAGGGAACTACGCTTCCCAAGCGTGCGGATTTTCTTCATCCAATCGCGCAGTCGGAACAATTACCATTGGCACATACGGCCCAGCAGTGCTTTCCAGCGCATTTGTGTCGTATAGACCGACTTCCTGCAAGATTTGCAAAATTTGCCCTATTCATCCCTTCAATAACGCACAATATCGAAGTCCTCTTCGTGGCAGAGAGATTAGCGAAGACCGTACTGTCGAGGGTGCAGTTCTCGGATCTAGCACATGTTTTGACCGCTATTAGCACCTCTGTGGCAAAGGAAGCAACAGACTATCAACGATATGAATTCCTTGGCGACAGTCTCTTGAAGTTAATCACGTCTATTCATTTGGTTGCGAACAACCCACTTTGGCACGAAGGGATGCTGTCGGCTGCGAAAGACGGCATCGTTTCTAACGAGCGCCTAGCACGAACCGCACGAGAACTAGGCTTAGATCAGTTCATCCTAACTAAGCCGTTTACTGGACGTAAATGGAGGCCCTATTACGCCTCTCAGTTCGCCAAGGCGGAAGACAACGAGTCGCTGGAGGAAACGCGTGAGCTTTCATCCAAGACGTTGGCTGACGTTGTAGAATCCCTGATGGGGGCAGCGTTTCTTGATGGTGGCTACGAGAAATTAGAAGCATGTGCCAAAGTGTTTATGCCTGAGAAGCTTTGGAATTCTATGGACGTTGACGTCCAGAAAATGTACGCAGAAGCTGTGCTCTCCGAAAAGGCAGCATCCCACCCTAAATTGGCCCAGATAGAGGAAATGCTCGGGTATAAGTTCAACAAGCCTAGTCTTTTGTTTGAAGCGTTGACTCACCCCTGTTCCAATGACGGGTCACCGACTTACCAGCGACTGGAATTCTTGGGAGACTCGCTGCTTGACCATCTCGTGGTTCAGGAAGTTTTCCACCAGCCAAAGCAGCTTTCCCACCAGAACATGCACTTGATGCGAACAGCGGTGGTGAACGCCCACTTCCTTGGCTTCCTATGCCAGAGTCTCTATATCACAGAGATGCGTGAAGAAGCGGCAGAAGCCGGACAGGCGCACCTCTCAACCGTTCAGACAGAGCATAAGATATACCTCTGGCAAATGATGCGGCACGGAGCATCATGGGAAATCGTCAATGCTCAACAAGAGACGCAAAACCGGTATGAAAAGTGGGGTGCAGAAGTCCACAATGCACTCAAACACTCGCGCAACTACCCCTGGGCAGAGCTGTTTCGCATTAATGCCAGCAAATTCTTCTCTGACATCATCGAGAGCATCCTGTGCGCGATATTTGTTGACTCACAGGGCTCGTTGGATGCTGGTCGCAATTTTATAGAGCGCATTGGCCTGCTTCCGTATCTGCGCCGAATCATTCATGAGAAGGTGGAAATCCTGCATCCTTTCAGCCAAGTGCGCGAGGCGGCGAGGTCGGAGAAGGTGGATATTCGCACCGAGGAGAAGAAGAAGAAGAAGAATATGGCATCCAGTGATGATTCTGGAACAGAGCAGTTGGACTCGGTGTACATCTGCACTGTGCTGGTGGGCAATGAAGAGATTGTCCAGCTTGCTGACGGCGTTAATAAAGCCGAGGTCGAGACGAGAGCGGCCGCCTTGGCGGCTGATATTCTCAGGGCGCGAATGCATTCACCAAAGCGGTAGGAAGCCAGATACTGATTCTGCTATTGCATTATACATTATAGTGCAATTGATGAATGTGCAGGTTTCTAGACTTGATACGACACGACATGAATAATGATTTATGATGATATGAGAAATTTTTTTTTTGTTTCTTCTGTCTTTCGGGCCAGATTGATAAGAACTTTTGGTCATTCATAGTGCATACAATTCAGGACTTCAATTCCAAACACAGAACTGAAAAAACAAACAAATTAGCCATTGAATATTATCTAGACACTCGTCTTCTCATCCCCAGCCTGAGAAGACGCCGTCTCCTTCACATCAACAAAAGTATGAATCTGCATCCCATCAAGCACCTTCTCACGCAGATACTCAGGGATAACCTCATCCTCAGGGAAGAATCCCTCCGTATACCGCATCGCCTCCCACGAATAATCATCCTTAGCCAACTCGGGTGGATATATGGGCACCGGCCATATGCGACAGGAGACGTAGTATATCAGACCCGCGACTATGGTGGAAAGCAAGAAGCCCATGTTGTACATCCGCACGGCAGCGATGCCGATGGAGCCTGGGTTCAGGGCACCAGAGACACCGGGAATGACGAGGGCGATGGAAATGGCCCAGGCGGCGAAGGCGCGGAGGTTGAAGCCCGCGGTGTAATAGTATATGGCCCCCGGTTGGGCTTTGTAGAGTGATGGGACGTGAACGTTGCCTTTGCGGATGAGCCAGTAATCGACGCTGAGGAGTGAAATTAGCTGGTGTTGTTTCCTTGTCGTCCTAAGGGGAGAAGGGAGGGGCGCTTACATCATGCAGGAGACAATTGGGCAGATGAAGCACAGATATGAGCCCAGGAATGTAATAAAGGAGGATGCAGAGTATGTCAGTTTCCAGGGAACTAAGCAATGTCAGTATATCTAGGTCCTTTCAATTCCCACCCTCCCAAAAAAAAGAAGTATGGGGGCAAGAGACAAGACTTACCGCACACCCAGGCCAGGATGAAGCAGAGTACCTGGCCGCGAACGATGGTGAAATACCGTGGGAACAGGCCTGTCAGGTCGCAGCCTACGGGGATCGAATTGCTAGAAAAGTTTGTGGCGAATGTTGCAAATGCCTGTTGTAACAACTGTCAATACCTAGGTATCCCAGGCGTAGTAAAAGGATGAAACGAAAGGATGGGCATACCTGAATCCCAGCCCCGAGAAAAACCAGCGTTCTGGCCCCGGGGGTCCAGTAGTTATCCAGAATACTCGAGTAAAAGTCCCACAGATTCCAATATGCCTTAGGTAATCCTTTCACGTTAGAAGAGTCTACTAAAATTAGGAAACAGGCATTGCATACCTCGCCAAACTGTTTATAACCCGCCGCAGTAACGACCATGCCGATGATCACGACTAGTGGCTTGCTCACCACCAGGCCAATGGGCATGGGCAGGGTATCCCTGGGCTTGTTGACGTATCGAGCCAGGTCAGAGATGTTGACCAGTGGAGGGATGACGTTGGAGACAATCGTGTTGATGGCTTTCATAAACGACCAGCCCAAGGCTGCCCCCGTTGCGGTTTTTGTGCTGAGACCGTTGAAGTCGGCTCCGTGGCTGGACGCCTACGAAACAAATGTTAGTGGACCAGCCAGACAGGATTAAGGCAGAGAAGGTTTTACAAGAGCCCAGATCATGGTGACTATCAAGCCAATCGGAGCAATGACAGACTTGATTTTGAACACAAGTGTCATTTTGCTCGGATGAATGAACGCAAACGGGAATTGGATTATCCACAAGATGCCAAATGCCAGCAGATTAGCAGATGTGATGCCTGCGTTTGCCGGGAGATCTGAGAAGAAAGAAATCTTGTCAGTTTTGTTTACCGCAGGACAGAACAGAGCAGGGGGTTGGCGTACGGTTGGGAATGTCTGTCCATTTATGTCCGAACATGCAGCGTAGCATTACGGCTACGAAATTACTGGCGTAAAGGGTCTGGATGCTCATGTATAAGATTGCCACGACCTGAGGAAAGACACTTAGTATGTGTTTTATATGGGCGGTGGAAGGAAATAATCACTTACTCCGCGGATGAAGACAAACACGAGAGATCCGTAGATACCGCTAGATAGACGGACAAAGGTTGGATATCCGACATGGTACCTAGTAAAAGGAGGAAAAAAAAAAAAGAAATTAGAAACGAGGTCGAAATGGTATGCAGGGGAAATCCTTTACCTTGCAGACCCCCTCGAGTTCAAGAAAAGCAAGATAGCTATAAGAATTGAAACAATAACTATACAAACCTGGTATTAGCCACATGAAACACTTATCATCAGGGTATGCAAAGAGTAACCCACTGGAAGCTATAAAGATAGTCCACCACTTCAACCCAATCGCATACAAACTCGCGCCGGCGTTATATGTCGTAGGCGAGAACGCGATGCTGAACTGGAAAGCAAAAAACGACAAGGCCGACCACGTCCGCTGGGCCGGAGGCGAGGGATCAAGATCTCTGTTCGACCATCGCCCAAACTGCCCGGACTCCTCGTGCTGGCCGTCGTCGGTCTTGTTTCCCACCTTGCAGGTGTCTAGGATGGACTGTCCCCGGCGAGAGAGCCTCTGTGCTAGGGCCATGGCGTTGCCTGCAGAGGGGATGATGGGGATCAGTTTATCGGAAGACGCAATCCTTCAGCTGCGGGGGGAGAGAACCGGCGTTGACCGAGCAAGTTTATACATCGGCTTATCGAAGCTTTTCACTTCGTTATCTGATCGATACATATCGAACGGCCGTCTCCTCGGCAAAGTCTAATATCGGGCGATAAGATGGAGACATGATTTCCGTTTATGTTGAGGAGTATTTATTTCTTCATGCTATTATTCGCTCGCAGACAATTTTCTGTAATCGACCCCTGTCAAGCGCCAACCATGAGCAAGCGAATCCGCCTCGGAATCCTCACGCCGTCGTCCAACACCAGCCTGGAGCCCTTATCGCAGGCGATCGTGTCGCAATTGCCCCATGTCAGCGTGCATTTCTCTCGCTTCACGGTCCTCAAGATCAGCCTAGAGGAGGACGCGCTCAGCCAGTTCCAGACCGAGAAGATCGTCGAAGCAGCCAAATTGCTGGCAGACGCGCATGTGGACGTGATCGGCTGGAGCGGGACGTCGTCGGGCTGGCTCGGCTTCGAGGCAGACGAGATGCTATGCGAAGCCATCACTGCTGCGACGGGGGTGCCCGCGACAACGTCCGTCCTGGCGCTGAACAAGGCCGTCAAGGAGCTCGGTGTCCGCGAGCTGGGGCTGGTCACGCCCTACAAAGACGATGTGCAAAGCGCCATCATCAAGACGTATGCCACCATCGACGTCGACTGCACCAAGGAGAGCCATCTCGGCCTGTCAACCAACGCGGCTTTCGCGGACGTCGCCGAGTCGACGCTGGACGATATGGTGGCCGGCGTGGCCGCGAAGGACGTCAAAGCCATCTCGACCTTCTGCACCAACTTGTATGCCGCCCAGCGCGGCGCGTACTGGGAGGAGAAATACGGAGTTGTCATCTTGGACACAGTGGTCACGGTGCTCTGGGATATGCTGCGCGGCTGCGGAGTCGACACTACTGCGATCAAGGGCTGGGGACGTCTGCTGTCCGGAATAAGCAGCGCATAATGTATATATACTATAGTTCTATAGTTGTAATGCTACATGACTCAAGGGGGAAAAAAAAAAATAAAAAAAAAAAATAAAATTGGTATCGCCCGACGGCCAACTGCCTATCGGCCGCTTATCAGGGCCTCCCCCGCCTGTATGATAGATAAAACCAACAAGCAGCTGCGGTACAAATTCTAATCTTCCTTTCTTTTCTTCTGTCCTTCAAGTGCCTCCCCCCTTTGAGAAAGCTCATCTGTCGAGTCTCAAGATGACCGTGTCTGAAATCCCGTTCTACGACTGCATCGTCCTCAATGGCACCGTAGTGACCGCCGCAGATATCGGCCGCTACGATCTGGCCATCAAGGATGGGAAGATCATGCTGCTTGCGCCGGCGGGCCATCTCGCCAGGACTTCGGCAACGCGTGTGATTGATGCAGAGGGTGCCTATGTGATGGTATGTCTGTCTGTCTGTCACTCACGTCGCAATGCACCACTTACACTGACTTGAATCATCCTGCAGCCCGGAGGCATCGACGCTCATGTGCATCTTGCAGAGCCTCCCCTGTTTGGAAAAGGCCGCACTGCCGATGACTATACAACCGGTGAGCTTTCCAACACGCGGAATTGCATTAGATTGCATCAATGTTGCTGATTGGTTCGCCAGGCACAAGATCTGCTGTCGCCGGAGGAACAACTACTATTGTCAGCTTTGCGCCGCAGGAGAAGTCGGAATCATCACTGCTGGACGTGCTCAACACAACAGCCGAGAAGGCGGCAGACCAGGCATACTGCGACTACTCATTCCATCTGCTCATCTCGAATCCAACGGCCCAGGCCCTCGACGAATTTACTGCGCTCCGCGAGCGCGGCATATCCTCGATTAAAATCTATATGACATACGAGGCACTCCAGTTACGGGATAACCAGATCCTGGATGTGCTCCTCCGAGCCCGTGAGACGGGAATCACGACCATGATCCACGCTGAAAACGGGGACGTCCTGAGTTGGATGACCAAGCAATTGGAGGATCGCAAACTCCTGGCGCCCAAATACCACGCTACTTCCCGACCCCAGATTCTGGAGAGCGAGGCCACCAACCGAGCGATTGCGCTGGGCGAGTTGATTGATACCCCCATCTTAATCGTCCACGTGTCTTCCCCCTCTGCTGCTCAGGTCATCCGGCAAGCGCAGACCAAAGGCCTGCCCGTCTATGCTGAAACTTGCCCACAATATCTTTTCCTCACCCGGGATGACCTCGATAAGCCTGGTTTCGAGGGTGCCAAATGCGTCTGCTCGCCTCCGCCGCGCCAAGGTCCCGAAGACCACGAGGCGATCTGGGCCGGTTTGAAGAATGGAACCTTCACCATCCTCTCGTCCGACCATTGTCCATTCATCTATGACGATGCCGAAAGTGGCAAGAAGGCTGCCATCACCCCGGAGTTCCCGGAAGGCCATTTCAAATATATCCCCAACGGCTGCCCGGGTGTCGAAACGCGTCTAGCGCTCACTATGAGCGCCGATCGCCTGACTCCGCAGAAATTTGTCGAACTGACTAGTGCCAATCCTGCTAAGCTCTACGGGCTTTATCCCCGGAAAGGTGCCCTGATTCCCGGCCTGTCTGATGCTGACTTGGTCATTTGGTATCCGTCGGATACCTTGGAGCCATTTCCGATCACAAATTCTGCACTGCACCACAATGTCGATTACACGCCGTATGAAGCGAGGATGATTTCGCAATGGCCACGATATACATTGATCAGAGGAGAGGTGGTGTGGGATCGAGATAATGGAGGTGTTGTCGGAAGAAAGGGGTATGGTCAATTCATAAAGAGAGACCGCAGCTCTCTAACAAACAGCAATCCTTCACCTTGGACGGTAGAGAGCTTTTAGTTGGTGATGAGCAAACCTTGTGCAATAGAAATTTACCCCTCAGAAGAAACTGAACATCTACCGATGATCTTCACAATCTATATCTGCATCCAAGACCTTGGCAACCTGTGGAGGGACGATGAAGTTGCTGCCCAGTCCTCCTGTAACTAGACTGTGCAATCGCACGAGGCCCAGCGCCATAAGATTTTCGTGATTCCGGTACTGCCGACTTAGATTCTGGGTCCATATTTCTAAAAGATGTTTTGTTCGTGAAGCATGTTGTTCCGTGAGTGCTTGAACGAGAAGAAGACAGATGAAGTTGGTCATTGTTGCAAAACATATACGAGTCCCTATTTAGAAGTGTCAGCTTTCTTTCTTTCTTTCTTTTTTTAATTTCATCTTTTGTTTTGAGGATAGTGAGAATATACTTACATGGATACCAGAACATGTCAAAGTCACGAGGTTCTAACGCACCCACAAAGTTGACAATAATTCCTGCACACTTCTCTGCGGCATTCAGCGTGGCCTCTGCCGCTTCACCAAATTCCGAAACATCCACAGCAGGGAGCTGATCTAATCCATAGCCATCAAAGCCTAGATCTTCCAGCAGCCACATTGTCGATTCAGAACTCTTATCGTCTGCTATTATTGGAGGTGGCGGAGGCGATCGGGCTAGGGGCCGTAAGATGGCGCGATACACGAACAGTTCTAGAGTCAAATACGCAAAGTGTAATACACCAGCGCCTTCCCTGCAGCATAGCTCCGGTTGGTGGGGTGTCTTGATCCGTAGAAAGTCTGGAAGAGAGCTATACCAAGCTTGCAGTTTTTGCCGTATAGGCCTTGCGGCATTGATAGAGGCTTGGAAGTCTTCAGACGTTCTTTGAGATCCTCGGAGTGTGCTACGTTTGGGGGATTAGATTTTGAATATACTAACATGCTCCGAATTGCTCCAGACGAGCAAGCACTTACTAGAATGTCTGGTAGATGTCATCCACCACCTGAGCCAGGTCTGTGAGAGACTTGAAAATCGCCCCGTCTTCCGGTTCAAGTGCAAGGTGATGTTGAAAAAATGCGCTCATGTCTGCATCACCCAGTCCATCAACAACAAAATCTGCATCGTCCAAATCTTTGACATCCCACTCTTCTCGACGGATAAACGGTGGACGACCAATAAGTAGGCTGCGCCATTTATCCTCAAGGTAGATAGCCCACCATAATCTTCTTCGGAGACGCTTCTCCCACGCAGGAATCCCCCATGGCCGTGGTTCAAGGTGAAGCCCGAGTGAAGCCGCCAAGCCCACTGTGCTCCCGAGAAAAGACCAGACAAATGGGCTATCTGCTAATGCACTTTGACTTCCGAGAGGTAGCCGCTGCAGGTACAGCAAGCAGGCTTGAAAGACAGATAAATGAGGAGTATGGATTTCCTGCAGTATAACTTCGTATACAAGACGCCAAAGCCGGTCACACAATGTGTCGTCGTACAGCCCAAAAATGACCAATTCCGGATCATGAGCTTTGAATGGAAGAGCAGAAGCATAGATCGCTGCGAGCAAGTGAACAGGGGTGCTCGACAATGAACGATTCGGTAATGGCAGATTAAGGCCCAACTGGGATCTTGAGATTACTGGCACTGATGGGAAGACGAACTTTAAAAACCTGGAATACCGCATGATTAGACTCGTTATAAATTCAAACTGACGCTTTCTTTTTTTTTTTTTTTTTTTTTCTTTTTTAAGAGACTTACAGTAGGATTAGTCGCCAGCCATATTTGGGCGGCACCAACTCATCCAAGACATGACGCAAATCCTCTACATTTGCTTCGGAGCGAATTGCAGTAGCAATCTTGGCCGGCCTGAAGAGCAAATCATCGGTCACCAGGAAATGCACCGGGACCAGGCCCTCCACCGGTACTCCACCAACGTTTCGAAAATGAATGCGATGTAGACTGTGAATTCCATTCTCGTCATACTTGCAATGGCGCAGTAGCCACGGGTCCGATTCTGCTGATATGCCAAAAAGTTGCGCAGTCGAATCTTTTATCTGATCAAGGGATCGGATATGTTGCACGTTGAGCGCATGTCGACTAGTAGTACTGACGGAAGCTACAGAAGCAACCGGTTCATATCCCTGCAATGATTCGTTCTCGGCATCAACATTATCAGGCGGAAAATGAGAGGGCTGATCTTGTAGCTGTCGTGTCGAGAGGGTGGGAATGGCCGGCTGATAGCTGGCATCCCTGTTATGCGTAGTAGAGCCACGAGCTGCAAAGCGACCTCGCGGAGTGGGCGGCATTTCAAACACACACGGCTTGCCAGCATTCCAGCAGCTGTGGCATGAACCTCTTTCCGGAAGGACACAGGCTATTTTCCTGCTGCGACAGCGATCGCACGGTCTTTTCAACTTTGACCGATATGGACGAGCATTCGTAGTATTCGCATCCATTGTCTGGAGTGAGAAGACAAGGGAGCTGACGAGGTATCCACGCTCTGTCAAGAGACCAGCCTCTACTCCCTGGCAGCTCTGCATACAACAAAAGGAAGCTCGATCCTATCGTAGACTATGTATAGGAATGGGGAATACGTTTGGCCATGTAGTGCCATCCCGGAGCGGAGAAACTAGCGCCCCGAAGACCTTTTCCAAAAGTCCAACTAGGGATTCATACTACTACGACTACTACATCAACTGTTCATGTGTCATCATTAATCATTACTCTCCAACACTCACGCATAGAGAATATGAGGTCGTTTAGACTTGCCCTCTGGGTAACTGATCAAAGATCTAATCTTTGGCGGGCGGTCGATGTGAGACCGGTGAAAGTCTATGATCATGACCCGACCCAGCTCGTCATTCCACAACATGTTTTCAAGCCGCAGGTCCTCGTGCACGACTCCTAGCTTACGGACTTGTCTCGTCGACCAGGAGATCTCCTGCTGCAGCACCAAGCCCTGGTCTTTGCGCATGCTCTTCCCCTCCCCCCCAAGCCATAAGCAGCATATGTTGGATCTCTCCAGCACCATGAAGAAAATAGACCATTTTCAGATCAATGGCCCCAATGAACACGGGGACTGCAGACCCTTGTGCTTTACGAAGAATCCGGTATATCTCTACTTCACGGGAGACCTCCTTCCAGAGTCGGGACGTGGTTCCTTTTCCAATCAATGTGTAACCATACTTGGCGCAGGTAATCTTAAATGGTGCACCATATGATCCACAATCTCCGAATGGCGTACAGTTATGGTCGAGGTCTTGATCGAGCTGCTCTTTTAGCAACTGTACTAGCTCTTCCGCATCGATGCTATGTCGATCGCCCTTTTCGTGCCGATGAAGATGGACATTGGGGCAAAGACGATCCAACGCGCCCCCCTGCTGTAGGCCTAATAGGCACCGCTGCGTACAGAAACGTGATGTGTGCTGTTGGTGTTGACCACTAGAAGGGGGCGTCGAGTCCGTTGGGCGTGTCGATCGACGCTGACTAGGCGGAGAGGATAGGACTTGGCGGATGCCGAGCTTGCGATTCTTTGTTGTTGTGTCTGCGCCGGAGTCAGATGAATCCAGGCGGTCACTCTGAGACATCGTTCCCATGGGTGCACAGTCACCTCGTAATCGGTTTGAGGCTCGACGCGTTTGCTTGGCCGATAGTGGAGATGAGGGCAAATAGACAGAGCCTGTATCTAAGCTCGCATATTCCGAGTCGGGGGGGGGACCATTTTTAGCTCTTCATCAGGAATCTGGGACCGCGTATGGTCAAAACTCGTCATCCATTTATGTAAATGGCGTCCTGCTTCTTGCCGCCACGCCTGATCACGGATCTGAGAATGAAAACACATCAAACAGAGGCATAACACCCTGGCGATAGCAGTTTTTGGTTGCTGGAAGATTTCAGGGTCGCCTGAATCCACGTCGAGATTGGGCTCACAACGGTAATAATAAAGCGTACTGGGATCGTCATATGGAACACGGAGAAGAATTAAACACAACCCGTTGGTGATGTAGGAGTATTCCAACCCCTCTTGAATCATAACATGATATTCTTGAGTTAATACAGAGCCAACCAGCTGTTCTGCATTATACTTTAGCTTTTCATCCTTGTCAGTAGGTATTTCATTCTGGTTAACAACATCTTTCCAAAACTCCATTGATCAAAAACCCGACCGTATGTCTTCAACTCTGAGCTTACGCGGTGGCTTATATTCGACTGTGGTCAGCAAGCTATTGGTGATACTGTCGACTCGATGGATACAAAACTGATCTGGTCTTGAATGTGGCGTACTTGATACATTGTTGTTGTTGTTGCCATCATCTTCTAGGACATTGGCATGATTATCAAACACAATTCCATTGCCAAGTCGGAACCTCTCCCGGGCATCTGGTATCTTGCACAGTTCAGCTATAATATCATGCACATGGTCTTCAACAGCAAATCGCTCGTAGCTCTCGAGATCCTTCTCACTTCGCACGACTCAAGGCAAGGGGTGCACAAAGCCGGCTTCCTGTTGATTGTAGGTAGGAGTTGACATCATCGTAGAATCCTTGCTGCTGCGCCGAACAGTCCGACCACAGGCAAAGTCGTGTTGGGCAATATTTTCCAGTAGGCGGCGGGATTTTCCCCTTTGTGGACTTGGTTGGGGTGCCAGCTTTGAATGGAAGAGAAAGCAAACTGTGGCAGGCTTGGATAAACTCCCTAAAAACAGTGGGATCAGTCTGTACTTCTGCCTGTCTTCGTAGCTCTATTTCCTGTTGAAAGAGGGCCTTGTAATCAGGTGAGGTATTGCCAGCCATTGTGTATGCACAAATATGCAAATAGAATTCGCAAAAGGAATGAGAATAATATATAAAATGACTAATGCGTGAGGAGGTTGAGTTAGATAACAGATCAAGGACGGGTCGGATTAGCTTGTTAACCGTTCCAGCCAATCATTGTACCAGGTGGCTCATGGAAGGCGTTGCTAAATCGGAATAGGAAACTTATATCAGGCTTTCTGTTATAACTATAGGCCCCATATAAAATACCTATATAACAATTCCCTAATAGAAATTATGTTGCCTCGATGAGCGGTCCAGCACGATTCTTTATGTGCAACGAACTTTGAAGGCACGGAATTTCGATTTAAACCTAAATCCCGCTTCATAGACGAGTAAGCAAGATTTGAAATAGTCATCGGCCTTAAAGGATGTTGCAGTAGCTTTTCGGAATAGTGATGGGCAGGCCTTGAGTCTTTACCTAATCCTCCCTAGCTTTATGGATATGTACACGTCGACCCCGAGGCTACGCTATATGTAGTAACTACGCCCGAGGGCGAGAGCGAAGATCAATAATTCCTAGGTCTATAAATGGCAATATTGAAGAACTCATGGATGTATAAACGAGCATCAAAATACGAAACGCGGCTGCCTTCATTGAACATCTTAAGTTTCACAAAGCCACAACGAAATGGAATTGGCTATAGCACAAATCAGGTCTCTGGCGCAGAGCGCTGATAGAGCCGGACGCCAGGAAATTTTGAGCGCTCTGGGCAAGCTGCAGTCAGAACTAGAGGACCCTATGGAGACGTTGATGCGTCTTTCCAATTTTGTTCGTGTGATGTCCCAAAACCCTTTTCGTGAGCGTGAAGCTGACCTCCTTATTGAATATACTCATTGCCATGTTTCGCGTTGCGGTAGATGTGCAACTCTTCCAAGCGCTCGCTGATACGTCCGAGTTTCTAGACGTTAATCAGATCGCAAAAACGACCGGCATGTCGTCTGAGCTTCTTGGTAAGGAGTATTATTGCTTACCAATTCAAGATCTTTGTTCTGACAAACATTGTTTCAAAACCTACAGCAAGAATCCTTCGCTATTTGGCCTCCATGAACATTATCGAAGAAAACCCCAGTGGCCAATACGCGGCCAACAAGATTACTCGGTTTTTCGCTATTCCTCGGGTGCAAGGACAGGTCCTCCATGGGTAAGCAAGAAATATCTCATAGTAAATCCGATATCTCAAGTCCCCGCTAAAAGCTATAATTTTCAGATTTGAGACAAATATTCCGGTAGCTCGTGAGCTTTTTAGTTTCCTGGCATCAACAAACTACCAAGATATCACAAAGAATACACACACCCCATTCCAAAAAGCCTACAACACCGATTTGCATCCTTTCGAATGGTTTGCTCAAAACCCAAAACGGTTCGAGCACTTCCACCAAGGAATGGCTGCAATGGCCTCGGCGGCCTGGATTGACGCAGCTGAAGTATTTCAGAGGGCAGCGAACCAAGTCCCACCGACGACTCCAAGCACAAAAGAAGCTCCCTTCTTTGTGGATGTCGGGGGCGGCTATGGCCACCAGAGTGTTCTGCTTGGGAAAAGATACCCCAATCTTTTGCATCGTATAGTTTTCCAAGACCTCCCACAGACGCTCAAACAGGTTTCCGTGACTGAAGGGATTGAAGCACAGGCGCATGATTTCTTCACACCGCAACCAATCAAAGGTCAGTATTCCCATTTTGTTCTGCGTTGTTAACATATAACAGCCTTTACTCACCTGCTAGTCTAGGTGCTAAGTTCTATTATCTTCGTCGAGTCCTTCACGACTGGCCCGACAATGACGCACTGAAGATTCTTCAAAATTTAGCTTCTGCCTTGTTGCCGGACTCCCGCATTCTAATCGACGAGATTGTGATGCCAGATCAGTCGGCTCACTGGCATTCTACGATGATTGATCTATCGATGATGATGGCATTTGCCGGCAAAGAGCGCCGTGCACAACAATGGAGTGACTTGGCGGAGCGTTCAGGCTTGTGTGTTGAGCAAATACAAACCTATGATCAGGCATCTTATGCTTCTGTCATTATCATTAGGTCCAAATAAGCATTTGTGTCCTCTTTTTTTTTGTTTTTGCTTTGTCAAGATCTTTTGTATTGCGTTACTCTTGTTATGCAAATTACCCGATCTGGAAGAAAAACTGCGGTAGTCTGTGGGCCTCATGTGGGCCCCTGAGTGCGGCTGAAACTCTGTTGTTACATAGTAGCTGCTATTTATATAGTCAAACGTGCGTAGTTTTCCTCAACATCTCTCTTTTCTTGTTTTTATTTCTCGACGACTGTAAAAGAACTCACTGAATCGCTTTGAAAATAATGGATCATAACGAGAAATCTGCTTCTGCAGACGTTGAAATGGCTAAACCCAACGATGGCGATATCATCACCCCGCTACTTCTCCTACTTGCTGCCCGCCGTGGTTTCCAGCATGACAGCGGTGTCGCCCAACTGGCGGTTCCCGAAGACTATGTCCTTAGTTACCGCGGCCAGTCTGGCGTTAAAGCTATAAATCATACGTCGTGGCTAGTCCGACTAATCTGCGCTTTAGGATACAAATCGGTCGGATCTTGGTATGTCTTTCCCCCTTCAAAATTGTAATTAAATCATCAGCACTAATGGCTACGCTTGACATATCTATTCAGCCTAGCCATGGTCTTTTTGATTTTTTCTCTCAGCCAATCGACTATGTCTCTTATTTCCGATGACACTTCCCCGTCCTCAAAGCTGCGAGTAGGTGCTCTCGTTGCCACAGCTGCGGTATTACTTATCGTCATTGCAAGAATCTACGCCAAGCGTCATACTGCTGCTGCAACACCTCCCTGGTGCGATCCGGAATCGTACCAGTGCAGACTCACGGCTGCGATGGCCAAGGCGAATATCCAGTATAGAGACATCGTTTCAGCTACATTGGCCGAGATGGAGAAGTTGTGGAAGGAGGAGGAGGCACTCTGCGAGAGGCTCACCATTCAGGGACTCATAGATCCGGAGGATAGACAGCTGGTGTATGATGTCGTGCTGAAGTTTTACAACAACGGCGGCGTTGTTATACAGTTTCCCTTTGTTGATACAGCCCCCAAAACGAGGCCTGGCATTTTAATCTCGAAGGCAGCGGAAAAGCGGTCAATTGATCTCGGACTGTGCTGAAGGTGCAGTAAGTGTTTTCCTAGTAAGGCTGTTTAACGCAGGTATATATGGATTGAAAATACAGTATAGCCATCAATATAATCCATCCGGAAATTGGGACTTTGTAAAGTCTTTTTGTTTATTTGAATGAAAAGCCTAAACTTGAATGTAAACGGTGAGGAATTATCTAGCATAACACTCGGTAGCTCACTTTCTCAATACAAGATGCAAGGAACCTGGAGTAAAATATCCAAGCGGCAATCTATCACGATGACTATAGGCTAGCTGTAAAACGGATCATCGAGCTGAGTGAAGAATCATGATCAACAAATTCCTCCAGCAGATGGGGACTTGAATAAAACAGAAGACCAACGCTGGGAACTTGACAGGTGAGCTGCGTCAGCAATTCTGAAAACGAGGTTCCGTCCAATATCTCGTAGTCATTGCTATGGTGGAGAAATTTGGGTGGAGCTTTGCGCGATAGATGGCTAGCAGAAAAGCGCGATATCTTATACCCCTCTCACGTTCTGGATCGCCGTCTTCTACTACTTGCGATTAATTGAAGGGGGCTAGAGCAAATTGTCAGCTTTCTTGTACAGTGAAGAAGAACCCACAACACTATGAGACAATCTGCTTGAAAATATGTTCTATGAAGATTGAATGGTCAGCCCGAGCTTCAAGGTAACAGAATCCTGGCACCGAGAGCTGCCTGAAAACCACAACTTCTGCATGCTTCTGTCCTCTGTGATGGAGTTTTTGGCAGTCGAGCTCAAGCGAATTACGCAGCGGGCAACGTCTTCAAAGAGACACTCGCTCACTATCGCCTATCTCGTGGACAGAAAGCCGTCTCGATTGATCTATCGCTGATAATCTCCGAGAGCTAAGAATTGGGTTTCTCCTGATATTCATGCGTCGTCTCGGTCATTTCGTCGTCCGATATACGGTGACCCCTTTTGAAAGGGTCTCATGCAGCTTTCAAATGAGTCAACAGATATGACAGCCATCAATCGTCCTGATGTACTGAAAATGGCCGCACCCCATGAGAAAGGCGGCTTTTCTAATCACCGGATGGGTTTTCCTGAAAGTGGCTCAGATCCTAGGACTGCATTCTTTGGATATTGTTTCTAACAAACCCATTCATACTTACGGAATTGACTCCTTAGTGTAATATTAGTATCATTAGAAATTGCTTATTTACCTAACTGATCTCCATCTGTATTGACTACCCTGGCGTTTGTACTGCTCCCGGGCTTCCTCGGACATCCACGGAGTAAGTGACAAGTATCGATCAGCAATGCACATTCCCTTGCTCGCACATAATATTGCATAGGTCATTAGACCAAATTCGCTTTCGTGGTTGAAGGCCTTACTCGTCCCGCTGTAACTACTTACTATGTATCACTGTATGTACTAATAGGAGTACTCGAAGTGGGAACACGGAACACGGTCTCGCATGTATGCATGTTGCGTCACGGATGATTCAGGGATAGAGCCACACAGCATAAATCCTGCTTGTAAAGTGTGCCTGGTAAGCGTTGAGAGTAAAAAATACCAGTAGTATAGAAGTAGAGAGTATGATACAGGTCCGAAGTAGTGCATAAAGGTCCATGAGACTGTTTCACCTATTTTACATTCGTTCTTCCATTCAAGTGCGTGGGAAGAACTTCGAAGATGGCTTCCGAGTATGTCTTACCTCGCGACTGTCTTGATAGCAGTTCGCATGTTGAACCATAGGAAGATTCTGTGAACGTAACAATTAATTCAAATTGGCGTCAACGTTCACCAATGTCACGATGCAACACTGGACATCATCAGAAGTGATCCACCGGAGGATTTGATAGGAGTCTATGACATTATGACCACATGCCTCACAGAGAAAAAAAAACAGACCCCAGCAATAAGTCGGATGCCTTGGATTATTTCAAAAGCTGCCCCGGTGCAACATGACACAGCAGATGTCCAATACAAGCGCGCTGGATGCCAAATCTGCCGGCTACATTCAAAGAAAGTGGATTAACTAGTGTGTATCGAATTAGATCATCGAGATTCACCGCCGCATATTGCTTTTCCCATGCATCAGCACACTGCCTTTACGGCGGAAATGCTGAAACGACAGGGGTTATACATGCGGGCGTATTGGCAGAAGCTGAAAAGGAGACAGGCCAGGGATCCTTTTAACCTTTACAAGGTTGACAATGATAGGTCGTAAGCCAATCAATAGCAATGTGATGTGCCGTAGCATGCAGAGGTTGATCGTATCCTTCAAGGGCCTGTTTCGAATGATCGACACACTGCGGGCAATTTGTGCTCATATCGAGCAAGCGTTCACCCCGGTTCGTGAGAAAATTTGGTAACTAGTTACTACTACTACTACTACTACTACTACTACTACTCATAGCTGGCAAAGTAAAAGTCGAATCTCCGTACACATTGGTAATACAACTAGGCATTTGTATAGCCCTCTCACCGCATCCCGACGGCGGCGAATCCGTAAGCACACAGAAATCTACTCGAATGCATCAGCCAACTCTGTATCTAGGTGGGCTTGGTGTAGAGCACCGGCCCGAGGAGCCAAGATTCAGAGAATCTGATATACCAATTTACTAATCTGTCGCTGCTTATCCTCGCATTAGCCACCCAGCTGGGCCTCACCTCTAGAAAAGGTGATGAGATGATTATGGTGCGCCGCAGGCACAATCTCGTAGATAAGAACCCTTTACTTTTATCCTTATATCGCAAATTTCCCATCTCCGTGACCGTCTTTAAACTATCTCAATACGTGTGTCGACTTGAATATGGCGACTATCTATATTCCTGTTTATATCGTCCACCGAGTTCATGGAACATGAGGTCACACAAGACGAGTTCAGTCCTCCCTGGTCATGATAATCCACCGAATTTAGGCGCGACATTTCAGTCTCAAGCTTTTTGTCTCGCAAAGTGATCATAGGAAGCTGCTTGATATAGGATCTGGAGGTACTCTTCTTATTGGCAGCATAGGCGGGGAAGAGAGCCCGAATTGTAGGCAGACAACCGCCGACTAGCCCAATACAAGGTTCGACAAATGTCCATATTTCGCCATTATAAATGGTATCTGCTGCCAAGGTTACTTTCTGACTTCCAGGTTTCCGGGGGATATAGTGAAGCATGCTCACAAGTAATATCATCCGATTTGATCTCGGTCAATGCGACCATCCTATATATACTGGCACCGACAACACTGTTCCCATGCATCAATTCCAATACATTTGCATACAACAGGTTGGGAGAAAACACGTACAACCCACCGAGTATGAAGACGCCCGAAAGAGCCACTTTGTCTTGCCAGGGCCTATGCAGATTCCAAATCATTGGCCAAGGCACGGCGAAAATGGCAACGTCAAGAAAAATATTCATCCCCTGAATACATTCAATGAAGGAAAGTTGGTTATCACAAGTTCCGGGGATTGAACTGTCCCATTGCCGTGACAGTGGCTGACACTGAAGGGCAAAGCCCAAAATGGCGACAGCAGACCAGATTATGCACCCTAAGCAAAGTGCATTGGCAACAGAACGAAATTTGGCGGTAGCGAATATGCGTCGATAGAAGAGTATAATGGTGAGTTTTACCAGTGGACTGGTTACTGCGTAGGTGAATTGATTGGCGAGAAAAATCTGTGGTTTTCAAGCAAAGTGAGAAGGACCTCCGTAAACAGACTGGGAGGGCGACATCAACCTTGTTAAACTTCACGATTTGCTCAGCATTCAGCGTACTCATGTGCTTCCCACTGTTTCCAATTACCGCCCCTGGTTTTGTTATTGTTCACCCATTAGATGGCCCAAATAACTCGGCAATGCACACAACTCACAAAGAATCAACTGTATGAGCATGGCGGTTATGGATATCAGCGAAGCCACTGCCATCCAATCATCCAGCCCTATCTTCATACGTTTGACCAGACGGGATATGAAGCGCAAGACTACGGCGACAGCAGCAAGGGCTGAGAGTGCAATGCCTATCCTGATCTCCTCCCATCCCAGAGCGCTTGGAGCCATGATGATTGAGTTTGAAGATGGATAAAGATATGATTATTCACCATAGTACCATAGAAGGATAAAGTCAATCGTTGTATAAACCAACCGATTTGTATTGCCCGAAAAAGAAAGAAGAGAGGAAGAAAAGAATAGAGACAAACCGTGGCATTTCATGAAATCATAGTAGATGAGAAATTTCTTCCCTGATTGGTTGGCAAGTTGGCAGTCGACATACTGCTTGGATTTCAACGTTCGGAGTAACTCCTCCGATTCAAATGAGGGCTGAAATTGAGATCAGGCAGGCCAGCAGACATGCAGTGGGTACTATACCCTGTCTTTGGTATATAGCCTTGTCGACATGGTATGCAATGTAATTGTTCAATACTGTTCATAATTATTTCGCGGCTTTGCTTTTTCTTTTTGGTCTCCGAAGACCGACTCGTGTATGACTTCGAGCGTCTGCACATGCTGGACACAGCATAAGTTCGTCGATGCCATGTAAACAGTGACAGCCCGTTTTGGGATAGCGGTAATTTATTTGCGTAAATTTGACTTTTTCACACACAACTAAATTTATTTTCACACTAAGAGCCTACAGCAAAAAACACACTGGGCATTATTCTAATCCTAAGTAGGGAATTTTCTCACTAGCCACGCCCAGCTAAAAGTGTAAGCTGGGCGATTTTATTGCCCTTGCAAAACAAAGTACGTCTTTGATATTCCTGTCTTGATTTCTAGCTGATAAAATATGCAGCTTTCGGTATACGAATTTCCTCTCACTTCCAGCAAAATTTAGAGTGCCATGAGAAATCTCCTCGAGCATAACTAGACTAACTTGATACCAATCCCTTTTTATTCGGCAGTATCTCAGCACCCCAGGTGTTGACATCACGTATAGCAGTATCTTCAGAGGCCCAGGTGTTAACATCGCGCCTGGCCGTATCGTCAGCAGCCCAAGTATTGGTCTGGCTGCTGTCGAGCTTGGCCGTGTCTTCAGCTCCCCAGGTGTTAACGTCGCGTTTGGCATTATCTTCAGCTGCCCAGGTGTTAACATCGCGCCTGGCCTCTGGTTTGGCGATTTCATTGTCAGTCATCATTCATTCATATTGCCCAAGGCTTGATTCAAGAATGCCGTACCGGTTGGTGCTGCCAAACCTACTGCGAGGAAGAGGACAATGGAAGCAAGGTACTTTGAGTGGAGCATTTTGGGAAATTTCCAATTCAATGGATTGGTATAAGGAAGTAGTGGATGTCAATTCTTGGAATTTCAACAAAAAGGCGTATTCTGAAGGTGAAAAAGTACAACGAAGTACAGACCGTGATGAGGTTCTTATACCCTGACAAGGTCCTTGTGCTGATGGCACAATGGACTCTGATATTTAGCTTCGACCTTGGAGCTTGAAAGTCTTGTGAGTTCTTGATTGGCAAACACCTCCGTGGATATTGCCCGAGACATGGGCGAAAGAAAAAGCAATATTGATGATAACCTGCATAAATGGAGATGAATACTGTGCTTTTCGGACGTGGTGCTCTCCCAAACAAAGAAAAGTAAGAGGGGTACTCAGACTCGGGCACAAGTGCAAAGAGCGAGTTATGTACCTTTCCTCTAGATATCACATTCTACATCACGCCGAAGGTGGTCCTCGAGATTGCATTGGCGTTCATTTCACGGATGAACCATTTTTGGTCTTCCGCATTTTCCCTCACCCAACCCCCCTTCCCCCTCCTTTTCTTTTCTTTTCTTGTATTTTCTTTTTTCGTATTCTCAGTCTCTTCAGTTTCTGTGCATATTTTTGGGGGTCTCCTGCGTCTATAAGAACTACAATGACGAACAGCCACCATCCGCATGTGGTTCCTTAAGCGTTTTACGGACATGTCTTCACAAAGCTCCAGTATCAAATACCAATCCCTCACTGGCTCCCAATCAGATGAAGCCGAAATCAAGCCCTTATTCCTCGCCCGTAGTTGGGTAAATTGGGCGGCATTTCCCTTGTTGGCCATTGTCGCCCTGGTGATGATTTTCTTGGCTGGCAGGCAGTCTGCACTTAAATCCTACCTGAATGAAAGCCACGGTCTTCTTGGTACATGCTGCGAGCTCTCCTGTTCATTTGGCAATTAATCATTGAAGGACACTTGCAGTACCCCCCGGAACTGTTCATCAAGTCTGGGAGCACAACCTCACCTTCTCTCAACGGCCAACGCCCGAGTCGGAGGCCGCTTGGGACTCGCTCATACCGGGTATGTTTCCTCGTATACTTGAATATGCAGGTATGACCAGGCTGACATGAGACTAGTTGGCCGTGGATTCGTACATCACCCTCAACTAGCCCCGTTCGTGGCCAACATTGCAGTTTTTCATCAACTTCACTGCCTGGTAAGAGCTTTTCTTTTCTGTCTTATGACTGTGCAGTTGGCCAACCCTGCCTGAAATAGCATGCTATCCGCGTTGCATATTATACAATTCATAATGACACTTCCATTGATGATGGCCACCTGCGACACTGCTTTGACTACCTCCGCCAGGCTCTGATGTGCGCGGCCGACACTAATCTCGAGCATGTCAATCGCGAGACACGTATCACTACTGGCTGGGGGTCAGACAAGTTGTGTCGTGACTACGGGCAGGTGGTTGACTGGGCGGTGCAATGGGCGAATTCCTCCGATACGGGGATCATGTAGATGCACAAGCAGAGTATATGCAGAGAGAAGATTTATTTCCTAATTCGGCTCCCAGCCACGCAGGAGCTGAATCCTGCGTTCAATATTAATTCAGTGCATATGTGTGATAGAGACAAAGAGATATGGATCCCCGCAGAAAGGGTACAACAAAGAATGAGTAGCAGTCTTTCCTCGTCAGGAATATTTTTGTACTTTCTCTTTCCTTTTTCTTTTTCCTTTTTTTTTTTTTTCTCTATTAGACAATAGGAATCTACTAGAAATGTCTTCTGCTCACCGCGTTCCGTTGATCATCCATGGGGAGGAGGAGGCCGGCGAGAGTGCCTTCGATGTAATCAGCCCCTATACAAACAAGACCTGTTGGACAGCAGCATCTGCAACCCCAACAGATGCCATTCGCGCCATCGAGTCTTCCGAGCGCGCATTCCCAGCGTGGTCAAGCACCAAGCCTACCGTGAGACGAGATATTCTGCTCAAGGCTGCTGATATTCTCGAGTCGCGCCTCGAGCAAAATGCCGAGTTTATGAGAGTAGAGATGGGCGCTGATGTTGCTTCTTCTACCGGCTTTGTTGCCCCGCTGGGCATTAAAATGCTGCGTGATATTGCTTGTCGCATTACTTCTGTCTGTGGCCATGTTCCAGTGGTCGAAGCAGAGGGCCAAAGTGCAATCGTGTACCGAGAGCCGATGGGCGTGATCCTGGGTATAGTTCCTTGGTAAGGGAACCGTCTACGAGGAAAGGTTTAATTTATTATTGTGCTAAGAGAAAGTGAGCTCAGGAATGCTCCATATGTGTTTGCAATCCGCGCGGCCGCGTGCGCTCTAGCAGGAGGGAATACCACTGTCATCAAGTCGTCCGAGCAGACGCCTCGCTGCTATTATGCCGTGGCACGCGCCTTTCTCGACGCCGGCCTGCCTGCTGGGTGCTTTAATCTGGTTTCAACGCGGCCTCAAGATGCGCTTGTCGTTGTCAATACCATGATCGAACATCCAGCGATTCGCAAGGTCAATTTCACCGGTAGCACGGCGGTTGGTCGAAAGGTGGCAGCCTTGTGTGGACAGAATCTTAAGCCGTGCTTGATGGAGCTCGGGGGCAAAAATAACGCTATTGTGTGCGAAGATGCCAATCTTGAGACCGCGGCGTTAGCTGTCTTGATGGGTGCTTTTATCAATGTGGGTGTATTGAAGACAAGCTGCTTCTAGCCCTAACTAAGCTAACAGTGTAGTCGGGGCAAATCTGCATGTCGACGGATCGCATTATACTGAACTCTGCCATTGCCCAAGACTTCAACATCATCTTCAAAAAGATGTTTGACGGATTTTTTTCCGAACTAGCGCCGACGATCGTCAGTATGGCCGCGAAGAAACGAGTCAGTGCTCTGATATGCGACGCCCTCTCGGCAGGCGCAGAAGTTGCCCATGGAGTGTTCAATGGCGATATCGAGTCCGACCCGGCCAGCGTGCGCATGCCGCCCGTGGTCCTGGGAAATGTCAACGAAAGTATGCGCGCGTGGCAAGAAGAATCATTTGCTTCGTTCGCGGCATACATGGTAGTCGACAGCGACGACGAAGCGATTCGCCTGGCCAATGCAGGTGGCTATGGTCTGTCTGCGGCTGTTTTCACGGAGGATCTTCGCAAAGGGCTGGCAATGGCCAAGAAAATCCAGTCAGGCGCCGTGCACATCAACAGCATGACGGTCCATGATGAACCAGCCCTTCCACATGGCGGAGTGAAGAATAGCGGATGGGGCCGTTTTAACACGGAGGAAGGCGTGAAGGAGTTTTTGGCGACGAAGAGCGTCACCTGGATGGATTGAGCGTATGAGGCATGTACATATGAATCATAGCTTTGGTAGGCTGAATGCAGTACGACACATAAAGCAGAAGTCTAGAGCAATCAAAAGCACAAACTCCCTTTCTACGTTGACAAACATATATCTGAAGGGTGCGGCATCTATTCCATTCATCATCTAGGACGCTTGGTCATTCGTTGGAAGAGTTGAGGACCCAATGACCCTACTATAATACAACGACAAAGCAGAGGCATGGATCCGTCTAAACGATAAAAAAAAATATCCTAGTCGCGATTATAGATTGGTCAAGTAGTCTTCAATCTCCTCCTTGGTGAGGGTTCTAAACCTTGGGCCCCGGGCACCCTCCAGTCCTTGATAACCGAGTAAATGATCTGCAGGGGGTCCGACGATACCTATAGTAGTCGTTAGTAAGCATACATTGAGGGATCACACAGGATAAAGACAGAGACATACCAATCTCGACAGTATCGCCATTCATTTCTCCTTCAATTGTCTCCTTCAAAGTGAGAAGAGCAATGTGAATGGCATCTTCCAACTCCAAGCCCTCTGTGTAGCGCTTTTCGAGGAATGTCTTGGCACTTGTCGCGCTCTTGCCAATGGCTGTAGCCTTCCATGGGAAGTAGCTTCCGCTAGGGTCAACCTGGTACAGACTAGGACCGCCTTTCAAGATACCACCGGTCTTTCCAGTTGCCTTCTTCTCCGACCCGTCATCCTTCTGATTGGCTTCCTCGGGCTCAACGCCCTCATCCCATCCTGCAACCAGCAAGCTAACACCGTATGGGCGGACACCTCCGGACTGTGTGGCTTCCTGAACAATACGAGCGACATCTTGAACTAAAATGCGAGTCGGAGGGTACTCGTTATAGATCCGTTTGTAGCCGGTGTGAGAGACCTTTCGAGCCTTGTCGACAAGGACCCGATAGTCGGGGCTCATACCAGCATATACCGTACCAATGTCGGGGGTAATCAAAGCGATTTTTGATAGGGAGTCGGTATCCGCAAGAGGCGATGTTGATTTCTTCTCTGTGGCCAGGACAACGCCATTTGTGGCTATAATTTCCATGGCCTAGTTAGTCGAAAGACTACCCAAGGACCCAAGTAGCTCTGGAAAGCCTACCTTTGATGCCAAGCGCAGTGACACCAGCATTGACGGCGTTCAAGGCATATTCTACATGAGTTAGACGGTTCCAAATATCATAATCCTAGAGGCGCAAATACCAATTTGAACCAGCTTTCCGCTGTGATGAAATGTTAGACCGCTACCACTGCTGCAAACAAGCTGACGGATGATGATGGCTCTCACCTGGGGGAGAAGGTTGTGAGGGAAAAGGAATAACGGTCCGCCATGGATATAAGTGTTTGTAGAAGCTTCGGTGAGGTACGGGAAATGAAGATGCCTTCTTGAGATACCGCGAGAAAGAGAAAGATGGGAGATGAGAAGCTTCAAAGCGATAAGCACAGAGAGATGGAGCTCCTCGGCGGCAGCCTGCCAGATGTTGACGCCAAAGGCGGTCAGTCTGGCTTTGCCCGTTCGGGACTAGCGTGTTGAAGCTCACCTGCACAAAAAGGGCTCGTCCTTTTTTCCTTCTCGAACAATCTTTTCTTTTCTCATGTGCTCAGCACCCGGCATCGGTTCCAAGTTGCCATGAAATGTACATGGACAATTTCCAGCCTCACTACATGAGCTCTTAGTAGTTATCTATTTTGCACTTCGCATCTCTCACGTGCGAGATACCAGACGTGGATATCATCTGTTGATGAGATTACAAATACATTGTCGCGGGACTTTTCAGAGTCAGCGCGTGGTTTTCATGTGAAAGAGGAACAAAAAAATGTTTTCTTCGTCTTCTCGCAGAACGCCAGCTTGGACATGGCCAGACGACCTCCCCGGCTCGACGCCGGGTGCTTTTCCGGAGCCGGCGCAGGCAGAGCCGGACGCCGCTGGTTCTTCTCAGAGCACACAAGATATACCACACAGGCCTAAACGCCACTATCCTCCTCGTACGTGCCGGATATGCTTGGACACGGTCTATCCGACGTCGGTCCCAGAATCAGAATACTTACCTAGCATGCTTCAATCGAAACCACGCGTTGTCTATGTTTCGTCTGATCCAGAACTTGGGCGCCTTTTACGGCCTTGCAAATGTAAAGGGTCTTCGCGTTATGTGCACGAAGGCTGCTTGCAGTCCTGGCGGCATGCCGATCCCTCCTATGGGCGGAGAAACTACTGGCAATGTCCAACGTGCCGGTTTAGGTATCGATTTCAAAGGGTAATATGGGCCCGCTGGATTACTAGTGCTTTGGCACAACTTGTTCTCACGTGTTCAATTCTGCTTTTCACTATCTTTGCTCTCGGATTTGTTGCTGACCCTATAATTAATCTTTATTTGGATCCCGTGGACACCATTGTTGGTTCTGAATTCTGGGAGTCGACTCACGTCCTGGACCTGCCAGATCTAGACGAAGAACCAACATGGTTAGAACATTTCCTCAAAGGTCTTGCATCTCTTGGGGTTCTCTCAATCATCAAGGCCTTCGTTGCGTTGTCTCCCTGGCGCTGGTGGCATCTCCGAGGCTCCGGTCTAATTAGCAATGGTGGGCGGACTACAGGCCGCAGTCGAGTTGCGTCCATTAATTGGCTGGTGGTGCTTTTCGGCGTTGCCACATTTCTAGTGGTACGTTTCTTCGTTTCCTGTGATTGCTGCGGTTGCTGACTTTGCTCTCTCCATTTAGGCTGTCTACAAAGGTGTCCGGCACTGGGTACGGAATGCTCTAGAGAAAGCCGGCGAGCGGGTTCTCGATGTCCAAGATGATGACGATGACGATGACGCCGACGATGTCGATGTCGATGGCGCGGGTAAGCACGACAAGAAGGAGCATTAGCAAATCACTATTATCTACTTACGTCGATTGGTTCCATCGTCTTCTTGGGGCTACGACTGCTCGCACTACTTTGAGTTGTCACGCTCCTGCCAATGACGTGCCAATCAGTCAATGTGCGAAGATCTACCGCCTCCTTCGCTAACTCCTGGTCTACCCGGCAGAGCCAGGCACGTTATGTGTCTTGCTCACTTGACGCCGGGCATGGCCTCGGGGAAGGAGAGACCGCGTCCTTGATGGACCCGACAATGCGTGGCTCCTTAGTTGAGTCTGCCATGGCTCTTGTCTGATCGAGGCGCGGTACATGCGTACGTGGGTGTTTGTATTGTGTAGCTTATGAATAATGAAGTGCATCCTTGATCCTTTCTTTTCTTCAGATGTAGTGACTAGTGAGCCAGAGAGACACGGAAGAGTGAAATGCTGGAAGTAGGAAATCACATGGTTTGCCTGCCAAGAGCTGGACACGTGCACGTGCACGTGCACACGCCGTTTCCCTGTTGGGCATTCAGCCATTCACCTGCAGCCAGCCAATCAGCGCGCGTCTCTGTGAACCTCAGGCAGCCTTCCCAAACAGGCAACGGGCCTTCAGGCTTCACCTTCCTACCGCGCTAGTGTTTCAGCGTGTCTTGGTTGCTGCCTTCCCAGTGTGCAAGACTGCACAAGCCCTAAAGCGCAACCTCAGCGGACTGAACATACAAGAGAGCGCCCCCATGCTTTCTTGCTACACTCAGCACTCTCCCTCGTTGCTCTCCAGAAACCCTCTGTTTCTGTATCTTCTGGCCATGTCGATATCGTCTCCTCAGAGGGGCCAGACCCCAGCAATGGAGTCGGTCCAGGAGGAAAGCACACCCACCTGGGGCTCTTCTTGCCTCTTCCTGCCTCTTTTTCCCTACCCACTTCTCTCTCTCTCTCTCTCTCTCTCTCTCTCTCTCTGTCTCTCTTTTCTCTCTTCCGTTGTAGCCGTTCCATTGCATGCAGACACTCGAGGATGGCTTCAGTCAACTTGGTTTGCAGTTTGTAGTGGGAATCGTTCAACTTGGGAGTACTTGGTCGATTGCCTGCCCTATTGTCGTCGCTCAGTGGGCTCCTCAAACGAAGCAGCAGTTCGTCAATAAGCAAGAGCAAAGGTCGATCGAGAAGGTCGTTTCTTGAAGAGAGTCGGTCATCTTGGTTGTTGCCTCTGTTAGTGGGTGCCAGTCTTGGTCAATCGGTTTGCTAGTCATACTTGTCGTGACAACGGGTCATTCTTCGATCTACGAGTTATTCGACATGGATCTTTGTCAGCAGGGTAAGTTCAACAGGAAAACATACTTACGCAGTTGGTTGCGTTGATATGGCGGGTGCTTGCATGGTTGTCGACAGAACGATACCCGCTGCGAATCTCAATGAAGGCTGACGTTAACTAGAACTTGAACGCCTGGTGTTGGATAATGATAATTGTGAAGGTGATGGGAATTCAGACAGTGATGCCACGATTGAAGCTCATCGACCTTTGTCCGTTCGCAGTGACCCGTTCGATGAGGAATTGCCCAAAAACTTCAATCCCAGAAAGCCAGAATGGTTCTTCAATCCTCGCCCTGACCCTAGAAAGCCAATCAGCATGTTCTGGACTGATCACAAGGGCTTCTATGCTATTCCATCGCCTGAGCCTGTGTCTGCAGAATCGAGGGGCCAGCCGAAAGAAAAACTAGGCACGATGGGTCTGCTAGAGCAGTTGTTTGTGCCGCGCAGGGAAGAGAACACCAGTCTCCCAAAGTGGACCATTGGGGCACCCCTGCCTAATTTGTCTCTCCGCAGGGTTTCAGTGGACGCCAACGACCTTTCTCACCTCTCACTTGCTCGCCCACCAACCCCTCCTCGCAGACGTTCTCACTACCAAAGAACCATGAGCAACAAACCTCTGCCTCCTCTTCCCCGTCCTCGTCGCTTCATGTCAGTGGGAGATCAGTCATTGTTTTCTCGTGCCCGTTCTCAGAGTACACCTGGGGAATTCACTCTAGGCATGGGTAACCCTTCTCAGTCTGATTCGACCACCGAGGGCGAAGTCGAGTCTATCGTCAATGCATATCAAGATACCACCACTCCAGCAGCCACCTCCCAAGAGTCCACTGCAAATGGAGAAAACTCTCGTGAAAACGAACATCACGTAGCAGGGCCATACCTTCTTCATCGTCTTCATCAGTACCAAGACAACCAAATGACGGCTATTGCTCAGATGGAAGCAGCACTGGCAAATCCTCACGTGAACCAATCTCTTCGCAGCAAGTTCCTCAGTTGGTCTCAGCAACTCCTGGACCTCAACTTTCCATTTCGCGTGAGCGCAAATCCAGCATACGGCGAACAGATCAAGATCACTGAAAAGGATGCTCACACCGTTGTCGACTGGGCAATTATGGTGGGCACAAAAATGAACGGGACTCTAGACCATATCATTGAATGTCTCAATGCGGGAGATTTGGTCCAAGCCCAACTTCGCTCTATGTGCGCTGGAGTTGACATTTACCGCGATCCTCCTGTACCGCTTGAAGAGCTGTATCATAAGATGACTGAGGTGGTGCAAAAGTAGGTCTCCCATCCAAGAAATATCACATTTTGTTTGTTTGTTAACCTCTACCATCCAGGAGATGCCGCTCACCTCGTGCACATGAGGTCAATCTTCTAATTTGCTTTTTACATCTGTTTGAGCGCCTCCTCTACAATCCCTTCCAGCTTGTAATGGATCGTGTCGTGGTAGTACGTAACGAACGCCCACATGACCCCATGCCAAATCCTCTGAACATCGCTACCCCCCTCTCTTCGCTCAAGCGTGTACTCGACACAGCTTTTGGTTCGTACAATGAGTATACAAGCATGACGAGACAAATTCGAGGCGAATTCTTCGTGCCTATTGAGAAACGCATTCCAGGGGTAAGCTCTCGCACTCAGGGTTATCTCAACAACGTTGTTGGTCCATCAAATGTCATCTAATGATTTTGCTGGCTGGGTGATTCAAGCACTTTGGATCACGACGATGCTAGTCTGTATCTGACAACAATTCTTCCACGAGATACGACTGCCATGAGAAACAAGAATTTCAGGAGACACGACTATCACGAAACCAAAAGGTTCCCGGGGGGCGCGGAGGAGTTATTTTTCGTCGTTTTTCCCAATTTTCATTCCTTTTCTTTTTCTTTCTTTTTACACTTCTGTTCAAATCATACCGCATGCTTTTCATTTCCTTGCGCCTTTATCAAGGTAGCAAATTAAAATTAATATCGCTGGGGGAGGATTATTTCTAGCTGGAAACATAAAACAAGGGGCAAAATGAGAGAAAATGCACACACAAGAAAGAAAAAGAAAATGGGGGAGAGCAGATAGTACTTCAATGAATCGATCATTCACGTACTACACAGTAATATCCAAGCCAATTCAAATATAACAATGTCATCGACTCTTTCAGACGCTGACCATCGTTATTGTATTCAAAATGATTAAGTTTCATTAAACATTAATCTTAAGATAAAGCAGCAAGTTGCGCTGAAAAGGCAGCCTTGTCATATTTGACATATTTGCCTCTCCCCTTATCCACCTCGTGATAACGGTCCCAGAAGCGAACATAGAGCGGCTCCAGCACAGCCTGCACCTCGCGACCTAGCGCGCCTCGCACTTCGCGCTCCATGTAGAGTTGTCTGTGTTGAGATACCAGGCTGTCAAAGCCTGCGTTGAAGGCCTTGAATTTCTCCTTGATGGAATCCTTGTCCTTGGATGATAGTGACTTGACTACCTGCGCTGAGTCCACGGGACCGCTGGACGAGGGGCGTGGGCCGCGAGATGTATATTGTACGTCGAGCAGGAGCTGGGATGTTTCGCGCCAGGCGTCGATGTACGCTGACGTGCCTCGTTTGCGGAATGCGTCGATGCGAGCAATGCTATCGGGGCTCGCGAGGTAGCGAGAGAGATCCGAGCTGGCGCGGATAGAGCGGTCTACGACGCAGAAGATGTTGGAGATGAATACCCCCAGTACTGCTTTTGAGCGATAGACTGTGCGGCCTCGAGCTTCGAGGGAGCTGATTAGGGCTTCGACCATGTCGAGAATGAAATGAGAAAATAATGTTTGGCTGTCCGGACTGACGTCTAGAGGCGTTGTGGTAGCGGACTGAGACTTGGATCGCCAGTTTCCGTCGCCTAGGGAAGTGAGAATCGAGGCGAGAGGTCCGGAGTAGCCTGTTAATGTAGATAAAGAGCTCATGACTTCGTGGACCAGTGGAACGGTCCCGCCGTCCGGTGGCAGAACCGTAACCGCCGCTGCCTTTTTCCTGGTCTCTTCCAGAAGCTCCGAGAGTGATGATTTTGCTGTTTCGCGTATAGGCCGCAGAGCTTCGATGAATAAACTCTTCAGCTCGCCCGTCTTGGCGTCAATCCTATATGACATGGCAGTGACTATCTCGATGATCTCGAACGCGAGGAAGCAGTCCGTCATCAAATTAGACTTGATATACTGATTGAGCTCGCGCAGGGTTTTGGAAAATTCTGCCAGTGATGACCGGCACGAAGCTTGTAATGCCCGGCCTTGTTGCTCTCCCGTATATATTTGTACGATTCCCTCGTGCTCCACCGAAATGAAGCCCTCCAGCGCACTCGAATAGACCCCGATACCATTCGTGCCTTGCTTATATGGTCCGTCATCTGGACGTCTCTTAGCTGTGCTAATAGAGGCCATGGCAAGGTTTTGCAGACTTGATGTTATATACGGCCCGCGGGTTTCAGCGTAAATGGTTACCGCAGGGTCTTCCGATCCACGTTGTGGTAATTGACCAGCGGCAGAAGTGATAGCAGCCGCAATCGGTGCGAGCTCGGCAATGGTTTCTTCAGGAATGGAAGGGAAGGGAAGTTCTTTGCGGACAGTAAGAATTAGTCAAGGGCGTAACTATAGCACAGCTATACGCTGGCGGGTGGCAAGCTTACGTTTGGTAAGGTAGTGTAATGGTTCAATAGGTTCGACATTTTCTTTCAATTTCGACAAAAACAGGTCTTGTAGTCTTTGGCTTCCAAAATTCAGGAGTGACGTGAATTCCGAGATGGCTTGCTGGTTGGACTTGAGATTGGTTGACTGGAGATTCTGAAGAGCATAATCAACTCGCTTCAAGGCAGCAAGATATTGTGATAAGCCTGCACTTTGGGGTCTTCGCGTGGTATGTGTCAGCTCAGCTCGGAGCAAATAAAAGCAAACTGCTTACCCAGCCCGTATTATTCCTTCCTCTCTACCTTTCGCATCTAATGGCTTTCGGAGCTTATCAATAGCTTCGATCACGCGGTCAATATTGCTGTTGGTGATTTGCAGAGACTGTGTATTGCTATAGATGGGACCAATTGCATCTTTGACGACTTTCCCGCTCGTCTCCAGGCGATCAAGCGATCCCTGAATCTTTTTTGTCAGCACCTTAAGTTTGTCGAGATTGGCGTAGAGCACCTCGACCTCGGCGCTCTCCTCGGCATAGGTGGTGTTCTTTGTGCCCACCATGGTTAGGTCAGGGAACCATGAATGGCCTGCAGCACTGCCACAAGGTCACTTAGGCAAAGGCAGCGAGCGATTAGCGATTGGCATCAATCAGTCTGTCGTCTCCAGACTTTGGCAGAGCTGGCCACAATTAGTGGAGGTGATGCACATTGGACGGCGGCCGGGACCACCGGGCCAAGGCCGCTAACCGCCTACGTGTTAGCTGCAATGCGCTAGACTGTGTATGGATTAGAGCGTCTTCCCAACAATTCAAGCATGATATGGATAACGTCATGCATGGATCTCCAGGGACAAAAACCGCAGCCATCGCGGCCATGTCTTGCTCTCTACCTCACCACCACCACGCCCGTCATGCGATAAATGTGCCGTTTGGCAGGCTTGTCATATTCAATTGCTCCAGCAATGCACATTCCTGCAGCCTCGCGCTTGCACTGGACTGTTCCTCCGGCCTTTCTAGCAGCATGGGGTAGTTGGAACTATACTTGTCGCGAAAGCTTGCGCGCTGATGGCCCGTCGCGAGCTTGGAGGCAGAGATCGTCTCTCAGTACCTCTCAGCAACCAATTGATAGCAAAAGGCATGGTGACAACAGTCAGTTGCAGCACAATGCGAGCATACCACCAACTAGTGCCCATCCAGAACCACACACGGCATGGTCAAAGTTCACAAAGAAGTTCTTGGTTATCAGGGATTCGTTTACCTCGATAGAACTCGCAAATATTGGCGACAATATCAAGAATTACATCACACCTGATTGGATGGGGTTCCTCCCTGCTACAGTACGAAAGCTTCAAAGAGAATTGTCCATGGCGCCTGGCTCACTGGCCGACGAAATATGGAGGGAATCTCGCGACGTTGATATGAACCCGGAAATTTCTTACGATGCGAATGTTCGAGTTGGTGACACTCTCTGCCCGGAAGAGGTTGTATTCCGTCGGAAGCGACAAAAACATGCTGTCAAAGCGCTGGCAAAGTATTTAGACTTGAAAGAGGAGGACATCCATCCCGATGATGTCCCGATAATTGCAATGTGTGGATCTGGTGGTGGCCTCAGAGCCCTCGTCGCCGGTTCAGGCTCCTATTTGGCTACACAGGAAGCTGGGCTTTGGGATTGCATTACGTACACTGCCGGCGTAAGTGGGAGCTGCTGGCTGCAAACTCTCTACAACTCCTCGATATCCGGCGGTGATTTCCGCAGGCTTGTCGAGCACTTGAAAAACAGGCTAGGAATTCACATTGCTTTTCCTCCCAAGGCACTTAACCTGTTGACTACAGCCCCGACAAACAAATATCTGCTAAGAGGCTTAGTAGAGAAGCTTAAAGGTGATCCTAATGCAGATTTCGGTCTTGTTGATATATATGGACTACTGTTAGCAGCACGGTTACTCGTACCCCGCGGCGAACTTGATCTCTCTGATACAAACCTGAAGTTGTCGAACCAGAGAGACTATCTTCAGATAGGAAGCAATCCAATGCCTATTTACACTGCTGTTCGTCACGAAATCCCGATCAGAGATAAAGACGAAATCAAGGGACGCCGAGCTGTAGAGAAAGTCAAGGAAGCCGCGACAAGGGAAGCTTGGTTTCAATGGTTTGAGTTCACTCCTTATGAATTCTTTTGCGAAGAGTTCGGTGCCGGAATTCCTATGTGGGCAGTTGGGAGACATTTCTACCAAGGCAAAGATACACCTCCCAACAAGTACCCGGTCCCAGAACTTCGCATTCCTGCATTAATGGGTATATGGGGCAGCGCCTTTTGTGCAACCCTCGCACACTACTACAAGGAGATCAGGCCTGTTGTCAAGGGTCTTGCAGGATTTGGAGGCATAGATTCTTTGATCGAAGGACAAAGTGATGAGCTTATTAAAGTTCACCCTTTTGATCCTGCATCAATACCAAATTACATACTGGGTATGAAAGGACAACTTCCATCCTCATGTCCAGAATCGGCTTTGCACGACTCTCATTTGCGGCTAATGGATGCTGGTATGAGCAACAACCTTCCAATCTACCCGCTGCTTCGACCAGGGAGAGGGGTCGATATTGTCGTTGCATTTGATGCATCTGCAGACATTAAACAAGAGAACTGGTTAGCTGTTGTTGACGGATACGCTCGACAGCGAGGCATCAAGGGATGGCCTGTCGGAGCTGGGTGGCCAAAAGAAGACAAGAACGCCGAAGAAACTGCAAAGATGTTACACGAAGTGAACCAGCTGAGCGAGTCTAAATCAGATTATAAGCTTGGTAAGGCACAAGATGGCGACCCGAGAACGAAAAATCAAACTGGTCCCTTGACAGACACCCTTATGACATCCCCCTCTCACCACGATAGCGCAGCGGAGCCCACGGAATCAGAAAACGACTTGACATATTGCAATGTGTGGCTCGGCACGAAACAAGAACTAACGGCTGAAACTGAGCCTCCGCCATCGAAGAGATTATTCCACCCCAGCAATGGCGATCCAAGCACGTCTGATTTCCATCTAATGCGGCCGGATGCCGGGATTGCTGTGATATATTTCCCACTGCTCCCAAATCCCTCAGCTCCAGATTATACGAGCCCCAACCGTACAGATAGGTCACAAATTGCAAACCCTCGCGGTTCAACGCAGCGTGAAGTAGTCGACCCGGCATCACCAAAAGCATTAGCGCCAAAGCCAAGTTCTATTAATCCTGACGTGGACGATTTCTTGTCGACGTGGAACTTTGTGTATACTCCCGAACAGATCGATTCAGTTGTTGGACTTGCAAAGGCCAATTTTGCTCAAGGCGAAGCTCAAGTTAAGCGCGTTGTACGCGGTGTTTATGAACGGCGCAAACGGGACCGACTACAGCGTGAGCGCGAGGCGAAAGAGGAAGCAGTGAATAAAAAAATGGACGAACTGAAGAAACGGCATGAAGGATACACGCCCATCTACTAATATATACTGATCATTCTGCCTTTGTTTTGAACCAGATATCCTTTCGATACATGAGCAAGTTTTGATCACCAACAATGAACATTATCAACAGCAGAACGACATTTCTTAGCATGAAGAAAACAAGATGCAAGCAATCTCAATACGTTGGAGTTGGAAATGACCATTTTATCCATAATAAAGAAACTCTACATCACAATATATTCAACCAGACAAAGGAAGATATCCACCACCTCCCCTCATGGATTCATCCTTTAAACACTCCGACAGGCCCTCGAGTTCGTCACGGAGCGCATCCTTGTCGTCGCATTTCCGCGCAGTGTCAAAATCAATCAACACAGCGTCTGATCCACGAACAAGAAAATTGAACCGATTCGTATCACCATGGCGGAAACCTAACTGATGCAGTCGGCCTAGGGTCTGCTGGCAGATTGTAAGATCGCTTGCATCGGCATGCCGCGCATCAGTGATGCGCTCCACGAGAAATCCAATCACCCTTCCGTGTTCGGTCAAGTGGCCCAGAAACCGTGGGCCGATTGCATGCCCGTCTATCCATTCATAGGCCGTGGTCTCGTTCTCCATATACTGGATTTCCCACTCAAATCGGGCGAATTTGGCAATGACAGGGGTATCGAACTGTTGGCATGTGACTTCGTAGATGCCTGTATGCACGCGTTGTCCTACCACGATGTCCTGATAATCGACATATGTTTTGTGCCATTGGTGCTTTACGCCGGGGTATTGAGTCTCGGTAGCACGCGCAAAGTAAGGTTCACCGGTCTTGGGGTCTTTGGCTATCAGCCCATCGTTCCAGTCGCCGGGAGGTAAGGCTGGCATCAGAGAGACTAGCGATGGGCCAAAACACATGTCTTCGACAGGATATAGGCCAGCTTCGATAGTGACATACTTGACGGTATGGCCATTAATTAGAAGACGGAAAAAACTTTCGTCCTTGCCATCGACCTCTGCTTGGAGGAGCTTTATCCGTGGGAGGCCGCTCATTGTTGTTAGTTAATGAGATATAATCGAAATAAGAAGCGATTCGATTAAAGTAGTTGACTATAAGTTGTAGAAATTGATGTTCTGAAAAATATTTACGATATTGCCAATCGAAATGAGGTCCACCGCAACTTCCGTTACCATGGGGAGGTCGAATTACAGGCCCTTCCAAGGTAAGTTACTTGTTGTTTTGCCGTTGGCGCTACTCGCTAGGTTTCAAAAAGAGAAGCTTGTTAAATTTGTACTGCCTAGAGGTGAATGCTAGGATTAGCCTCGCAAGGCTCATCAATCGTTGCAAAAAAGCGAATTTCCTATAGCGTACGTAGGCAGTGAAACATTAACCACAAATTTCAGAAGTCACTGCCAAACTAGCGTGGAATTGACTAAATAAGTCAGCGTCCGGGCGTGTGCCTCAAAAAGATATTGGTGACATCCGCCGTTTTACAAAGATTGGAACGGCATCATGTGGCCAGTTGTCTAGTGGACAGAGGCTTCCAGTTTCATCCAAAGTGCAGTCAGTCTTAATGCTGTCGATCTGCTCCTTTTCCTCCGATCAACGAGAGCGGCAAGTGGAGTCGTACTAAAGTAGCTCCGATTGGGATCCACAGAGACCCACCAATTATAAACAGTCAAAGGAATCTATAAGACAGCGATGGTAATAAATTTTATGCTCTTAATTTGCTCAAAACGGCTTTTCAAGGTCAATGTATTCAATAAGACAAAAGCTTTTGGGAGTGGCTGTTCTTGTTATAGACCTAAACTATTACCGGAGACCAGCCTAGAACTTCCTCGAGCCACGCCCCGTCTCCAGTTTCCAGAGCATTCATCCATGCCATCTCACTCGGATCCATCATGTCCTCTCCAGCGGGGGCTAATTCGGGTGCATCACTATAAAGCGAGGGGGGTTCTTGTTCTTTCTGGCTTGCGGCCCTCTGTTTCGCAACCACCCACCTCTGAGACAGGCGCAACATCTTACAGACACGTCGGAATAGATCGTCGTCCGACTGTTCACCAGCCTCCCGGCTGGCCAATTCGGCTTTTTCAGCCATCCAATTTAGTATCATGTGCATATCAACCGTTTTTCGCACAGCCTCACAGTCCCACGCCGGATCGTCGAACGTCGACAGGTGTTTCAAGATTACGATGCACCGTACAAGCTGGAACCAGCAGAAAAAGGGAAATCCCATGTATGCGGCGGGCGGGATCATATAGAAGACATCCAACCACGACTTTACAGCGTATAGGGAGCGCCATAGGCACTCGATGCGTTCAAACCCAGCCATAGAGCCATTTGGCTCGTCGCCGATCCCTGGCTCGGAAAGGAGAGGAGCCTCCGAACAAGCCAGACGGGTCACCTCATTTATACAGAGTTCGACGTAGTGAGCGTATGCGGTGAGCACATCTACATTATATGTCAAGAATCAGTTCCGTTGCAAACGCAAATCGTGGTCATTACTTACCTCGTCGCTGGAGACGCGGCGAAAACGAGGCTCTGAGCTCCTTAAGCTGCGTTTGTAACACCTTGACGTACATGGAAGTTGCGAAAGGCGTAGTTTCGTCTACTTCTTGCGGTTCCCGAATGTTTAGTGCCTTCTGTGACAGCACCTGCAGGCGTACTTGAATCGCAAAACTTTCGTCTGATGGGCATCCTTCGTTCGTCTCAATAGACTTAAGCGCTTCTTCCATCTTCGAATTCCACCGTAAAGCAACTATGCTTCCAAAAGAAGACGATATACTTGGGACATACTCATGTCAGCGGTAAGAGTCGAATCGAAGAGAGATCTATACCTACATGGAGCTGAGAAGAAAGCATGCCAAGACCGCTCGTTGCTGCTCTATGAAACCCCGAGCTGAACTGTCGCTTGGATTGCGCTCGGGGTGGCCAAGCCCTGGGGTCATTTTCGCTATTACGTGCGCGTCTGGTGGTGGCGGCTTGCTCGACTGTAGATCATAGACCAGGGACATGGCCAGCATTATCATGCGAGACAAGTTGCTTCCCCGTTGAATGAAAGGATCAGTGCTCCATGCAACATAAGTTAGTATGGCCAGCAGCATGTCAATGCTCGACTGATTTTCAAGCACAGCCGATCTAGTCAGGTGGAATTTAAGTCTTTCAGTGCGAGCCAGTTTCTCTTGCATCGATGGCGTAGCTACCGCGGTGATCGCCTCGGCGAGAAAAGGCCGCTCCCAGCGCAATTGTTGTATTGTGGTACCGGGAGAAAGCCAGATGAACGGGAAACAAGGAAGCATATGAGTTACGAAACGGTCTAGATACCACGCAGCTTCATCCAGTGCCAGATCATACAGGGGTGGCGCCACCTCGCTATCAGAGTAAGTGCTAGTCGACTTGCTAGTGCTGCCGCTCGTTGTGATTAGGGATTCATTTGGGTTAATCTGTAAACCAGTAGTTCCATTAGCGATGGATTGGATCATCGTCGTGAGGGTATCAATTCTGCCCTCGAGCTTCGCAATCTTCGCGCCCGACTCGACGTCCCGCAGGGTTCGCCTGCGAACCGTGTCGGGCGGCTGGCATTGTTTCTTCAGGCGCAAGCATCTGAGATATGCATATCAACCTGGTGCCTGTAGCTAGAGAGATAGGATGGACCACACCTTTCGCAACCGGCACCGTCGGGGCGAGCCACGCATCGGCACTTTGCCTTGGAGCACTGTCTGCAAGCCTTGCCGTACGAGCCGGAGCCCGGGGTTGGGCCTCGTCTCTCCATTGCAGGTAGAGCTTTTACACCGAGTTGTAATGATCTGATTACGAGCGAGAAGGCGAACGGTCTTTTGTCCGTGGCCGGAACGGACTCTGTTCTGATAACGGACTTGGATGGCCGAAGTCCGCTCGAGTGGAGTCAAACCGGGAGAGGCGGTACTGTTTATAGTTCGTTCATGCATCATATCGCAGTATCGAAACAGTGGTAATCCCTCTATAATAACTACAAATGAAAAGACTCCAATAGTGTTAATTGATTAGCTACAGTCGCAAAGAACCGGCATATGGCTCGATTGTGTCCATCGTCTTGCGCCAGATAATGTCCCCTGCATTCATTGCCTTTAGCTGCGCCATGACCTTCTCCTGTTGCAGCTCTTTGAGCTTGTCATTGATAGCAAACAGCGAGTCTGCCTGCTTCGTTTTTGCCATGGTCAGCCCTGGACTCTGGCCCGCAGCCAATGCAACGCCCTTCCCGCCGTATTTGGCGCTGGTGATCATATACAGGATCTTCTCTGCAGCGTCCTCTGGCGAGGTCCCGAGGATAGAGAGCGCTAGACCGAACAGCGGCCAGTACCACTTGTTGCCCCAGACCTTCTTAAAGAGGTCTGTGCTAACACCGCCGGGATAATGGTGAATGAAAGTGACGCCGGGATTTTCCTTTGCTATTTTCGACATTGTCAACGTGGTGTAGGTCGATGTCGATTTTGCGAGATTGACAAGAGTGTAGTTGCCAGGCTTCTTCAGGTTGAGATCGTCGAGGAAGATGGAAGTAGTTTCGTTGCCCGCGTTGAGAACACTGACGACGCGTGGGTTGTTCGGCGACGCCTTGAGCAAGGGCAGAAGTTGCATCATCATCAACACTCGGCTATAGTAAGTCAGGGACTGCGAGAGTGCGTTGCCCTCGGATGTTTCTAGTCTCAATCGGTCAGTCCAGCGCTAGACCTATGTTATAACTAGTACGTACCGAGCCGTTCTCCAGAAATGAATCCTGCGCTCATGTACAAGGTGTCAATGCACTTCTCGCGCGCCTTGATTTCGTCGCAAAGTCTCTTAGTATCCGCGAGAAGTGAGAGTTGACCTTCGAGCCAGATGATGTTTGCCTGCTTGTTAAATCCCCGGAGCTCATCCAGAAAAGCTTTATGCTTCTCGCCATTGCGGCCGATGACATAAACTTTGACTGGCAATTTCGTAGCAATCAGGCGAGTGAGGCTCGCTTTTCCGATTCCATCAGTGGCTCCAGTAAACACAGCTGTATGTGGCACTGTATCTGCTGTGATTCGGGTATTAGATGCCCTGACTTCTGAGATGGAAACCATATCTCAAGTTTTGGAGAGCGCCTGCGACGACGAACAGTAAAAACAAATGAAAGCGAAATAATATGTCTGATGAAAGGACTTCCATAGTTTATGGTTCCACGCAGACATTATTTATGTTTTTTGTTCGTATCTTACACTAATAGCAGGACTCGGAGGAGGAGCGGACTCGAAGTCCGTTTCTACCTAGGTAACGGAGTTTGCGCTGTTAGGCGGAGAAAGGGGCAATTCGAGGTTTGAACATAAACTAATTTCTAGTCTTTTACTGAATATGTCGATAGAGACAGCGTAGACTAGAAAGTCTAGATCATACCTATGTCCGATTGTCGTATATATTTCCAGATCAGTATTTTCCCAAAAGTAATCCATATATTCTCTCAACCTTGACATTACCTTCTGAATAAAGATAACTTCGTATTATTTAGCTGAGCCTATAAGCTTCTGTAACACTCAATAACAGTCCAGACTCCACGAGTTGTCGATGTGAAAACCTCGTTCGCGCCGGCAAAGGCAGTTCGCCAGACTTTCAGGCGAATTGAACTTGCGAGCCAAGTTGAAAGCAACATCAGCCTCTGGGCAAGCAAATCCAGTGGTATGTATATGAAACAATATTGGGCCTTAGTGAAGAATGGCATGGTACTCTGTATGTCATCTGATTAGATGGTGCTATGGGATTGGATGGAGACGAAGCTTGTTTTATACATATTTTTGTGGATACCCTGCATGTTCCCGCAATAGCCCCACCCACGTTCACAGGTTGTAAATGTACGTCTATGAAGTCCGTATCACATACTAACGCATACTCGGAATTTTAATGGAAAATGGTTGGATGGCTGTTAAAAGGTGGCTTCAAATGGCACATTCTAGCCTCGTGGATTTAAAGCGCTTAAGGCTCACAGCCCTCGCTACTCTAGCTTGACGAAGATATATATAATGCCATTCAATGCCATTTGATTAGATATACTATGGGAGACCCCCTGGGCTAGATATGTATCCTTAAGACTTTTCTCTTATTTTATATTCTACAATCAACAGCTAAATGGCTATGGTAGAACTCCTATTTCAGAAATGAATATAAAGGAAACATCTTCAAGGCGCCAAAGTAACTATGTTATCTATTGGTATCTCCATCACCGCTCGTGCCAATATTGTTCCCGTTTTTATAGTACGATTTGACACCATCGATATCACTATCATGGCTCCCATCGCCCTCTTCAGGTAGTTCTTCCTGCTCTTCTCTTTGCTCTTCTTTTTGTTGCTGTTGCTGTTGCTGTTTCAATGTCAGGTCCTCGACACTGCTCGCCAAACTGACATCCCTGCTGGCATCCGTCTGCTTGCGCAGTCCCAATTGCCTGCGGACTTTTTTGGCAGCAGAGCTGACCGCTGCTGCTGTTGTGGCTGATGCTCCAGCAGCGAAATGATGAGTTGTGCCTTTCAATACCTCCTCTTTTTCACCGGTTGAATGAGCGGCATTGCTGTTATCAATGCCCATCTTTTGTGGCCTTCCTTCTGGACGTACGGGTGAACCAGTTGGGTTGGCGACGTTCTTATGCCCGGCAAAGTCCGTCTCGCTGTCATCTTCTTGGACAACGTTTTCTCCATGCCAGTCTGCAGCATTTGACTCATGGACTGGTTCTCCCGGCTTTGGTAAAGCCAAGACTTTTCGTTCAAGTGCTGTCGGTGTCATTGCCGCCGAAATTTTCTGGGGTATTTGCGTTTGGGCTTCGTCGAGTTGCTCCTTTGAAGGGTAACGCCAAACTACCTTCACTCGCTCCAATGCCTTGGTTCCTTTGTTTCCGCTGCCTTTGATGCCATCGAGTCCATCCCATTCACACTCGAATATCCCAGAGTCATGTTTATCTCCGCCCTCAAAGTAAGCGTTGAACCATACATGCGCGATTGATGTGACCATGGCCCAGCCCGTGTATGAAGCCTTGATGCGTCGCTCAAAGTCTATGTTGACGTCAGATGTGGGCAAGATCACCGGTTTAGCAGGGCGCAGAATGGCGGCAGATATCCTGCCGTTGTTTCCCCCAATGTTATTAGATGTCGATGAAGACATGAAACTGGTAGAAGTGGGTGTTCGTCGAGGAACAGAGCTTGAACTTGCTGACGGCGGTAATGGTGGTGAGGGCGAGTGGGTTTCCTCACTGTCGTGGTTTGTCTCCCATTCTTCCTTAATATCGGTATTTCCCCCGACAGAGAAATCGTTGTTGCCGTCATCAACGACGATACGCTCTCTCCTTTTGAAAAGATGAAAAGATTTAATCTTCTTCCCTTCGTCAACGTAACCTTCTATGGCTATCTTGACGCCATCCCGCAAACCCCAAACATGAACTTCTAGAATCTCGACAGGCCTCTCAACATATATCTTGCCCATTTCGTTTGCCCACCTGTTGACATAGCCGATCCAGCGCCGTTGGCTAGATATACTAACCCCTTCGCCAAAGCCCACTCTCATTCTGCGTTCCGTAAACCGCCGCAGAGCGTCTTCCAATTTCCAGCCTTCTTGGCTGATCAGATAACTACATGCAATCGTCCCACTGCGGCCTTTCCCTGCCTTGCAGTGAACGACTGCCACTCTCTTGCTGCTGTTTGTGTTGTCAGACTTTGCTTGTGATTGCTGTTCTTCTTCGGCTGCCGCATCCTCCAACAACCAGTTTCGCATACTCGCCATAATAGCAGGTATGAGCGCGAAGGGAGGCGGATGGTGATCCGGCCATGGGAAGTGATGAATACGTCCGTATACCTCCGAGTCCGGATACCCAGTTCCTTCTGCTCGAAATTCCCATATTGCCCAGTCTTCGCCATGTTTTGCGTCGAGAAAGCGCACCAAAGCGTCGGTGGGATTTCGGTACGCGCGTTTAGGATACTTCGATGAGGGACCAGATGTCGCAATCACTTTTGAAAGTAGCAAGTCAACAAAGAACAGGCTCAAGGGACACACAAAAAAACAACAACAGAGAGGAACTTACGAAAATCAGTCACATAGCATAAATCCAACCCTGCTTCGGGATGTTGTATCCGCGGTCCAGCGACGATTTGGCGGAGTAAAGATGCCTACAACATGTATCGCCAGATTTTTCAGCTTCTTTCTAGTAATGGGCTTTTGAACGGGCTCCTATTCAGGCAGCTTGCAAATGAAAGAAAATGCACATACCATGACTGCCTGGTATTGCTGTGAGAGGGAGTGTGTTCCGCTGGTTGAAAGTCTCCCGCGTTACGTCACAGAGGTGAGGAACTAAACTTGAATCATCCGGCATAAAACACAAACTTCAAAGAACAAGGATGCCACATAATCAAGATAAACTCAGAAGAAAGAAAGAAAGAAAGAAAGAAAGAAAGATAGCTTAGATGTCATAGATCTCAGTGGAAAGCAGGGATGGGAGACAACAGAGAAACTGGTTTTGGTAATAAGATCTAATGGTGACCAGCCGATCATTGACATCCACCATCAATCACATGTCAAATTGAAACCCTACACATGCCGCCATCATCAGACAGCATGGATACTCCTTTTTACAAGAGACATCTCAAGGCCTCCCCGTATGTATATATATATATATATATTAATGATATCGTCAGATTAAAGAATTTCTATATTTGCCCCAACAACTGACAGAGAGCGACTGCATCCTGGTTGTCTATGTTGCCGCACTTCCTACGGAGTTGATCGGCCACAGACAGGCTCAACTCCCAGCCTCGTGCTCTGAGGTCGGTAAGATACATCGAGGCCGTGCTGAAACTTCCCACATCTGAGCAAATGAGTATCAAGGTCTCAAAAGTTTCCTGATCTGGGGAGACGTCGAACGCTGCCATCTCTTTCGCAAAGAATGTACAGACATCCGGTTTTTTGGCTTGACGGCACAACGTGAAAAGACTGTTGAATGTCTCCGTACTGGCGCCGCTAGAGCATACCTCGTACAAGTCTTTGTATATGTCTATGGCGATATCAGTAGCTCTCGATGCCGACATAGAGCCACGATCCAGAAGAATTCCACAGTAGTTTATGACCAAATTTGCCAGTGCCACTGGAATTCTGAGTCCCTTGTTTTTAAGCGAGGAGATTTCTTTCCACATAATTTCTGGGTCGTTTATCCTGCTTTCCAGGGACAGTAGTACCGACTGCGTGGTCTCGGGGCTTAAAGATAGTTTGCTCTGATGCATCCGACATATAATCTCCAACGCAGTCGTGATATCTGCGTTCCGAGCATAGAGTTGTACTAGTCTCTCGTAGTCTTTTCGATCCAAATTATTATCTAATGTGAACAGGTGTCGAAAAACAGACTCTAGGAAGTTTATATCGCCGTGTTCTGATGCAAGGCGAAGAACATCACGGCAGTCGGAGACATTGATAACTGTGTATCCCAAGTCCACCGCGTTGGTCCAGACGTACCGCACAGTATCAAAATGAGAGTTCTGAATTGCGGCCCTTAGAAGATAGGACCACATTCTCCATGATATGAATACGGCTTTCTTGGAGCGAGACCGCATAAGATTTAAGGCTTCCGTGAATTCGCCTGCATCGCAAAGTTTGTATATCAACAAGCCGTGCAGCCACTGCTCAAGAGGTATTCCTTTTCTTTCCATCTGATCCAATCGGTCCAATGCCAGCTCGAGTTGTCCTTCCCGCACCAGGCCTGCTATTAAATGATGCCATCCCGCGGGACTGAGGGAAAGCCATCGGGCTCGTAAAGCTCCAATGACTTCCTGGCGCAGGAGATAATCAGGATGGACTGCAATAGCCTAGACATAACACACATATTAGAGTTATTATGTTCACTCCCGTACAAGCATGATATGAAATTACCTCTAGAGCGGCATGTAGCGTTGCCGAGTCAGCAGTTATTCCTTCTTTCTCCATTTCATGGAGCAGACCACGAATGATCCCCGGGGATCCATGTCGACGATCGATATTGCCTAAAACATATGCTCGATAATGCCGTGTCGTGGGAGAAATGCGATGTTTCTGAAGTAATTCTTTCAGAACGTAGATAATTTCATAAACGTCTGTCTGTCGCCGAGATGATAACTGCGCCAGCCGATTTTCTAGTTCCGAGACTGACAGCGACTGCAGCCTTTCTATTGTACTTGTACGACTGCGATGGAGCCGTAAAGCCGGATGTTCTGAGTATCCATGATCTTCAGGCGCCTTGTTGTCGCGACTGTGGCGGTCGAAGTGCTGACTCTCGCCCGCAAATGCGGAACTCTGAAATCTCCGAGAAGCTTCTTTGATCAATCTGAACGACAGACTAGGGCGTTTCAGATATGAGCGTCGAAAGGACGGACAAAGACAATACCAAAGTCCGTCAAGTGTCAATGGTGAACGGCGCATGTCGTGACGGACATTGTCGAGCGTCAACTTGGCGCGGATGCAGAGAGCTCTTGGAGCTTCAGAATTACTCTATCTCCGCAATCACGTGATTCTCCAGTTTGTATTGCTCCAGGTTTGCTAACGAAAAGGCCTGGGGCTTCTACTACATTATGAAACAAGTGAGCATTTCGAATTTGTTTTCATTTTCTTCCGGACTAGGCAAAGCATAAATCTCCCGCCCATTTTGTCTCGCCCACTATACAGCCAAAGTACGCCGACGCCATGCATGAGAAAGTTCGGCCATAATGTTCTAGCATAAACACCGGAAGCCCCCTCCTTCGGAAAAGAGGAGATGGGTATCTTTTGTTTTTCCAAAAAAAAAAATATCGTCGTCTGCATTCCATGATTATGCTCCTCTCAACCACCACGTCCACGACCACGACCACGGCCGCCTCGGCCGCCCCGACCTCTGTCTTTACCATCGCCTCGTCCACCACGTCCGCCACGATTTGAAGGTTGGTTTTGTTGCTGTTCTCTGACGATTTCAAGGATCTCTTCTGGAACTCTAAGGTACTTTATCTGTCCAATGGTTGAGCCCAAGAACACCACCTCCGATCCAAAGCCAGATGGCACTTACATTGTTGCCCCTCACGTAAACTTCTGGTAGCCTAAAAAATCGGTCGCCTTCTGGGGTTGTTTGAACGACTTCCTTCAATGTCAAGTTCATCCAATTATCGCAATTGACAAGATGGCCATTCAGCGTCTCGCCATTTTTCAACTCCACCAGCATAGGATGGCCTTGCGCGGCGGTCAAAAGGCCCAAGGGCAACTAAGATGGCTCCCGTTAGCTTCGAACGTACCTTGCAGCAAGACCGAGGAAGTAACATGTAGCGCTATGCTGCTGAACACGAGGCACACATACCATTTTCGAAAACCGCACGACAGAGAAGATAAAATCAGGGTGAAAAAATGATGCAACTAGGTGTAGATGAGAAGCTCGGTAGCACAAGCACGTCACAAGGAAAATCCCCTTGTCTAAAAAGCAAAGGAAGCGTTGTCCGTATCAGAGCGTAGCGCGAGTCCTCTGAGTTGATCGTTGCATATGGAAGCAAGCAAGCAGCTGCCCGCGATAGACCCCGGAGAAAAGCTTGATCCAGCACCGACGGGCCAATGGCCGGCCGTATCAAATACGGTAATTCGGGCTGCGGGGCCCGCGTAGGACTTTGTTTACATACGGCGGTATTTACCGGCTGAGCTTAGGAGCAAGACCAAAGTGAAACGGTTGCCCTAATTTCAAGGCCGCGATCTTCTGTCCTTCCTCCTGCGCCTGCTCGAAGAGTTGATATTCGTGGATATCATCTGCTGAACGCGTGCAATTGCCCCAGTCTTGCTGTATTTAGTCCACATAATCAAATCCTCCGTCATGTTTCACTTATCGCCAAGCGCCTGTATGAAATAGAAGTCCTCGACATGCGCGGTGGTTCAGCCAAGGCATCAGCATTTTTCTTCTTAGTAGCACTCGTGCCCGCCGTCACTCACGGTCTGCCAACTCGCAGCCTGAGCACCAATGCGGCCACCGAGGAGGATTCCGTGATTCTGTGGCAAGGTGAGTAACATATCATCGACGGGACTTTGTCCACTGGTTCCCTGACATTGTGTCTTAGAGCTCGATGGTGTCTACGCGCAATTCAAAGCATCATGTGCTAGTTGTGCATCAAACGATGAAAATGTTTGGGTGAGAACTCTCTGTCTTCCAGGCGTTGATTCCATGTCTAATGCCACAATTTTCATGTTTTAGCCAGTCGACTTCTTCATCGGGGGTACCAGTGGTCCCTGTGACAATGTTACGGTGGCTGTAAACGGACAGGAACTTTATCATCACTGGGATCGCGAGTTCTCCTCCGGTTCAGGCAGTATCCCGTCCAGTCCGTCTAATGGAAGTGCTGAACTACAAGCAACCTGGCAAAGCATATGCGTTTCAGCGCCTTTAGGTGCGCCTCATAAACAAAACGCCTATATATTCACTCTTATCAAAGATAATGAACATGACCGCAGCCTCGAAGACGATATTGGCTTTACAGTCTCATTCGGTGGTTACAACGAGATTGAAGTGCTACGAGTGTCGACTTTCCCTGTGGATCTTAGTCACGGATCAGAGTGGGAGGAATGGAGACACTCAGATGATGAGATTGAATCGGGTACAGATTCGGCACTCGATTATTCTGGGCTCGCTTCAGTTGCCATGAAACTCGAGGCAGAGCTTCAGAAACTACAGGTTCTTCGGTACGAACTTCAGCTGTTACAGAACTCGGTGACCCTGCAGGAAAAGAAAATCCGTCGTCTGCTCAAAAAAGATTGCGAGCCGCTGCTCACAAAATGGCACAAATGTGACGGGTTTTTGTGCTACTTGAAGTCTTCCTGGCAAAAGGTGCCTGAATTCTATTGGTCTGTACGGTATCGATTCGGTCTATTAGGATCTGGAAGGATCAATCCTATATGTCCTAGTCAAAAGCAGCCTTCGCATCATGATCCAACTATAAGCCCAGATTCTCCGTCAACTATAATTTCTCATCCGGTCCCGACTGTTTCGAATCATTATACAAATCCGCATTATCTATCAACTATAACCTCTCGTCCGGTCCCTACAATTTCGAATTATAATGCAGATGCAAAAACTATAAATACTCTACCAATCCCGACACTTTCACATCATAATTCAGATGCAACGACTATAAATCCTCATCCGGTCCCTACAATTTCGAATTATAATGCAGAGGCAAAAACTATAAATACTCTACCAATCCCGACACTTTCGCATCATAATTCAGATGCAACGACTATAAATCCTCGTCCGGTTCCGACAATTACAAATTATAACACAGATATAAACCCAGATGCATCCATCACAGAGGTCGTGCTACCATCGCCTTCTCCAATCAAACACTTTCTCAGATCATGTGCCATTCTTCTACTTATCGCTCTGATATTTGGACTTTTCTTCCGTGTGATACGTCACTCAACAGCGTTCCGACGACGTCGGCGAGATCTTGCCTCCAGACAGGAAGAGCTGAGAGCTCGTCGAGCCTACAGAAATGCTGCACGGCGACTTCGCTGGCGCCAATGGTGGGAAAGACGATCCTATTTCCTGACACGCAGCGTCGCATCCAGTCACTCTCTTGCCGAATTCGAGCACGCCCGTGGCGCCAACCAAAATGACAATGTGGGCAATAGAAGACTCTCCGTTCATGACGACGACGACGACGATGTCTCGGATTCAGATAGCTATACTTCATCCGAGCGCGCGGGCGAAGAGTCGGATCGCAGACTAATGCAAAACGAAATTCTCGGCTTGCGCCGCGTACTCGAATATGTCGGCGACCTAGTCAGTGCAGACGTGTCCTCTTCATCACCATCGAGTCGTCGAAGGCTTCGTTCGCGGTCCCGATCCCGCCCACCCCCATATGAGGACGTAGTCACCGCGCATGCCAGAAGGAATAGCGCTACCTATCGTGGTTCCGGTGGGATTCATTCGTCGACACCACCACCACCGGGAATGTCTTCTGCGTCAGCAGCTGGCCTCAGCTCGCCACGAGCGAGTACCATGTTTAGTCTCGAGACGGGCTCGCGCATCACGTTGGAGACGATAGATACCCTGGATTCAGGCACGGCGCCGCCTTCGTATCATACTCATTCTTAATGCCTGAGAATCCAACCCCCCTTGGTTGTTAATCGACTTGTTTCACTTCGCTTTTTTTCCGTTCCTTCATTCAAAGCGAGATTCTAAGATTTATCAAGGCCCGGTTTTGTAAAATATATGCGCATACATAGTAATAATAATACTAATGGACTGGAACAAACAGAAAACCCATGCATTAGTTCAATAATAGTAGATTTTAAAGACCAAAAGCCCTAAAAAAAGAGACTAGGTTCATGTCTTATCCACTATGTTTCATAAAATATTCTGAGGGAAATTCTACTTTAGTTGGTCTAGTAGAAAATAGGATCTGCTCAAGAAACAAGGATCAGATTTCTGCTTTTGCCAATAAAACTACACGGTGCTAATCCTTTTTTTTCCCAACTACACTTTGGGACGCTTCGCGGCCTCAGTGCGCGCTGATCGATCTTCTTCGTTTTCGTCGTCTTCATCTTCGTCATCTTCATCTTCAATCGCATATTTCCGCTTCGCTCGCATTGTGGTTGCTCCCTCAGCCACTGTCGCTGCCGCTGCCATTGCCTCGTCTGTCGAATCCGAGGTTGCTGGTACAGAAGTAGCTCTGCCCTTTTCGCGGGCATCAAAGACTGTCAGCAGCGCCTCGTAGCCTTCCTCGACGTTTGTGACTGTTTCGTCTAGTTTCTGGATACGATCAGGTAGGTCTAGTTGGATCAGGATGTCGCGGGAGCGCTTGTATAGACGCTGCTTGACGAGCATGCGCCACCAGTAATACCTCCGATCATCTTCATCATTGGCATTGTGTTTTTTGATTAGGAGGCTGGCCATGTTCGCGCCTCCACTGGCCCGTTTGCGGTGTGGGATGCGAGATAGGAGGTACATTTCTAGGATGTGTGCGAACTGTGTTGGGGCGACTTTGTATTTGGCTCGCATCTCTGTTAGCTTTTGGGTCGGTATTAAGGAGGCTGTAGGCATGAGGCGGGGTCGGCGTTTGCCGGTGTTCTCAGGGTAGGGATTAGGGTTGATGTTGATGTCTTGCTTTAGAAAGTCTTGGTAAAGGTTGTGGTAATCGGATGAATCACGAAGGACGTCGAAGGCCTCATTGGGATCTTCTATTGTCAGCTCAACAACCGTTTTGTCTGCGACGCAAGCTTTGTGGATGATGTTGTACAGTTGGGATCCATGGCCGGAGCCTTGGTGTGGAGGGAGGATGAGGAACTGGGCAATACGTAAACGAGCCGGAAGTGTAGACAGTTGAAGCTCCTCGGGATACGGGAAGGCGCCATTCTTGACAACGCCTTTGTCTTCTTCTCGTGGTTGCGAGTAGAACCACCATCGATAAACTGTCGAATATCCGACGAAGGCGTACTGCGATGCCGTCGGTGTAGGGGGTGTTACTTTTTCGTAGCTATAGCCATGTCAACTTTCAAGCCGATAGAAAAAAAAGAAAAGAAAAAAAAAAAAAAAAAAGAGGGAAAGAAAGCCAAGGGCATTCTCACATGAAATAAATAGTCCATCTTTCCAGAGTCCATTCGGGATCGTCGAGGACGAGTGGAGTTCCTCCCTCGATGAAGAACGGTATGAAGACCTGTGCTCGTTCCAGAAGCTTGCGCACGGCGGTATCAGCAAGAGATCCGGCCCAAATCTCATAGTTTCGGTCTTTCGATTTATACGAATGAATGAGTTTGCCCGGTGGCGTAAAACTCATTGCTTGTGTATCATTCTGGATAGCGCCCTCATAATCGGAGAGTTTTGTGAAGGCAGCTTCATACAGTGTCAGAATACATAGCTCAGATTAGACCGGTTTAATACAATGCAGCCAGACTCACATTCGGCGACCCATTCTTTCAAAATCTTGTTCAGGTCGACAGCAGCAGCGTCGCCAACGGCTGTGAACTTTTCATCGTATGAGATGTGAATGTGGGTGCGCAAATCATGTGTCGCAAAGCGCAACCTGATGATTAGGCCCTTGTAGCCAAAGACCTGCTCATCGTCGCCGAAGATAGGGTATGTAAACTGCGGATGAAAAATGTCGGTCGTGACTGGCTTTTGCTCTCCAGGCTGGACCAAGGTGAGCTGGACAGCATCGTTGGCGTCGCAGGTCCCTAGAAACGAACGGGTTAGCGAAAGTAGTCATTGGCAGACTTTGGGGGAAATCAAAGACTGAATACAACAGAAACATACAATCTCCTTGGTTGGCCATGGTTGATTCTTTGAAAACAAAAAAAAAAGCAGTTGGAGTTGAAGTCAATGCTTTGCTTGAAGCTTGAAGCTTGACGATTGAGCGTCGGAGGCGCGTCGCGTTGCGGGAAAGTGATTACTGCCGGATCGGGAATAGTCTGGTGTAGAATGCCATATTGGCCAGGCAGCCACCTCCCCTCGTGCCCGCTACTGTTGGTTCTGTTCTTTCGCTTCATTCTCGCTCATGACTTTCGTTCAGATAGCTTCTATCAAAAAGATGCTCGCTGTATGGACCCGGTCGCTGGCTGTTGACTGTAGTAATGGCTGCAATGGCACTCGGTGCCGGTGATTGGACCAGGACTGATCGAACTAAGCTCCGCCTTATGAAGTACACCTAAACCGCCGAGTTCAGACATCGTCAATCTCTTCATTTCTTGTCTATCGCAGCACGTTTCGTCAATGCCGCTCGATCCGTGATTTGGAGGATTTATTCATACTTTTTGGGCGACAGAATGTACCAACATTAACTTCCTTGGGACAGTGCGCATTCTGCAGTAAGCCATGGAAGGCCTCTTCACTCTGCTCATCTTGAGCATGGTGATGGCTGTGACGTGAGTGGGATATTCGTCTAACCAAGTAGACTATCGTCAACTACTATCCCTGCTATCTCTATGCTAACACAGTGGGTTATCAAATCAGATCCTTCATTGTCGGTGCCTTGCCGCTCAGTTTTACATTATCCCCGTCGCAGTCACGATTCATCTCGTCCTTGGGAATGGGGGTGCTTGTCGGCACAGCACTCGTCATTATCATCCCCGAAGGCGTGGAAACACTATACAGCTCTCAGAACTACGGCTCGCAGGCGAGCCTTCAAACGCGTGAGCTGAACTTAAGATGGCAGCACCAAAACACCCCGGCTGCTGCTATTCTCCCGAAAGCCGTTCCAGAAATCGATGCCCTGCCTGGCCCTGTCATCACCGATATTCTGCCGGAAGACTCAAGCGCGGGCGGTGCAGCAACAGAACCACCCAGAACTCCAACAAAGCCGGGAGAAGTCCATGCGCTGGATGTCGATGGAGACACTACCGACTCTCACGAGCATGACGACGAGAACAGCGCGCTTCATGCGTGGATTGGCATATCCCTTGTGAGCGGCTTCATTCTTATGTATTTGATAGACAAATTGCCCACTCTTTCCACCCCACCGAAAACAAGACGGCCGCCGTATCATATTTCGCTGGACAACTTGGGGGGATCTGGTTTGCGGAGGAACTCTTCTTCAAGTCGGGAAGGAGGCGGCCTACTCGAGCAGGATGGCCATGCTCCCCGTGCCCATAGTTTCGCCATGACTACGGGTCTGGTAATCCATGCCGCTGCAGATGGTATCGCTCTGGGGGCTTCTGGGTCCGATTCCAGCTTGAGCTTCATCATATTTCTCGCGCTCCTTGTCCATAAAGCGCCGGCTGCATTCGGCTTGACGTCAGTGCTACTTAAGCAGGGACTGTCCAGTCGAGCAGCTGGTCGCCATCTGCTAGTTTTCAGTCTGGCTGCGCCGGCTGGAGCTATTCTGACTTTTATTCTTGTGCACACTCTCGGATCGGGCTTCGGAAGCGACGAGGCGTCGACTCGCTGGCGCACCGGCGTCTTGCTTTTGTTTTCGGCTGGCACATTCCTGTGAGTGACACAGTAGCCTGGCCGCATTTCCTGAATCTCGTACTGACCCCTTTTACTCTCTGCAGGTACGTAGCGATGCACACCATACAGGACTCGTCATCTCGCGACCATGCCTCTCATACAAACGGCTACGCGGACTCCCGGGACTCTCAGAAGCCGAAAGGCTCAGTTCAGGATTTGGCGGTTTCGATCGTCGGCATGATTCTACCATTGTTCTTGCAGATTGGGCATGCACATTAAGGCGGTGCGCTGGCCGGTGCAAAATTCCGAATACTATCATTTTTGGGGTTATATGTTGACTATTGCATGTTAGATCTTGCGGCTTAGTTTCTTGGTCTTGCTTGTCTCTTGCTATCTCTCTCTGTTGTTGTTTTCTTTTTTCCTCCCTTCCCTTTGAATAGATCGGTTGTACTATTATATTATGTCCATGCTATATAAAGTGGAACTGCATTCATTCCTTGTTGTTCTATAGGTATAACTGTCAGCAAGTAGTCAGCGATCAGGTGATTTTCATTCCTGAGGCTTCTCTTGTGACGCCACGTATGCTTCATTGGGACGCGATCCACGGGTCTGCCAGATTAAGCCCAGAAACGGCAGTCATAAGAACAACAAGTGAAAAAGGGAAGCAAACCTCATGATGAGGTGGGCTCGGTCTCACTGCGAGTTGGATCGAAGAGGGAGAAAAAAAAGAGAAGAAAAGAAAAGAAAAGGGGGAATAATCCTCCTTGCGCCAGAACCATGCACATCGAAAATCGCCGCTGGAGGATGCAGCTGGCTACATCATTTGCCACGAGTTGGGCGCATGGGAGGTGTCACCAATCGCCGCGCAGTTCTGTAAGTTCTGTCACTTCTGCCGCCGTATTTGACCATTTGTACAGCGGGAGGCATCGTGGAGATAGAAGACGGCAGACCAAGGACTAAGTAGCAGCCACTCACGTTGCCGGGATTGAAGCGAGCCTCCTCCGCCTTTTTGTCTGATCCGATCGTCCGCTCTGATTGAGCGCCACACATCACCTAGTTAGTGATCCTGATCCTGATCCTGACCAAAAGTGAGTGCGCAGTTGAGAAAGGGCGACGAACCCACTCTTTTCCCCCCCGACCCGCCGGCGGCTTTGGGCTCATCACTGCTTGTTGCTTATCCGGAAATTATCAAGACCGACTCCACACGCTGCTGGCCTCGCTCCCCGTTGCCCACGTACGTCGATACCAGCGAGAGAGACGCTCCTTTCCCATGCCTGTCCAGCGCCGTTGAGATCTGAGATTCGTGCGAGTGGCAAGAAGCAGCAGAAACAACGCATCCATTCCATTCTCCCATGGCTGCGCGGCATACACCGCCGCGCTCCCTGGGCCAGCGTCGAGCATCGCTGCGAGACGCCGACAGCATGATTCCTCGCAGTGTGCCGCAGCCCTTGAGTGACATGCCAGCGCGCATATCCGAAGGCAGGGACGTGTCTGCCGATGGTCACCCAAAGCCTCTGCCCACCCCTAGCAAGTCTGCCTCACCGCTCCCTACCAGCCTGCTGCCCTCCGCTCCAGCCTCTCCACCGACTCCGGCCCCGAGCCCGACACCGCATCATACCCTGACAGGCTGGCAGTCGGCTATTGGCGACGACGACGACGACGAAGAAGAGAAAGAAGAGGAGGACGACGACAGCGACGATGGCAACCTCCTGCTCAAAGCCCAAATCCACTTTAGCTCGTTGGGCACTGCCCAGAAGCAGAAATTCCTGGTGGACATCTTGAGCCGTTGCGACAACCAGCAGCTCAGCTTCATATCAAGCTTTATCAGTCCTCGTCTGAGGAAAGACCCGTTCGCGGCTTTCCCAAACGAAATATGCCTGAGGGTGAGATAGCGATAACCCCCGTATACTCATCGAAAATTGACTTAAAAAAAAAAAAAAAAAAACTCTAGGTCCTCTCCTTTGTCGACGATCCCAAAACCCTCGCCCGGGCCTCGCAGGTATCGAAGCGATGGCATGAGCTGATTAGTGACGATATAACATGGAAGCATCTGTGCGATAAACATGCGTATACCTACAGACGAGCACTCGACGACGATCGCGATTTCGTCGACCGTTTCCACGGCCGACGGCTCTCATCGCGAAGTTCGAATAGCAGCGATTACCCCCTTTCGCACCATCATAGCCTGCACCACTGGAGGAGGAGATCAGCGTCATCCGCCGCCGACAGCGTGAGCACCATGTCTACAGAGCATCCCATGGAGTCGTCGTGGCCATCGCCTAGTCGGAAACGTCGGGTCCAGCCATCGTCGTACCGCACGCATTTCAAAAAGAAATACATGGTCGAGTCAGCCTGGTATAAAGGCGGACACTGCACGCAGAAACATGTTACTCCTGATCAAGGTGTGGTGACCAGTCTTCACTTGACCCCGAAATATATTGTAGTTGCATTGGACAATGCCAAGATTCATGTTTACGACACAAATGGGGGCAATCAGAAGACGTTACAAGGGCATGTTATGGGCGTTTGGGCTATGGTTCCTTGGGATGACCTGCTTGTCAGTGGTGGTTGTGATCGCGAAGTGCGAGTATGGAACATGGCTACAGGGTTTGTACAGCAGAAATCACGGGGGGGCATCTTTGGCTAACGAACATTGGTTTTTGTTTTAGAGCCTGCACGCACCTTCTACGTGGCCATACTTCGACCGTGCGATGCCTGAAGATGTCGGATAAAAACACTGCCATTTCCGGCTCGAGGGATACAACGTTGAGGATATGGGACTTGGTTACTGGCAACTGTCGCGGTGTCCTAGTTGGCCACCAAGCGAGTGTGAGATGCCTTGGCATTCACGGTGATCTGGTGGTCTCCGGTAGTTATGATACGACAGCACGGATTTGGAGCATTTCGGAGGGTCGGTGTTTGAGAACGCTGTCCGGACACTTTAGCCAAATCTATGCCATTGCATTTGACGGTAAGCGAATCGCGACGGGCAGTCTGGACACGAGTGTGCGCATATGGGACCCCAACAGCGGACAGTGCCATGCTATTCTTCAAGGCCATACTTCGCTCGTTGGACAATTACAGATGAGAGGCGACACCCTCGTTACAGGTGGATCTGACGGATCTGTGAGAGTGTGGTCATTGACACGCATGGCGCCCATCCACCGGTTAGCCGCGCATGATAATAGCGTGACCAGCCTGCAGTTCGATAACACTCGCATCGTTAGTGGCGGCAGTGATGGTCGGGTCAAAGTCTGGGATCTCAAGAGCGGCTATTTACTCCGGGAATTGTCAACACCAGCCGATGCCGTGTGGAGAGTGGCCTTTGAGGAAGAGAAAGCGGTGATTATGGCGAGTCGGTCCGGCCGGACTGTCATGGAGGTATGTCTCTTGATATATATGACATCCAGAATATCAACTGACTCATCCGCCGCTCAGGTCTGGTCATTTGCACCACCGGCCGAAGAGCTCTTCGAAGATAACGCGGTGATTGAAAGTGCGTCGAGCACGCCAGGACTGCGTCCGACTGCAGAAGACGAAACGATGCATCACCGTCATCGTCATCATCACCACCACCACCAGTCAGCCGCCGTCTCGGAACCGCCGCCTACAATATGTTTAGGCGAATCGAGAGATCAGCCCATGACCGATGCACCTGCTACCCATTAATGCGCGACGTTTTACACGAAAAGAACAGCAGTGTTTGTCAAGACTCAATTGACTGGAGGCGTTGGGAATCAGTTTCGTGCCTTATTTTCTGGTGGTTATTAGTAGAAGAACACAACACAAAGCAACACACAGCCCGGCATTTGGAGGCTCATTCATTTGACGCATGTTTCATTATTGGCCCCTGAATACCCGAGTACGGTTTTCTTGAATTCTCTCGCAGTTACTTTAGCGTCGTTCTTGGTTTTTATTCCTGTTTGCCTAGGCTCAGAGTCCCCCTTCGTTGTTTGGAGCACATGTCATTATCATCATGCAGCAATCCGTTAGTAGCCAGCATTAGTGAATTCACTCCCTGGCAAAGCAAGATTTCAGTTGTCAACCAATGTCGTAGTAACTTGCAAGGTAGTCAGGTAGCTCTATCTCGTATCGACTACAGTTATAGTCTAGTTATGTGGGGTTATGATTTATGGCGGATTCATAATCAATGAGGGCCGGAGACTCCGCCTTCCCTCGACTCGAGAGTCAAGAGTCAAGAGTCAAGACCAACAAATCTCCTCCAGTCAACAAGATAAACCGACTGCTCGACATTGTATCGTCTAGTTACCCAGCATAGACGTACTTTATCCGTCCAGCTCGGAGAAGCTCAGCCACGCAAACTTGGTGCGTTGTATTTCTCGCGGCGCGCGAAAGCTTTACAGAGCAGTCGGATTACCATTTCACAGCAAGGGAGGAGAAGGATTCAATCTAACGAGAACCAGCGCTTTTCCGTCGTTTGTACGGGTTGACCATGTATTCTTCATATCCATATCCTCGCACAATTCGGTGACCCCAATTCGGCGACAATCGATAATGGTATATAGTGGGAAGCCTAGTACTGGCTGTTACTTGTGTCGGCGCCGCAAGATCAAGGTATGCCAATGCCGCAAATACAATAGTGGTGCTTCTATGATTCTGGCAGGCGTGGGCTGATTGACTATTACTTCTAGTGTGACGAAGGTCGGCCCGGGTGCAAGAACTGCGAGATCTACGGCAAAGAATGTCCCGGATATCGGCCGGCTATTGTCTTTGAAGACAGGGGATATTCGAAATGGAAACTGCTGGCCAACGGTATCAACAACGGCAATATTGATGCTGCTGGCGCTGCTGCCGGATTGGCATTAGTACCCAACCCCCGATGGCTCGCGGATGCCAGCGTGGAAGACCGCGCCTTGTGCTATTTCTTCGATCAATATACAACCAAAAAGACTCCGGATGGGATCCCCGGCGCCCTGGAATCGATCCCCCTGCTGTATGTGCTGTGTCGCGAAAACGAAGTCGCGGGGAGTCCGTCGTCGTGTCTCAGATGGGCCGTGGAAGCTGCTGCGCTGACCTCTTTCGCGCACGGGGCGAATGACCGGCGCCTGGATCTGGTGGCTAGAGAGAGATATGTCATGGCGTTGCATGGGCTGAACAAGGCGCTGTCGACCCCGGTAGAGAATGTGCAGGATGCCACTTTGGCGGCGATTTTGCTCCTAGTAATCTTTGAGGACATCAATGGCGAGAGACCGGAGCTTGTGAGCTCGCATACTGCGGGTCTTGAATTGGTCGCGCGGCTCCATACGTACAGGAGACTCGATGGCAAGTATAGTCGATGTCTCTTTAATTTCGCCTATGTTCAGCTAGTGAGTACCCCCCCCCTCCTCCTATCAGCAACTGTAGGATTATTTGTAACATCAGACTAAATCGGTACATCTAGCAAATCCAAATTATAGGCCTCGGAGGTCGGCCACAACTAAACCTGCAATTCTTGGTTGATCTTCTCGACAGCTCCGATCCCTTGCAAAGCCTGATGGTTATTACCACTAAACTGAGTCAGTTCGTCGTCGATGTGCCGGCTCTACGTGGCGACGACGACGATTACCACGTCAACTCCGGGGAATACACCTTGGAGGATCTTACTAGCTTTTATTTACACGCGCAGTCGCTAGATGAGGAACTCAGCCAGTGGTGTCAGAGCATACCGGAGCTATGGCTGCCTCGGATTGTCTATTCTACGACGGGGGACACAGTCATCACATATCCGAGCATATCGGCGGGCTCGCTCTGGAACTTCTACCGGTGCGCTCGCATGATTATTCGGGGCATGATCGCTGCTCTCACCGAGGATATCATGACAATGCAACCCATGCTCGGCCAGGATGATAACGACAGCAGCTGGCTACTCCTGGCGTCTCCGACCCAGAGCACACACTCCGACATCGTGCAGAACATGATTGGCGACATATGCAGAAGCATACCTTTTCTTCTTGGCGATATCGACTCGAGCGGCCGGGCTTCCACCGCGAACCCGGCGGACTGCAGCCCGCGGTTAAAGGCAATTGAGGGCTACGAGATGCTCTGGCCGTTCTGGCATGTGCTCCAGTCGCGGTTTTCGACGCTGAAACAGCGCATGCAGGCGCAGGAAGCGCTGCGCCGGCTGGACCAGGACTTTGGGATCAAGCTGGCGTCGAAGCTAGCGGATATCGATGTATGCAGTGTGTATCGCCAGGCGTAGATGTTCTAACTATTAGTTAGTTATATACATACTTATATGCATATGTGCAAGTAATGTTGGAGGGAGATAAAAGAGTGGAGGGCGCCGAGGCTCGATGGCCGCTTGCGTCATGGGCTCAGGGCGGATGCTCGGATGCTTCGGCCTTTCGACCTCGCAGCTCTGCCTGTAGACAATCGACAGAATCGCGTCTCTCGGCCTGCCACTTCCGAGTTGGGTTGTTCTCTTCGTCTCGCTGGCTGTTTGTGCGGATAGTCAATTGGAGGCGCGGTGCCGGAGTCAACCTGCGGTACGTGCGTGCATCAACTTACCCTGCCTTGTTCCACGGTTCCTGACGTAGCAGATCGGAGACAACTGGCTTGCTTATCTATAAGTACGCTCCCTCCCTCGCTCGCATTCCCTGCTTTTCCTCATTCCGTCGCTTTCTGATCCAGCGCTCTGAGCAGACCTGCCAACTCAATTGCTCTCCTCTGTTCTGTTCTGTTCTGTCAGGATCGATCTGATCGAAGCTAAGCCGCTCCCCCCCCCCGCATCTTAGCAACGCTATTCAGCTGCGGAGAGAGATAGCCGCTCCTAGCGAGACCCCGTCCGATACGCCATCAGAGCGATCATGGCAGTGGTACAGGAGAGGAGCCTGCCTTTTGGCAAAATTGAGCCTTTCTCGGCGAAATATTTCTCTAGCTGTGCTCTGGGTGGTATTATCGGTGAGTTTGGAGACAACTCCGCTATACCGTTGCAACTGTCATACTGACTGTCTTTCTAGCTTGTGGTGAGTAATACGGCCTCTCGAAATATACAAGATACACTGATAATATTTCTAGGCCCAACGCACACGGCCGTCACTCCTCTCGACCTGGTAAAATGCCGCCGCCAGGTCGATCCCAGCATCTACAAATCAAACGTGTCCGCCTGGCGATCCATCTTTGCCAAAGAAGGCGTCCGCGGAGTCTTCTTTGGTTGGGCACCCACTTTCGTGGGTTACTCCTTCCAGGGCGCTGGTAAATACGGCTTGTACGAAGTATTCAAATACTGGTATGGCGAGCAGCTGTTCCCAAACACGAATCGCACGCTCGTGTTCCTTGGCGCCAGTGCCAGTGCCGAATTCTTCGCCGATATGGCGCTCTGCCCATTCGAGGCTATCAAAGTTCGCATGCAGACTACTTTGCCGCCCTATGCACACACCCTCCGCGAGGGCTGGAAGACAGCCGTGGCCAAGGAAGGGTTGGGTAGTCTGTATAAGGGCTTGTACCCCCTCTGGGCCCGACAGATTCCTTACACTATGACCAAGTTCGCGACTTTTGAGGAGGCTGTCAACCTGATCTACAGAAACCTGGGCGGCCCCAAGGAAAGCTATGGCCGCTTGACACAGACCGGTGTTAGTTTTGCGGGTGGCTATCTGGCTGGTATTCTCTGCGCTATTGTTAGCCATCCGGCTGATGTGATGGTAAGCAAGTTGAACGCAGAAAGGAAGGGTACGTCTTTCTCCCCTGTCTAATGACTCGACGTTTCTTGTGCATACTGACAACGCTGCTAGCCGGCGAGGGCGCAATGACTGCCGTGTCTCGTATCTACGGTAAAATCGGCTTCGCTGGCTTGTGGAACGGGTTGCCCGTCAGAATTGCCATGTTGGGAACTTTGACTGGCTTCCAGTGGTTGATGTAAGTCGATCTTCTTCTCTTTCGTTTGCCGCTATACTCCATCACCACTGACTTGTGCTTTCTATCCAGCTACGACTCTTTCAAGGTCTTCTTGGGTCTTCCTACCACCGGCGGTCATTAGACTAATAGAACAAGAGAATGGAATGCGATGAATAACGGGGTTCTCCTTTGGCGTTGCAAGTCGGGTTTAGTTCTTGTTTGTCTGTATGCGCGTTTTGGTAAATTCATATGGCTGGCGTACATAGGGCGATGTACATAAAGGTAGTTTGACATAAAAAATAAAATAGATATTGCTATTGAAATCGTTGAGCGTAAGAAATCAAGAGGTTCACCGCCCTCCGACAAGGATCAACGGCCGGCAGAATCCGCCCAAGATAACCAATGTTCGCGCCTTCTCCAGCCACGAAAGGGACATCTCACCTTCGAATTTCCCCGATTCCGACCACACTCGAGTCTGTGGCCGACTCTTGACTGCCGTCTTTTGGATATTTCTTTTGCCTTTGAATCCCGCCTCTTCTGCTGCCATTGGCATAATTGGCCCACCCTACCCTTCAAAGACCGCTCGCTCCGTCGTACTGGAATCTCCGTCACCTGTTTGATCGAGAAAAGCTTGCCTTCAAAAAAGAAACACGCCGATCAATTAGCTGTTTCTCTTCTCATCTTTACCTTGCCACGGAAAAGCCCACCATCAACCCCGACCCTCTACACAACATTAAATCGCCTCGCAGACTCCCTGGCTGCTCTCTCTCTCTCTCTCTCTCTCTCTTCACCTCTGAGAGTCTTTGACCGTTTTCAAAGCAAAGAACAATGGACGAAGCAGCACCCTCCACCGCTGCCATCGGTAGCAGCAACACCTCCAACCCGCCCAGCATCGAACTAGCATACAAGAAAAAATGCATCCAACTGAAGAAGCGACTGAATGAAATCGAGGCAGAAAACGATTTGATCCGAGCGCGCAACAAGCGCGCCCAAGTCTACGTTGCCAAGATGCGTCTGGAAACTTGCATTATGCTTGAACGCCTGGCGACGGTGACGGGGATGCTGGATGAGGCGGCTGCGATCTCGAAGGATGCTGGTGGCCATGGACAGGACGGTAGACTGGTGCTCAACTCGGAGTTGAGGGCTAAAGCGGCTGCAATCGTGCAGAATGCCCAGCATCATGCTCATGCCAATCCGGAGGTGATGGATGATGAGACGGAGGGTAGCTCTGAAGATCAGCCTCCTACGGTATGTATCTAAAACCGCTCTGGACTGGATGATTAAAAAAAAAAGAAGAAGGAACGAGACTAAGAATCGAATATCAGCCACAAGAACGACCTCTCCGAGTCAAACGCAGCCGCAAATCGAATATTGCCTTTGAGGAAATCGAAGCAGAAGCCGCAATGCAATACGAAGCTGCTAGCCCAGACAAGAAGGGCCATTCTACTTCCTATGACCATAATAACGATCACCACGAACATAATAATGACACCACTTCTCCGCCCGGAATACATAAAGAATCATCGGCCCTACCAAGTCTTGCCCCTGCCACACCAGCACCGGCAGAAGAGCGACGAACGTCTGGTTTTCGAGCCGTCAATAGAATGGATAGCAATCACGAAGGTCCTGTTCCGATGGACGTTGATGAGAGACCATCTAAAACTGAGGGTTAATCCTCCTGGCCCCCCCCCTTTTTTTTTTTTCTCCTTTCTTTCCTGTCATATCATGCCAACTATTTATATGATTATTTCATATCAATTAATTTTTTTGCTCCTTTCTCATTATAGCTCTTTATTAGTCCTCTATCATTTATGTGACTCGCATATGATCACATTACAAAATGCGATGGTGTAATGTACGATAGTTGCTCTTGTTGCTTCCTTCAAATATCAATGTTTGTTGCTATTCACTAAAGCGAGTACCTAGGTGCTCTTGGTATATGTATAATATTGGATTAACAATATGTTCCGTGATAGGTATTATTCTATTATTAATTACATGCTCGTGTATATACAAGAGCGTTAACCCCTTAAAAAAAATACATGGACTGGCCTCTTTCACTCCACGCCGGCATACAAATCAACTATAATGTTGATAGCCGCAACGAGGATCTCAGCTGCAATGAGGACGATGACTATTGAAGAGAAAACCGTTAGTCTTACGAAATGCTGTAACAATCAAGAGGAAGGACATGAAGCATACCAATCCATTCCAGGTATTCACCATGCCGATGACTCAATTGATCCTTCAACACCGCCAGCAAATCCGCAATCACATCCAGTCGCTCCGTGAGCAGACCAACTCTCTGGTCCATTTCGAGGTAGGTGCGAACAGCCTGATAGACAGGTTCCAGCTGCGGTTCGGCCCACATGAGCTCTGGACTGTCCAGCACGGAGCCCTGTAAATGGATATTGATGCGCAGGATGAACAGCTCGCCGATCTGCATGTTGATTTGTTTGCGGGTCATGTTCACACTGCCCGTTTTGGCGATTTGGGCGGGAAACGGGGCTGTGGCGGAGATGGTTTCGGAGACAAGGTCCTCGAAAAGGGACGTTTTCACGGATTGGGAGAGGGCGTGGGAAATGGCGAGTTTGATCATGTGGTTGCGTGGTTCGCGGAGCGAGATGAAGTCGTTGTATATTCGTGCTTGGTAGTCGCGTGCGTAGTAGAAATTGAAGTTTTCGACTTGTCTGTCCTCGGTGCTGAGAATGGCGGTTGCGAATTTTGCTACGTCTGCGAGGAACCTGGATTCTTCGGCGGGTGACATGCCCCATATCACCACGGTGCCATAGTCGAAGAGGAATACTTCTGGTGTGTGTACCGTGGTGTCAAGATCTAGCCCCTCTTCTTCTGTAGAAGATGAAACTTTGCCCGTGCTTGTGCTGTGGGTGTTGCTGCTTTCTCCATTATCGTGAAAGTCGATCAGCTCTTCTCGCATATTCTTGACATGTTCTTCGACTTCTACTGCGCTATCAGAATATCTGCGCTCTCCTTGCGGCCTTTGCGGTGGTGGTGGTTGCTGCTGCTGCTGGTGGCTAGGCCTCTCTGAGATGTGTCCATTTCTCGTTTGGAATTGGTGTTCTGCCTGTCTCGTTTCAAACCGGTAGTCGAACGGCGAGTATACGCACTCGTCAAATAACTTGGGATTGGCTCCACGAGTCTTGTCTCGCGATTTCAAAAACCGCATAACGCCATCTAAGCGATACGAATTGGCCGTGCAGTATGCCGTCACTCGAGGTAGACGGTCACGATCAGCCTTACCCAGTCTCGCCGCCGCCCGCCTTGCCGTTGGCTCTTTAATTCGGCTGATTTGCGTATATACATCCCTTGGGAACCCATCGTCAACAACTTCCTCGTCATCTCCAGTCACCGGATCAGGTAGAAGCTTTAGTTTCTGTGTATTTTTCGAGGTTCTCTGGGGCCCGATCTTCGGCGCAATAGCAAAAGTAGATGTCGTCACTGGCGAGCCGGCACTGTTGCGCCTTCGCAGTTTGCTGTTCAGCGCCGCCACGGGGCTCAGAGGAGTATGGCGAGTTGGAGGAGAGATTGCTTGCAGCGGCTCTACTGTAGAGCTTGATTGAGAAGCGCCATTGTACGTGCTGATGGTGGTGAGCGGGTTGAATTTCACGGTCCGACGATCTGAGCGTGGTGACGTAGTCGGAGGATTATTGTTATTCGAAGCAGTTCGTTGGTATTGCGGTAATAACGGCGAGGACTCGGTGGCTGCCATTGCTGCTACGATATCATTGAGGTGGCCGCGGAAAATACGAGACTGAAGCCGGGCCCATTGAGATGTTTGACGCTGGGAAGAAGCAATCCATTAATTCCAATAAAGGGATTGCGACTTGCCGGACCTGGGATCCTCAGGCTCCACATGGCCAACGGCGCTGCATGGCGCACGTGCTAGGGGCGCCTGAGGCATGCAATTCTATATTTGTGACTGCCACCATGCTGGATTTTTTATTTTATTTTACTCTATTTTCCCCCAATTGCTCTTATGAGAGGACTTCAACAAACAATAAAGCTAGAAAATATACCAACACGCGCTAAATACATGCCAATCGCTTTCAATGTCGTCGAGGACATGGATACACATCCAAAAAAACAACAACAAGAATACTACTTCTATTCACAGGTGTCGTACATATATGTAAATGACCACAAGTAATGCCCAAGAATGTAATCTCTATCGTCGAACAAAACTTTTAGGTCCACCCCCAACTCGCTTGAGTCCTCCAGGCGCATTCCGAGAACGCTGTCCAGCCACCCAGCTGGCCTTGACATTCCTTCCGCTCTTAGAGCTCTTGGGTGGAAGCATAATCTTCTTGTCTTCCAGCACTCTTATAGTTACATCCCCACGATGCAGGTCTTTTGCGGGCCTGTCGACGTCCTTGAAGAATTTGTGTTGTCTCGTGCTCTTCTGCTGCTGCTCAGGAGGAGGCGACGGCAGCCTGTAGACTGGCTCTGCATTCAAAATCTCATCTGGAAGCAGGGCTGGTAGCGCTCGGCGGCCTGACTCCCTCGCCACGGATCCTTGGAGAGTTGCTGTGCTCTCCGATACGATATCGTCATCAGGTATCAGCTTCATGTCTATTGACTGTAATTGGGACTTTTCCTGAACTTTCTCTGCTTTAGGTTTGGCCGATGCCTTTGCCTGAGATTTATGCTTTTCATCTTGCAGTTTCCGCTTCTCTTTTTGCAAGATTTCATCACTGCCAATTGTTAGCAAAAAACAAATCACCTTCAGGTGCGAGAATTTCTATTAACACACCGTTTTTTGGCTTCTTTCTGTTTCTGCGCTTGGACCTTCAGCGATAACAGTTGCACTGAGTTGTCCACGACTTCAGGTGCTTCATCATCGTCCTCATCGCTCTCCGAGTCTTCTTTAGGCGCTGCCGGCTCGCGATCTTCGAGTTCCTTAACAGTCGTAATAGGTATTGCTGGTTCCTCACTCCCAAATCGAATGTGATTGCTCAGTTTGTTCGAGGGTGTACTTGTAGTCATTGTCTGAGAGTCTTCCGGTCCATTGCTAACCCTCCTTTTTTTAACTCCTGTAATCTCCACTGTCACTTTATCTTCCGGTACTTGTCGCGGTGATGATAGCTCTTCAATTAAGCCATTCTCATGTTCGGACGAGATCCTCCTCCGTTTAGTGGAGTGGCCATTTGTGTTTCTCTCTTGAATTCTTCTCTTCCCATTAACTGCAGAATCGGAGGCACCCGTAGTACGTGGCGATCCTACGTGACTCCGCCTTGTAGTCACCATTTCCGTGATTGTAGATGTCGATTTGTCTGTGCTATCTGCCGAATCCGATTGAGAAGCTTGGACGGTAATAGAGCTGTCTTCGCTGGCGCTGGCTGGGAGATCCCTTTTGGAGAAAATGCCCTTTGCCTTGTTGAAAACTTGTGAGAACATGGGAAAATGAAAAGAAGTATATCACTATTCAGAGACCATCCAATCTGGAAATGTTCATAGACTCTGACAGAACAGTTCAAATGGCGCGAGCCTCGAGAGTGTGGATGTTGTATGTACTTTTCGACAATTATTTTGTTAGAGAAATCTTCTCCAGCCAGCGGGGACTCCGCTCTTATCCGGACTTTTGTTTCGCCGATGCCATCACGATATGTATTATTCTTGCCAATTTACGCATCGTTTATTCCTATTTCTAATTTCCGAAGGAAAAAAAGTATTATCATCACCATATAAATTTAGCATATTTGTTGTCGCGATGAAGTAGATGTTCTGCTAAATCGGAAGTGGGGAGTAAGAAGCCCTGCGAAAGACATCACACGCTTTTTTAAATTAAAAAAAAATATCAACAACAAAACTCGTTTCCTAGATCCTATTCACAGATTCATCATATAATATGCATAAATATCTGCCAAACATGATGAATTATTTCCGAGAACGCCCGCACCGCATCCATGCAATTTTGAGAAAATGGTTAAAACAAAGCGACGTGCTGGCTATGCAGTGATCATCTGCTGCCTCTCGCCATATTCCTCTTCAGCACCGAGGAAATCGTCATCGCCAATATCGCTGATTTCATCCCAGCTCTGCTTGAGTTCGCCTCTATGATCGCCACTAACCGTCCACATGCTCTCGCGTAGCCTTTTATTGCGTTCGCGGTCTTCCTCGATCCGCTGCTCAATCTGTCTTTTATCGACCCGAATATTGCCATTCGCCTTTGATACCCTTGGCGTAGTCTCAGAGGTATTATCTGGTGCCTCAACGTCAAGAACATGTGAGGGGTTTGTTTCTCGCTCTTTGAGGGCCGCGCCGATTTCCGTCACCGTCTCACTGGAAAGTACATTCTTGTCCTGCAAGCCCTGCAAGACACGGCGCACATGCTTCACGTTCGCCGCTCCTGAGCCGTCTGCCGGTGCCACGGCATCCACAATGATAAGTATGTCTCGTTGAATCATGCGGACATAGTTGAGATGGTTTTCCTTGGTGGCTAATTCGCAGAAATGTTCAATGAAGGACATGATGTTTGCCCTATTATTCATATTGTTCTGTACAGATATATTGGTTAGTTGACCATATTTTATATTAACGGGCTCGACTCACTCTCTCAAGCTGCTCTAAGATACATGAATGGAGGTCCTCATCCATATCGCGGAACTTGAGCGCATATTGTGCTGCTCTTTGGGATGAAGCGACGGCAGCACTTAAATGTTGTAATTGCATCGTAAATCGCATGCGGACTTCGAAAGGGTCCGCCATGTTTCCAACAGATAGCAGTGCGTTTTACTGCTCCTCAGGACTTGCTTTAATAACATGATCGAGAAGCGTAGAAGAGAGATTGTAAGAAGCCATTGGCCTGTATAAAAGCGGTGAGCGATGTTTTATCGGGCAGAATAAAAATGTAGAGTTACCGCCCGGCTCGTCGGCGGCGTTTGCATCGGCCCGGTTACCCTCGACGAAATGCAATTTATGGAAGAAAGTATATGACTACATCTACACCCACGCATACCCAAGAGTTCTTCCAATCCACATCATAACCATCTGTAGAATAAAAAAATTCTATCGCACAAGATGGCGACTCAAACCTTAGCAACAAAATCTGGGGAGAAGACTTTGACTATGCTTGGATGCGGTGTGTATAGCCGAGATCGGATTGAATAAATATAGAGACCTAACCTCACTGCTGAGTAGGAAACCTGGGTCTCGCGGTTCTTACGGGCATTCTAGCTTCGATCTCAGAACCTTCAGAGCCAGGGGAAAAGACGTCCTTCGAAACACCCACTAAATTTATCGCCTGCATCAGATCAGAGCGAACTGCAGCGCGAATACGGAGCGCTGTAGAGCCGTACCCCAAGTTTCCAGTCAAGATATTGCAGAATGACAACTTGACAGGGGTCAAAGAGGCGGATATTGTCATTCTAGGCTGTAAGCCATATATGCTGAACGACGTATTGAATGTTCCCGGTATGCGTGAAGCATTGAAAGGCAAATTATTGATCAGTGTCCTGGCCGGTGTCCATGCCAAGCAAATTGAAGATACACTGTACCTCGAAGGGTCTGCCTCTGCTTCAGAAAGATGTACTATTGTGCGAGCTATGCCCAACACTGCCGCTATGATCAGGCAGTCCATGACCACTATTAGCATCACTACCCCGCCCCTGCCAAAGGAATGGGACGATCTTGTTTCATGGATCTTCACTCGCATCGGCAAGATTGTGCACCTTCCACCATCTCAAATGGATGTATGCACTGCTTTGGCTGGCTCTGGACCGGCTTTCGCTGCCTTGATGATTGAAGGGTTGGCAGATGGCGCTGTGGCTATGGGTCTGCCGCGTGCTGAAGCCCAGCTTATGGCTTGCCAGGTGTTGAAAGGAACTGTCGGCATGATTGAAAGTGGAGAGCACCCATCAATTGTTAAGGAGAAAATCTCTTCACCTGGTGGATGCACAATTGGTGGCCTACTTGTCCTGGAAGACGCTGCTGTTCGGGGCACGATCGCCCGTGCTGTTCGTGAGGCAACATGCGTCGCTAGCGAGCTTGGAAAGGGTACCCAACTAGTCAATGGCACTAGACGTTAAAATTGTCTTCCACTGTTACTTTGGCATCATTCAATATGAAAAGAACAATAATGAAATAGACGACCTACTGCTGCATTGACGAAAGTGCAATTTTGCTTATGTGCCCTTGGTTTCTAATCGCGTTGTATGGTATCTAAATCGAACAAATTCGCTAAAAGAACATAAAAAAAGAGAATAGCCACCCGGGAAAGCTTCACAGAGACTGCATAGATTGTCGACCCTCTATGAGGCCAAGATCTTCGGCATCGGCATGTGATACTTCGTCACCAAGCAATCCTATCTCTTCCGAGTTGCTCGCTTCTCTAAGCGGCCCACTTTCGAAGTCTTTCTCTCGTCGACTTTCCATGCCGTTAAGAATGAACCAGACATCTTTTTTCGTGAGGAGACCCTTTAGAATGCCCTTGTGCACAAACAGTACATATCTAAGCCCAAGTCTCTGGAACATACCCAGGACAATGGAGAAGGTGGTATGGCTGTTGAGTGTTATGGGCGTTTGGTCCATCCAGGGCCGTAAATCAAGCGTTTCAATTGGGTCAGAAAATGGTTGATGAACAAAATAGGCCTGTGTCTCTGACGTCCAATTGCGATTCGTAGAGGATAGAGATGACTCCAGTGCGTAAGAAAGCTCGTTACGAGATATGTAGCCAAGCAGAATTGGATTCGATGCGTCTAACACCACCGGGAATCCACGGTATCGTGTCTGCATGAGCAGATTCCTAAGTGATTCAATAGTATGACCAACAGCAGGAATCACAGTGAGATCGTCTACATTAGTCATTATTCTCGATGCCGGCACATCTGGTGGAGGCTTGTCATCCTTAAGATCCAAAAACGGATATTCGTTGAAGTGAACCCAGGACTCATATATGCCGCGTTTGCCAAATATGTCACCACACCATTTGGAGAGCATGACAGCTATCATGATTGGAATCACATATGTTAGAGCACCCGTCAGCTCAAACATGATCACCACAATTGAAACTGTCATTCTGGTAGCTCCCCCAAGAGCTGATGCGGCCCCTATGATTGCGTAAGTTGCTGGAGTGATACACGGTATATCGGGCTCGCAACTTTCGAAAAGAAAGAAATTAGGGAACGCCATTTGCCACATTTCAACACCGATGCCGAGTGCACGGCCAAACAGAGCGCCGATTGCCAGGGAGGGAAGAATAATGCCCGCTGGGATTTCCAGACCGAAGCTGACGGATGCTAGGAAGACACCAAGCAATGCTGCCACAATCAAGAGAGCAATAACACCAAAAGATGCAGCACCTGTTTTACACAGATCCAACTGATCGTCTGTGGTCGTTGCACACTCGGCAAAAAGTTGATATACTAGTTCTGACGATTGTGCTCTCATGAACTTGTTGGGGAAGTTTAGTCCGGCGCTGATAAGAGCAACTGAGGCCACTTCAAGTAGCGGGTAAGACCAACTCCTGGACTTGCGCCATCTGGCTATTCTCATGTTGAGCTTGATGAATAGTCCTCCATAGAGGCCACCCACGATGCCGAGTATTATGAATGGAATAATTTCGAATCGATGCCATCCTCTAGTATAGGTCACCTGGTAAAGCACGATTTTACCAGTATGGAAAGGATTCAGTGCTTGCAACGTGACAGCAGCAACAGTAGCACATACGAAACTCTGCCACATTGTTTTATCCGGGAAATAATACGAAAGTTGCTTGAAAACATTTAGATGAATGAAGAAACGATAGACGAGGAGTAAAACAGCTTACCTCTAAACTGAATAGTACTCCGCCAATGGGGGCCCCGAAGGCAACAGATATGCCTGCAGCAGCAGCCGCCGAAAGGATTTCACGTTTCCTTGCTGAGAAATAAAATGTTAGATTTGTACGTATAGGTCTTCTTCGAAAGTGAAAAGTACCTTCATTGCTATTTAACGAGTCAAATGGTTTCATGAGAATGTTCGCACAACAACATGCGACATGAACAAGAGGGCCTTCTTTACCCAGCCACATGCCGGAAGCAACAGCAAGACACTTCTTAATTTTAGTAAAAGCATACAACGAAATATATTATGGTGAGCTCGACTTACAAGTCCTAGAGACTTAATGGCCAGTGTCCAGCCACCCATAAAACGCTTCATGACAAAGCCCCCGAGGACTGTTTTTATCTCGGGAATTCCACTGTGTTTGGCATATGGTGCATAATTCCGTACCAATGTGCACGCAAATGATGCAAAGAGGACCTATTGTGGTGGCTGTTAGTCTGAGTGTTCAAAAGAGTGGAACAGCTGTCTGGCATACAGAAAATACTATGAATATTATATACTCCAGCACGTAACCCCCGCCGGCAGAGTTTACTTTTGAGGCATCCCTCCATGATTTCCAACCAACGCATTCCGAAAAATCTATAATTCGTCAGCAATCATGCAATGGATGGACTTGTACCTGGGATACTACCTTCATGCCCCCAACAGCAGAATCCCCGGTTGAGGTAGAATTGGCTGAAACCTTCTTCACCTTTGCAATAACCCAACTTTAAATCGCTCAACCAATCACTTGCAATATCGATGCATGCTGCAATCAAGCCAACTGCAACCCCAGTTGCGACCAAAACCACCCAGACATGGCTTGCATCCAAGAGTTGGTGCAAATGGCCCAAAACGCCTTGTCCTGTGGAATATAAGAGCCTTCGTCTTTGGCGTTCTTTAGTGTACTCAAAGACCCAATCGATTGCGGTGAGGTCATCGTAGGCCAGCCTTCGACCAGGGCCTTCGACATACCAGTCGAGAGGCCCGTCTTCTTTAAAGGCGCCGGCTTCGCCGTTGGTGTGGGCTGTTCTTGAATTGTCACCCGAATTTGGCCAATCGTTTAGAGAACTACCCCTATTGAATAAGTTGTTGAGTGTATGCGATGCGCTGCTACCGCTCCCCGAGAAGACATTCGATAAGCCGAAACGAGCAGACCGTTTCTGCTTGCGCTTGAAGGATATTCTATGGTTTCTGTTAGCGGCCCGAATTCACACCGTAAATCACCAAGAGATCACACACGGCTCGATATTATTCTGTGAAAATGGATCTTGGGCAAAGATGGCTTCATCGCCTTCGTGATCCGGCGCCTGATCGTCGTCTTCGAAGCGATCTGCGTGAACATCCCGTGATGACTCCGTTAGTTCCACATCGCCAGAACTGAGAGTTGTCGGGAACATGGTTTTAGCAGGTTGAATGCATCGGAATACAATGGGCAATCGACCTGCTCTTAGCTAGAAGAGCAGCAATGTGGCATGGGACGGGCGCATTATAACAGCGTTGATATAGGGTCTCTGGTTGGAGCCCTGAGTTGCACCGCGGAGCTGTTGGCTTGGCGCAAGCTGCGGCCGTCCAGCCTGCGCCCACCAAAGGCGGTAACAAATGCGGGATCCACAATTGTTATGGCAGAAAAATAACTCCTCCAAAAAAAAATATAGAAGTCCGCCAATTCTGCGGATTTTATATAATCTTCCTTCTTTTTAATTATCGGAGGGCTTCTACATTGCGAAGATAGGCCGCATTATGGAAGAGCGACCTGTCTTCGAGCTGAAGCTCTCAGAAGCCGAAGGGCTTCATCGCCTTCCGACTGAGCTCGCAGAGCGACTTCGAAATGCATCTGGATCGGAATATCTTGATGCGCTTGCTCTTGCTGCACTCGAGCCAGGGAATACAGAATGGATTTTTGCGTCTTATGAGCCGCTCTTTGTTGACCTGGCCTCAAGATGGCTTGATTTAGAACCACAAACCTATCTAAAAGTACTTGCTGCATTTTCTCGAATTTTGCCTTTCGCGCCGCATCTTCGACCTTTCGCTAGCAATTTCGCGACCACAAGCCATGGAAATTCCAACGGTTCTATGACACTAAATCTACTCGACCTCGACGATTATACGACGCGAAATGCTCTTCATTGCATATTCCGCCTATTATCATTCGATCTAGAATCCTTCTCCACAATTTTTTCTCCCGTTCAATTCCAACCGCTCTTCCAACACCCAGATAGATGCGTACGCTATTTGGCGGTCCGATGTTTTTGCTATTATATGAGAGCTGCAGATGCAGCTACACAAACGATGGTGGCGACGCATATCGGTGTCGAGCCTATCGAAGGCCCTTGGGAGAATACCATTATTGATTATAGACTTCTCGGATTGTGGGAAGAACGTCGTTGGCAATATCTTGACATTGAAATAAGGAGGAAGCGAGGTGTGCTTTCAACCGATTCCGCATTGGAAATGGTAGACAAGTACAAGGCCAATCTGAGTCCCCGTGCTGCTGATATTGGTGGAGTTCTTGTTCCTAAAGTCAGATGGAATAGGCCTGCTCCCGAAAGCAGCCTTGTCCGGACTACCACGGTCACAAATAACTTGCGGGACATCGCGGCGTCCCTACTTGAGCAAAAGCCATTGCTTCTTGTTGGTTTGCCCAATGCAGGGAAAACTTCCTTGGTCAATGATATTGCCAAAACAATGGGACAGGGGTCATCCATGGTCACGCTTCACTTGAACGAGCAAACGGATGCAAAGAGCTTGCTTGGCATGTATGCAACATCTTCATTAACAGGTGCATTTGCATGGCAACCTGGAGTTCTGACGAAAGCTGCCAAAGAAGGTCGTTGGATTCTGATAGAGGACCTGGATCGGGCCCCATCAGAAGTTATAGGCCTCATGTTGCCGGTCATTGAGAAGGGCGAGCTGATTATACCGAGTCGAAAGGAAAGGATCAAATGCGCTGATGGTTTCAGAATAATTGCTACAATGAAATCTTCGCTTAATAGCAAAGGGGAAGAAGTTACCCCAAGCCATGGCCTTCTGGGGATTAGGTTATGGAATAAAATCCAAATCAGCTCTTTACCTCTCAGTGAAGTTCGTCAGGTTCTCATTCAGAAATATCCACTGCTTTCGACGCGAGTTGCTACCCTTATTGAAATCTATGACAGGCTTTGCTCTGCTTTTCAAAGCAACATGGCGGCGAGATCAGCTCAAGGAAGGGCACCGGGCCTTCGAGATTTGATCAAGCTGTGCAACAGACTGAACAAGCGGCTTTTGCGTCTTGGAGTTATGTCAGGGAACGAAGCAACCCCTGAGAGCTTTCAAGACGAGATGTTTCTTGATACTGTGGATATCTTCATTCGATATTTGCCTGACCAAGATTTCGGGCATATATTATCCTCGATTATCGCCGAGGTTCTTCAGCTGTCTCCTCAAAGAGCCCATTACTGCCTCCAAGAGCGGACTCCTCCATACGCTGACCGTGAAGATAGTTTCTCGGTTGGTAGGGAAATGTGTACGAAAATGAGAGTCACGAGAACGGCGAAATCACGATATGCTAAATCGTCCGCTCGTTTTGCACCAACAAGAGCAGCTCTGAAGACAATGGAGCAAATCACGGCCGCTATTCAGGTTTCGGAGCCTGTGCTCCTTGTTGGAGAAACCGGCATTGGCAAAACGGCTGTGATTCAGCAATTAGCAAGCCTCAAATGCCAGAAGCTTACCGTGGTCAACCTTTCTCAACAGAGCGAGAGCACAGATCTATTGGGCGGATTCCGGCCTGTTAACCTTCGTTCAATGGCTATTCCATTGCTGGACGAATTCAACCAACTATTTGAGCAGACCTTCTCTGCTAAAAAGAACCAGAAGTTTCTATCTTCAGTTACAAAGAATTTAACTAGTGGAAACTGGCCGCGTCTGGTGAATCTCTGGCACGAAGCTGTTCGTATGGCCGATAGTGTCTTTCGTTCTCCCAAAGAAGGGACAGCAGCTGAACAGAGAACCGAAGAGCAACCATCCAAAAAGCGCAAACTGGACTCTCCTAAGTATGCTGCTTTGCGGGAGAAGTGGGAACTTTTCAAAGCTCAACTAACCGATTTTGAGGCTCAAGCAAGCAAAGGTGACTCGAAATTCGCGTTTGCTTTCGTTCAAGGAAAGATTGTCCGAGCTCTACGAAACGGCGAGTGGGTTTTGTTGGACGAGATCAACCTGGCAACCCCAGATATTTTAGAGAATATTGCGAGTTTGTTGCACCATGGCGATGAAGGACTGCCCTCGGTTCTTCTGTCTGAAGCTGGTGACGTGGAGCGTGTATATGGTCACCCCGATTTTCGAATATTTGGAGCCATGAATCCTGCTACTGATGCAGGAAAGAGGGATTTGGCTCCAGGACTACGTTCGAGGTTTACGGAGATTTACGTTCACTCCCCAGATGCCGACTTTGATGACCTGCTTGGATTGATACAGACCTACCTGGGCAATCTAACTCAAAGCGACCCCCGGCTTGCCTCGGATATTGCCAGTCTTTATCTCGCCACAAAGAAATTGACGGCTGAAAATAAACTGACTGATGGCGCGGGTCAGAGACCCCATTTCAGCATTCGTACACTAGTACGATCACTAATTTATATCGTGGATCATGTACACATTTATGGTCTTCGACGAGCAGCTTACGAAGGGTTCTGCATGAGTTTCCTGACACTTCTCAGCCAAGAATCAGAGAAACTCGTTGTGCCTTTAATCGAAAAGCATATTTTCGGCTCTGCGAAGCATGCGAAATCATTGCTTGGCCAAGTCCCTAAGCCCCCCAACGACGGCAATGAGTATGTGCAATTCAAACATTATTGGATGAAAAAGGGTCCTCTCACAGCGGAAAAGCAGCCGCACTATATTTTCACGCCATTCATTGAGAAAAACTTGAAGAACTTGCTTCGTGCTAGTTCTACGCGTCGATCTCCTATTCTTCTTCAAGGTCCTACATCATCTGGCAAAACTAGCATGGTCGAATATCTTGCTAAAGTTTCGGGCAACAAATTCGTCCGCATAAACAATCATGAGCATACTGATTTGCAGGAATATCTTGGATCGTATGTTTCCACAGACGGCGGGACTCTGAAATATCAAGAGGGTGTCCTCGTGGAAGCTCTTAGGAATGGCTACTGGATTGTTCTTGATGAGCTTAACCTGGCACCTTCAGATGTTTTGGAAGCACTCAATCGACTTTTGGATGACAATCGAGAGCTGTTTCTGCCAGAGACACAAGAAGTCATTCAGCCGCACCCGAACTTCATGCTCTTTGCTACTCAAAATCCTGCTGGACTGTATGGTGGACGAAAAGTTCTCTCCAGAGCGTTCAGGAATCGATTTCTTGAATTGCATTTCGATGATATTCCAGAGGATGAGTTGGAATATATTCTGAAAGAACGGACGCAAATAGCCCCGTCTTTTTGTGCGAGAATCGTATCTGTGTACAAAAAGCTCTCAGTGTTAAGACAATCTACTCGCCTATTCGAACAGAAGAATAGTTTCGCCACACTCCGTGACCTCTTTAGGTGGGCGCTTCGTCAGGCGGACGATCGTGAAACTTTAGCTATCAACGGTTTCATGCTTCTTGCCGAGAGAGTACGAAATTCTTCCGAACGAGCTGCCGTTAAGAAAGTCATAGAAGATGTCATGAAGGTGCAGATCAACGAAGATGACGTTTACGGACATGCTGAACTAGAGAGAAAAGCGCAAGGGAAAGCTTCTCTGTCAAAAGGTGTTGTTTGGACAAAAGCTATGCGAAGAGTGTTTGTTCTCGTCTCTGAAGCTCTTCGAAACAACGAACCTGTCCTCCTGGTTGGAGAAACCGGCTGTGGCAAAACGCAAATCTGTCAGGCAGTAGCTGAAATTTACGGCAAAGATATCTTCATCGTCAATGCCCATGTCAATCTTGAGACGGGGGATCTTGTTGGTGCACAACGGCCACTGCGAAATCGCTCTGCCATAGAGCGACAATTGCATGATGACCTCGAGAGCCTTTTACAGACGGTCTCGGATGTTGGAGCCCAAGGGTCGTCAAGGAGCTTGGAGGAACTGAAAGTAGCCTTTTCAGGACTGACCTCTGAAACGCTGCAGACAATACCTTCTGAGTTATTGGATCGCATAAAGACAAATATCACAAGATCTCAAGCTCTCTTTGAGTGGTCCGATGGAAGCCTTATTACTGCTATGAAGACTGGCCAATATTTTCTTCTTGACGAAGTCTCTCTTGCTGATGATTCCGTCCTCGAGAGACTCAACAGTGTCCTCGAACCCCATAGGTCGCTTCTACTCGCCGAAAAAGGACCAATTGACTCTTTGGTTGTGGCTCAAGACGGGTATCAGTTTCTATCGACTATGAACCCTGGCGGGGACTACGGCAAAAGAGAGTTATCTGCAGCGCTCAGAAATCGTATGACCGAAATTTGGGTACCTCAGCTATCAGAGGAAGAAGACATACTGCCAATTTTGAAGAATAAGTTGCTATTCCTGAATGAGACTAAAGCTAAGTCAATGCTCAAGTTTGCGAAATGGTTCAAAGAAACGTTTCAGGGGTCGTCCAATTCTGCTTTATCCATACGTGACCTTCTTGGGTGGGTGGAATTCATCAACAAATGTGCGCCATCTGACCCAGATTTTGCAATTGTTCAGGGAGCTGCCATGGTCTATATTGATACCTTGGGTGCTAACCCTTCTGCGATGTTGTCTACTTCAATGGACAGTGTTGCTCAGAATCGGCGACTGTGCCTTGAGAAACTAGCGGAGTTACTCGGAATTAATGCTTTGGAGATCTATAATGAAAAGTCCACTGTACTGATTCAAGACGGAAATCTACATGTGGGACCTTTCAAACTTCCGGTTTCTTCGAATTCATCTCCAGATCCTCATTTCGTTATGGATGCACCGACAACCATTGCCAACTCTGTGCGAATAGCCCGTGGTCTACAGACGTCCAAGCCTATACTTCTTGAAGGCAGTCCTGGTGTTGGAAAGACGACTCTAGTCGCATCCCTCGCTCGTGCTCTTGGAAAGCCTCTCACTCGAATCAACCTTTCAGAGCAAACAGATTTAACCGACCTTTTCGGCTCAGATGTCCCGGTTGAGGGTGGTGATGTCGGCCAGTTCGCGTGGCGAGATGCGCCATTTCTGCAAGCCATGCAACGCGGAGATTGGGTGCTACTAGATGAAATGAACCTTGCTTCCCAGTCGGTGCTGGAAGGTCTTAATTCCTGTCTTGATCATCGCCAGCAGGTATATGTAGCCGAACTGGATCAAACATTCAGAAGACATCCAGACTTCGTTCTGTTCGCTGCCCAAAATCCACATCATCAAGGTGGTGGCAGGAAAGGTCTTCCGGCATCATTTGTGAACCGTTTCACTGTTGTCTATGCTGATTCCTTCAGTGATGCGGATTTAAATAGCATCTGTTCAAAATTGTTCCCGAAAACCCCTCTCGAACAAACATCGAAAGTTGTGGATTTCATATCGAGGATGAACTGGGCCATTGACCATGACCGAGAATTCGCAAATACTGGGGGACCATGGGAGTTAAATCTTCGAGATATCATACGATGGTTCCAGCTTGCTGATCGAGGGGATGTGCAGATTCCTAGTGGCTACTTCCTTGAAAACATCATCAGCCAAAGATTTCGCACTCAGAAGGATCGCTCCTTGATATCTGAAATCTTCAAGCATTCATTCGGAAGCCCTTCGCCCGACAAGTCTTACTATCATAACCTAACGACGGAGACTTTTCAAGTCGGGCTTGCTGAAATGCCAAGGAGGAAGATAGAACAGAGCATCGTCGAGTCGAATATTAAAATTCTTCCATCTCACCTTCCTATACTTGAGTCCCTCATAATCTGTATAGAGCGAGGGTGGCCGAGTATCCTAGTGGGACCTTCAGGTTGTGGCAAAACAGCCACAATTCGCACTCTTGCATCTATACAAGGTGCCGAACTTGTGGAACTAGCGTTAAGTGCTGATACAGATACAATGGACTTAATCGGCGGCTTCGAACAAATCGACTACCGCAGGCAAACACAGTCTCTAGCTCGAGATGTAGTGGTATTTCTGCATCGCAAGATCATAAGTGCTGTCACGCCCGAGACAGCTTCAAACTCAGTTATTCGTCTTCTGGAAATGTACAGAATATGCAAGAACCCCGAAATCACTATTCAGACGCTCTTTGAGGTCATCAGCAACCTGCAGCCGGATTATGATGACCCAACCTTTGCCGACATCAGTCGCCGGTGTACTACATTGGCGCGAACTTCTATGGATGCCAACAAAGTTGGCTTTGAGTGGACAGAAGGCGCACTGACTGAAGCCATACAGCATGGCTATTGGGTTGTGCTGGATAATGCAAATCTTTGCAACGCCTCGGTTCTGGACCGGTTGAACTCCTTGATGGAGCCAAATGGTTATTTGGTATTAAACGAGCAACGTACGGAGGATGGCTCTGCTCGAGTGATTATGCCACATCCGAACTTCAGACTTTTCCTTACCATGGACCCTAAAAATGGGGAATTGTCTCGAGCCATGCGCAACAGATCAGTTGAGGTCTGTTTTCTATCGGAGCTACCACCCCTTGCATCTTCTGATTATCTACCGTCCTTTATTCTGGAGTCGGCTCTATACCGTTTGCGCTACGTTTGGAACTTCAATTCTGAGCTAAGTACGTCAGTACTTGCGCAGCAGTCGTTTGGCATTCATTTAGATCACGTCGCAATGTCGGACTTTGCCAGTTTCTACCAGTCGCTCCGGCAAGTAGCTGCATCTTTTCTTAATGGTCAAACTTCAACTTCGCTCTTTGAAGTTCTTGAACGTTATGCCAAGCTCGTACAAGACGGTTTTCAATGGAGTCCTATTTCTTCAATGGTTAAGAACGATCAGCAGGGTATTGACATTATCCACCCTCTGATCAATGAACCGCACTTGACCTGGCATCCGACGTATACTGATCGAATTATCCTTGTTGCTCATCTACAAGATATTAAGAAAGATCTGCACCGACTTCAACAGCGTCTGGTCCATTCACATAAAAATTCTCAGCTTCTTAAGCCCTCTCAGATGACAAGGCTGGAACGATCTTTTGCTTCAACGAGAATATCAAGTCTGATGAAAGATGACACCCAGGCAGTAAGCTCGTTCTTGACAGACTTTGTTCAGGCTTCTTACGAGTTTATCCAAGCCTTGGACGGCAACTCACATATTTCGGAGGATTCCGTGGCGACTCTCAGAAATTTCACTAGGTTCTGCTGGGATATATTCACCATCACTCAGGTCACAGAGCTCGACGAAGGTGTGTTTCAGATCTACCTTCAAATAGGCCAGCAGATTCTGTCACGTGCCGTCGACAGTCAATCCGCGCTCTGTGCACTGCTTTCTTCTTTCTCTCAGCTTTTAAGTCGATTCAGGTCAACATGGGCATTGAAAACAGGGCTGAGCATGCGAAAAATCTGGGATGCTTGGAGACCTGCCACCTGCGCTGACATTGAAAAGCTGGAGTCGCTTCTTGATTTAGAAGAAGTAGTTGGAAGATTCAACAAGATTGCTCTGCAGACGCGGCTGAAAATCTCTCAGCTTGGGTTGGTACGAAAATCTTTAATCGACGCACAAACTGCTATGCTACTAAACAACGCCGATGGTAAACTTCTTGTCCAAGGATTGAAGCAACAAGTCACAGAGCTGGTTTCGGCAACTGAATTATATTCATCATCACAGCCTCCACATTTCTTGCAAGTCTTCGAGAGCATTTGCGAGTATCATGATCTGCCAACCCTATGGAACGAGAGCCAGATACACCAGCACGCTCATCTGAATGAAACCCTGCCCCTTCTTGCCGGAAGACCAGCGGACTCCATACTGGCGTTTGACCAAAAGTCGCCCATTCCCGCCATCCTGCACAAGCTGGCACTCTATAATTGCTCCGAAGGAACCCCAAGTACTATGTCACCTTGGACTTTGACGTTTTCTACTGGTCTATTAGAGCACGTGGAGCGTGTCAATGAAGTATGCCTTGGAAGACTTGAATTCTTCCAAACCGAGCTGCATACCTTAATTGAAGCCGTGACTTACAGCTCCCGCGAGATATCGCTCGTCCAGAGTGTACTGCTAACACGGGTATTTGCCAGTGTAGCATTAGAGATTCTAAGGCTTCATCAGGATTTTCTAAATGATGCCAGTCTTGGAAATGTGATTAACGTCTTGCGTTCCATAGAAAGATCTGGTATATCTGGAGGATCAGTCCCACCTCTTCAACCAGCAATCGACCTGCCACCTGATCACTTTTTCAGACACTTTATCAACGACCTTTCCCACTGCATCCAGACCCTTGCAACTGTCGGGGAAGGCTCTTCTAGTGATATATACAAACTAGGCCGTGTTTGCATCCAGCTTTCCGTGATTTGTCTTCGCCTCTTTGTCCCAGATAAACCATATGACCCTTCATTAGGCTTGGTCATTGAGAGGCGTCGTCATACCGACCAGGTCCTACAACTTACTATTGAGGACGAAGCTCTGCTGGCCTTTGAAAACGAGTTTTCTGCTAGAACTTATAACATGCGCCGTCTTTTGATCGAAAAAGAGTTGCAAAAGCTAGGATCAACACCGCCTGCTTCTCCTGTCAGTCGCTCACAAAAGTCACAACTTGCCGAGTTGCATGGGGAGTTCTTGAACCTGCACAACTCAGTTCTGAGCAGAAACCCTGAAACCTATGAAGTTGCCGAATTCGAGCAATATGGGCGTCTTCTGAGAGAAAATATTCGTCTAATTTGTGCTCGCCTTCGCTCCAACTTCAGAGCTTACGACGACATCACAATCTTGGTTACTCGATTTCTGACGATGCTTGATTTAGGTGCTTCGCTTTGCTTAGACGGAGCGAACAAAACCAAATCGAAATCTTCGCAAGCATCAATCGTTACTCAGACTACTCCTCTGATTGGTGGTAGCAATTATGCCGTAACAGAAACCCCGGTTCATACAGGTGGTTCGTCAAGGAGTCACATTCAGGTGCAAATGCACCGGCTCTCGTCATTAGTCCTCCAACACCGTACGGATCCATCCAGGCTGGCCTCAGCGAGCGGTCTTCAAGAGCTCAAAATTATCCTTGGCTCTCTGCATCACATATGGAAGACGCAACTCACTCAAGACCAAAAGGAAGAAGCACAGAAGTCTCAAATGTACCGCTACAAAGGATCATATGAGGATAACGAAGAGATTGAAGAATCAGAATTACGTGAACTGTTCCCTGTTTTTGAAGGCAATGAACAGGATATATCGGAAAAACCTCGAATGGACATAAATTCTATTTCTCTCAAACTCACACAACTCCATGCTTCGATATTTGAATCTGGAGATGTTGAGACAAGTATGAGACATTTCATTGCTGAATCCACACGTCTGCTTGGATCCTTAAGCAGCAATGGGGACCAGCCATCTGCAGCACCGAAGTTATACTTGCCTGGTATACTTCTGGTCTTAAAGGATGAGCTTAAGTCTTACGAAAATGTTTCTCCGAGATATTACAATTTCTACTCGGATGCAAATATTGCGGAGGCAAAACGCCTCGTTTCGCTTGTTCTCTCCACCCGGACTCGTTTCCTTCAACTCCAAGCAGCATGGCCTGAACATGCGGCTATTCATGATGTTCTAATTTGTTGCCAAGAGGTCCTACAATTCAAGCATCTAGAACCTGTTGCCAAATACATCACGAAGGTGGAAAAATTACACAGCCTCGTTTACGAGTGGCAATCGGTAGCCAGCAGAGAGTATTCGGTTGTTTCAATTTACGATGATATTACGGCTTTGATCATTAGCTGGAGGCGCTTGGAGCTGTCAACATGGGCTAAGCTTCTTGATTTGGAATATGAAAAGAGCGAGAATGCAGTCAGCACTTGGTGGTTTGTGGCATATGAAGCATTTATTGCACTTCCCTTGCAAAAAGCGGAGAACGACGAAGATCTCAAGGGCTACGCCGCTGAGGCATTGGATACTCTTACGGGTTTCCTCAGGTCTACAACTCTCGGTCAATATAGTGCCCGATTGCGGTTGGTGGAACTTTTCAAGTCACTATTGTTGCTATTTGCAAACCACTACCCGGCATTATACTGCACTGTTACTGCTCTGGAGAACTTCCTACAACATTTCAAGCCATTTGAGCCTGTGATATCAAAGACCTTGGAAGATGGGAGGAAATCATTTGAAAAGGACATCAAAGAACAAATTCAACTTGCCAGCTGGAAAGATACGAACATCACAGCTCTACGTGAAAGTGCTCGGCGGTCGCACTATAAGCTTTTCAAATATGTGCGGAAGTACAGGGAGTTGCTCGCCCGGCCCACTGATTCGTTGCTGCAACAAGGCATGCCTGAACTTCAAGAGCAGTCAGGAGGTTCAAACTACGCTGAACAGCTATCAAATGTTCCGTGGGATTCATCCGAGGCGCTAGCTGTTTGTCAAAGACTCGACTCTATCTGGACAAACAGAGCACCCAGATTCAAGGATCCATCAACTACTGCTACCAATATGTTGCGTGTTTACAACTCTGCGCTATCTGAACTTGACGTCCCAATGCAGTTGAATAGTTTTGTCACGGATGTTATTGAGAGTATCAAGACTTTCAAAACCGAGACTCCGAAGACCCTGACGGAAGAAAACAAGGACCAAGTTCAGCACCTCAAGACCCAAAAACGTCGATTTTATGCCGAGACACTTCGCCAATTACATTTTATGGGCATAAGACGAAACGTAAGCACTGTGTTCATTGAAGAGCAAACTACAACCAATCAGGTTCTTGCTGCTACACCAAGCCTAATCTTCAAGGATGGTTCGGTTGCTGCATTGGCAAAAAGTGCGGACTCTTACTTCCAGAGGTTTCTCGATGTGCTTCCTCATGTTAGGAAGTTCTCTCGCGAGTACAACGAGGATCTCCACCCTACTGAAATAACAAGGAGCGTTGGGTCTGCAGAGGGTCTTTTGGTGCTGATCAGAAAGCAGAGAGACACTCTCGCCCCTGCAATCAGGCAGCTAGTTGACCTCAGGACCACCTTTGAGAAAATGAAAGTTCTCTGGACTCATGGTCCCCAGTACCTGCAGCAAGACAGTCAATACTGCAAAGATGGAAGAGAAGGTGCTTTTAGGCGCGTCTCTTGGTTGATACCGCTTCTTGGCGTTGGAAAGGAGATTGTGGATATTCATTCCATTTACTCAGGCTCACCAAGCGTTACTGACACCTTTGAACGTTGGAATGAGACATTTGGACGCCTGAAGAGCGATATTGGGCGCCTTCCAGACCTGCCATTAGGAATAACATCTCAAGTTGCAGCCGATACGGAGCGCGAAGTCATGAATTCTTTCAAGCGTTTCAATGACGAGCTGGCAACCCTGATCGAGCAGCGACCAGATCTGACCTTTGTACTCGAACAGGTTAATTCCTGGTTGGAAATTACTGTTCCTGACAGTGACCTGATCACCGGTTCTATTATATCCATCGATCATTTGAATGAGCAGTATCTTTCTGCAGTGGACATGATTTTAGTCGGACTACAAGAGCTAAAAGGTTCTTTGGTATCCCTGCCACCTGATATGGATGACAAAGATTGGCTTTCTCGGACAGACTCATCCTTGTCAAAGGCTCTGAGGGATTTGCACATCGCAGATATATCAGTATCCCTAAACAAAGTTCTCGACAAGCTACAGTTCCTACAGGACCCAGGATCTAGCTTGCCCCTAGCCAGTGCAATTATAGCTGGACTACTTCCAGTAACGGAGCAATACCACAATATCTGTGAGGACGTCACCAGCCGTTATCTTAAGGTTCACCGAGAAGTCTGCAAGATGTCATACGTGCTCTCAAAATCCTTTACACAGATCGCTTCGGAGGGGTTCTGCAGTCCACACGAAGCATCTACCGAGGAGAGTGGAGCGGGCAAGGTCGAAAGTGGAACAGGTTTAGGCGAAGGCGAAGGTGCTGAGGATATCAGTAAAGATATCCAGGACGATGAAGACCTGTCAGAGCTTGCACAAGAAAAGAACCAAGAAAAATCTTCTAAAGATGAGATGGAGGAGTCTGAAGATGCCGTGAACATGGATCAAGAAGACCTTGAGGGCGAATTTGACGATGATCAGAAAGAAGGGGAAGAAAGTGAAAACGAGAATGGCTCGGATAAAGAAGAGGACGAGGAGGATATGATTGACGAGGAAGTTGGCAGCGTTAATGATCTTGATCCCAATGCTGTCGATGAGAAACTGTGGGATGGTTCTCATGATGAACAACAGAAAGAAACCGAAAATGAAGAAGGCAAGGGGCAATCTGAGAGTGATGAACAAGCGGCAAACAATGATAAGAAACAGCAAGAGTTGAAAGAACCAGAAAAGGAAGGTGACAAAGAGCAAATGGAGGGGGAGGAGGAAGAAGAAGAAGAAGAGGAAGAAGCTCCTGAAGACGAAGGAGAAACAGGGGGTAGGGAGGAGCTTGATGTTACCGATCCACATGCTAAGGAGGAACAAACTCTTGACCTCCCAGAGGAGATGCAGCTTGACGGAGAGGAGAACGATGATGCTGAGCCGGAAATGAGTGATGATGGCATGGACGAGCTGTCTGACTATGAGCCAGCCTCTAATGAAGATAAAGTCGAGGAAAAAGCTGAACCTGAAGCTGAAGACGATCTTGAACGGGACACTTCTCAAGATCCTGGTGATATTGATATGGAAGAGAATGATCAGGATGAGACTGAGGAGCCCGGAGAGCCAGACGACAAGGAAACGACAGATATTGCTGGTGAAGATGAGACTGCAGAAGAGGAACCGGAACAGAAGGACACCAAGATCCCTGAGAAGGATGACAATACTGCAACTGGAGAGAACGCTGACGAGAGTGATGAAATTACCGGTGGTCTTGGTGTGGATACAGACACCAAAGAAGAGAAGGGTTCATCAGGAAATGCACAGCAAGAAGGTGGTGCTGAACAATCTGGCCAAGAAGAACCACCCAATGGCGCTGCAGAAGAAGGAGAGGACCAAAAGAAAACAGCGTCTAGTTCGGGAGGTACAGGTGAAGATTCGCAAAATGATCCTCAATCCGAGGCCTTCAAAAAGCTCGGTAATGTTCTCGAGGAATGGCATCGTCGACAGCAAGAGATCATGAATTCCTCGAGGGACAAAGAGGATCAAACACTACCTCCAGATACTGATATGGCTGATGCAAATTTCGAGCATCTGGCGGATGAAGAGGATGTTGCCGATACGCAAGCATTAGGTCAGGCTAGCGAAGAACAAGCAGAGGCATTAGATCAAAAGAAGGGTGTCGAAACTGAGCGTCCAAATGCTACCGATGATATCCTGCCTGATGTCACTGACGACGACAAAGACATCGAGCCCGATGAAAACTTGCTTGACGCGACGGCAATGGACCTTGATGTAGCAGACTCCAATGCCCCCGATGGCGCCCATGCAGCCAAGAGCACTTTAGTTGGCGAAACCTCGAACGAACGAAACGGCGAGCCACCAATGACTGAAGAGTTGGACGAGGTTGATACACATCTAGCCGCCATCCACCTTTCCTCAGCCAGTGCACCAAAGACTTCAATAGAGGAAGCTAGAAGATTGTGGGCTCACTACGAAGCTGTTACTAACGATCTCTCTCTTTCTCTTACAGAGCAACTCCGGCTCATTCTCGCTCCTACGCTCGCCACAAAACTTCGCGGTGACTTCAGAACAGGCAAGCGCCTCAACATCAAAAAGATCATTCCTTATATTGCCTCCCAATACAAGCGTGACAAGATCTGGATGCGTCGATCAATTCCAAGCAAACGCAACTATCAAATTATGCTGGCTGTTGATGACAGTAAATCTATGCTTGAAAGTGGCAGTGGTCAGCTCGCGTTCGAGACGCTTGCCCTCGTGGCTCGAAGTCTGAGCATGCTGGAAGCAGGCGACTTATGTATCGTTGGCTTTGGGGACGAAGAGCATGTCCGGGTCGCGCATGAGTTTGGCAAACCGTTCTCATCAGAGGCAGGCACGCAAGTTTTCCAGCAATTCAGCTACCAGCAGACCGGCACAAATGTTCGTAAGCTTGTTGCAGATTCCATTGCTCTCTTTCGTGAGGCGCGCGCAAGGCGTTCTGGTGGAGGTGGCAGCAATTCGGCTGATCTTTGGCAACTTGAACTCATCATCTCTGATGGTATCTGTGAAGATCACGAGACGATTCGCCGCCTGGTTCGACAAGCACAAGAGGAACGTATCATGGTTGTATTCATTATAGTTGATGCTACGGCTGGAAGCTCGATATTGGACTTGACTCAAGCAAGCTTCGAGCCTGATGACTCTGCGATGGGTACGGGAGAGATGAAACTGAAGATGAAGAAATATTTGGAAGGATTTCCATTCTCTTATTACCTGGTTGTAAGGAATGTACGTGAATTGCCAGCTGTCCTGGCAATGGCTTTGAAGCAATGGTTTGCAGAGGTGGTTGATACATCTTCATGAATATTTTGATGTAATTAAAGAGGGAGACAAAAGGTGCATTTGATGGCGTTGTTAGGTTGAGAGGCATGATTTCCGGCGTTTAGTTCGAGTTTCTTACAATGACTTATTTGTATATACAAGGATTGTAAATATTTTCTTGGAGTGTGATACTACGATATGAATTTATTCTCAATGATCTTTGAATACTACCATCCATATCTTGATCCAGCCTCCTTCTTATTTCTTCTCCCAGCAGCAAAACTTTCTTCGAGAGCCTCTTTCTGCGAACTAGCTACTTGCACCAGTTGGCGCAGAGAGTGCTTGCCAGAGGAAATTGCTCTGACAGGATTGTGTTGTTGCGCAGCAAGTTCTTCTTGTGAAGCCTTTGTGAGCATTTCTTGATTTGCTGCATATTCAGCATCAGTATTGAAATTAATTACTCGAGAGCTTGCTTGTGATATGCCAGGGTTACGACCCATTAGCTGTCGCCTCTGGGAGCGAGAAAGGTTCAGGTCGTCAGCGATTGCATCTAGTGTTGATTGTTGCTGAGTCGAGGGGACAGGATATGCAGTCGATGATTGATTATGATATTCCAAGGAGGTCGAATCTTCTTCTGTGTTAGAAGGTATATCGGCACCTTCAGGGTTGTAGACGATTGACTCATATGTGCTGGCTTGTTCGATTGGGGCGGTCTTTTCTTCATTCGAGAATGAGAATAGACTGACTTTGGGCTTCGCAGGTGGAGGCGGAGCCGCAGTGGTGGCTGTTACAGACAGGTCGTTTGTTGTTGATGCAGACTTTGTTGTCCCTTCGGATGCACCAGTTGTCTTAACAGTGGTAGCAGGAGGAGCTGCTCGTGCTGCCACAAACGCTGCTGATTTCTTTTTCGGTGCATTTCGCGCCACAGAAAGCGGCTTGAACATCATCGCATTGCCTTTTTTCTTATATTCATCTTCCTTCAGTAGGCTGCCTTCGGTTTGATCGCCACGAAGACTTCCGGGTTTGGGTATCGTATCATTATCTCGCCCTGTCGACGCGAGATTAACAGCTTGTTCCTGACGCCATTCAGCATCGGCCTGCCGGTCAAATCCTGGACCAGCGCCCGTCTTCAAACTGAAGACTTTTGAAGCATTGGCATTCCCTCCAGCTGTGACACGGGGGTTTGGGCGCTTGGGCGCTGGAAGCATTGAGTTGAATCCGGAGAATAAGCCGCCGCCGCCATTCGTTCGAGGTTTCTTTCTTGCCGGCCCATCCTCGTCATCATCCTTGCCATCAGCAGCGGTTTCCGGTTTGATCTCGGGTAAGGCAACTCGGATTTTGCGAGGGTTTCCGCGATCTACAATCGAGGAGAATTTCTGGTCGGGTTGCGTTGCTTTTGTCTCAGGAACTGACGGTTCCTTTTTGACAGCTGTGGGGGCCACCTGGGGAGGTTGCTCATCATCGGAGCCTTCAGAATCTGAGTACTGCACTAGAGACATTTTTGCTGTTGTTTGTTGATGTAAAGCACATCAGTTGAAGAACTGCGACTTGCCTTTGATAAACCGCCACGGAGGTTGAGCACGGGCCATGCGGAGCACTTCTATATAATTTTCATGCAGACGTGCTTGCCGCCGCTCTTTAAGCAAACAACCGCGACACCATTCCTTTCTTTTCACTTCTGAGCTAGAAAGTGTTGCAGCAACGTATCCATTAAGGAGGATACGGACATTTTCAGCTCTTACTTATTCTATGAGAAAACCGCAGTCCACATGATGTTATTAGCTACAATCGCATGCCCCGCAGGAGGTTAAGCCATGGATGCAGCTACAGCAACTGAATCCAAGCCATTCTCGGACAGTACATCAGAAAATAAGGATAGATTGGATGAATCTGAATACCCAAAGTCACGATCTTCCAAATTCCGCTTCAAATCATCGAGATCAAGGAGCCATCATTCGAAGCACGAAGACCATGATGACCGCCATCGCCATCGGCGTCGTCACCACCATCGTCATAAATCCCAGCATTCGTCCAAACGCCAAAAGATTGATCAAGATCCTCCGGCATCGCCTGGTCACAATGAGCGGCGGTCACTCTCGCCCGATACAGCGTTCCGCGAATCACTATTTGATGCGATGGGCGATGATGAAGGGGCGGCATATTGGGAGTCTGTGTACGGCCAACCAATCCACACATATGCCGTTCCATCGGTCCCCAAGGGTCCCGACGGGGAGTTGGAGCGCATGACAGACGAGGAGTATACTGCCTATGTACGAGCACGGATGTGGGAACGATCACATGAGGGAATAATGGAGGAGCGCGAACGGCAAAGACGAGAAAAGGCCAAGGCAAAACAGCGTTCTGAAGCAGGGCAGCAAGCGGACAAGGATCGTGCGCGATTCAATGAAGCTTTAGAGGAAAGCCTGCGGCGAGGCGAAAAACGGAGGCGCGCTAAGCTATGGGAAACAACTTGGGAAAAGTACTTGAAAAGCTGGGAAGAGCTTAGTGCTTTGTCATCGTCGGCATCAAAGCCTCAAAATGAGGATGCGGAAGCTAAAAGCCAGTTCTTCATAAGAAACCATATCCATTGGCCCGTTGATACTGGGAAACGACGCGATATTTCCCACGAAGCAGTAAAGGAGTTCATGGAACATGCCCCTGCCACTTCTGAATCTTCAGCAGCACATGAGGACTTACTAAGCACACTCAAGGCTGAGCGAATACGCTGGCATCCAGATAAGATGCTTCATCGTTACGGAAGTCTGGGATTGAAAGACGAAAAGGCGCTGGTGCAGAGCGTTACAGAAGTTTTCCAAATCCTGGATCAGCTATGGATTGAGGAGAAAGGACGGCGTTCCAAAGGCTAACCTATATAGCATACATTGTGTCTTTCGTTCCTTTTGCAGTTTAGATGAGAACTAGATGATACCCCCTTTAGTATTTGATATTATATTATACTATATTGAAGCCAACGCAGTCTGTGAAACTATTACTCTATAGAATATTACGTTAAATAAAAGATCCCTTGTGACATGTCAATCTCGTCATTGATGATTCTTCTCTTAATCAGCCGTCAATGCATACAGTAGTAACAAAACAAGAACGCTGAATAGCAGTATCAAATCAAAGCACGTAACAACCAGATAAGCATATAGACTGCTGGGACGGAGAGATAGCGAGAAACAAGGGAAAAAATCAAGGTGGACTCAGAAACTAAAAGTTGAAACAGATGGATAATGCCTTCCCACTTTTTTTTTTTATTAAACAATTTTTTTTTGTTTTTTTCCCCCTCCCTAGAACCTCGACTGCCTCTTTGAAGACCGGTAAATTGTGTAGCCCACATAAGAACCAACAATTGCACCAAGGAAGAGGAAAGTCTTGAAAAAGAATCCTAACCAGCTACCAGACTTCTTCTTTCTCGAGGTACGAGCGCGACCGCTGCGGCCTTTGCTGCTTCCAGAATTTCCTTGACCTCTGGAGTCGTACAAGTTGTGCACAGTCATTGAGATGATGTCGTGTTTGTCGGTAACTTCACCGGTTTCACCGGAAAATCCGAGATAAGAGACAGAGGGAATGGCGATGTTGGCCTCGCTTGCATCTAGAGAGAAACATTCGATCCATTGATCCTCCTTCTTATATTGGAGATCAAGTGTTAGAGACTTGTCTTGGAAGTAAGTCAGGCGGGCTTTGGTTGGGACTGTAGCGTCACGAAGCCCACGGGCCTAAACAAGGGTGGATGTTAGCAACTATAAAAGACATATATGGAATGGCGTTCTCGCTCTGTCAAAGAAGTTAAGGGAAAATATGATCATACCGAACAGCCGGCCAGCTCATTGGCCTTCCCGTCGTGATCGTTGTCATAGCTGGTTTCTCCATCACCCAGCATAGCCATAACATATGGGAAAGAAGTACCGGGACGGTTATTCTTGTAGGTGTCAAAGAAAATGCCTAGACCTTCAAACTTGTCTTGGAATCCGAAAACGGGGCCGGGGGAACCACGTTGTTTTGTGAGCCAGAGCGCAAATCCATCGCCGTGGAAGTGGCCTGATCCGTGAATCTTGAATTCAAATTCAATCTATCACAGGTCAATTAGTTGATTGTCCTTTTTTTTTTCTTTCTTTTTCTTTCCTTCTGTGAGACTAACCTCCCAGTTCGTTGCAGTCAGAGGAAGTCGGGAGAATATCCAACCCTGCTGGGATTGTCGCTCTGAGGTGAGGCGCACGTATCTATATCGAAATTAGAACGAGAGCCCAGCCAGTGAGATACAGAAAACGAGGTAAAAGGAGGGAGGCAAAACAACGAGGGACGTACTGGTCGGTACGAATCACAGTGTCTCCGCCAAAATCCCACCATCGACTTTGCATGTCGGAATCTAGATAGGGCTGGCCAGCCATACCACGGTGTCAGTGAGCCGAGTTCATCTTCAATAGACATGCCACAATGTCGAGCATTATTGACAGCAGGTACATAGGTTCTTGTAGCGTCATACCGGAGCTAAGCTATGCGTCCGCAACTAGATCAAGGGAGGGCAGAAAATGTTAGCGCAAACGGTTCCTTCAGCATCTCTTCCGTGCGCAGAACAGTATAGACTTACTGGAAGCATTTTTACATCCGTGTTATCCTGCCAGTATTTGGTTTCTGCGACTACCGACGAGGCCAACGCCAGGACGGAGGCGGCTAATTGAGAGAACCGCATGGTTAATCTTTATCGAAGTTGTAGCGGAGGTTGAACGAAAGACGCGGTGTCGGTGATATTGGTGAAAGGTCTTGAACAGCACTTGAATGAATGTAGAGGAGAGCTCGAGAAATGCGGTCTCTTAATAGCTGGCTGATCCTGGTAAAAGCAAAAAGAGGGTATGTGTTCCGCTATGAGTGAATGCTATGAAAACAATGAGGAGCGATGTCGCCGGGACATTCAACGGGCCCAAGACATCACTTGTGAGCGAGCCAGGGATTCGTCAATTGAGAATGAGCAAAGGAAATGAGAAAAGTGGTGAATATCCAAGAGGTGAATGTAGGTAGAGCTGACCTCGAAGTGGCATATGTAACGGTAACGAGTAATAAAAGGTGTCCACTTGAACGGTGTGGCGCGTGCTTGTGCAGCATCAGCCACATCTCAGCCTGAGGCTGTGAGTCTGTGAGATCATTGGCGTACTAGTCCCACCCTGGCTTAGTGCACTCCGGAGGCTTTCCGCTTGTGACCATAGAGCAAGAAATCAACCTCGTTCATCCAGGTCTAACACCACCAGGAGCTCTCTTTCCAGCCATTTTCACCGTCGAACACACAACGAAACATATATTTTACGGCCTTGTCGATAGTTGCTTTCTCTTTCTTTCGACAGACTCTTTTTTTTTTTTCCCTTTTTCACAATGGCTCTTTTCGGCTCCTCATCCTCCTCCGACGTCACATCCGAGCCCTCTTCGACAGAGCTCAAAAATGCTTTGATCCAACAAGTCCAGACCGAAGCTGCCGTGAATAATGCTCGCGCTCTTGTCAGCGTAAGTTACTGCCTTATTATTTATATTGTTTTCAGACAATTGACGAAGACAAAAAAAAAAACCAAAAAAAAAACTGACAACTTCTCAAGAAAATAAATGAAAACTGCTTCGATCGTTGCGTCCCAGCTCCCGGCTCCTCACTTTCATCCGGTGAATCGACATGTCTATCGTCTTGCATGGAGAAGTACATTTCTTTGTGGAACACCACTAGCCGTACTTATATTGCTCGTGTTCAACAAGAGTCGAGGAGAATGGGTGGTGGTGCAGATGTTCTCGGAGCTTTGGGTTCATCGTCTTAAAACTCAATGAACTTTTTCGATGCGTGAAATAGGCTTTAATTTTGTTGAGCCTGCTTGTATAATAGATAGAAGAAAGAGAAAAATTTCCCCAATCATCGTATTGTATGAATATGTGTGTACAACAATGTATCGACACTCAATTGAATGATAATGTTTCATCTCTTTTTACTATTCTCTACCGGAGTTTCTTAAGATTAAATCAAATAAACAAAGAAAAAAAAATTCCGAAAGGAATATTTGCTTTCGAGACATACTAACTCTGTGTTATTTCTAGCCATACAGGCATGGTATTCCTTAGATTCAACCTCTAACTGAATACATTTCGGTATATGAAACATCTAGCTAGGTACATATAAGAGAAACAAAAGAAGAATTTCATGTCTCCCACCTGTCAAACCATGTCATGATTCAATTCGCCTACCACAATCCTGCTGTACAGTCAGACATATACGTATGTGCCAGATACACAAATGATTCAATGAAAACAAGAATTCTTCCACGTAAGTTCCAGCCCCTTGATAAATAGATAATAAGTAAGTGGTTCTTCAATAGATCGAACACAAAGAGCAAAAAAAAAAGTCCAAAGTTGGAAACTAAATTGTTATAAATAATAGTGTTGAAAACATATAAATCTTGTTTTGTACCCAGATGTTCATTTGCCTGGTTCGTTGACCCGCGTCTTGAGATTCTGCTGTTGTATAAACCGAAAACAATACGACATGACGAACGGAGGAAAAGGGATAGCAGACGTAGTCGACGTCAAGAGTCGAGGACGTTGCTATTGACACTTTTGGCAAGTGTCGGCTGATTAAGAGAAATGATTGCTTTTGTTGACAAAAAAAATTAGTTTGTTGCATATAAAAAAAAATCTTCAAAATTCAGTGAAAAGATTATAATATCTGTCGAGTTATATTAGTATTGTGAGCGAGAAAGGCAACATGTAATATGTGCTTGTGGTACGTACGGATCTTCTCCTTGTGCGCCATATGCTTCGCTCTCTTCGGGATATTTATCAAATTGGCTGGCATCTCCCTGGCCAGCTCGTACCGGTGGAACATATGGAGCGTCGATATCCTTCCTCAAAAGTCGGTCCCAGGTCACCTCAGCGAACCAAGGGTGGGTCTTGACATCTTCTGGGCCGCCATGAAGATTGCCCAGCCGTTTTGTCAAATCCGGAGTGATGAGCTGTGAGAGCAAATCGACTGCATCTGGATGCATATAAGGGGGGAATTTAATCTTCCCACGGAGAATATTCTCGTATATCTTAACGGGCGATCCACTGTCCCAGAACGGCGTGAAGCCGCAAAGCATTTCAAATATAAGAATGCCTAAAGACCACCTGCAGACCGTGTCAAAATTTGCGTTTTCTCGTCAATATTTTTGAGGCAGACAAGCAATGCACTTACCAGTCTACTGATTTATTATAACCTTTAGAAGACACAACCTCGGGGGCAAGGTAATCTGGTGTCCCACAGAGTGTCCACGTAATATCAGGAACTTCTTTTGCAAAGCCAAAATCAGTGATCTTCAAATGCCCGTGCCGGTCCAGCAGCAAATTTTCGGGCTTAAGGTCTCGATATATAATGTGCTGAGAATGCAGATATTCCAAAGCCAATGTCACTTCTGCGGCGTAAAATTTGGCAACCGGATTGGGGAATCGCTGTGTAGGTGATTAGCACAATGTCTTGAACAAACATAGCGATCTGATGCATTCCATACCTGTGACTTGCGAAGTAAACTGAATAGTTCCCCTCCTTCGACAAAGTCCATGACCATATACAGGTTCTTCGAATCCTGAAAAGTTCCCCACAATGTTATGAGAAACGGATGCTTCACTCTTTGAAGCATCCTCCTCTCATCATTGGTGTGTTCCACCTGTTTCATCTTCACGACTTGCGCCTTTTTCAACACCTTGATTGCATAGAAGCGATGATTATGCCTTGACTGGACCAAATGCACCCGACCGAAGCTCCCAGTTCCCAATGTTCTCTGGAGTGAGAAATCTTCCAATGAATATTTCCCTTTCGTTTGTCTGGCTTGTGATTTGGACCCTTGAACTTGAGAGGTCTGTGCATAGTTTGCGTCTGCATTACCCTGTGTTGTTCCATGATGACCATGGGTGGGGTTTATGATGCTCTTGATGCTGCCAATATGAGGCAGGTGATGATGGTGGCTGTTGTGGTGGGAGGAACTGTTTGCGCCTTGCGCAGATTGCTGATTTGTCGACGCTGCCGGGTTCATCTGAGTGTCAGGCGAAGTGCCTTTAATGCTATGACTATTATTATTGTTGCTGGTGTTTGTATTCGCGTTCACGGCCGACCCAGCCTTGTCGCTTGATTCCCTGCCGGCCGGTCGGTTAAGTTCGGGGTTTTCGGATGGCAATGTTGAGGAGGCTTCGGCAACTGTAGGCGAAGCAGGAGTATCCTTGGATCCTGTTGAATGCGTTTTTTTCTTCTTTAACAGTGCCCCGAATGTCGGCATGAGATGCTCGCGCTTGGTATTTTTTTTTTTTCAGACTGCGAGCGAGTCTGAAAAAAAAAAAGAAAAGAAAAAAAAAAGGAAAAAAAAAGAATCCCCCCCCAAAATAAAAGAGAAAGAAGGATCGACAGGCAATCAATTGCAAGTCAAAGCAGAAGCATTCGTTGGTACCACTCAATTGCCGGTTAGCACGTAAGTACGAGACAAGTACTTGTGGTGAAGGCGGAGAAAAGAGGATACGTAATCCGGAGAATACAACAAGCAAGCGCAATCTCTGAAAGGGCTCAAGATCGATCGACTCTACTTGCTATAGACTGTAGTGGCCATCCAATTGACAAGAAGTATAGGTTGGATTAGAGGATGTTCCGGATTGCCGTGATTGACAATTGATGTAGCCCGGGGGTGATTGGTTTCTTCCGATCAGGATTCGACAGGATAGACTAGGAAAAGTGAGGGGGGTAAGGATTTCGCAGCGCAATCGAAAACGTCCGTGGTCGGTGTGTATGTGTGTGTGTGTGTGTGTGTGTGTGTGTGGTTGCTGTTGTTGTTTGTGAGAGGCGAGGCGAGGTGGATTACCCTTGGACTGACTCTCTGACGTACAGGACAGCATTCGATGAAGTCAGGAAGCGGGGTGGTGGATATCCGAATCTCGCCTAGCGCATTGAAATGCATGACGGTTGACCTTTGTCAATGCCCTTTCGTCTCACTCAGTACCATAGACTTAATTCTATAATGCTATTTGACGTCTCTCCTCCATGTAATCCCGGATCTAAAGCGAATCATCAGTGATATCTCGAGGCTGATGCATTCTTCTTCTCCCTTTCCCTCACTTTTTTGCCCACTGAGTAGAACTGAGCACGCCCCTGAGCACCGTCAGTGAGCCCCACATAAGCTCACGGGTATGCGTAGTATACCTTGAAGGGACTTCTCCTCTGCGAGTATCATATTTCTGATCTGTCCTGATGTCTCATCTATCTGCTTGGCCTTATATTTTGATGGCAGTGATAAATCCCAGCTATCCTGGTATAAGTACTGTGCTGATGAGTAGGATTTGTTCTCAGGATTTTCTACCCCAAAACTCTCGTACGGATCCTATGTAAGTAGACAGAAGCTGTGTCCATTTTATGGGAGTCGAGGAACCCTAAGGTAATTTAATATGCTATATCCGAGATTAGTAAGAGAGAGAGGGGCACTAGGTGGTCTTTTTAGCCATTATAAATTGTTTTATGCCGCTGATAAGTTCATGGCTGATGGATAGATAGTATATCATGATGTAGACGGGTGTGTGAGTTTCTCTCTTCTCGGCTGCATTCTCGCTAATCAATTGACTAGACTGCATTCACATTGTCGAAGGATGCCCAACAGTTATGGCATTGTGAGAAGTTCCTGCATGGACTTTATGATGTGAAATAGGCCTTGGAAAAATGGCTTCACCCACGAAAAGTTTATAGAGGACGTCATTGAGCGCGATATGATGGAGTTTTCGCTGAACTAGCTAGGCGTCAGAGGCAGTGATTATAGGGAACTAGGTTGACGGTGAAATGCTATAGAACTTCCCAATCGGGTAACGGTTTCCCAAATAGGAACCGCTATTGAGATAAAAAGCCCTAGGTGCCCGGCTAACGGTCATCACAATAAAAGGCTTTCCTACAAGCTAAATTTAAGAGAACTAATATACTTGGTTACCCTCACACATCTCTTATACATGGTCAATAGATATTAACAAACAAAATATGATACAAACCAAGCGATCAATGCAACGCTCTCTCGTCCCAGCATAAATTGTACATAATACTCAAGATGAACTCAGTGTATGTTTCAAATCCTATGATAGATCAGTCGAAAGATCAGTGCCACAAATCCGTATGTAGAATGACCAACCTCAAGCATATCTTTCATTCCTGCAGCTTCCCTACCAGTGGTATCATTCAGAGGAATTGATATTAGGTCCAATTTCCTTCCCTGTCTGCGTCGGATGTACTGCGTTTTCCCCCAAAAGTGTTAATTAAAACCAAATATGCCTTGAAAGATGGGACTTACCTCTTCAATTGAAGTGGCGCCTGTCACGATATAGCGGATTGCCAGGACATTTCTTTTCTGTCCAATTCTGTGGACACGGTCTAGTGCCTGTCGCTCTGACATGGGATTCCAGCCTGGCTCAAGAAGGTGGACTTGGCTAGCAGCTGTAAGATCGATGCTAAATGATATTTGTGCGTAAGTGCTGGTTCAATACTAAGTCCTTAAGGATAAAAACGTACCCAACTCCAGCACTGCCCAAAGTGGCAAGGAATATAGTGCATGACGGACTTTTGTTAAAGATACGGAGTGCCGTTTGCGATGCGAAGAGCTTTTGCTGCCGTCGATCCTCTGAAATTGGAATCCAGTACCTTCGAGAGCTTTCTCCACCAAGTCGAGCATTTTTGTCCAAGAGGAAAAGATAACACTGGTCAGTATTTTTTTTTTTAGTAATAATACTCGAGGTGGATAGCATATGAGAGAATTTATCATTACCTCTTGATAGGCATCTCTTCTGGACGTTGAGATTGGCACCTGGCCATCTGAAGATTTTCCAACAGAGCTTTGACTTTAGAGGATGGACAATATTGTGTTTCAACCTCCATTTGATCTGTACCTTGAGTTTCCTTCTTCTCACACCCTGACTCAGAGCATACGGGGCAGACGGGGTCACTAGGGCTATCGCCCTCTTTGGCACCTTCAAGACATGCTTTGCATATCTGATGCATACAGGCCATGAGATCATTCATGTTCTCTTCCGAGTCAGCCATGGGATCATCACAGTGTTCACAGGTTGGCGGTGGGGTGACGGGATTCTCATCAAAAGACATAACGCTGTCCAACCATTGCTGAGTCGTAGAAGGGAGTAACTCGCGACCGTGATTGCATATTTGTCGAAGCCTTAGAATATATTGTAAAGTGTTTCGTGCGATCCGGCGAGTCTCAATAGCAGAAACACATGATTTGGTGAACAGCTTATACATCTTTCTTTCCTCCATGTTCAGCTCCACTGGTTGTATAATTTCCTCCCGTACAGGGAGTTTCAGATCAAGGGTCTCCTTTGTTCTTCGAAGCGATATGGCTTGGACGAGGGATCTGAGCCTTTTCCAGCCACGTTCACTCCCACACTCTATCGGATAAGTGAACGTGTCCCTGAAAGACATCCCGCCGTCAAAAGGCGATACACGGAGGAATTTAACAAGAGCCCCAAGCTCCTGCACCCGGTTCTGTATCGGAGTCGCTGTTATACACCAGCGGTGCTTTGCAGGGAGATTGTACACAGCCTGGAAGATCCGAGAGGATGGGTTTCGAATAACGTGGGCTTGATAAATAAGGGTCAGTCTAGTTTATATGTAGTTCATTATGTAAGCCAGTATTCATACCTTCATCTAATACAATCCTATGCCAGCCAATCTTGCGCAAGATACCGTCGCTTTTAGATTTCTCGTTAAAGTCCACCTTGAGGGTACCATATGTTGTCAGAGTGATGGAATGTTGGGTTAAAGCGCTGGCATCTCTTGTTCGGGTTGGGCCATGATAAACAGTGTAACTCAGTGATCCCTCTTTGAAGTGCCTAGAGCCACGTGTGAGCTAGGGTAAAATCAGTGTACGGAGATTGGTGAATACTCTTTTATTTGGTTCTCCCAGCTAGAGAGGGCTATCATACGTTAGTAAAAGTTGGGTCCAACAAAAGCTATAAAACCAAGACATACTTGATAGTGGTGAAACAATCAAGGTAGATTTTTTTGCTTGTTCTTGGCCCTTTCGTGTTTCATTCAATGAACCAGCTATTAAAGCCAGCATAGAAAGTGTTTTCCCAAGACCCATATCCTGTTTACTGGTCAGAGGAAACGCAATGTTCGATGGTAAACCCACTCACATCAGCAAGAAGACCTCCCATACACAATTCTGGTTCCTTTAGTTGAACATTGCCAGTGACAGAGTTGCGATATCTGAGAGAGAGGTGTCAGTCTATATCTGAAAGTCAAGGTCGAGGGGTGCATACATTTTCATCCCGCGTTCCGTTTCAACACCTTCTGACCAAAGAGATGGGAATTCACATCCATCAATCCGACCGGACTCTTTCTCAACCATCATGGCTAAAGCTTTTTTCTGATGTCTAGGAGAATATTAGCATCTAGTGAAGCAAAGATTGAGTGAGAAACATACTTCAAAAAAGCGGGCTTGATCCTATGGCTCACCTGTACCTCCGAGAATACGGTCGGGCCTGATGCGGAATTCATTACCTGAGAGGCTTGTGATTTTGCCGGGGCGAGTGAGTCAATTCAAGACCTTTTTCTTGCCATGATGCCCGGAATTCAGATCCCGGGGGGTATCAAATATTGTGGATTTTAGTATGTTGTCGACTCATCGAAATCATACGATTGTTGAAGGAAATAGCCATTGTCCCTCAGGAAATCATCAATCATGTCGGCTTGATCGCGAATGCCATATATCATGACTATAATACTGGCTCGAGGGTGGACTTTCGCGGAAAGCTTTGTTTGTATGAGTGAGACAAGGTGACGATCAGCTGGCCTGCTCTATTTAGACAACTTGTATTCAGCATCGCGAATGATTACGATATTTCCGCATATGTGTAATGCAACAAACTATGACTAGTCTATACATATGCGTTATAGCTCCATTGAGTCTCTGTTCTAGAACGTGCGATTGTATTTATACATACTTAATCGAAATTCTTTGTACAAAAGACGTATCGAGCTATCTGACACAATACTTCACCTTTGGAAACCTATCTGGAGAATCGGCAATCGTGCAACGGAAGAGCTAAAACGCATTTTTCAAAGCAGGCCCTGAGGGATTCTCTTCCACTCCACATAGCGCTCTTTCCCTGAAACACCTTCTTTCATGCAGCGGTCAAATTCATCTTGAGCTCCTGGCTGGCCTGATCGTAGTTTTAGCCGGTAGGGCCATTTCTCGATGATGGTATGTTTTTCCTTCATCATTGCGCCGAATACGTGACCAGCGGTGTGGAACTCAAAGTTCTTTAGAAACCTATAACAACAGTAAGGCAAAGCCTAGCTGCTTCGTCAGAACCATACTTACCTATCAAAAACGTGATCGTAGGTTGTCACGAGGTCCCGACCAACATTGAACTTGATAATCGCTGGATCGTACTTGGAATTCCTTGGTCCCTTTGGAGGCAGATATCTGAGTAGATCCCTCATCGCTCGACTATGAAGAGTAAGGCCCTGCATTCTGTCATCTTCGGTCAAGCTCTCATCAACTGCATTCATGAAAAGGGTTATCATGGTGGCATGTGGATTCTGCATCGGATTCTGAAGTAGAGGAATCATCAAATGTAATGTACGGTGAATTCCTAGCCAGGCCGTATCCGAGATGTTTGACACCTGCTAGGGATGTTAGACCCGTGATATGTGTACATATGACTTTTCAGAGAACTGTGGTTCCTATCGTTGAAAGATGTGCAGTCGGTGGGAGTGTAGTGGTATTAAGCACTTACGTCAATGCGGCTAAAAGAATCACTATCAAGAATACCAGGAAGGGAAGAGGCATCAAGGTGAAGAAGTTGGAAGGAGATTCTGGAGCTAGAAACTCAATTCAAAAAGGAGGTAAGTAGACCGCGAAGGTAAAAGAATAATTTGCCGTAGGTATCAGCAGTTGCAGCTCCGCTTGTTGTATCCAAAACCTCTTTCAATGACCACCCATTAAGAGGGTTTGCACTGTCTTTCATCGGCCAGGTATCAGCCGTCTGAAAAAATGTCCTGCCCCGTGTCAGTATCGCTTTTGAAAATTTAACGTGTTCCGCTGACGCACGGGTTTGGCTCCCTAAAATCCTGGCGCGGGAATCCGAACGGAAGCAAAAGGCCATCCTGGCGAAACTTGTGAAAAGAGACTCGCTCGATAGGGGAAAGGCACGACATATATCGGTCGCGAAAGCCCCTCCTTGACAAGGCTAGAGTGTTAGCTGCACGAGTTTTCAGTGCCTGCTCGGCTGTTAAGCCTGATGGTCTGTGGAAAACCTCTAAAAGGCGATTCCATGATGATTGCTTGAGGACAACTCTCAGCGAGCAATGGGCAAATTTCATAACGTAACACTCATAAGCAGCACCTTACCTATGGCTAGAAACCACCGCTCTGGGAAGACTGACGCTATTTAAAAGCCACTCTTTGCTCTGACAATGCAGCTAGCTGTGGTAAGGACAGCCTGGTATAAATTACTGTTCCAAATCTCTGTAATAATGTTGGAGTTAAATAGGTCGCCATTGATCAGTCAGATACTACCTATAGCGTCTAGAATTGTATCTAGTTTAGACTACATTTCAGCTAATGCTATAGACTACTGCTATTAGGTATGATTCATCCTGCTCATGTAAGTTCAGAATAAAAACATATTTTGGGTATCACAAGCTCATCCTGTCTACTGCTCCTGAGCCTCATTCCTTATTTCTAGTTAAGGATACGTAGGTGTTACAGCGGCCTAGCTGTAACCAAAACATATATTCCACAAACCGAAGTTCAGACTTGAGATAGACACGAGGGTGAGTGCTTCATTTAGCATAGATCAACTCATATTTATACCGCAACCTTTGGCGTATGGGAATTGAACTGCTAGTAAAAGAAAATTCATCTTGGCAAATGCGGACCAGACCTCAGCTCTGTACATTCCAGAACTCGTGCATAACGGTTTGCTCACGTTGAATTGCTTTTGCAGTATACGGCCATAGGATTGAGTTCAATATGCAAGGAAATTATTCCCGAAACTAAAGGCATAATCTTATTGGACGAAAAAGCCCCAAAATGATGCCAATCTAAGTCATTATACTTTAAGCGCACTAATGTATGCTGCGACAATAATCACATCCGGGAATAAGTAGTTTGCCTTGATTCGCTAGATTAGGTCACATGTGAGTCGACTAGTTACGTCGTCCAGCTTCCTGCAGCTACACAGACCAGCCAGCATTGCTTGAAAGTACTCTTTCTGAAGTTTGGCAACGCCCCGTCCGATGAATCCTCTAGAAGACACTCAAGAATTCCCCCTAGTTCATGTACAAGAAGCCCAGTCATTACTAGGGGCCGAAATCTAAGCTTTACCCAAATTTCCACCTCCTACCAGGCTTGCTTATAAAGTCTGGACAGACTTATAAAAATATATATATTGAGAGGATCTGATATCAATAAATTATCTGTCATGAGTATACTCAGGGACACTCGATTATCTGCACAGGTTCCGGTCTCAAGCGAAGTGCACAATATGCGGCTACCACTACAACCAGAAAATTTCAGTATTGTTGAGGAGGATGAGGACCAAACAAACGACAGCAACCTCCATCATAACCAACAAACTCGACGATGCTTGAGTCCAGAAGAAAGAAGAAACCTGAATCTCACTGTCGAAACCTTTTCAAATCGCTTATGGGCAACTGGAGTGGCCCATCTCTACAATCAACCGGATGGGAACGGTAGATCAAGGACTTACAGAGTACATCTAAATGGCCTGCAGAGGATGATCCTACACCACTTGCAAAACGAATTAGCTGATGTTGTCTCTCACATCGTCCACGATGAAGCTGCATCGCCGTCCTGTATGAGAAAAGCGTGACGATTGATGTCGGCGTATTGTAAGCCGATGTTGTGCTAGAAGATGTCTATTGTTGGTGCTGTGCTTATGGAGTTGATCAGTGACGGCTATACGAGACTACGATTTCATGATTGAAAGAATCGGGAAAGAAGAGCACACGATCCATTTTGCTTGACCTCGCGAAATTATCTAGAGTACTGCATCTTAAAAGACAATCGTCTCATACCTGCTGACGAGTCTCGTCTGAAGTCGGTCGGTCGCCGCGAATACAAAGAGGGCAGCAACATTCTTCCCGGAGGATCACGCCACTCTATTAGTGGAGAGCGAATGCTAAGAGACTTGTCCCGATGCTTGGCTATGGGATTAATGGGTGGTTTGGCACTGATAGGGCCGATGCTCCTGATGGTTCTTCATAATGACCTAACGACGACTCTCTCAACAGCTAGTTGCGCGACGATTTTATTCGCGTTAGTGCTATCTGTATTTACTGAACTTAGAGATGAGACATTATTAGCTACAGTGGCTGCATATGCTGCGGTACTAGTTGTGTTTGTTGGATCAACTTCGTGAACTTTATATCCCCAGTTCTGGTTCGTCACCAGCCCAGAATAATATCGATAAAGGGCTACTGCATTCCAGGCTTGACCTCATGCACTGCTGCCCTAGCACGACATAATAGTAGCAGCTAGATAGCTTATTTCATGAATCCTGCCTCTTACGCCTTTTCTTATCACAAATCATCTTGGATGACAAGGTGGTAGACCACATATCTAGCCAAACAATGCTGCCAATGCTAGGGATTTGTGAACATGTTGTGCGACAACGACATGGATGTGGGTGTGTGTACGTATAATGTATATAACCAGTCCATCACCTTCTTCTCTCATAGTAGGAAGAAAAATAAATAGCCCCTGTTCTGAAGTTACAACTTGCCACCTTTATTATACTCAGCGCACTCTGTTCTGCTGCCAATTTTAGCCTTCTTCTACCACCGGTCGTTATGGCTTATCCCTTCATCCATTCCAGCTGAGCGTTCATCTCATGATGGGCAAATTTATTAATGGGTAGATTATGATCATGAACAATATGATCTGTCTCCAATCCAAGTAATGTAGCCTGAAATCTTCTCAGCACAGGAGCAAGATGATACGATGATATTTGTTGCTGCCCTTGAGTAGCTGCAGTATTACCGTCTCTAGTATACTTTTGATAGTAGGCGTCGTTCATTGGAGAAGGGACCGTTGGAGAAATGGTTTTATATAGTCCTTGGAGATTATTTGAATCCTTGTATGATAAATGTCAGGTACTACAACAAAGCCTCAGTCACATCTTTCTACTCTTAGTCACTCGAGCCACACAAGAGCGCCAGGCACCTTTTAATATCTCCTTGCACCCTTTGTCCTGATGACCAACAGGGGGCATTTAATCATGCCTATTCATCAAGATGCCCCACTGCGATGAAAAATATCATCGAGCATTTGATTGATAGAATTCTTGAATTTCTCAGGGCCTCAGCTAACTTAGGTGCCAAGCCAATTATTTGCGTGGCTTCTTACGCATCCTTAAAGTTAGGTCTTCAAGAACCATTGACTATAACGCTTCGACCTTGAATGTTCCGTCTAGAACATAAAGATGGGTCTAGGAATGCGCTGGCGTTGTAGCGACTTTCTTGAGATTTGTGTCAATCGAGCTCAGTGTATGTATCGGCCTGTCAATAAACCCCTGCCAAGTGGAGTATTTATGACCACGTCCAGACCGTAACGGTGGCAAGCAGGGATGACTTCCGTTTCAATGTTGCGCGCTATGCAACAGCCAGTAACTTTTGTTGGAGTTCTATCAAAGCATCCTGGCACACATTGCGACGTTGGGGTCTACTGACTTATGGCAAGATTGCTGGCCTAAGCCAGCCACGCGCTGCGCAGAGCATCACAATTTCTGCAATCTCATGTGCTGCATAGTTACTAAGCCCCAATTTCTGAAACTTGCCCTCAGAATACATTTCTATTCGCTTCCTCAAGAGTCTCCGTGTATGGGACCGAGCGATCAGCCACATATTCACCTGCTCCGCATCCAACTCAGACAGTGAGGTCATGAGATTATTATGAATGGCAGCCCGAGCATGGCTTCCAGGAGTTAGTGGATAAGACGTGGTTGCAATAGCCAGACCACGGCTTTTCTACCCAGCCTGCGCGGTAAATCTCTCCTGCTAACACCCGGCGTATATACGCGCAGTGTCTATCTCGGTGTAACCAATGGTGTTTTGAAAGAGTTCCAAATGCTCCTCAAGCTCTATATTTGAACTGACTCGCATGTCACTGCCGGAGGACTTGGGGTTTAAAACCTGTGGTAGCCATTGCTGTAGTCGGGTAGAGATACGGGGTTGTTGATCAATAAGTATGTATGTTTAATAGAGGCAATAAATTACTTTGGATAATCATAACGAACATACGAACAGGGCGTGCTAGTTATACTACTGACTTTTTTTTTTTGGTTGCTTACTCGGCTTTTTACGTCCGTGTCGCGCCATCTACTAAGTACCTCCACAAATGAGTTTTGCTACCCTGTATCATCTGCACCTAATACGCAACGTTTCGGTTTGAATGAGAAAATATTCCTGATACGGCAATACAATCATATCAGTGACATCACAGCCCAGAATAGGCTAACCGAATCACGCACTACATATACGGGGTCAGTGGAGCCACTAGAGCGGGATCTAGCCTTAGCAGTCCCTAGTCTGAATATGGTAATACAGTAGAACCTGGTTATAACGAACGGAAGTCCTCTCAGGGTGCAAGTGAATACCTGGGTATATCTAGAAGTGGGTTTGATTTAGAGATAAAGAGGGCTCTGATATGTTAACTACTCTATCTAGGTAACAACAAGTAACAATAATTTAAAGTCCGTTTACTCCCCCCTAATTAAATAATGTAAGCCGAGACTCAATTCTAATATAGGGAGATCTTCCGTTCATTATAACCAGGTTCTACTGTATATGAATAGTACTTCCAGCATAGAATGTAAGATACATGGCATATCTGCAAACCATTAAAACGGGTGAATTCGTCCGTATTAATATATACCACACAGGGTTAATCGATAATGGAGACTATTGTTAGAATTCGTCCTTCATTCTGTAGGCATGGAGTACTAGGATTCAGCGGCTTTAATGGTGCAATCTCCTATCTCCTCTTGAAAAAATCCGTAAACTCCGTTTCTCACTAATCGCTAGCTTATATAGTAAAATCGAAATCGGCAAGTCATATACATCCTTTCATCAATACTCACTGCACAGTGCGAGACTTATCACCAGTTATATAGTTGGACTGTCTTTCCTTTGGTCTTAACAACACTGTCTAAATTGGACACTAAAATTTCTAGCGACTGCTGAAAATGGCACACAATAACCAAGAATCTCTTGTGTGGCTTGTTACTGGATGCTCAACTGGCATTGGCAGGTCTATTGTAGTTGAGGCCCTTGCAGCAGGTCACAGAGTCATTGCTACCGGACGCAGTGCTAGTCGCTTGACCAGTCTGGAACAAAAAGGTGCCAAGGTTATCGAGATTGATGTGAATGCACCTGCACCTGAGATCGAAGAATTTGCACTAAAGGCACTGTCAATTTACGGCCGAATCGATGTACTGGTAAATAACGCAGGATATGTGCAACTGGGAACGATTGAAGAAGCCGGGTATGTATATCCAATAAGTCAGACCTAGCACTCACTGATTGAGCTATTAGCCACGAACAACTATTGCAACAATTCCATACCAATGTATTTGCAGTTATGAATGTCACTCGAGCTTTTCTTCCAGCCATGCGAAGTCAACGTTCCGGAACAATATTTATGATTGGCAGTGTAGCTGCATTTCAGTTTCTTCCTGCTGCTGGGTTATATGATGCGTCCAAGGCCGCTCTTCGCGGTACGTCGAATTCCTTAGACTAGGCACATGAACAGAACTAATTCTTTTTTTTTTTTTAATTTAGGGTTGACTCATTCATTGAATAGCGAAGTTAAGCACCTTGGTATCAGGGTATGCCATGTGGAGCCAGGGTTTTTCCGTACAAATATATTCTCTCGACTCGCAGATCAAAACAGCACGCCACCAGTGTGCCGCACCATTGGTGATTATGACGAGTCACGCGAGCCTACTGTGAAGCTTTTCACAAGCGTCAATAATGTTCAAAAAGGCAACCCTGACAAATTAGCTAAAGTGTTGGTGGATCTAGCCCAGGGAACTGGAGTGGCTGATGGACGAATGTTCCCTGATGCGTTTGCAGCAGGCACCGGCTGTGTGGCAACACTGGAGGCTAATTTCAAAGACAATTTACGACGTATAGAGGAATGGAAGGTTATCAGTGAATCGACAGATGGGAACTGAGAATAAAGCAATGCTAGCCCTACCTACTACCTACAGTCGGTGCGCGATGAAATGGGTGGATTTTTGTATGGAGACGAGCCCCGCCGGGCCCGGAAGTTAAACGCATCAAACCACGCTAAATTAGCTAGAGCGGTTGTGACTAGCGTCGCTTGTAACTTGTATTTTTCTTTTATATCTAGATACTCATTATTCCCAAGCCCTCCTAGCTCTTGATATTTTCAGACGAATATGCGCAAACCACTCGACTCGTCTATCATCCTAAATACCATCACAGACTTCAAAAGAACGTCATCCAGATCGGAGACGTTAGGGGCCATCGAAATTGATTTCCGAAGCATGGATACCTGTCAAGATAAAGTTCATATTTCAGAGCAATTGGTTTACGAGACAATGCTCACCGTTGCCTCGATAATGACTGGTAATTTGGATCCTTAGGCATGACTAAGGCTGGAAGGCAGATTGATCAACTTGGGGTCTGAAATGGGGGTATTTAGCGGTGAGAGGTCTGGATGGTAGACAAATATGATCCAATGAATTCAGGGACTATGACTAGGAAGCGGGTTATAGTATGAAGTCGCTATGAATGTAGTCACTTAAATCAGCCTCGAAGGAAAGTTCCTTTATTGGTTAGTGTAGCCCTAATCCCAATTCCTTACCGCATTGAGTCAGGAAGGCGATTGTGAAAATTTGAAAACCACTAAGCGTTGGAAACCATCTTTAGTATGCTTTTAGCGCATTTAATATTTCAACTAGACTGCAAATGAACGTATGCCGTGTGTAATTACGTACAAGCTAGTTTAAAAGTTGTATATTAGGGTTACGCTAACCAACAACGGCAACTCGTTTCGAGCTGGGCGTCGTTGCCAAAAGTCTTGATCAACAACGGCGTCGTTCGTTTCACGATATGTGCCCAAATAACGTTTCGCGAAGATCCTAAATCAATTCGCTTCTTGCGTCCTTCTCGGGTACATCTCAGGATGAGTCAACTACTTTTATTTTATTAGGCTCTATCACAAGAGGGTAACAAAGTGTACATCAAGAAAAGGGTGAATATGGTATGACAAGGGTATTTGATAGGCTCCATCCATCGACAACATTTAAGTGAAAGCATTCAAAATCCAAGAAGTGAGGTCGCTCGCCACGTCATCCCTGGTTACAGATACGAAAGAATTTCGTCCGCACAGTGAATATATACTGAGAATGGGAAGAAAAGTGGCAAGGTTTACCGACCAAAGTACTTCAACTCAAAAGGTCTCACTGCAGCATACACCACCGCCGCAAAGATGAAGGACAACTCGAAACCTACATCACCACCGTACGGAGCCTCACCGGCGTGCAAAGCGATTGGGCCCACCCACCAGGTCTCACTCATGCCAGTCACCATGCCTGCAACGCCAAAGCAGAATGCGACAAAAGCGGCAATGCCAACTGGGAGCTTGCTGGGCTTATCGTAATCTTCAGGCTGGTAACCGCTGATACCACGTCGGAAAAGGAAATGTTCGGTAACACCAACGCCAGTGTAAATGGCAAGCCAGTACGCGATGATATCCAAAAAGTCGTTCAGGTAGACGTCGAAGTGGCTGTAGCCAGGAATCGCAACTCCAATGGATACTGCAGTCACTAGGGCGACCCAGATGAATCGGGGGATGCGCTGGGTCCAGCGGCCCAAGACCATGAGTGTCAGTGACACGGAGTAGACGTTCGGGCAGTTGTTGGCAATAATGGACAAAGCCAGAATGACAATGCAGAATTTACCAAATCCGCCTAGAGGTTCCAAGGCCGCGGCTAGGAGACCGCCGTTTCCAGAGGCAGCGTAGCCGGCTGCGTACTTGTTGACCCCGTCATTGGCACTGGCCGCTGTGTAAACTGCAGCGCCGAGCATCTCGGTGAACATGAGAGCGGGAATCAGACCGATCCAGGTGGCGAAGAACGTCTTTCTTTGGGGACGGTTGGACGGCTGGTAGACAGTGTAGTCGGCTGCGTAACTGGTCCATCCGGTCGCGAAGGCATAGACCGTTGCACCGAAGGAGAGGACGTCGCCCAGTTCCGATGTGCCAGTCCCCATGGGAATGTTCACAAAGTCTCCCGAATGAGCAAAGGTTCCCAGAACAATGAAGAAGATGATGGTGGTGGGGATCCAGCTCCAGTACTCATACATGTGCACAACCTTGTATCCCATGCAGGTGATGATAAATGTCAAGAGAGCAATAATCAGGACGCCCGCGTATCCGGGGACGTTAGAATTGACGGCATTGAAGAGCTGTGCCCCAACGATGCAGTCGACCGTCGCCCAGCCGAGGCAGGTCAGCACGTTGATACAGGCGACTGGAAAGGTTAGCCGTTTCCATGACATGCTGTAGAGATGTCGTTACGAGCTCGGTACTCACTGAATTTCGTGCCGTACCAGCCAAACCAGAATCTTGTCATCACCATCTGTCGCAGGCCAAATTTCGGCCCCAATGATGAGAAGAAGCAAACGGACAAGACGCCGAGGAGATTAAAGAAGATGATGACGAGGATGGCGTCCACAAATCCTAGGTAGAAGAGTTCGTTCGCCAGCACGCCGACAGCGAAAGCACTAACGACCATGTTTGCGGCCAGCCACTATGCTGAAGTTAGCAGCAGGAAATGTCCGACAGAGCAGAGAAAGGAAGCACACCATTGTGCTAATGTTGGCGTAGGAAGTATCATGGCGTTCACTTTCCGGGACCCGTTCAATGCCTCGCTGTTCGATGTTGAACTTGCCCGCAAGCCGTTGCAGCCTCGCGTAGAGCGAATCTCCCTGGTCAAACCTCTCTTCGCCGTCCGACGCGAAAAACGTGCCCGTGTGGGCTTGCTTTTCTGCATCCCCTGCAGACCCGTGACTGGAGTCTGGTTGAGAGTCTTGAAAAGCCATGGTTGAGATCGTCAACTGCCGGAGTACGTAACCACAAGGAGAAGAAAAGAACGAGGGAAAAGACGAACGAAGGAGAGAAATAAAGGGAAAGGAAGGACGTTTTCTTTTTCTTTTTCTTATTTTCCCACCTATAGCAGAACTAGAGGATTTTATCATAATTCACTATGCCACAAAAGTAACCCCATACATACCGACCGGAGCATTGCCTGCATCGTTTGAAGCACTCGCATTACACTAGAAGCAAAGTAGCATTCTTCTCCTTGCCACGTTTATGTTTTATATAGTGCTAGACCCTGAAACCCTTGTTCGCCGAGACAACTAGTTAATTAATGTTGCTTCGCTTAGCCCAGCTTGTCTATAACCGGGGTCATTAATTGGCCAATTGGTTACTTTGTTTTCGATAAGCACGCCACGTCCATTCAGAGGGACTTGACTATGCCCAATGTAACATCATCCGAGGATGAAGCGATTCTTCTATCAATGAAGTATAGAACGATTCCGATCCACTAACACTCAGTTGACCGTTGCCGAAACGTAGACCCAACCTCAATTTATATAAACATACTCGGCTTGGGTTTACAATTATCTTGAATACTGTTGGCATTCAGAGTGTGTTTCGAGCGCCCCCATCATCGACATACCAGGGAACACGTCGAAGGAGCAATAAATTGTGTCTCGGCCAATTCTCCATGCGAAAATCCACCGGAAGGACCCTTTCGAACCCTCGGGCCACGCGTCCACGAACCCCTGTACATTAGCGAGCCGTCTAAGAGGGGCCTAACATGATCTAACAGGGTCTGCCAACGTCCGACGCGCGAATGGAGATTATAAAACACACTGGGCTTGTAGTCCGACCGGCCTAGGCCAAGCCTCGCGTTCCTGCAGCGAGACAAATATCTCGCCACCGGAATGAAGGCAATCAAATTGATTAGATTGGCACATGTGATTAGTTATATGTATGTAGTTAACTACTGCACAGAATCACGCTTACGAATCCATCGAGAGAACTGTTTGGCTCTCACCATTATTTGTCCGGAGATCTTCATTTACGCGGAGAGTGATCACAACCCTTTTTCTTTATCAGACAACGATCTTGTTGGATAAAAGGTTAGCCATTCGGGGCTTTACCATGCATCCGAGCACACTTTGGCACCGTGGCACAGCGACTGTAATCGGCATCCCTGCGAATCGCAGCCTATCAAAAACGTCAATTCGCGGTGGTACTATATGCATGGTACTATGCTATCCCCCGCCACGGAAATATTGTCATTCTAGTTTAGTTACGAATTAGTTAAGACACTAACGAAGCAAGATATTGATGCCTCTGACTCGCTGGTACCTTGGACACTAGATTATGAAAATGCACAGGCAATTGTGAGCTGAAAGTTACTGCAATTCCCCCCTCCCCTTGGTGGCGATGTCACTCATTTCAATCATCGATACATTCTTTTGGTATCCGCCGTAGTATATTCTTGTGTCTCTCTCTCCTCTCTCTCTCAGAGAGAGTGGTCTATCAGTGAGCGAAGAGCTTATCATGTCTGGCAATGGGGAGTTTTTCGCCTGGGTGGCAGTGGTCGGTCTCATTGGTAAGTTCCAGCCAGAAATGCTTCGGCCAAAGATGCTGACGTCCAATTCTCCTCAGTCATCCTGCGCTTTGTATCGCGAATCATGCAACTTGGGTCGATCAAGAGACTGCAAATAGAGGATGGAATCATGGCGTGCGTGCTGGTAAGCGTCTCACTGAAAAAAAGGCTAGAAATCCTAGTAGCCCTAACCAACCGTCCGGTCTAGTTAGCATTTTGTGCGATGATCGTGGGCTTGATCACTGTCGGTCGACTCGGCACCAACGAAATCCCCTTGGGCACACCCATAGCAGACATCGGGCCCCCGTCAATTGCAGACCGTGTGCTGGGCAGCAAATGGGTCATCATCACGGAGCAGATGTGGCTGGCGACCGTCTGGGGTTGCAAGGCGTGCTTGATGCTTTTGTACAACAACATGACGACCGGGTTGAGCCTGCACCACCGTCTCGTGCAGGTCATTGGCATATTCACGGCGGCCAGCTACTTGCTGATTGAGATCTGTTTCTTTGCTGTCTGGTGTCGACCCTTCCATGACTACTGGGCGATCCCCGCGACAACGCGCAACTGCTCCGTCTACACCGACCACATGATCCTCGTTCTGTCGCTGAATGTTGCGACTGACTTGTTCATGATGAGCATTCCACTGCCGCTTCTCATCCAGGCGAGGCTCTCGCTCTGGAAGAAGATTACGCTATGTTGCGTCTTCTCGCTGGGCAGTTTTGTTATTATCTGCTGCTGTCTGTCCAAGTACTACAGCTTGCATTTCCCCTACGGTGCCGAATGGATCAAGTGGTATGTGCGTGAAGCCGGCACAGCTACAATCGTTGCCAACATACCTCAAACATGGCCACTGGTGCGCCGCCTGATGAATGTCAACTCCTTCTTCTCGACGACGTCCTTCTCTCGTACGCGACGAACTACCAATGACGACGGCTATCTCTCCGGTAGCAATGTCCGGCTGTCGAGACTGCGCGGGGACCGCATGCACTCGCAGATGATGCACAGTGGCATTGACCGCACCGATAGCCAGGAACAGATCAACACAACAGACCCGTTACAGATCTGGGAACACAAGCAATTTCAAATCACGGCGGAGGAAGCCGACGAGGAGGCCAAGTCTGGTGATCGTAGTCCGACTCTAGAATATAATTCGATTCCCTTTCCAGAGCGACCACAACCACGTACGACCGCAACTGTTACGATCGGATAGTAATGATTTGTCTCTTTTTATTATTATTATTATTATTATTATAACGCTTCTACGGATTTTCTTGGGGAAGGGGAGGATTAATCGGCCTTGGTTGCCCCTGTATATTACTTCGAGATAGAAATGCATAGATCTCGTGTCACGACCTTTCGCAAATGAGATTGTTTTGTTCTCTCGCTCGGTGCTTCCTTCGTAGATAGCATCGTCCAGCTCGGTCAATCCCACTGTCTCGTGGGTTACTGGTCGTCTCGCAAATAGGATTGTGGATGTTGATGGGATGTGTTTGAACACACTTGACGGTTGAAAGCTGCCCTCCATCCTGAAACTCCTCTCAACGAAATCATCACAACACAGAAAGAAATGAGAGGACTCACCATGGTGGCGTATAGTCTTTTGATACATCACGCGCTACTGTTTCTATCTCGCTCCCATAGCCAAACTTGGCAAGGGTGTATACGACATCTAGCATATGAGACCATGGCTATAGGTGGCCGAGATCCGCGGGCTTTCAGGCTTAAAGAATGCGTATCATAGGGATATACTCAAGCTAGATTGAAGATTCTCTTTCCACGGATCAAGAATTTCCATATTGGGATTTGCTGAGCCATACCTCGATACAAGCAGCTACAAGCGGCTGGCGTCATTAAATATGGCGGCTACTTACTTTAAGAATGTATCGCGCGCGCTTGTTGTCAACCACTTTACTCCGTACCTCGGTCTTGAAAAATGAGGCAAAAATTCAAACAACTTAATATCATCATGTGAGGGGCTGTTTAGCTGTGGAAGTTGTGCTGCGAAGATCAACTAGCTCTGCAAGGACAACTGACACTGCCAGAAGCAACAATGCTAGAATCGTGTCGTTTGTTATAAAATGATCTGGAAACAATACTAGATCTTCGCACGCACCTAACTCTATATTAGGGCCAGGACTAAATATGTTTGGGATCCGCTTTCAGCTTCTTCGGTTTTCCCAAGCTCGAGGCCCAGAGAGTTAGGGCTGTGCTGATTCTCCCACGAAAGTACTTCCAAAACGTCAAAGTATCGCATCTCTACGATTTGCCGAGTACAAGGAAATGCATTGGAGTGTGTGCTATGTGCGAATGCTATACGATCATACAAGGTGCAAATGCTCTCAACGTTTTTGAGATGTTATTTTACACTGCTATAATATAGGGAAATGGCACGTAAAATCAAAGACACCATCATGCCGGTCGCCATGAGCCTCCAATTGAAATTTGAATTGACGATCAAGTCATGCAATATCCATATCAGTCAGCCTCGCGAAGACATCTAAGTTCAGCAGCTCTCTCTCTCTCTCTCTCTCTATGGAGTGTCTCTTCGCCTCAATTCTCTGCTATCGGGTATCCGGGAATTGCAAGGAGGAGATATCATGGTAGATGCATGCAACCGAATTAGTAGTATTATCAGTCTTATGGGATTGGATAATCTATTTACAATGCTTCTAACTATATCATCTTCACTCCTATCCATAGATAACTGCAAAAAGCACAAGGGCAATTCACTTATCCGAGCCTATCATTCACTTGTACCTGGCTTCCTATAAATCTCGTAAACCTTAAGCCTGAAATTACTTGGCTTCTTCAAATCAACCAAACGGAAGATAAACTGCCTTTGATTTATATTCATATAACCGCTTGCTTACAGCAAAACGTAGAAGCTTTATCGAAAAAGGAACACAGTCTCACGATGAACGCCCGCCATTCCCAACTAATGCCATACAGAACAAATAAATAAAACCAAGCAAAACATGCTCTGGAAATATGGGGGAAACGAGAGATTACCACACCCGGTACTGCTCCATGTTCTTCTTTATCTCCCCGACAATTTCTGCTGCCTCGGCCTCATTGCGAGCTTCAAAGTCATATCGTTTTTGCTCGTGCGCGTCTGTGCCTCGGAGAACGACTACCGAGAAACTCTTGGGATGTCTTCTGCTCACCTTGGTACCAACGATGTCATTGAAGTTGATTGACCGCGTCTTTCCAGTGGTATCAAATACGCCCTTGGCAGTTTCGCCCGGCATGACGTGTAAATAATCATTGTCAAGAACAAGGACTCTCTGGTTCGACGCCGTGAAAGACATGGATTGTTTGCGATAGACGTAGTATCGCCGATAATACCCACCCACCAAATCTTGCTTCTGAGGTTGCGCAAGTGGGTGTAGCATCTGATGGCCCCTTTTGCCTTTCTTTGCATGTCCTAGGTTTGAACTGCTGATTTGAAGCGGCGCGTTGGGGGAGGCACTCCCTGGAGACCCAGCTAATGAAGCAACAGCTCCAAAGCGTCGACGAATGACGTCAAGTTCGGACACGTTGCCTAGAACTTCCACAGTACGATCTAGGGGTGCAATGGTGTTGGTCCCTTGTACTTTGAGTAGATAATTTCCCTTGTCAAGGCCCCATCGCTTACAGACGGAATCCAGAATCTCAGCAATGTAGCTATCGGTAGCAGTGTTCACTGTTGTTATCTGTGTAGAACCTTCAAGATTAACGAATCGAACCTTCAACGTTTTCTGCACACCTAAGCGGGGTGTAGCATGAGATGTAGGTGCTGGCATATCGGCCGGTGTCAACGTGTTGTCGTTCAGCGCAGATGAAAATGGCTGCAGGATAGGATTTAATCTCGCCGCAGAAGGGACAGGCTTGTTTTGCGCTGTGCCGTTTCCAGGAGTATGTGGAGTTGAACTGGCTTCAATAGTCTCAGCAACAGGCTCTGGATTAAACTTGGGATACAGACGGGAATATTCTGCAAATTCTGCATCCGTAGCTTCCACCAATGCGAACTCGTCATACTGTTTACCCCTCGAACGGCCACGCATTCCTGCAGAGCGATTGTTGTTTGACGTGAAGTCGGCCAAAGGTAGGTGGCGGCCCAGGGCTGGAAAGTCAAAGTCCACTTCACCGTCTTCGACCATTCGCAATGTCCACCGATTGACATTAAGTTTACTGCGTTCAATAGCAGGCTTCAAGCCATCTTTGATATATCTCCAGAGTGCTAGCCCAATGGCATCTGCGACGGTGACAGGGCCAATACGATCTTGATCGCGGGTTTCGCGAAATATGGGCATATTGAATGGTGTTTCGGGATCTTCGGAAAAGGGCGCATAAATCTTTATGTTCAAAGCTGTAGTAGAATCTCCACCCCAAAGAGATGCAAATTTCTCAACGGGGTTGCTGGGAACGGCTTTTCGAGCATTCAACTCTTTAGACAGCAGGCTCACCGGCTGCAGAGTACTGATAGGACGAGGAGGAGGCAAATCTTGCAACCCAGGAGTGGACACTTTGGTCTTCCTAGGCGATGCACCATGAGAGCTTGCGTTCGGTAACTTATGCATTATGGCTGGAGAAGAGTCTAATGTGGCATTCAAGGCAACATCTGCAAGAAGAGATGCCGATCCTGCTGTGACTCCAAAATCCGACAATAGGTCTGAATCCGCAGAGCCCTCGACAAAATCCTCGTCTTGATCATTAATATCTGCCGAGTGAGCTTCGCTATTTTCCTGGACATCATCTGCCGGCTCTTCGATAACCTGATGCTGAGAGGAAAACTGAATTTGTCGACGCTTGAAAAGAGCAGGATTGTCACCTTCAGACATGTCACTGCTGGTTACCGTATCACCTCGCGGCCGTCCCTGAGCCGAACCAACAGCGCCTACTGAGCTTCGCCGGTATGTACGATCTACAGCATCACCAGCGTCCAAAGCTGGTGCTTCTTCCGAGGCATCTCGACCGTCATGAAGAGGTAGGGATCCTGTTCTGGTTCGCACCGGCATCTTCGAAAACTTGATCTGTTGTGCGGCTCTGATATAATCAATCAGCACCCATGAATATCCTAGATCGTGCCGAAATTCGCGAAACCTACCTTGTAACGTCACTTTCATCGTCACTCTCATCGCTCAGGTCACTGCTGTCTTCGTCTTCGCCTTGCCCTGGCCGCTCAGCAATTTGATTTTGTCGATCCCGGCGTCTGTTTTTGCGAGCAGGTTTTCCATGATGCTTAACTCCAAACGTATAGGTACTCCCTCCACCTCCGCCAGTCACCATTCCACCCTCGTCTTCTTCACCATCGTCGATGCTGAGCCCGTCCCCGTCGTGCAACTCTCTTGCATTGTGTCTGGCAAATTGATAATACTCGGATGCGACAGCAGCAGTAGTTGGAATAGGAGGTGAATATGTCCGCTTAATGAGAGAGCCGCTTTCTTGGGAAGTTGGATTCGCAGATGTGGGGAGCCAACCAGCCGCGCGAAAGCCAGGAGTATTCAGCACGGAATTGTTAACATTGATGAGTCGATCGCCAATACCGTCCTTGATTATTGAGAGATATGAGGTCCGTAGTTGCCATATTGTGAAACTAGAATACACATGTTAGCTTATTTGCAGATCCCAACTGCGTATGCAGTATGTTTCGCATGTCGCAGCACAGTAACATCGATGGTGGATCCACTCACTCTTCATTCTGGAGAAGGGACATGCTGAAATCAAGGTCGGCTTCAGTCACGCGGCAGGTTTCCAGAATTCAGAAGAGGGTCAATCAGTTCAACTTCAGCTGGTTTTATCCTCATCTCAATTGGCGGAGTGCTGCTGTCTTCAGTCGGCAACTCCGGGAGTGGCGCATGCCGAGTATAACGAATCTCATATACTAAAGAATATCAAATTCGCGAAGACTGGTTTCGACATGAGTATCGTATCAGGTCCAGCCTGGAGAGAAGCGAATGCAGAGCGAAGCGCACTGTTTAATAAGAATGTACGTGGGTGTTGTTGAATGAGGCTGAATAGATAAGTGACGGTGGCTAAGTCAGTGGTGCCGGCAAGTTACGTCCTAGCCAATCACATATTCCTAGACACTTAGGCGGTAAGCCAATCATTTTCACCGCCCGGTTCTGCCGCTATTATTTAACAAGAAGTCTCGCATCATCTTTTCTTTGGAGCACTGTAGGAATTTATAACTATTAGATTTCTTGACCAAATTACGTATAAACAATGCCTTCAGGAAATGATCATGTTGATGATATGGTACAGCGTCCACCTCCAGTCATAAATTGGAATAGTTATGCAACATCATTCCCAACGCCAAAGTGATGAATGCATGCGATTAAAGATAGCCCAAGTTGTAATATTCAACTAATCTGGACTTATTTCGCCTTTGGCTTCCCCTTCCGACCCTTCTTGGTCGGTTCTCCTTCTTCAACATCGTCAATAAAATCATCATCGCCATTCTTTCCCTTCGTCTTCTTGCTTTTAGTAGCTGTACCTTTGCCGGCACCCCCTTTGCTTTTAGGCACCTTAACATATTTGTCTTTCTTCAAATCGAGTTCTTCATCGTCTTCTTCTTTAGCATCTTCGAGGACTTCTCCTTCATCGGAGGCCTCAATTGCATCTTCAATGTCAGGCTTCTCCTTCGGACCTTTCTTGGGTGCGGTAACATTGCTAGCCTTCATAAAAGGCAGAGGATGCGACCGCTGATTGTAAATTCTGGTAAATGCCGATTTCGTTTGTGTCTGGATTTTGACATGCTCCTCATTCATAGGACCAAGACCTAGTTCAACTAGAGCATCCCAGTCCTCTCGCGTGATGAAATAACTATCCATCAAGTTGATAACACTTTCAACCGCTTCCTTACCCTCATCCATCAACGGACGCACGAGTTTATCCCACATAGCAGGCATGTATTGTTGTCTTATCTCGTCGCGGTCTCCAGAGGCGCGAAGTCTCATGTGACCTTGAATCTCTTTCACGTAACGACTAAGCTTGCCTGCGCAAAAGTTAGAAAAGAACATAACCAGGATTTGCCTGTCATGCCTTACCCTGTTTACTATTATTGCCCAACCAACTTGGAAAGGCTGGCCGCTCCCTCATGTTTCCAAACGTAAAACTTGCTGGTCGCACAAAACTAAAAGCGGCGTGAGTCGGCATCAAACTCCATTGTTGCTGGCTGCCATGTATCATGCGATCAACCAGGTCACCATCACTGATGCTGGATGCTGCATTATCAGCGAGCTCAAGGAGTTTAAGTTGCCGTTCTTTTCCGGAGAAATTGCCAGCCAGCATTGGACTGGTCTTCAGATAATTTTCCTGGAGCATGAGATAGCTGAATTCATGATCGTTGAAATAAAGCTCTATCTTGTCATTCAGGGTAGATTTGGAGCTCTGGGAAAACATCTGCGCGTTGAGAATCTTGGATACAATATCCCAAGGCTTTAGAATGACATGTTTTTCCCATGCCTTCGATAGCTCCTTGCCCTGGTCGTAGTCAAGAGTCTTTTGATCCAATTTCACCGTCGACAGCATATTGATTACCTGTCTGATATCCGCACCAGTGCCTGAAATCAAACTATCCAGCACTGGTGGGGGAATTTTTAAATTCTCACGGAAGCAAATCGTCATGAGTCGTGCCCTAATCATGTCTGGAGTTGGTCGCCTGAACGGAAGCTCAAATGTGACATGGTCAAATGGCTTCATCTTCGGTAAACTTCTCTCATTACAGATGAGAATCAATGGGACATTCGTTTTTTTGGCGGCAGCAGCTAAAGCACCAACACCACCCCTATCTCCGGCAGACATACCGTCTACTTCATCCATAATAAGTACGATATTTTTCTTTTGGCTTTCGACTTGTTTGCCCTGGGCCGAAAAATATCCCTGCAGAGACGTGGTGTCCAAGACACCAAGAAGTCCTCCTTCCACTAGCTTCTTGCTACGAGTATCACTAGCGTTAGTCTCCACGACGTCGTAACCCTCTAGCTTTGCGACTAGATGAGCTGCCGTAGTTTTTCCAATTCCAGGTGGACCATGGATCATGACAGCGCGGTAGAGACCAAAACCATCTTTCCCTGGCATCTTGAAGTTCCTTTTGGCATTGTTTCGCCAGTTACGCAGCCACGCTTGGAGTTTCTCGACTTGCCCTTTATTGCCACAAATCATATTCATCGAGGTTGGTGCATATTTTGTGGTCCAAAGGCGGTCATCTATGTTGTTGGACTGGGAGCTTGGAGTGGCCATTGTCGAGGATGTTTGAGAGCTGGCTTTGACTGCTTGAGCCGCTTTCTTTTTCTCTTCTTGTTCCATTTCCTTAGCGAGGGCACGAATCTTCTGTTCTTCGGCTTCTTTTTTCGCTTGTGCTTGCCCGGCAGCCTTGCCACTACCGCCATTTGCGGGGAGTCGTCTAATCAACTCGAAAAGTCCTTCTTCGCCAATTGTTTTGATGCTCATGTCCTTGATCTTTTTGAGCTTGCTTGGCCCAGCATCACTCCCAAGAACAACATAGCTGGTTTTTGAGCTAGGAGCACCGGTAACTTTGCCACCATAACGCTTAACGAGGTTCTGGCCTTCTTCTCGACCCAGAGTATCTAGAACGCCTGTGAATACAAAGGATAACCCAGCAAGGCAATTCTCAGCTCCGACTGGTAACTCTGCGGATCCAGCTGCAGGAGGCGTGCGAGATCTGGCGGCATTCATGTAGCTGAATTTCGGCTTCTCACCAGGAACATCTGGCGGTGGACTTGGCGGTCTGATAGTCGGTATATTGTCGAAAATATCCTGGATCTCCTTATTCTCCGGTTCCTGTTGTTTTGCCGCAGATTTCTGTTTTTTGACTGCGGGTCCGGTACTTTTTTTCGGCTTTTTATCACCTTCATCAACGTCAAAGACAGCTTCTGTTTTGCGTTTCCTTCCGGGGTTGGCTTTAGCCGGTGATGCATCAACCATTTCTACATCTGGATCGTCGTCAAGTTTACTCCGTTTGGAGGTAGCAGGTTTGACAATAAGCTCATCGGAACTGCTTGCATCGTTTTTTTCGACATATTCATCTGCACGTCGACCGGCTTTGCTGTACTCTGTCGCGAAAATATCGTCGCCGCCCAGGTTATCGTCGTCATCTAGCACCTTCGATGCGGGTTTCGGTCCACGTAATTTTCCTTTCTTTTCTGTCGACGGCGGTACTTCTTTGCTCGGCTTGGCTTTCGGGGGGGTGTTTCCATCGCTAACGTCTGTGACATCTTTGACTGCAGCCGACTTCGAAGATCGACCTCTCTTCTTGCTGGAAGCAAAGTACTCTGATGTAGTTGTCGGCTCTCCTTTCTTTTCGTCTTGGACCCTGTGCACGCATATCCAGTTAGAGTCTACCATCGCAGCACCAAATTCTAGAAAAAGACCTACGGGTTTTTCAGCGGTTTAGGCTTCGAGGATGGCTGGGGTTCGAAGTCATCATCCTCACTGTCGCTAACTACCTTTCTGCTACCTAAAGAGAGTTAGTTCTCAGGTTACAAAAGATAACAAGGCGCAGGGCATACGTTTCTTGCGAGCGGCGGAAGGATCCTTGTAAAAGTAGACATTAGCAAACATTCACAACAATTGATGTCAACAAAGGAGCGGAAACAATAATGTCAACTACAGCCACTGGAAGTAAAGCTGCTCCTATCGTTGATGACTTTTCACTGCGAACCAAAACAAAAAAAGAAAAGGCCCGCGCGATGACGCAAAGCGTTCGCTTACCTCCTTAACAGCAGGTTTAGCAGCAGGCGCAACGGAGCCCTGGCCAGATTTGGCACCAAAAAAGTTTCGTATGTCTGGCATTTCTTAGTGCTTGTCCATGAGAGCTACGCCAACCAAAATAGATGAAGGCGCGAGAGTTGGTTGAGGGGGCTGATATGTTGATAGAGCAAGCTCGAAAGCTCAGTCGAGTTCGGCGGGAAAGCACGTCCAACCCGCGGAGACGCGACAGTCGCGCATGCTGAGCCCGTGCGGCTCTCGTCGCCTTGTCATCACGTGATCAAACCACTTTTGCCCTTTTTGGCCAGTCTTTTCTGCACGGCTGCCGCCGAATCAGAACGACAAGGCACGATTTATCTACCATCTACATCCACGCGCGCAGCGAGCGTCACATACTCCCAGCGAAGGGAGTCTATATCACAAGATGTTGGCCAGGTCACAATTCGGCCTATTAAGGTCATGTGAGTCGAATTGATATCCATCATTCGGTTTATTTTCACAGCGACTAACACCAGCAATCCAGATAACGCCGTCCCCTCCCTTTTACAATCACAGATCTCGCGATGCTTTTCAACAACGTCTCCAGCAATGGATTGGCTTACGCCAAAATTTGCCGAGAAATCCAAGTCTCCCAAGGGACGCCCGAAAATGCACACTGGCGGTTCCACCCGCGGCACAACAGTTGTCCACGGTGATTACGGGCTCCGCATGAAGGACCATGACCGTCGTGTGGCGGCAGCATCCCTGAAATTAGGAGAGGAAACGATACGAAAACGACTGAGAGGAATGAACTACACTCTATACAAACGTGTTAGTGCGAATATCGGTGTGTATACATCCGGAAATGAAATGCGTATGGGTAAGGGAAAGGGAAAATTCGATTACTGGGCAGCGAGGATTCCAGTGAGCCGGATTGTCTTTGAGTTGAAAGGAGACATCCACGAGAAGATTGCAAGGGAGGCTTTCCGATTGGCGGCACACAAACTACCAGGTGGGTTTATGGACAAGAACAAGAAATCGGCCCTAAGATGGCTTCAAGCTAACTAGGTACATCCAGGAATGTGGGAGTTTGTGAAGAAAGGCGACCCGCCTGTTGTTGGGATCACAAAATTGGGCAATGGAGTCACATTCGAGAGCTTGAAGCGAGCACGACGAGAGGCTCCGTTAGATACAAGCAATAGCCCCAACCCACCCAAAACAGCATCAACAAGCACTTCACCCACGCAATAAAACCTCTTCCTCCTCCTTCGATGACATGAGTCTAAGCGCCAATATTGTTACCGCGTCCGAGTTTCTGCGCCGCCCTCGTTCGTCGCGCCTCTTCGTCGATGCCGTGCACATCCGGCTTCAAATCTATTTTTGTACCATAAATATGTTACATTAGCCTTGCTGTTATTTTTAGATATTCATGCAAAATCGCATATCAAACCAACGTTACCACCAATAATTTGCCGTCCTACGTACGTAGGGATTTGCATACATAGCAGAAAGCCGGAGGAGGCAAAAAGAGAAGACATACTACTTACCTCTATCAACCTCCCCCGAGACGTTACTCGTCATTCCTGCAAACTGTGGGTCGTTTAAATTCATATTGGCACTATCCCTTTGCTCATTTGTCTCTCTGGACGGAATTTTCAGTTCGCTGATGGTGTTTTTCTCATTTGCTTGCAATTTGAAGTAAGCACATGCACAGAAAAAAAAAAAGGGTCAAGCAGATGCGATACATACCCCCAAGTTGTCCCTTTTGTTTGGGAGGAGTGTTCGTGACTGTGCGAATGGATTCATACCTATCTCCCTGGTTAGTGTATAGATGGTGGGTGCGAGAGGGCGAAACGTACTGCGTGCTTTCGCCGCCTGGTTCCATACTGTCTAGTTCCGAGAGGAGAGAAGCGAGATCGTATGGTATGTAAAGAATATACAAGGTATGATGTTGTTTCTCTTCAAGCTGCTATGGACGAGGAGAATTAGGGTCGTCGATATATCGCGATGACGTAACCGGTACCTAGCTAGTTAATCAACTGCAATGTACATGACTGAAAACTCATTTAACACCACCTTCTGCTGGTATTACGCAGGTATGTGAAGAATCTTCTCTTCTGTCGCTGATAATGCTGAGCGGTGTACCTAGGTAAATAAATAGAAACGGTTACTTCATTGTGTGGTCTATTCTTCGTTGGGGTGCTTGTCAAACAGGATATTGAACGTGGAGAAAAAGAGGAATGGAAGCAGCTTTGCTCTGCGTGTCCATCTTGATAGACTTGACCATTGGGAATATTCTCACCAGTAGGACTAAACAATCGACTGCGTTACTACCTAATGACTTCTCTTTCGGGGGGAAGCCAAGTCTGAAGAGGCTAGTAGCCCTGCCCTTGATCATTACAAATCTCCGTGGGGGAGGAGTTGCCTAACCACAGTTCAAGATTTATTCAATTCTAACCGCCGATAATTAACGAGTGCTTACGCCTTCTAGCAGACTTCAACCCATCGCAACAAGATGCCATTCCGTCGTCGATCGTGTGACGCCTGTTTCAGCGGCCGACGAAAATGCGATCTCGCATATCCCATCTGCGGACGATGCAAGCAGAACAAGAAAACCTGTAATTATGTATCTTCACCAGACACAAATACTAACAAGTCGGACTTCGGTGGTGCTCTGGACCATCAGACGCCAAGCTCAACGACGTCGCTTGGTATCGACTCCTGGCTACTCGAGGACGCTGCTTTCGAGATGGACCTGAACGATAGTGTGCTAATGACAGGGCTGCTGGAACCGAAGAACGTTCCTAACATGCTGGGTGAGCTAGGCGAGTTAGAGCCAGTGTCGGGCCACACGCGAAGCTGGAAATGGGTTATTGAAAGGCTCAAAGACTATCCGCGAGAGTTTGTGCGGCGCACCGAAACACCGTTTATACACAGGAATACATGCCTCAATAACACAGGCGCGGAAGTTCTCCGGGGTGCCTTTGGTATCTGCGCTGCATGCGTTTGCATGAATGCAACTAATCAACCGATGCTGTTTGAAGCTTTGAATGCGGAACTGGCCAAGCTGCTCCAACCGGGCACGAGCAGCTCGCTGAGAGAAGATCTAGCAAAAATGCAGGCCATTGTCTTATATCAATTAATCCGCCTATTCCACGGTGATATCAAACAGCGAGCCCTTGTTGAGCAGCAGCAAGAGCACATATCAGCATCCATGCTGCATCTCCTGCGCCGCGCGAATGTCGAGCTTAGCGTAGCGCAGCCCACATGGGAAACGTGGATTTTTTCTGAGAGTACTCGTCGTACCGTTATGGTGGCATTCATGATATATGCCGTTTACTCTATCTTCAAACATGAGATTTGCCCAGAGCTACCTACGTTGTCTATCCTGCCAGTCTCCACTAAGCAAGAATTCTGGACCTCGGAAATCACATATCTCCTACACACATCACAAGAAAAGATAGTGAAATATTCCGAATTCACCTCTCTATGGCTCCTTTCCCCTTCAAGAATGCTACACTCCTTTGAAAAATTGATTCTGGTGGCATGCAAGGGAATAGAGCCACTGGAAGCACTTGGTTGTCTTAACAGCTAGACTTGCTTGGGCGAGCCCAATATCCTGCTTTGAAATTAATTATCGTGGGAGAATCGATCAATGATTGCGTATGACTTGTCCTGCTGTCATGCAAGACGTACGGAGATCCGCACGGGAGGACCGCGTGGGACCTCCGCATGCAAGATCATCGACCTTTCCTTGACTATATTTCAACTCTCCGCATCAAGTCAACTCGGAAGAGTATCAAAGTGGAGTATGAGCAATTTATTAAAAAACTCTCGAAATTTTCCAGCGCCTCATTGCGGTTCTCCGCAACCACGGTGCGGTGCTCCGCAGCCCTGCGGGAATGATATGGAATAACCCGCACAGTACGACTTTGTGTTTTGGGAATTCATACTTCTTCTGTTCTTGAATATAAATAGCATAGCATCCAGTATGAAAAGCAGAGGTCATCTCATTCCCGTGATTTCTTCGCTATCCCATCATCAGATCCAGTCTACGTCTTCATAGAAACCCATCTCCATCATGACTCCAACTACAACCCGCCAATGGGTTCTGGCCAAGAAGTCCAGCGGCTGGCCCATAATCGATGGGCCTGAATCTATATTCCGACTGGTAGAAAAATCACTCCCTCAACTGGACGACAAAAAAGAAGAGGTACTTCTCAAGGTTCTCTACCTATCCAACGACCCGGCACAGCGACTCTGGATCAACTCTGGCATCAACGCACGGCGCTTGTATACCACACCCGTGGAGGTCGGGGAGATTATGCGATCATACAGCTCTATCGCCGAAGTGGTGCAGTCCAAGTGCGCGAAACTTCAGGTTGGATCGCTGGTAAGTTGCTCGACTGGTTGGTGCGAATATGCGGTTGTGCCGGGCGCGGAGTGCATGCCTATCGAAGCAACTGGTGATATCTCGCCGACGCATTTCTCGGGGGTATTCGGTATCGCCGGCGTGACTGCGTATTATGGACTGGTTGATACGGTGCACGCAGGCCCTAATGATGCTGTTGTGATTAGCGGAGCAGCTGGAGCAGTCGGCTCGGCTGCGGTGCAGATCGCAAAGAATGTGCTTGGATGCAAGAAAGTGATTGGCATCGCGGGCACGGATGAGAAATGTCGGTGGGTAGAGACGCTCGGGGCCGATGTGTGCTTGAACTACAAGAGGGAGACGTTCTGGGATGATCTACTCAGTGCCACCGAGCCCTTTGTGGAGGTCTTTTTCGATAACACCGGCGGCGAGGTGTTGGATTATATGCTGACGCGGATGGAGAAGAATGGTCGCGTGGCGGCCTGTGGTGCTATATCCGAATATAACACCAAGAAAGGCAGTCGGCCAGGGATCAAGAATTGGTACGATGTAATCGCCATGCGCCTAACTGTGAAGGGATTGGTTGTCTTAGATCTCACGCCGGCGAGATGGGGCGAAATTGTGCATGCGCTTCTTCAGGGATACCATGAAGGAAAGATTCAGGCCAATGAAGCAGGGCAGACCATAGTGCCGGCCAGCTTTGAAGATATCCCAAAGATATGGATGAAGCTGTTTGACGGTCAGGCTACTGGGAAACTGTTGACCAAGCTTGTACATGGCTAGCATGTATGAAGCGTTTGGCCGTGTAGTTGGCAGTGCGCTACCTACGGCCTCTGGGAGTGATTATATTGAGTGCGAGCGTAGTAGTTATAGTATGATAGGCTTCATAATCTCGAATTGAATTCTGCACGGACAAGACGCAAAGTGATTCTTCGTGATACTCCACAGAATTTGCGTCAGCAAATGATACTATTACTACAACATGAATGAAACCGCTGACCAAGCCATACCCTCTAAGAAATTACGCCCGAATACTCCCAATGCCATCTCTCCATTTAGAAATCCATGCCCATTAGGTACCTGTCCCGAGAAAAAAAAAATTAGTATTTGGCAAGACGGCGTGTAAGAGTGGCCTACCCCTCATAAATGCGCATAAACTTGGCCACGAACGCTTCAAGATGGAAGATAACTTTCTTGTATAAATTGTTAGATATCCAAAACTTTCTTCGAAGAGCATTGGAAAAAGCACATACACTTCCTAGCTTGATCCTATGTTCATAAAAGGCCGACCATTTAATAACCTCTGGTTTCAAGGCATCATCGACTTTTGTGATTAATTTAAAGGTCAAAGTCTGGAATCTGGTTAGCTCGACATCCATGTAGTGAATTCAAATGTCTAGCATTTTTTATATTACCTTCAACACCGTTGTTGGCGGGATGCAGTGAGTTAAAAGATCGTAAAGTCTCTCTCGGACCTGCAATATCCGTGCTGGAGATCGCTCAGCGAGGATTTCGTCCGCGACCACTGATATGAGAGCCTCCCAGTCCGGCGGAGGAATTGGAGTTTTATCAGACACTTTCTCGCTGTTTCAACAACATTAGCATCTAACCAGCTTTAGGGGGTGGGGGGGTGGTGATGTTCAGTAGAGGACATACTTTTGGGCATAAATCGCTTCAAACATGAGCAAAGCCCGCCGGAGATTTCTCCCACTCTCCTTTGCAATCCTCATATTCAAAGCGTCAGAGTGTGTCCACTTTTCTTTCTGGGCTGCTGTCCGCAGCGCAGAGCATATGTCTTGTTCCGACGGCGCCGCAACTCTGACCAAAAGGGTACGTGACCGGATTGGAGCGATGATGTTGGAAGTACTGTTTGCCAGCAGTATCAATCGCAAGTTGGGACTGTATTTCTCCATGGTTCGACGCAAAGCCGCCTGAGCATCCCGCGTCAGATGATCCGCTTCGTTGATGACCACCACTTTGAAGCGCTGTCTGGCAGACTGGTCCACCTGTTGGGTTTGCGCAACCTCTTTCAGCAGTTCCTGCACAACCACGCGATCATAATTGCCCACATCTGACGGTGTAATCTCTAGATGGTAAACGGAGGACACTATATTGAATTCTAGTTTCCGGTTGCTCGTCGTCTGAAATACACGGGCATCGATCTTGATTTTTTCGACGCCGGGGCCGTACAGCTCTTTCAATGTCGCAATGATTCGTGTTTTCTTTCCGGCACCGGAAGGTCCGTAAACTAGAAGATGAGGAAAGTCACCGCTTTGTGCCTGTTGTATAGCATTACTTTCTTAGTGCGTGGTTGCAAGGGCAGCAAAAAGGGGGGGAGGGGGCAACCTCCAACTCACCAAAGACTTCAATCGTGCAGAGAGCTCAGGATGATATGTCAGTGCATCGAGCGATCGCGGCCGTAGCCTGTCCACGAGAAGAGCCATGATTGAATCTTCTACGACTGCACAAGATTACGGGCGAAAAAAAAGGTCGTTGATGCTGGAAGTGTCGACAAGAATGACAATTTCTTTCTGATTGTGCCGTTGTCCTGATGGATTTTGAAAACGCGACTTTACGCGTAGCACTTAACACGTGGTCCGTGCACGGGCGGCTTCCCCAGACGGGCCGCCGCTTTTCATTGGTCAGGTTGACCCTTACAATGATGACTACTAGTTACAGAGTAAACTTGTCTGGAGGATGCGCTGGTTTTCCCTGGTTGCAAGACATTGTGGGGTGGCTGGCTCGAGGAGAATCACGCTACAGGTCACAGAATTATGCCATTGATAGTATGTTTGTATGTATGTATGTATGTATGTACATAGAATCTTTCTTTTTTGCCAATATTTCCTTCATATCTCCTTCCAAGCCAACAACCAATGCACAAATAACGCCGAGAATTTTTGAGTTGGGTAGTTCTAGTTATGCAATGCTCTTGATAGTGGTACATACTTTTGAAATTTTCTGTTCTGGGTCTCTGTTTCAACTGCCTACGCCGTGGGTCGTAAAATACCATTATCGTCATACCGGGCCTCTGTGGGAATATACATTAGTATAATAGAGAAAGATAGGAGCGGCCCTCATCGCAAATGACTTACTGAAAAAGGTGTATGACAAAGTAATCGTGTCTATATTCCGCATACTCGGATCCTTTGCGAAGTCCGGATCAATGAAGAAAAACACCGGCATATCGACAGACTCGCCCGCGTTCAGTTTCTGCTCCTCAAAGCAGAAACATTGGATCTTGCTGAAATATGGTGCCACTTGTGCAGGGGTCACGCTATATGTCGCTACGCCGATGATGTCTGCGGGGCCCTTGTTGGTGGCAGTGTAGAAAGCCAATGCAGTCTCTCCAGGGAGGACACGGACTTCTCGCTGCTGTGGTGTAAATTTCCAGGGTAATACGTCAGATACAGACCCGTTGAATGTGATGCGAAGACGACGCGATTCGGTGACGGGTTTCAATCGTGAGGCAGTATCGCCATCTCCGGCATTGTGGACTTGGACAGGTTGGCCATTCCAGCCGGTTTGTTGGCATATCTACAGTTCCACAGCAATATTAATTAGATACACATTCTCAATCAAAGACTGCAAAGGGCCTTACCATTTTATACAGAGGTACGGACCCGTAGGCCAACGCGAGGGTGCCCACGATTATGCTGGCAGTATAATATCTAGCTACCGTCGTCAGTAATAGCAACATGGCGTCTAGTCTTGTCAATTGAGGTAAGTCTAACAAAGTGGAAGCATTCTTTTTTGTTGGTTCGGTATAGTTGTGTGAAGGCCGTTGTTGTCGCAAGATCAATTGCTGTGAAAATCGTCTTTTTGCGTTGACAGTGCCATGGCTAAGCGACTGTCGCACATGGTATCTGCTGAACAACTGTATGGCACGCCTTTCCATTGCCTCTTTGCAATTGAAAAGCAGGTATATGCAAATGGCGACTGTGACGAGGGCTTCCTGAACGCCGTCTAATGGTCTGTCTCGTTTCTTAGCGGTCACTGCCGGCGGACAAGCTAACGACCTGACCGGCGCCAAGACAGGCCGCCCCGTCTTTAAATTCCGCCTTGGGTTCCGCTCGCTCGATTTTAGTTTCAGTGCTTCCTATCATTTTCTAGAGAACCGATTAGCTCTCGATTTCGTAGTCCATTGTCTGTGATCTTTATTATCCAAGATAGCTTTATTCAACAACTGTCTTCCTCGTGTTTATCGTACATGCAGCATAGGAATACAATTAGAACTAAATATAAGGAGCCTTGTTGCTCTATTAGAAGGATAGTTATATAGCACCCGAGATAATTCACAACATCGTGACTTTATGTGAAAGAACCGCTCTGATTTGTCGGCCTCGCGTATTGAAGATAAGCAGTGCGATTTATTTGAAGACTCTTGAAAGAAGCCGTCCAAATACTCCTCGAATGAGTTCGGGGCGTTCTTGGACGCATGTAATTATAACAGCTGCACTGAGAGTGAACGTGATTCGTTCCCGTGACAGATACTGACCAGAAGTTAGCAAGAGAGCAATGACAGCTTGTCATTGGCAAACGAAGTTTATGGAATAGTCACATAGGGCCGCATTCGCCGAATTCACGTACCTTTCGATCGTATCGTCTAGGAAGTACGGTTGCTGCAGCACGAGGGGCTACAAAGAGCGCGATTTCCTGTCTCCGTGGAATACTTTCTGCTAGAATACTCCAGCCGCACATAAGACAACCAGCACCCACACAAAGACCAGAGTCCCACATTAGTGGCGTCACAAGTTTGGAGCTTAGCAGCTTGGGACCCAGTCTTGTTCGAGCGAGACAGACCGAATAGTAAAACATGCTGATGAATAGAGCCAGAAACGACGATGATCGTGTCGCATCTCTGATAGCTCGATTAATGGCAACTACTGGCTGTTTGGAGCGCACCCGTAGAAGCACTTGTAGCGGTAGGTTGGTAAGTAGGGCGAATTTGAATGAGCGCATGAAGCGAGATACAGCATGCCATTCGCAACTGGAACCGCACCCCATGTGTACCATTTCACATGGTATCGGCACCGTGGCAGCCGGGTCGCCCCATTCAACCGGCCAGCCATAATCTTTACACATAGACTCGAGTAATGGTGCTTGTCCGGTATCTTTGCCATATATGAATTCACCTCTTCTCGCCCGCCTTAGAGCTTCAATTAGACGATCGTCGACTTGTGCAGCCTCACCAATCCACTTTTCGTAGGAACGCGGCAACCTCTCTGGAGAATAGAACCATGCCCACATCACCACAGCGGCACTTCCAGCAAATAACCCAGCATCAGCAATTCGTGGAGCGAGCTCTTCCGTCCGGGACCATCTTCCCCTGCTCTTCCGCCTCTTTTCCCATCCATTCCAGGCGATGGCAGCAATTACGCCAGCTGCGCGTGTTAATGAGAAGAGAGTAAAATCCAGAGACCTCCCAGAAAGCTCTGGACGAAGCCTTTCTGTTTTTAACCCATTGAATCGATCTTCTTCGCCTTTCGGATCCTCGTCCCGTGCACTATCAGTGATCGTAGTATCATTCTTACGACTCTTTCTGTTCAACAAGTTGAAAGCTGCCCAGGCCGAAACAAACGCGGAAACAAATCGCACAATTCGAACGGATCTCAGAGAAGAGCGGAATGATGAATGGACGGAGGTGATTCGGAAGAACAAGAGGGGTAGCCACGTTGCGCCGCCGACTAAAACCGCACAAAAGGTTGAGAATTTGTTCAAGCCCAAGCCACTGAGTAAGATGCGACATAACTAGAAAGCGAGAGAGAAGAGTTAGCAGTGAGTGCTATTATTGCGCTCGGCCTACTTACCCGTTCAAGTTTCACACGATAACCCGTATCGTTTTTTAAAAGTAGCGGGAGGCATCCAAGCAATCTGGGTGTTGTCAAGGCCAGGTACCCTAACCCGTAGGCCCTAAGCACTCTGAAAATAGTTAGGCAAATTCTGAAATCGAGACTGCTCGAACTTACGGCTCGAGTAAGTGAGCATCAAGAGCTCTTTGCCGGGAGAGCGCCATTAGGCCGTTTCAGGATGCTTGAGGCATAATTGGGGGGGCAAAAAAAAAAAAAAGGAAACGGAAAAGACGATTCAATGTCTTGATAGAAGTGCCCAACTTTGCTAGGCGATGGCAGCCGACAAGGTATATCAGCAAACGAGGCGGGTAAAGCAAGCAGCTTGCAAGCAAGGCGGTATGAAGTATGAAGCACGGTGTAACGGATGGCCAGCTTGGCGCGAGGGCGCGTCCAGAACGTGTTGGCATGGGGCCACTCACTCAAACTGTCTGCATTGGGCGCATGGGCGCAATGCGTGTCAATCCAACGTCGCTTGTGAAAGTGTGTCCCGCAGACACTCCGGGTACTATGCGGTAGTTAGGAGGCACCTCGGCTCTGATCCGGGGTCTTGGGGTCAGGGGTAATCTGGCTCTGGCTGCGGACGGCGGTAATATTTCCAGAATTGCAACGCGTCTGCCGCAGGCCCGGTGCTCGCAGGGGAAACTTCACCGAGGCGATGAAGTTGTCGTCGTCGTCGTCGTCTTCGTCGTCCTTGCGCCCGAAGCACTCAAGAGTCAGAGCAGTCACGCTCTCAGCGTACACCCGGGAAGGAAGCGACGTCACATCCCAGCACGCGACTTGGGCTTGCTTGCTTTGAGCTTAGCGCGGTGACTTCCTTCCGAACTTTGCATGTGATCCTCCTCCAATTTCCAACTTTCAGAGTTTCTGCTTCTCTCTCGTCCAACTCCACCAGGACAAACTAACTCGCGTCTTGCTTGTTTAATTGATTAATGAATGATTCGCTCACGGGCCACTGCTGAGAAAGACCGTCTAGTTCCATCTCCCTCGCCGCCGCAATCTGGCTTCCCCGGATCTTCCCCCGCTTACTATCGTCCAAACTCTCTCCCACAACTCCTTGTCACGCTTAGGCTTCTTTCTCGCCAGTCTCACCAGAAAAACTCTGCGTCTCTCATTTCATTTTAAAATAACAGCTCCGTTCTTTTTCCGGCCCCTACCCAATGACCTATGGCGACCGCTTCTTCTTGCTCGAACTAACCAACCTCGACATCGTGCAATCGCTTGTAATTATCCAAGAAAATATGCTTGGGAACGGCCTGACAGACACAGACACACCGAAGATAAAGACACAATAATCTACTGAGATAGAATATAAAGTACCCCACCGAAAAGGCGACATCGGCTCGGTTCCTACATGATGAATTTTGCAAGATCCGAAGCCCGTCAGCCGCGCTCCAGAGCGTCACCTCCGCCGCCTGGCCCATTTGGATGTGAGTCCTGTGGCCCTTTACACCCTCAAGTCGGTACTTGTACTGACGGCATGTCTCCTTTGCAGATTCCTTTCTTCCGCCGCATGATACTCCCCACGACGCCGGTCCGGCTCCTCCCCCCGGGCCGTCTCTTCTCGATGACAGCGAGTCCAACATGCTTGATAGTTTCTTCACAACGTTAAATGGCAGTCAGTTTGATGTTGGAGATTCTTGGTTTCAAGATATCACCCATGATAATGGCGGAGGTGCATTTTCGTGTGACTGGGCAGAGGGATTGCCCCCTAATCTGGAAGGCTCAACAACCTCTTTATCACAACCACCAATTCTTTCTTTGAATTCAGCCAAGTCATCCGGCAGCCTGATGGGGGGTCTTGGTCCGGATTCCGATATACTTGCAGCGGCTTCTATGCTGTATGGACAAGGGGGCAACGCCATTAATTTCCCGACCCAACATCTCTTCCCTGATGGTGCTGTGTCTGGAATGTCACCACCCCATCTCGGCCCACAACGCATTAAGCAAGAACAGACACATCGCTCGCTAGGTAATAGAGGTCATGGCTCTCGTCATTTGTCACTTCAGCCTCAGCATACTTCAGTCTTCAATCCGGAAGAGCCGTCGATCTCTGCAGAGCCGCAGAAAGCAGGTGCAGTCCAGACACTGCGATGGGGATCAGATGCAGGCTTTGTCGACCATGGCTATCGTCGACCGGACAATATAGCAGATATAGAAGAGACAACACAAACCTTGCTTGAAAGTATGAAGTGCCTCGAACCGCAAACCAGTACAACCAATACCCGTGCGCCAACGCCGGTCGGAGTATTTGGATTTTCTCGCAACAATAGCAACGGCGCAGGTGCACCTCGTGCTTCTGAGGAAGCCAACCGTGGAGATGGAGACAACGACAGCTTAGCCCCAAGAAAACGCCCAAAGATGGAAAAGGAAGAGGACGAAGAAGACTATGATGACAGCAGCACACCCCCTAGGCTAAAAAGGCCGAAAAGCTCATCTGGAAGCAGACTAAAGCGCGGCTCGAGTGAAAGCGCTTCGAAAAAGCCCAAGACGCAACAGAGCAATAAAACAGCCCGGGAAAACTTGAGCGAAGAACAGAAGCGCACTAACCACATACTCTCGGAACAAAAACGTCGCAATCTTATCAAGCAAGGGTTTGATGAACTATGCTCACTTGTCCCAGACCTTCGGGGTGGTGGGTTCAGCAAGAGTGCCATGCTCTTGCAAGCGGCAGATTATCTCGACGAGGTGCTCAAGGGCAACAATGCGCTCCGGCAACAACTATCGCAACTCAAGGCAGTTAACGGCTACGTGATGCCTCGATAGTTCTGTCGGAATTACTGTTGTTGGAACTTTGCGCTCTTCCATTTAGTTTTCCCGTCTGTTCGCCTGCATTGTCGTTCTGAGAGTCGATTGCGCATGCGAGCAATTCTAGTCGTTTCCATCTCGCCTTCATTCTAAGATACCCTTCAAACCCCCTTCTAGGAGCCATTGGTCATAACAACTTTTCAGTGTCTGGATGTAATTTTTTTTTCTACCGATAGTTTCATCGATAGTTGCACATGAAAAAAAAAAGAAAAGCGGAAGCTCGCCATCTACGCTGCTTACTGCTACAAAAAGGATATGCTTCACTTAGATGCATTCAGACTATTTGTGATTATGTCGCGTAATTAATGAATTGTGTATGATGTGTGCCATGTACCGTGGGCTTCTTTGTCGATATGCCATAATTATAACTAGTAACTAAACCAAAACATATGACATCCGGTCTAGCTGCACTCGTGGCCGGCGGTCTGAGCTAAGGTTGGCGGCGCCGCGGTGGAGATTCCGCAATCCCGCATAGATAGATAGATTCGCGACAACAATCGATCCATCCAGCTGCAAAGCACGGAACAAACAATTAAATAGCAACGGCCCTACGCCAAAATTGAACCAAAGCAGGCCAATAATAATTTTCATCCACATTGTGCCTATTCCTCTTGCGAACCTTGATCAAACCATATCGTTCTTTTACTAGTTTATCAACTAACCGCCGCGCGTGTCGATATCGCGATGGCCTCAAAAAGAAAGCGGACGGCAACTGCAGACCCCGAGGAAAGCGCCACGAGAGAATCAAAACGGTTTGCCTGGCTGAAACCGCATGTCAAGAACGTCTCCAAGCATACCATCAAATCGAAATGGACTGCTCTTCCGGAGCCAGTCCAGGACAAAGTCCGCAGCATGTTTCGGTCATTGGAGAGACCCGTCATTGTCCGCCAACGTGATGAACGCAAGCGCATTGAAGCTCAGACAGCATTGACTGCTGTAGTCAAGACGTACGTACACCTTTGCCGACTGTTCATGCAGCTACAAGCTATAGCTTTATGATCACTATTTCAGAGGAAATTGAATCTAACCTGCATTTGCCATTAGTCTGGAACGCCGCCTTCCTCGCATGCCATTCCCACCGCTTACCAAAGATACTGTATTTGACCACGAATCTATGCTGAATGAGCATGTACGTTACGTCCTAACGTCTCACAATTTTCCGATGTGTTGCTTTTTGTACTGATTGTCTCCAGCGGGTCTTGGAGACACAATTGTCTACAACGAGAAATACAATCGATCTTTTGAAAATGGAAGTCGAGCGTGAAGAGGCTCTTCTAGCCAAGGAACTCAAATACGTCAAGGAAATGGAGAAAAACGCGAAACAGGCTGAGAGTGAGCGCCGACGCCAAATGAAAAATGTATTTTCTACTCTTTCCCCCATCTCGAGTGACCCTGCAAGCAAATGCTGACTCGTATGAAAAAAAAAATATTATTAGGAGCACCCCGTCCTCAGACATATTGACGATAAGCCCTCTCACATAAATGAATCTCCAGCACCGTTTGTTGTCGTTGATTCCTCAAAAGACCAGACTGCGCTATGCGAGGTATGCATAGCTAATTCCCATTTGGTTTGAGTAAATGCTAACCAAAGACTCAAGATCGAACCTGATCCCGAATTCCAAGCGCTAGTAACACAGCTCAACGGGCATCTCAGTTCGATGCAAAACAACTTTGCGCCCTTCGCCGCATTGCAGGACGCCATTACGGAAGCGCAAGTGGCTCTGGATCTTGTTCCGCTTCCACCAGATTGAGCTTCGTGCTCCCTCCGGCACTGTGATGAGGTGTCACCATTCAGCCCGAAGTCCGAAAACCTGTTATGGGAGAAGTAGACTGTTCTTGGCCCAGGATCCCGGCCGGGGATGCATGTAATTCCCAATCCGCCGTCCACACAATGAGCTCTATGATACGTGGGACCTGCTTGTGACTGTATCGCGGGCTCGTTTGAAGTCCCAGCTGATACTCGACCGAGGCCATACCAAATATTGAAGCCTCTACTTTAGAAAGAATATAATATATTCCAAGATTAACTATCTATATTATACCACGCAAACTCCTTTCCAACAAGCTATATGTAGTCTACATATAAATAATAATCCACATGTCCGGAAACTTGCAAGCGTGTGCAGCATCAAAATGCGGAGAGTATCTACTACCTAGGTAGGAAGCGTTCCGAGAAAAAGACCCGCGCCCAGCCAGAGAAAGAAAGACTCCACAACTTCCGAACCTTTGGATCTCCCCGTCAGTTCTCGAGCCCGATCACAATTCGCATTGGCTTGCCTATGGTTACATGCCAGTATTCCCCTTTCTGATCAGCAGCGACTTGTCCGTCCGTTTCTAAATCGTCTTCGTCTTTTTCTCATTCGCACTCCCTCTGCCATACCGTCGCCCGCCACAGCTGGGCTCCTCCCCGCATTGCCCCGAACAACGGACTGAAAGAGACACCATGGCGGAGAATACGGAGTCGTCTGTTCTTCCAGACAGCAAGACAAAGGAGAATAACAATGCAACGTCGTCACAAAATGGGAATCCCCCTCCACCACCAACAATAACGACAAAAGCCATTGAACAACAGCAGATAGCACTACCTGCCAAGGCCGATGCAGCTGCAGGCCAAGCTCATGCGTCGCCCAAAAAGCGTCGCAAAGTCAATCATGGTATGTGCAGTGCCCGTGTAACAATGGACCAATTCGTGGGGAAAAAAAAAAGGTGCTGATGTCCCTTGTCTTTTTGTCGTAGCGTGCGTGTATTGCAGACGTTCGGTGAGTTGTAGTAACCTCTGTCTGGGCTTTGGCGTATCAATTTCTATCTGTCCACCCTCTTGACACGCTCGACTGACTATCAACCTATATCGCGGTGTCTTGATAGCATATGACGTGTGATTCGGTGCGTAATTCTATGGCAGCCCATCAAAAATCTACTACTGAACCTTTGTTTTTTTTTTTTTCTTTCTAATTTCATTTCATGCAGGAACGACCATGCACGCGATGCATCAAACGCAACATCGGCCATTTATGCCATGACGAGCCACGCGAACCTGCCAAGAAAAATCGCGGCGAACATGAAGAAGGCGGAGCTGTCGCAAGCGATTTTGGAAGTTCCCATGGTTTGCCTGAAGTAGGGGGTCAATCAATGCTCCCGGATTCGTCATTAAGCATTCGTCCATCGACTATCGATCCTTCTCAGGCGGTGCAGCCTTCTCCAATCTCCACGGCGGCCTTGGATAGAAATAGTCAGAGTAAGTCGTCCTCCCAATAAAAGTGATAAAGTATACTCCGTTGATCTGTGCTTGCTTTACGTATAGTGTATGGATATAGCGGAGATTGGGCCATGAACGGACAAAGCCAATTTCAGGACATGCACACATTTCACCCGTCATATATGTTCAATGCACCAGAGGTCACGAACGAGTACAACTTGCTTGGCGATTTCCTGAACAACAGTTTGTTGGATGACAATGGCATGTATGGCAATGACGAACTCCAAGGACTGTTTTCGGACTCTTCTTTGATCAATATGTCCACCAATATGAACGGCAGTGCCGCTCCATTTACCCAGCAACAACAGCTATCGCAATTGGCATCACACCAGGCAGCGAACGCGCAGACTACTTCTATGCAACGTCCTACCCCCGCCGTTCCCACAGACAAGGCTCGAGAAAACTATTATATGACCGCTGCGGATCCTTCCGGATCAGATCCTCCAGAGGAAAGAATGAACAAGTTGCTGAAGGCTAAGTATGAAGCTGGCATGTTGAGACCGTTCAACTACGTGAAGGGTTATGCTAGGCTGAATCAGTACATGGAGCAGCACATGCAACCAGCATTGCGCCACAAGATCCTCCGTCAACTTGACAAATTCCGCCCAAAGTTTCGAGAACGAATGCAGAGTCTAACCGATATTGAGCTTGTGCTCTCCGAAATGTGGTTCGAGCGGAGTTTGATGGAATATGACCGAGTCTTTGCCAGTATGGCTATACCCGCTTGCTGTTGGCGACGAACTGGCGAAATTTTCCGCGGCAATAAAGAGATGGCTGAATTGATCAATGTGCCTATCGAAAATCTAAGAGATGTCCGTGACTGCAACCCCTTCCTTTTTCAATTCTAACCAGTCACTAATCCATAGTCATCCTATGTAGGGAAAACTTGCTCTGCACCAAATCATCACAGAGGATCAGCTTGTCAGTTACTGGGAGAAGTTCGGCGCTATTGCTTTTGATGGCTCTCAGAAGGCAATGCTCACCAGCTGCACTCTGAAGAGCCCGGACGATGACCACCAAACCAAAGGCATACCCTGTTGTTTCTCGTTTACTATTCGTCGCGATCCAAATGCCATGTAAGCTTTTCTCCTATTGGATTTGTGTGTGAAGTTCGTTGACTGACTTGCTCCTTTGTTAGTCCTGCACTGATTGTTGGGAATTTTCTTCCTTCTGAGAGGCACCATTGATTTCTGTCTTTCTTTTTTTTTTCTTTTGTTTTTCTTTTGGTTTTACCTGTATATGGCGTTTAGGGGACTTGATACCATTCGTTTTGAACGAGTACTTATGTATGTATTGAGTTGATTGCCTTTGAGCTGCGTGTAAATAAGACGAATTATATCCTGAAATTTCAGGCATTGTTCTTGGAAAGTTGCTAGTTTAGGAAGGAGCCCGCTGGCATACGGCACGCACCTTCCGTTGCAGCCAACGTATTCATCTTCATCTTCATCTTCACTTTCATTTATTCACTACACTGTGCAGCCCTGTTGGAGAATCCAATTCAGATTCAGAAGACAAGTAGCTTCCCGGAATTTGGGATTGTCTGTCTCGAGCCATGGATCTTGACGAAAGCAACCAGGACGAGAATGCCGTCTCAATTTGTGGTTTGTGCTCTTTAACATTGCGTATACAGACACAAACTACATGCATCTCTACTTTTCAACGCATGGTATTGATTGAGTCTGACTCGCATTGTTCTGCATAGCATTCGCTGCCGACGTCATGTCTCGGATGGAAGACACATTGTCCTTCTCGCCCTGGATGCAAGAAAACGAAGTGCATGAAGCATTGGTAAAGATTTTCGGGATGTTTCCGCTCTCGCATATGGCGTTGTCATCCCGTTCATTGAAGCTCCTGGATACAACGGCCACGGCATTGTGGAATGCTTTTACGCGGTTTCTGCAGCGTACCGATGGTTCGGTTGAAGTTGATTCGTCGCTTTTTCGAGGTAAGGATGGTGTCATATATAAATGCAGCAGGGAGGAGTACTAACGCAATTGCTTTCAACTAGTGCCCTTGCTTGCGTGCCATATGTTGGAAAGCTGTTGTTCAGGCACTGCAAAGATTCTGCAAGTATTGATAAAAAGCGCTGAGTTTTGCTTAGGTATCAAATACGACTATTTGAACTCGAGATTGTTGCTCATTCTAAGTTATAGGGGCGGATATGATCGAGGAAGTCACTAGCATTCTCCAAAGGGCTACCGCTAAAATTGAGACGCTTGATTCTAGAGAGCTGTCTGATGCTGATTTTCAGGAGTATGTGGCCAAATATCACATAATATGTGCGTGGATGGTAGGAGATGAACTATGCTTCCTTTTAATTTCAAGCATCTAATTACCCAGGGTAGGCGTTGAAGAATGAAAATTCCGAAAAAGTTGGTTTGAATATCGCAAGATTTCCCCAAGAGGCCATTAGAACAAGTCCATTCCTTGGAGAGCGTTACGCCAGAATATGCCTTTTTGCACTTCGACAAGCATCCAGGAGTGATTTGAGAGATTTAGCAGAGTCATCGATGCAAAAGTTGTCTCAAACATATGACATTTTACGCCAGTGTGGCCACGATGTTATTGATAATCCAAAGTTGAATTCGGAGCTTTTTTTCACCCTTGGTATACGCCCTGCAGACCCTTAACAAACCTTACAGTTCTTGCTAAAATAACAAAGGTACCGCAAATTTCAAGCACATGTCGGAAACATTCAACAACCTGGCAAGCGAGCTACTCCAGGCAGTCGAACAGGTTATTATAGCCACTGGTGCTGTTTATTTCATTCTCATATTATTTTATAGGGCCATGAAAGTCACATTGATAATCTACTGCGGCTGGAAATGATGACCAGAAACAATGAGCCTGATGTTGAGATGTTTTACCAAAGTAAGCATCCTAATTCGCCGTTGTATATCATAGCTGATTTCGAAAGCTTTGGCAGAATACATTACTGCCATGGAGCCAACCATGGGCAATTTCAGAAGGTAAAAACGTGTTCCCTAAAGTCAAGGTTGAATTAACGCGAGAAGATCCTTGCAGTACATTTGCAAGTTCCGGTTTCAAGAGTAAGTCTTCATGATATATGATACTAATCAAACATGCTAAGCGATCAGTCCTGGTGAAGCTATGAAAGTGCTGAGGCTTCTTTATGAGACCCTCAGTTCGTTTCCACATAACGAGAAGTGGCTAAATCAGAACTTTGTCGCTCTGATACGTCTTGTTTCTTCGCCACCATGGAGGCATTCAGAAGGCCTGAAATTTCTGAGTGACATCGCCAATATTTTTCAGAACGAGATGCTGCCGAAATCACTGGGTACTGCAGCGAGCGATGGATCTTTGATTGTTTGATACCCCAAACTATCATTGTATGCACTAGGCTTTGTACTGATACTACTCTAGATCCTATGGAAGTACATCGAGTCGGCATCCCTGAAGGGCGATTACTTAGAAGCCCAACAATGGTGTCGTTTTGGTCAACACGCCCTGTTTCAGCGAGCTAGTCCTTTAAATAGAGCAAACATACTGAGGTACAAGACATGAATATACAACGAGGTTCTCGCCACTAATGGAATATAAATAGAAAGCTGATTTATTGTTCATTCCAAATTGGAAACTTTTCCGAGATCAAATGCGCTTGGGAGCTGCTGTCTAAAGATGAAAGGGACCCGACAACGATACATATCATGTACCAGGTGTCACTAAGGGATTCAAACATTATCTCAGGTGAGGTTTCTGTGCTACTCTAATTTGATAATCTAACGAAAAACGTAGCGGCAAATATATTAGTAACGATGATCGAGCTAGAGAATGGAGAGCATCGCTACGCCCTAGCTGCCATAGCTGCAGCAGGATGTTCTCAATTAAGGCGAGAAGCTCTTCAGAGCGTTTACATTCTGATCGGGAAACATTCAACTGTTTTGAAGAAAAAGCCGATCAATCTTGATTTACATCGGTAGCTCAACGACCAAATTAACCTCCTCCTATTGGTTATGCTAATGAAATTGACATCTAGAGCTTTGGTGAGATTAATTTTCCGCGAATTGCACGAATATACTGAAGACAAAGAGCCCCTGAGAGAGCAGATATGCGAGGTTTTAACATGGGGTGAGCGGATAGTTTTATATGAGTGAAGGAATGATTTGGAGTACTAAAAACCCTGACAGTGATGCGAGAAATTAAACAGAACCAACCAGACTCAAACGAGTACGACTGGTTCGTCCGTTCCACTTATGCGATTCTCTTAGAAGCATCTAGAGACTGGGCTGCGGACCATCTGTTGTTGCTCCTGGATATCTGCCTTGAAGTGAGCTGCCAACCGATGTGAAATATCAGATCAAGTATATTCATAATGCAAGCACAGGTCTATAGCTGACAAGATGTGATAAAGCTCATCGATAGGTACCCAAATGATGTCGGGTCCCATGTCAAATCTGAGATACATCACCGACAAGTTTCATGCAACCTTCTCGGAATGCTTATTAATTCGAACATGGCTCGTATTGAAACAGAGCCAGTAAGAAAGGTAAGCTTATAAATATTCACTCGGTTTTATGTTGGTTGCGAATATTGATTGCCCCAACGAAATCATTCTATGCCAGTGTAACAAGTCACTGGGTGAATCTTCAGACGGGAAATATTGCCTCAGATACGATAGTCACTACTAAAAAATACTGTCAAATTGTTTGCTTCAACCTTGAAGCTATCATCCATTTAGAAAAATGGGCAGAAGCAGAGGGATTTATCAGAGAGATAAGTGCCATGAGCGATGATATTGATATCCATTCCACAGTGGCAGATATTATCTTGACCTCAGCACAAGTGCCGCATGACTACCTTATACGCAGTCTTCAAGTATGTCCTTCCATACTAAATCACAAGTAGTAACTCACTAATTATCCAAACAGGTGCTAGTCATACATATAAATTCCACCAAACTCCCCGGTTATATCAGATGCATCTTCGATATTTGCATTCACAACCATGAGACCAACACGGCACTACTACCTACATGCGAATCAGTGCTTGATCAAGCTTACATTCATGCCCAAGATATGTCCACTTCTATATCCTCCACCATGCGGGATGCGAACGATGAACAACTTGAAGTCTACCCGGACGAAGAATTGGAATATCTGAGCACAACCTCATTTAATCTTGCAGTGGACTTGTATTTGGCGGGACGCCGGGAGGATGCACAGCGTTGGGCGCGCAAGGCAGTTGGTCTGGCGAGGTTGATTAGGGATGGTTGTAATCGTGGGAGATTGACTCAGGTATTGGAAGCGAAGTATGGAAAATGGCTTACGTATGGTGTTGACTAGCTAAGCAGAAGGGGGAAGAAGCAAAAAGAAGAGGAAGGAAATTCAAATTGTCCCCTGGAGAAGTTCTCATCCAGACTTTTCAAGGGGTTGGGTATCTTCTAATTATGGTTATAGAAAAAAAAAAAAAAGGGATATAAAATACAGAAGAGAAGAGGAAAGAATGCAATGAACCCATTGAGAAAATGAAAATCAAAGTGAGAAAAATTTATAACGCCGTGAAATGATTTTAAAATACGCGAAAAGAAGGAAAAAAGTAGTAAACCTCTGAAGATGTGAGGAAAGTACTTAAGGTAAATGAGTATCAACCGTCACATCCGTCCAACCGTCTAAAAGATACGTCGAATCCATGTCAAACGATCCAAAGTCTGAGTGAAAAAAACACCACACCGATGCCATAATATATTACGAATAAAGTGGGGGAAAACGAAAGAAAAAAAGAAAAAGGATTGAAAGAAAGAATATCTGAATGATGAAAAAGTCAACCCTCGCCATCAGCATCTAGAGAACGACTCCTCGAGACTTGTCTGGCTCCTGATCTCGTTGACAGTAGTGGTGTAGACGGCACGCGTCTCGCGATTTTTGTTAATTTAGCACTTGGTGCCAGGGAAGGAGAAGCGACGATGTCTTGCTTTTTGTTTATGGTGGTGTTATTGCTGCTGCGTTTGTTTTTATTGTTCTCTTTGTTCTCTTTCTCACTGCTGTCCATCTCGGTATCTGGGCTAGAGCTATTTCTCGCTGCGCGCTCACCCAGTGCATGAATAGTTAGGTTAAGTTCTCGATCTAGCTCTTTGGCGTATCGGGGGTATTGGGTTGAGCTGTGTAGCTTCTTTCGGTAGGCTCGTAACGTCCGGCAGACCTGCTCCGTGGACATGTTGAGACTACCGAACTCGCTTGGCCCTGAGGTCTTAACACGTGACGATCGAAAATCAATAGATGATGATTGGCGAAGGCTATTTATACTTGAACGACGATTGGCGCCGTTCAAAAGCTTGGTTTTAGGACTAGGGGGAGAAGGAGATCTCCTTGAGTCGAGGATGGGAATAGGAGATCGGCGAATATTAGGAAGATGTGGTAGCTGTGGTGGCGGTGAATCACCGCGTGAAGAACTCATATTTCTCGGTAAAGATGGAGCAAGTGTATACCGAGAGACTTTCTTGCGTATACGAGGAGGCGATTGCTCACGAACAGGGGTGGGCGTTGCCACAAGACCATCCTGGCGAAATCCGGCAAGTTCGGATCTTGAGAGGATTCGACGAAGTGGAGGCTTGGCAGCAACCAGTTCCTTTGACGGGGTCTCATCTTCCTCGCGGATATTGCCTTGTGAAAGTTCCTGGGCCTGTTGCTGTTGAATTGACAGATCCCAGATCATCACCACTCCGTCAAGGCCAGTGCTGACCAAAACACGGCTCACCTCTTTCGTGGTGCTGCTCTTCGGCCGCTCCAACAAGATAACGTCACTGACACCTTCCGAGTGCCCAAATTCTTTGGTTAATAATCCATCTCGCTCAAAGTCGTAGACCCTGATAGACTTGTCAGTAGTTGACACGCCAACCAGGATACGGGGGCTTTGCCCGGGTATTTCGCTAGCTACAGTGAGAGAGCTCATCACGACAGCGTCGTTGGACTCAAAATCAATAGCCTTGAATGAGTGGATATGTCGTCCAGAACCAACGTCAAATCGTTGTATGTGACGGTCAATAGTTGAAATCACAAGAATATCTGGGTCGTCGGGGGCGATGGTCATTGACAGCGGCGAGACCTTCAGAGTGATGACCTTGCACATGAGAAATGCAATTACAGTGGACGTTTCAGTATCTCGAGTAGCTTTTTCCCGAACAATCACCGTTCGATCGGCAGAACAGGATAGAAGGCGCTCTCCATCATTCATGAAAAGCAATTGAACAACAGCCCCGACATGATCATCCATTGTCTGAATTAATTCAAAGGCGTCCTCAGTCTTCTTGAAAAGCTGAACCATACGATCTCGACCAGAGCTTGCAACCAGACTCAGACATGGTGTTGTGCAGTGAATGGCAATGTCGGTGATTTCAGCACCGTGAGCTCGCACTTCATTCACGCATTTCCAGGGATTCGCGGAAAATATTCTAATTTTGGTTAGTATCGCTACTTTAATGCAGTGCTGTTACATGGGCGAGATAGAAGAACTTACTTAAGCACACCGTAGCGATCACCGGACACATAATTATCGGCATCCTCTGCTACCCGAAGGACTTTAAGTTCATTGGCTGCCTCGTCTTCGCCTGATGCCAATTGTTCAAGTTCGACTTTCTTTGATGCTTGACATTTGCCCTGCATGTTCCAGAAATTCACAGAACCCTCGCATGACCATGTGAAAAAGTCGGCCTCGTACATATTTGGCCTTTTCAGTGGTCTAACACCCAGGACCGGGTCTCGATGGGCTGGAACCTGACTATTTTTGAAAGTATCATCGTCATCATTGCCGTTTCCAAAGACATCGGCAGGACAAACGTGAATAGCTCTCGTAGAGTCTACTGTAACTATGTGGCTTGAAAGGTAGGCCATGGATATAAAAGTTGGCGCCTTACCTTTCATATTCTGATTCTCAAGCGGAGAAGTAGGAGTTGGTGATCCAGGCTTGAGCCATTCGCGTATGTCTTCCATTTTTAGCTTCAAAGATTTCCTTCCTCGGCCACCTAGCCAGACAATGCCAGAATCGGGCGCGAACGCAACGGAAGTAAGCCCGAAGGGCGCATATTTCACAATTGTCAATTTCTGAGCACCTTCACCGTCGTCAAGCAAACAGATAGCGCCGCCATCTGTGCAGAGAATAGCTTCATTTTCCGATACACTAGCAATGCAGGTGAACGTGTGTTCACCGAGCGAACCCAAGAGGCAATTGCGTCCAGACAAAGCTTTCGGATTACTAGAGCCATTCGTGTAGTTTTCACTGTTGGGACGCAGTTTGGAAGGCGATCCGGGCTGTCCATCGAGTCTCCAAACTTTGACATGGCGAATGCCGGCACTAGCGAATACAAGTTAATAAAAGTCAGTTCAGCAGAATATATCAAGAGACGTGGTAGAATTACGTGATTAGTGTTTGACCTATCCAGCACATGTCACGAATGAATGACGTGCATTTGTTCGTCGAATGTAGTTTTGCGACACCAGTCCGCAAGTTGATTGCCCAAACAAAGAGAAAGCCATCATTCATGTCTCCTAGAGTCGCTAGATATTGTGAATTGGAACTGAAGGCGAGGCTGCGCACGCCAAAGGTATGCTCCGTCAAGGCTGTTAGAGGGACATCGCGGGGCGCATCAGGAGCTGTAGAGAAGATCAATACGCGGGGATTATAACCGGTCTATAGTTTATTTATTTACTGTTAGCGTACTGCGTAACTCGGCTGACTTGGGTTGAAGTTTCATGAGCGAAGCTTACCTCTCCAACGGCCAAGAATCTCCCATTGGGACTGATAGCAACACTTGTGACCGCTTTTATTCTTTCGCGCGATGTCCATGTGCGAGAACCACTGGAGTCCGCGCAATCGCCACCAGGGGATGGTCCTCCGCTAGCCCCTAGTCTGTTAGCAATCGACCTGACGCGGTTATCTGGCGTTGTAGGACTCGTAGGATGATTGTAAAATGAGACGACCGGGTTTACCGGAGAGGCGGTGGGACGAGCGCGGAAGAAACGTTGATTGACCGTCCCATCTGGGTCGATATCTGCTAATATCGCCGCAGATCCCACGCACAGGGCAAAAGATCTGCTGGTTTCGTGTGAAGAGAAGCCATTGGGAGTAGTGGTGGTCGTTCCAATCACCGTCTGTAGGGATAGAATGGACTGATGCGGTGAGGGTTTATTAGGCGAGCGTGTGCCAGGTCTCAGGATGGGTGAATTAGCAGGGGTAATTTTCAGAGACGCTCCGGGCGTAGGCAATTTGGACTTTGTATTCCACGAGTTACTGGCCATCACATCGACGACTGAGTCCCTCTTCTTTATTCGATAGCCGGGACAGGTCGAACAGCATGAGGCTTGCAGATAGAGGCATTGGTCGGGCCCTTCATTTAGTGGGCACGTTTTCGTCTTGAAGACAGCTCAGTTCAACGTCATCCCTTGATTTGCTTGTATTGATAGGTCACTCCGATGAGCTTGCGGCCAGTAATCGTGGTAGGGTGGGCGGTGTGAGGTTTGTTTTGTTGTGAGGGGAATCTCGTGTTCGTAAACAATACGTAATAGGAATAAATAGTGAGGTAAAAGGTAAAAAAGTTAAACAAAATTGTGAGGTATCCAGCAGCAAGTAGAAAGGAGAGACACGAAAGACGGATAATTAAGAGAGTGTAATTTTGCGAGCGATTGCTCCTGCAAAAGGGTCGTGATATGGAGAAATACCAAAGCAACCGGGCTGGCAGCTGCGCTTGAAGGCTAAATCCCAAAACGGCTAGTGCACACTAGTCCGTAATGACAAATGCAAATAGGGCGCTATGATTGGCGGCCTTGATGCAAGGAGAGCTACCCGATCCAGCGCAAATATGTGGGACCTTTGAAGCATTCTGGTTGGTGGGCTGGTAGATAGCCACCTTACCCAACTGGATGTTAGCACGTACTAACCGCTCTAGGCTTAGTATAGTCGTGGTCTACTTTGGAGTTTCCAATGTTTTGTAATAATGTTAATTTAACGACATCTAAACAAATCAACAAGGAAGACTGCGTGGACTGTCACTTCTAGGTCAATCCCAGTCTCCATCGAGGACAACCTCCTTGCCTGTTTCCTTGGCCTTGAGGACTTCGTCAATCGTCCATGGCCGACATACATGACCAGGAGGGATATTTGTGTTCACGAATTCAACCCCGCTAGTCAGGTTTGCGAGCGCCTTCTCGTAGTTTTCAATGGCATACTGCTCTGGATCGTGTTTCCAGATCCAGCTACCAAGTATTCCAATTGGCTTTGTCTGGGATGCGCTGGCGTTGGCAGAGCGATTGCGCATCTCATGATTGAGGATGCCTAGCAGTTGCAGACAGGAGACCCGTTCAAACCTGTGATAATGATCTCAGAACCAGGATACTGTACAGGACGCTGAGGGTCTCTCAAAAAGGGATCATGACGAACCTAAGCTTATTGTGAACACGGGTTGCCCAAGGGACATTCTCTTTCCCAGCAATGCGCAAGCAAGCCGCCAGCGAGACGGCATCTTCCATTCCTTGCGTAGCACCGTTCCCAGAGGATGGAAGGAAACTATGTGCCGCATCACCTACTTGAACCACTCGCCCGGCCGGGGAAACCCAGCACGGTTGAGGCTCCCGCCACATGAGTTTGAAATCGTGGATCTGGTCCTTGGAGGTCATCTTGATCAATCGATTTGCAAAATCGGGCCAACCATTGATTGTGGCGGTAGTCTGGAGAACGACTTCGGGCTCCACCCAATTTGACCAGGACTCGATGCTGCTTCCACGGTTCTATCATAATATTAGTGACGGTATATATGCAGGCGGGACTCGTCCTTGAACTATACTGGGTATGTGAGGTACCAAATCATATCATCCTTCGTCCTACCAAACAGGGCATATACGTCCTCTCTAGATCGCAGTCAGCAAAACATGGGTTGAGACCCGGCGACGACATACCCCATCCATAATTGCGTGCAAGGCATCCCGTTCTCCAACAAGGGGAATTTCTCCTCAATCACAGGATCCACAAGAGCCTGATCGATAGGCAACAACGCGCGATATATTGAAAACCCCGTCGGGCGGGCTCGCGCTTCATGGCCCAGAGTCGTACTATACGACTTACTTCCAATCCCATCCGCGGCGACCACAACGTCTGCTTCGACCTTGTCGTTGTTTTCCAGAATCACAGTCGCCTTAGAAGCATGTGAATCTTCACAGTATTTCAAAACGTGTTTACCATATTCCACTGTGAGTCCAGCGCGCTCCACCTGATCCGCCAGCATCTTGTGCAAGTTCGGACGACTATGCCTATAAATTCTTGCGGTCTGCTCGCTGTCATGGTCTTCAGCGCCGTCAATTTTTGGGGCAGGATTCGGACGGAACGGTCCCGGGCCAGAAATCAAGTCTCCATTGATCTTATGCCAGGAAACCCACATCTCGTACGAAATGCGTTCGTTTTCATCCGCCATATCTGGCCAACGCTGCAAAGCCCGTACTGCGCTGGTCCCTATCGTAAGGACATCACCTAGGTACCGTCAGCCAGTCACTTACGACGACAACTGACGTTAAATTTATCAACCAACTAGCTGAAGGCTATGGAATGACAACTGCCACGATAGATCTACCTGTTAAAAGTCGTGAGGGAGCTTTTTCCAGAATCCGTACATCATGCCCCTTACGCCAGCACTCGAGGCCGGTTAGTAAACCCGCGACTCCTCCGCCCACTATCAAAACCGAGATACCCGTTGGTGGTGATCTTTCAGGTAGCCTGGCGGGGGAAGATGAGGCCTTCGCTTGCTGCGGTGGCAGATGCGTCCTCGTCGCAGAATTGGATTCCAGGTCGGCCTTCATGGTGTGATCCGCTTGGCAGGTAGTTAAAACAGGAAGCAATCAATTATAAGAAGCCTGATTTGAACTTTCACTCTTCCTTTCTCTTCTGAGTCTTCGCTGGGGAATATCCTATAATATCCTACGAAAAGTAACGAGTCTTTGCAAAGTCGAGTCATATCGGAGCTTGTTCTGCATATATTGATTTCAAATACGGAGATGGAGGCTACCTTTCGCCCCATTTCAATGATTGGACGTTTCTATTTGTCCAAAGTTCGCGATTCCAATGAGATGAAACGGCTCGTGACTTGTTTCGGAGTCGGAGAAAGCGGTATGAATCGGCTGCTATTTGATCATGACCCCAAAAGTATTAGCTGGCAGTATCTATTCAGTACTGTACCTGTATTGGCGATTATACGTACTAAAGGTACTCCGATCCGCCTCCGAGACACCGACTGCCTACGCACCGAGGATCCTGAAACTCGGTGGTATCCATGGATACCATCAGCACTGCCCTTAGGATGCAGGATGGACTGCCGATATTCTGGAGCTGACGTCTGCGTTTCTACGGAGCGCGGAGTGAAGGTTTGATCAGGCAGAAATTAAGAATACCCAGCTCCCTATCTCCTGGTTTCTATACCTCCAGTGGAAATCGACATTTGCAATCTGTACAGTACATAATACATACATGTTTGTCAGTCGCCGTAGCCCACACACCATTGAACACACATCCCATACTCATCCTCAACAATGAATGCTGGCGCTGTTATGCAGGCTCTCGTGGGCGGCGAGTCTGGCGGGTACCGGCTCGCCGATGACATTCCCATCCCTGCTCCAAAGCCAGGCACGATGCTATGTCGAGTACATGCCGTCGCCTTGAGCCCCTACGACGCAAAGATTGTAGACTACTCCAACACGCCCGACGCAGTTGGTGGCTGTGACTTTGCCGGCGTCGTGGTGGAAGTAGGCGAAGGCGTGACGCGGTTCAAAACGGGCGACCGCATTCTCGCAGTGACTTTTGGTCTCTCCGCCTCCGACAAGAGCGCGGGTGCGTTTGCAGAGTATGCGCTCGCGACGGAGGACCTAAGCTGTCGCGTTCCGGACGAATTATCCTTGACGCAGGCGAGCTCGATGGGCTTGGGCATTGCGACGGCTGGTCTTGCCCTTTTTCAGGCACCCGGGCTGCAGCTGGCCACGAAGCTGGTTCCCAAGGAGGAGTCCGACGCGAAGGTATTTGTTCTTGTTTCCGGGGGGGCAACGGGCACAGGAACTATGGCAACCCAGCTCTTGAAAGGGTGAGTTCAAAGTCTCGCGATTAGTGTCTCCGCACCTGGAAAACGTACGTTATTCATTCTTTCTGTTTACAGCGCTGGCTACATACCCATAGTCACCTGTTCACCGTCCAACAACGCCCTCTGCGAATCCTACGGTGCTGTAGCTTGCTTCGACTATAATTCCCCCACGTGCGGTGCCGACATCCGCGAGTACACCGACAACAGCCTAACTTCCGTCTTCGACTGTGTTACCGACGCAACGACGATGAAGATGTGCTACGAAGCCATTGGCTCTTCGGGCGGGAAATACGTTGCCTTGGAGGCCATTGCCACGACGATCAAGTACACGCGCCGGGATGTGGCTGCAGACTGGCTGATGGCTCCCACGATTTTGGGAACGCCCGTCGAGCTCCCGGGAGCGTATGGGCGCCCCAGCACGCCGGAGCACAGGAGATTCGGCACAGACTTGTTTCTGCTAGCCGAGAAATGGATACAGAAGGGCGAAATCAAGCATCATCCGCTGGAGATTCGGGAAGGGGGTCTGGCAAGGATCCCGACCTATGTTAATGACTTGCGGGTTGGAAATGTGCGGGCCAAAAGACAGGTTGTCCCATTAATTTGCTAGGTAGAAAACATCAGAGTCTCTCACAGGCGAACTTTTACCCAAAAATTCTAGGCAACTTGGGCATGGGGATTCTCACCAGTATATTTGGAAAACCCCTCATGTAAAGGGTAAACGTCCGGAGGCTAGTACGAGAGAATAGACTACGTTTAAATTGCTTCATGATTGCGCTCAGGAAGTCTCAGCTCGATTATTTCATGAATGCGTGACATTTCACTACATTTCCGTGCTGCCTGCACAGCTAGGTCGGCTAAGTGGTTGGGGATTTTACAAGACTGCCAATGTCTGATCTTGAGTCTTGATTACTTTAAATCGGAATATTCATAGTAAGATTTGGAACCTTGCATCAAATCCCGACGCCGACTCGCAAAGTCGGCGGCGTCGGATCGGCTGCCGGTTATAAGCCCAGACCTGGAAGGATATACGGAGTACTGCTGGCCTTACACATAGACCTGAACATGAGACTTAAACTTCAGCGTTGGAATCAAAACACTTGCAATTTCTTTAGCAGAATTTCTACAATCGCCCATTGCACCACTACTTCTGGAGAATCTCTGTACCTATCAACAGTGCAGTAAATTCTCGCTATTCTCCTTAACTCAAGACGCATACGAAACAAAGAAACAAACAGACACTTTCAGGAACACAGCATAGAAAGCAGGACAGACCATGGCGCCAACGTCTCGCGAAGACATTGAGTTTAAGACCCTTAGTGGTGTCATTCTACGTGGCTGGTTGTACCCAGCCCAAAAGCGCGGACCGGGCATCATTCTTTCTGCGGGGGTAGGTTGACTTTCTGTGCCTAGACCACGACTGAGGGACGCTGCCAAACTGAACCGTGAAAAAATGCAGTTCAACATGCCCAAAGACGTGGTTTTGCCTGACATTGCCGAGTGGTATCGAAAGCGTGGATTCACGGCACTCATCTTCGACACATATGGCATCGGCACCAGCGACGGTGAGCCCAGATGTGATGTGAGTGTTCTCTGGCTTCTTCTAGACGTTGCTATAGTTGACGGCTCGCTCTAATATGCGGCAAAAGACGGACATGCACAGGCGGGTAGAGGACTTCGTCGACTCGGTCACCTGGTTTTCCCAGAACCCGCTGGTTGACCCGGAAAAGATTGCTCTCTGGGGCCTCTGTTTTGACGGAAACATCATGCTCGCAACAGCGGCGACAGACCGGCGTGTCGCCGCCGTTGTGTCGGTCGCGCCCATGATCGATGTCACCGGGGACCCGGAGCGCCGCGAGGCCATCCTCGAGCTCGCGCTGGCGGACCGTGCCGGTCAGCTCGTGGGTGAAGAGCCCATGTATCTACCCCTCGTCGACGAAGATGGTGTCATGCCTCTGGGCCAGGTGTCGGGCTTCGGTTTCTTCTCCGCCATGGAGGACATGAATCTGCCCGTTGAGAACCGCGTCACGGTGCAGAGTTACATGCGGGCCCTCAGCTGGAACATTCTGCATTTACTCCCCAAAATCAGCCCAACGCCCGTCATCATGGTTACGCCCGAGCTGGACCAAGTGTTTCCCGCGCAAAAGCAAAAGGAGGCCTTTGACATGTTGGGGGAACCCAAGGAGCATTGCATTATTGCGGGGAAACATCACTTTGACTGGATGTTTGGGGACATGGATGGCGTTTTTAATAGACAGCTCGACTTTTTACACAAGCACATGAAGCTTTGAATGGATCGTATGCACCCTTTCAGCTCTTTCTTTGTTCTTTTTCCTTTTCATTTTCACATTTATTTTCTTTGAGTACAGTCAGCACAAAACCATCAAATAGAATTCGTGTTCTACTCACTATGTGCGCGGCTTCTTCTCAATCTGTTGCTATTTAAAGTTTATTTCTTTCCTTTACTACGGTCTAGAATCCTTCCTCCATGTGCTTTTGTAATCTCTGAATGACATGCTTGATTTTGGCGTGCTCATCGGGCAGCATCCTCAGCATATTTTGAGCAAGGTCAACAACGCATTGTGAGCCGCCACCGCCGCCGCCTTCGTCCCCGACTTCAAATCCTAGACTAGATGTCAGGTTCGGGGAGAGGAGTGCCATGCTAGTGAAGTTGCCACCATTGGCATCCGCCTCTGAGCTAGCAGAAGAAGCCTTCCAGTTCGCTGTTCGGAGGCTCCGGTCTACACGGCTGATAAGGTGCATGACGAGTTGAAGGACCATCACGAACTGGGCAGAAGACGCCTCATTACTGTGCAAGGCTTGCTTCTGATGTCTATCGCTCTCCGTGGCGGCCATTGACCCTAGAGACCAGCGGATAGAATCACAAATCGCCCTGAAGAGGCCTAGGACATGCTGGTGAGAGGCGAGGGCGAGAAAAACCAGTCCGTAGTCGGTAGTGATGGGCTGTTGCGATTCATGCTCGCTGGACTGCGAGGAGGACAAAGAAGAACTGGCGGGCAAAGAGTTGAAGTTCGCTGCCAGAATACCGTGTATGATACGTACTAGCGCATTGGCGATCTCGAATGCTTCGTTCACCACGGGCGAGTTTACCGTCAGCGGCGGCGTACTACTATCCGCGTGATGGTCCAGTTGGCGAGTAGCACACATGGCCCGGGTGCTAAGAGCCATTACTTGCTTGGTCAGGGCGTCGACCACCGAGCTTTTGTTGTTGTTCCCACTGTCTCGAGAAAGACCGGCGGAGCTGGCTTCTGAATTAATGTCGGAGTCTCCCATGTTCGCGTTTCCACCCGCTTCTGGTCCTGGTAGTGTCGCGGGGATTGGAAACAAGTTGTTAAGGTTGTGGTTCCACATATGATGTCGGACGTCGTCGTCGAAGCCGGGCATATCCGTGTCGACAGTAGTGTCGAGCAATGGCATCGTCATCATGTCGTCCAGTAAACCAGATGATGACCCTGGTATAGGAACCCTCTGAGAGAGCACGCCAGTGAGATCTTGACTGCTGAATTGCAAACTTCTTGTATCACTTCTTCGATGATGGGATGTTCGTCTATTCTTCTGTCTTGCTGTAACTTACTTTCCTAGTCAATCATTGATCGAACCCAGCCAGCTAAGCAAATGTGAAGTATATAAGCAAGGGGGAAAATAGATATCACATACAGCTGTACACGCAGGGCACGTCTGCCTTTGCACATCGTTCGCATGGGGCAAGCTGGTCACCGTTGACGGTGGCTTGCAAATTGTGATTCTTCAGGCATCGCACTTTTTGTTGACGGCAGCGGTCGCATGAGTGTCGTTGGGGGAACATTCTCTGTCAAGTATCTAGGTGACGTATAAGAGCTGCAATTGCTTGTGGTAGCCCTATCATCAATTATCAACGAACGAACTCAATGACTAGTATTAATAGTTCATCGTCCTGAACCCCGCGGCCTGATCTAGCCAACATTTTGGATTGAGGAGGCGAAGCTACTTCATGCAAGAACTACTGCGAGAATCGTGCGTCGTTGACAATCTCAGGCTCTCAACCTCTTGAAATGCTTTCAATCCAATGAGATGTCGCCATTTCCGATAACTCGATCTGCCGACCAGTGCCGTGCAAGTCTGCAGATGCTTTGCAGACGCTTTGCAGATGTAATCATACCTTCGTAGACCAGGTCGCTTATAGAGAACAAGTTTCTGCGACTCCACTAAACCTGTTGCAGCAAGTTCAGCCGGCTTGCATCTGTTTCCTTACCACACCAGACTACAATTACTTAAGCCGTGGCAATACTATATATAGTGACTTTGTGTGAATGGATGTCGTAATTACCTAGGTAACGGCCGTAGGCCGTGAACTATACCTTATATCTCGTAGTATACCTATCCCCTATTGGGACAAGGGGCACTAGGGGTAGAAAATGTGGCTGGCTGCCATGGCCAGATAGATGACCCCCTGGTAACTACCTTGGGTATGTACCGAGTACACACTGGCTGTTGCTGCAAGCTGCAATGGTCATACTACGCCTTATTGCCCAACTCATCCTGTTTGTGTTTTAGAGAGAAGAAGAAAAAAATGACAAACGAAAAAGAATAGCAGTGTGTCAAGTTATTATGATTTGCCTAACTTAGAAGTGAAGATGGGGGTGGGAAGGCAAATAACCTCGAAAAATGGTGCCTAGAAGGGAGTCAATACACCAACACCAACGAAAAGTTTATGTATGCTTGTTGTTAATACTCGGATCGACATTAGCTTTACAGGTATCTCTACTGTCAGGAATTTTGACGAATCCTGGTCCGAAACACCCATCACCACCATTTTCCAAGCGGTATACCCCATCCACCATACCTAAAACTGCCCTTCGTACCGAGAAGTGCATGATACAAGCCTGTGAAGCCGTCCAGGATCAAATAAAAAACCAGAGATCAGCAAAATTGAGCATCAATCTGGCGTTACCCAGCGGACTACCGAAAATCGGTTCAAAAGACGTCACCTCGCTCATATAGCCCAGAACTCGGTTAATGGGCCCTTAAGCTTCATCGAGTGGAAGCTTTGATACGATGAAGTGTTTTAATACGTGACTGAAACCTTCCAGGACTCCCGACGGCTAATATAGGCGTGGACAAATGGGGCGCGGGGAGATATTATAAGCCCCAGCGAGGTCAATTTCATAAAATCATTGTATCAAGCTCCTGGGCTGATATTGCTGAGACCCAGCGAGACAAAAATACCACTGCAACTTAAATGTATTGCTACCGGTGGCTGGCAAATTGACTCACGCTTTATCTTCAGATGCACTGGGTCTAATGAAGTGCTGGTTTCATGGCAGCGAGAACATACCACACAAGCTTCTTACCTCATTCAACACACGCTTGCCAACCACTTGATGATGACAAGCCCTTTACCTGATTTGAATGCGTATGATCTTCGCTCATGTACTCCATCCCCGACTAATTTTAATCATCAGATCTTGAAACATTGAAAACAGCCCTGAAATCAATTTAGGTACTATTAAAGTACCAATCAGATATCTCAAAGTATCAAGAAACTGTTTCACCAAAGGTTCAGCCAAATATTACGAAGGTTATTGTCCACCGGCAAATTGCGGCTGAGAATTTCTCAAGTAGCTAGCAATAAACTGGTGCAAATTAGGACCTGACAGCGGATTTTTACCGGTTTAACGGAACTATAAATACTGAATTATTCAGCATGCAATCAGCTCCCTTCAAGGATTTCCGGACTCAGCTAATTGGCCAGAATTAGCTTGGGGTTTGTGGCCTCATTGACGCGTTGTTGTAATTCTATATCTTGAAGTAGCAAATCATGTATTATTTCTTATTAATACTAGCTCATACAGCGCTCCGTACGGCGATCACTAGACGACAGGCTGTGTCGCTTGACTAAACTGGTGTATCAGAACCAAGTGACTCTAGGCACGAAGCGATTAAATAAGTAGTCATCAAATAGAAGAGATTACCTAGTTAGCTAAGTAATGGAAGAAAATGTATCGAGAGTCGTTACCACCTAGACCTTCCCAATCAAACTACCTAGGTAGGCATCGACCGAGGCAAAGAAAGAAGTGCAAGTGCAGGAAATTTGGTACTTTCTCGGTTTTCTTTCTTTCTTTCTTTTTTCTTTCTTTTCATTTAGGGCCAATTGGCTGATAAAATCGACCTAGATAGTCGGTGAGATGCGATCAAAGCTGGCAAAACTCGCGACGTGTCACACCGACAGCGGGAAGTGGCGTGGCATACATGTCAAGTTCGTTCTAATTCTGCAGTTTGCTGCATGTGCAAGCAAGCTCTGTGACGAAAAATCACATTCATGGGATTGCTTTAAGGGCTCAGGGGGAGTGGGGCATGTATCTAGAGTGGGTTCATATGGGGCACTAAATATCTAGGGGCCGGCCGGAGAATTAAATGAGCGGCAGCTTTACCTGATTCGGCACTAGCGGTTTTACCTGACTGTAATTTTCGCCGTAGTCCATAGACGCCTGAAAGCAGGAAAATATGACCAAATACCACCGTGGTGATCTACTTTTCAATTCCCTCAACCATCCCTCCTATTTGCACTGACCTGGGGAAGCCCCACACGGCTACCTCAATGGCATGGACTGGCGCAGCTGAATCGAAATCTGGCCGATTCACATTGCACATTGCATGATAGCCACTAAGAAGATGCACCACTCCCTGGCCAACCTAAAGTGAGCGAAGCACACAAAAAGATGGGGGAGCTGGATTTTTGACAAAGTCCGCAAGAGTTGCTTTGAAAGAGAGAGACATTGTACTGCCATTGCTATGATGCATAGCTAGCTCGTCATGTTATTATACCGAATTCTGAAGCATCACATGTCTTGTTCGGCGGGTTGCGACCTCAGCCCATCACATTTGCTCCGGTCCGTAGTCCGGTCCGTACTCCGCTCCGATCGGTTTTGATACCTGCTTAGATGCCCATACTCGTTATCGATTCCATCGGCGCTATCGGTGCACATCAGTCACGGGCAACAACATTACAATCGTGTTGTGAGTTCGACATAAACTCCAAGCATGATTTAGTTGGAGGCTTCCAAGGTTTTTTTCTTCTTTCTCACTACCCGGAGGGGTCCTTGTGCAGGCAACAGCAGTCCGGCATTTATATAAATGCATACCTAGGTAGGTAGATATTTTCCAACCATTGAGTACAAAGTTTTCTTAGGGCCATCAGTTAATTGCTTGTTCAGACTCGAACTCTCTGCTATTGCAGCTTCCATTGCGGAATCACATACATAGCTTCAACATGAAGGGGTCAGTGGCATCCGATACGGCATATTTCATCGAGCAGCTCAAGCTGTTTATCAAGTATCCAGAAGTCCTGAGCAATGACGAGTCGCACCGTTCGGAAATTCAACGCCTCACTCGCTTGGTATCAGTGGCCTTGGAGACGCCACAAGAGTCCATGCAACGCATCATGTTCACTTATCTCCCCCTCGTCACGGCGCGCCTCAGCAATGAATTCGGCCTTTTGGCCACCTTGACCATGGGCGATGACGCCAACCCTGTGGCGCTTTCTGACCTTATAAAGACCAGCGGCTTGGACAAGAGCCTCGTCAGCGCCATCATGGACTACCACTGCTACCACGGTTCCGCAATTGAGCCTCGGCAGGGGTTCTATGCGCCCACAAAGCTCACTCACAACCTGCTCGACCCCAAGGTTGTCACAACCCTCACCTGCTGGCACGACATTGTCGGCCCTGCTTATGGCTCACTTCATCGGGTCCTGACTAGCGGTCCTAACGGTCCTGACGGAAGCGGGAAGAAGACGGCCTTCCAAGTCACCCACAACACCACGCAGAGCTTTTACGACTGGCTTGAATCAAACCCCGAGCGGCACGCGAGCTTTTACGGGTACATGGCGGCGGTTCATGCTGTCACAAAAAAATGGGTCGACGTGGTACAGTTTGACGAGGAAATCGCACACAACGCGCACGAGAACGAGGTAGTTTTTGTCGACATCGGCGGCGGCGATGGCTCGCAGTCCATCGAGGTGCAAAAGGTTCACAACCTCGGCGGCAAGATCGTCATGCAGGATCGCGCTGCCGTCGTTGAAAAAGCGCAAAAGGCCCGCGAGGCCGGCGTGGAGACCATGGTGTACGACTTTTTCACTGAGCAGCCCGTCAAAGGGGCGCGGGCTTACTTCATCCAATTTGTCCTTCTCAACTGGGTCGACGACGACTGCGTGCGCATCCTGGCATCCCAGGCCCCAGCAATGGGCCCTGACAGCGTGCTAATGATCGTTGACTATGTGCAAGGGCACAGGTGGGAGACCAAGGGCAAGATCCCAGAGCCGGACCTATGGACTCCCGCGGCTGCCCTGGCAGCGCGTGCCTGCCACGAGGCCCAAAGCCGATCTAGCGCTGATTATCGCCATTTGCTGGAGCGTGCTGGCTTGGAGATGACGGAAGTCCGAGTGTTCACCAACTTTGGTCAGGCAGTTATCATGGCCAAGAAGCCCAAGCCAGCTGTAGATGGCTCTTGAAAACCAAGTATAGCTAACTAAGCACTTTTGACTCTTATCATTTCACTCTGTCAAGCAATACCATACCTTAACTTCTACAGCCCCTTGTCAGTAAGCACTGTACCGTCGCTCCAGCTTGTGTATATGTAGTGCGAAGACCTCAGGTAATGCGTATACTAGATGTGACGGTGAGCACACAAATAATGTTCGTCTCTACCCACGAAAACATTGAGCATGGAGGGAAGAAGAAGAAAGAAGAACAAGGGAAGGTCTTCATCAATCCATATACATAGACCTGAAAGGGTAATACTGTTGCTGGTTTGATCCAACGAAGGCTATAATCTCACATCGATGCTTATGTCTAGACGGAGCAGACACAACAAGAAATAAATAGTTTCGTATCGCAAATAAAATGCTGTAAGTGCCGTTGCCAAACTAAATGGAAATAACGGAGTTAAAAGGCGTATTGTCGGACATAACAGGGGCAGGGTCAGGTGACCCGCAATTCCCCGTTCTATATATATCGCGGCTCCCGAGATCCTTCCCGTTGCTCCACCCAAGATTCCCCATTCCCATCAAGGGTCAGTTGTTATCGCGTCGCGCGTTCACCACCACGACCGTCACAATGGCTGCCGCTCCTGCACCTATCCCTCAGCTCACAAAGAGCAAGCCGGAGGGTATCGATCTCTACGCTCGCTTCGCTTTAGCCGGTGCGCTGGGTTGCTCCGTCACCCACAGTGCCTTCACACCGGTCGATGTGTATGTCTCCAGCTCCAGCTTCATCACCACCATCGACTAAAACCCACCACACAGTGTCAAGACTAAAATCCAGCTCGATCCTACTACATACAACCGTGGCATGATTGGTAGTTTTCGCCAGGTCGTCCGCAATGAAGGCATTAGCGCTCTCGCAACGGGCTTCGGCCCGACGTTCGCGGGCTATTTCATGCAAGGCGCCTTTAAGTTCGGCGGATACGAATTTTTCCAGCAAAAAACCATCGATGCTCTCGGTGCGGAAAAGGCTAAACAAAATCGCACAGCTGTTTACATTGTTTCCGCTGGTTGCGCTGAGTTCTTCGCCTCGATCGCGCTGTGTCCCCTAGAAGCGACACGTATCCGCCTTGTCTCGACACCCGGCTTTGCTAATGGTTTGATTGGCGGTTTTGGAAAGATTCTGAAGAATGAGGGCATTGGCGCCTTTTATTCTGGCTTTGGCCCTATCCTCTTCAAGCAGTACGTTCCGTTCCTTCTTCAACCAAAGACTCCCTTATAGTTGGATGCAAACAACATGATGAAGACCGAGATCTAATCTACGTATAGGGTTCCTTACACGATAACCAAGTTTGTTGCCTTTGAGAAAGTTTCCGAGGCCATCCTGAGCCAGTTTGACAAGTCCCAAATGTCTGCTGGTACTTCGACCGCTGTGAACTTGGGATCTGGTCTTATTAGCGGTTTCGCGGCTGCTATCGTGTCCCAGCCCGCCGACACCATGCTTTCTAAGATCAACAAGACGAAAGGTCTGCCTGGTGAGAGCACTGTTTCTCGGCTAATCAAGATCGCTGGGGAGCTCGGTCTGCGTGGATCTTTCGCTGGTCTCCCGACGCGTCTGTTCATGGTCGGTGGCCTCACTGCGGGCCAATTCGCTATCTACGGCGATATCAAGAAGTTCCTCGGTAAGTGTGATTCGCTTGCTCTATTTGACACTGGGATAAACTAATTATGTCCACAGGCGCTACAAAGTAGAGAGGAAGCACGTTTTAGATCATTTACTAGCTTCGCACAGTTTAAGCCAAGCGTTAGATCCTTCAGTCAGTATAAAGATTGAGCCTAGCTTCATCTATCTATGTGTTTGGTAGCGCCACATGTGTACTATTTAGAATTTCATTTGAGCATGTTAACCCATGATGACATCGTCTCTACATTTCTACCCACTTGTGACCTGTGTTAACATTGATAATTGTCGTAGGAAATTTTTACGGCCCACCTGACTGACAGCAACCACGTCCATGTTCTCAAGCACTGCGTTGCAAGCACTCGCAGAATGCAGCACCGCGTGTGTGGCTGTGTCAGTGTCAAAAATGCCCCATGGGATTTGCAGGCGGCCAAGCACCAACTGTGCAGAGATGATGTTACAGGCTTGATCTCAACTTAATACCTTTCTCTTTTCTTGTCAGATTAGAATTTGTTTAAACCAATAGATTTCATTTTTACACAAGCTTCGATCATATATTTCTCAAATGGCATAACATGGTTCAGAAATTCATGACATCCTTGAGAAATGCTAGCTGGCCGCCCAAGAGCTCATCGAAGTTCACATCCTTCAAGAAATTCATATGGCCTCTGCCCTTGACAATCTCATACTTCTTCCGTGGTGACTGCAGGCTGTCAAAGATGCTCCGTTGGAATGCAGGCGGCACGATCTCGTCATCTTCAGGCGTCAGAATCATGACGGGAGTGGGGCTGACGGCAGCGAACAGATTCATCGGTTTCCATTTGGCGTGCCGGTAGAAGCTTTGGATGGTCATCCAGTCGTTGAAGGTTGGGGCGGTCTTCTTGGCGCCGTGGACCCATGCGGGCAAGTGGTGCTTTTGCTCGGGCGTCATATCAGCCAGGTACTTGAAGTACATTAGGTGCTCGCCCTTGTCGTTGAGAAGGGGGATGTACTCGGGTGGATTGCCGCGAAGCTGGTTAGCGCGATCTGCAACTGCGCGCGCGACTATGGCGGGTTCGTCTTCGGGATTGAGGCACCAGTCTGGCATCAGACCTTGCGCGATGACCGCCTTAACGCGCTTGTCAAAGGCGGCGGCTTCGAGGGCGATTCCGGAGCTGTAGAAAAAGCCCCAGATGGCGATGCGGTCTGGGTCGACCCAGCCTCCGTCTTGCAGGAACTGTTCGATCCCGTTGATACCAATTAGCATATTTAGACTCGAAGGACAAAGATGAAATTCACTACCGTGACAGCATCATGGTTGTCCTCGGCTATCTTCTGGGGGTCTAGATCGTTTCGAGGCAGGCCGTCGCTCTGGCCCAGCGTGCGGGCGTCGTAGACCAAAGCCGTCACGCCATTCTTTCCAAACCACTCTGCCACACTTGCTACAAATATCTCTTTAGGGCTGTTGAACTAGTAGTGGGAAGAATTAGTTTTGATGGGTTTAAAATCTTCTTGGCCGGGTTTCGATCTGATGAGGGTTTGTTTGGGGAGCTTATCTTACTGCACCATTAACAATCACTGCAGGACCACCCTTTGGACCCTCAAATAGCCATCCTCGCAGAGTCAAGCCGTCCAGGGTTATGAACTCGACATCTTTACGCTCTCCGCTCATGATGGTGACGTGTCTGTGGAGGCTATTCTGTTACTGCTTGGTAGAATGCGAAAATGACTCACGCCCTTGGATAGTTGCTACAACTCCCGGACAGAGCTTTCGAGGGCGGAGAGAATTTGCACTGATTAAATATCAACTTGGCAAGCACCACTTGGGGAGGGGTAAAGACGAGTTCAGACTGCACTGCGGCAAAAAAAACTTTTCTTCTCGCCATTGCCAGACGTCGACAACCTTGAAGTCTGTCGATCAAAGCAATCCCGATTCGCCCGGAGCAGCTTTTCCGAACAGTCATTACAGGCGGTATTTTACAGATCTGTCCGACACGGTAAACGGGTCGGGCCGTCGGCGGTGGCGGTGGCGGTGAAATTACTTTACCGGTCCCGGCTTAGCACCGACTTAAAACTAACTACAAGCGTACCGCTGGAAAGCTCCATGCACTCATTGGCTCAATGCAATCGCCCTTTACTTTTTATGTTTTCTACATAGTATGTGCATAGTGTATTTTATCAGTCCTCATATTGCCAAGATATCATAAATGCAAGAAGCTTGACAAAAGTGAATAGCTGCTCGCCTAGTATAGTCTAAGAAGTTTTGTAATGGGTTATCTGCAAATATTGATATGAAAATGCTACTTTCATCAAGGCGAATTATCAGTTCTTACTCCCTGCAGTACAAGCTCGATGCTAAAGTTTCAGGTTGTGAGTCCTAGAGATATTGAAACCAATTTACGTAAGTTGAATTGTGAACAAGAAAGTTCATTGTTCTCAACATCAGGGACAGTAATTTCTCATAGTTCATATAGGAGGCAAAATGCCTTAGTATGACCACTACTACAAACTTAAAGCCGAGGAACCGTAGATTGCAAAGACCCTCTCATTATGACTCAAGAGCAAGCAAATTTATAGTACTGGTCAAAAATGTACTTCATTCAATTTTCAACATAAAAGTCTACTTCAGAGTTACGGAAATATGCTTGATTTGATATAAATTAAACAGACGGACCACAATAAATACCGACCAGCACTTTAAGAGCCTTCATGTTGAATGGGCCGTGTGCTGCTGGTGTTGAAGCTCTGAGATCGCCTTCATGCAAGCACGGCTTGGACAGCACCGTGGTTGGTGCCAGGGGAAGTATAGATCTTCTCAAGCTTGAGACCTGCCGCATTGAGTAATTCTTCCCAGTCTTTAGCGCTGCGCTCGACACCCGTGACTGTCATCAGAACTAAATCCATCCACCCGGTCTCTGAATCGCCTCCCGTAGGGGGCACCACAATCTCAGCGATGACCAAGCGCGACTTTCCCGGCTCCATAGCATTTGCAATGTTCTTCAAGATGCCGACGCAAAGATGATCTGGCCAGTCATGTAATACGCGACGGATGTAGTATATATGCGCCCCTTGTAGCCAAGTATTAGCAGATTCCTATTGACGTAGAATGTAACTTGAGCCGACAGAAATGTACTTGCCCTTGATAGGCTGTGGATCAAAGAAGTTGTACTCATATTTCTCAAAACGCGTCGGATCCAAGTCGTAGGTATCGCTAATCACCTCAAGGCGATCTTGTAAGACCAGGCGGCCGTCAATGTCTGGGATAGCGTTATTAATCCTTTTGAGGCAGTGTCCCTTCCCACCTCCGATATCGACGACCAATACGTCATCTTTATCTGTATTCTTCGGTGCTAAGAGAGCCTTGAAATCGACTATATCCACGGACCACATAGTTGTAGCAGTCTGTGCTCCCATACCAAGGTTCAGAGCTTTCACACGTTCTGGATACTGCTTCAGATGCTCCCAGATGGACTTGCCGCCGGTTTGGTGCGCATACGTGTACGCATTATCCCTCTCCTCTCCATCACTCTTCCAACCGCGAGAGGCAAGAAACTCGTGCATTTTGTTCCATGGGGGGTACATATCATCAAATCTAAATGTCACAAGAACATATCAATTCAGATACAAGCTGGAAGCTCTTTGGTGGATATTTACTTACATCAGAGTATACATTCCTCGGACTTCTGGGATCAGATAAGCCTTGGAGAAAGGAGTATGGGCATACTCATCCTCCTGCACTTGCTGGAAGGGACCGGTAACGCTGACAATCCTCATCAAACGAGCTAGCGAAAGTGAGCTCTGGGAGCCTATCAATCAGTTTAATGACAGGTGACTGACTTACCGAGCAGTTTCGGGTCAGCACTAAGCTCGGCTGCGAGCTTGGATATTGTGATGCTTCCTTCAGTGGGAATTCTGTCAAAGGCCCCCATCGCAATAAGGCAGCGAATAGCCGATGCTTGGGAGCCCTAAAAAGAGTCAACAATGAATGATGGGGTTCTGTATTGAATGTTGGAAATCGTAGCCCCTACCATTTCGAAAAATCCATAAACACTATCAATGGGTCCACGGATTTCCTGAAGAAGTTTGATACCGTCATTGGTCATGGCATGGCGTGCAACTGCAATTTCGCCCTTATGGGCAACTTCTTCACTACCACCATACTTCTTCGTCACCTGCTCGTACGCGTCTAAAGCCGACATGAATTTGCCGCTGGCATCACGGATTGCCAATGTCTGTTGTGAATCTTGTATGGAACCCATGGCACAGATACCTAGGTATGTTAAGATCAAGAGAGCAAGTGTGGATTGATCTATTCTAGGTATTCAATCTCGCTGCCTGTCATCACCGTACGTAAGAGGGAAGTCAAGCACAAGCGAATCCTTAACACCAACAGATCTCAAATTGACAGGAGTACTCAAGATGTCAAACTTAAACGATTCCTTTTTCCACAATTAGCAGTGGCAGGTTATCATTTAAGAGACACTATGCCACCAACGAACGATCGAGGTCCGATAATCCGTGGCATAGTTTCTGTACTTTTCCGACAAAAGAACCTCCACCGATCTCATCTCCTATCAAGTAATATTCACTAGAAAATGACCTATGGCATACTACGCTGTACCTTCGAGCGTGTTTCCGATCCTTCGGTAGCGCGTCGGAGGGCCGACCGGAGAGGTGCTGGCATCCGGAGCCGACAGTGCAAACCACCACCTCCAGTTCCTATGCCGTTAGTATACCAACTTTCTTAACTCAACACCCACTTGATAAGAAAATGAGCGACTACTGGTCAGCCCACAGCATGCTGAATTCATGCGCGGAGTACAAACCCTAGGCTAAAGGTTGAAATACTTCGTAAGTTTTTCTCCTCAGCCACGACCTCAGACCTGCAAAAAGTCTGGTGACTCTACCCAGGTAATAGCTAAAGCGAGTAAATTGAGCTCCAAGTTTACACTTTCTGCTAGCTCAATAAATTTTCTTTATGTCATAAGATCCTTTGTTCTACTTTGCTATCTGATTGGATTCAACACAATCATTATGGGTAGCCTGGCATCCGAAGTCAGGTTCGTGCAGGAGCCCATCGCCATAGTGGGAAGCTCGTGCCGTTTTCCAGGTGGCGCCAATTCCCCCTCCAAGCTTTGGGGGCTCCTCAAGAATCCTCCGGACATCGTGCAAGAAATCCCACCCAGTCGTTTCGATACCAAGGCTTTCTACCACCAAGACAGCCAGCATCATGGAGTAAGGCGGCACTGCCCATTCTGAACTTGCGATTTTGAGCTTAGAATCTAATTACGCTATCACTAGAGCACAAATTCAAAGTACGCTTATCTTTTGCAGGATGATCCCCGGGGCTTTGACCGCGACTTCTTCAACATCAGCCCAAAGGAGGCCGAGGCAATGGACCCCCAGCAGCGATGTCTCCTCGAGACTGTTTACGAGGGTATCGAGTCGGCGGGCTACTCGGTTCCACAGCTTCGGGGATCATCAACTGGGGTCTTCGTGGGGTGTATGAGCTTCGACTACCAGTTTGTTGCTATGCGTGGCCTCGAGAGTCTACCGCAATACCACGCAACTGGCGGTTCCATGGCGATTCTAGCCAACCGCGTGTCCTATTTTTATGACTGGAAAGGACCGTCACTTGCGTGTGATACCGCCTGTTCATCATCGCTCGTGGCTCTGCACCAGGCAGTCCTTTCGCTTCGAAATGGAGATATCAACATGGCAGTTGCAGCGGGGGTGAATCTTATTCTCGGGCCTGAGCAATTCATCGCCTATTCAAATGTATGTTGTGCTGTCAAAACGTTGATAAGTGAAGTCAAACTAACATAGGACACGCAAGCTAAACATGTTGTCTCCCAATGGACGATCTTGGATGTGGGATTCTTCTGCAGATGGATATACGCGAGGCGAGGGGTTAGCTGTCATTGTTCTCAAGACTCTTAGCCAAGCCCTCGCAGACGGTGACCATATTGAGTGCATTATCCGCGAAATCGGCGTAAACTCGGATGGCCGGACGCCAGGTTAATCTGCCATGTCCTTGCGGTTGCTGCCTGTGCTGACGGTAACGTAGGTATCACCATGCCGAGTGCAGAGGCGCAAACTCGACTCATCCGAGACACATACTCGAGGTGCGGGCTGGACCCAACGAATGCACGAGACCGCCCACAATACTTTGAAGCTCATGGAACCGGCACGCCGGCAGGAGACCGTAAGTGAACACTGCACAGGCCCCTTCACCTGTTGAGACGCTGACGTAATCTAGCTATCGAGGCACGGGCCATACACGATGCTTTCTTCTCCGGGAATTCAGACAAGAATGATGGCCAGCTCATAGTTGGTTCAATCAAAACCGTTATTGGTCATACGGAGGGCACTGCAGGACTCGCCGGCGTGCTCAAGGCATCGTTGGCAGTTCAGCACGGTCAAATCCCGGGAAACCTCCATTTCCGGGACCTGAACCCCAAAATTCGACCGTTGTACAACCAGCTTCGTATCCCGACGACCTTGACCCCCTGGCCCCCTATTGCGAACGGCCAGCCGCGCCGTGTGAGTGTAAACAGTTTCGGCTTTGGCGGAACTAACGCCCACGCCATTATTGAAAGCTGGAATGGGGCTAATGAAAGCTATGCGTCGAAATCGCCTTCAGGTGGACTTTTCGTCCTGGCTGCCAACTCGGCTCGGGCCCTGGCAGAAAAAGGTGCAGCGCTAGCCAGGTACTTACGAGAGCATCCTGACACAGACCTTGGTCGACTGGCCTGCACGCTGTTCCAGAGGGCCGAGTTCCTGTTCAGAGCCGCGTTTTCAGCAACATCAGTTGCGCAGCTTGCTGACAAGCTTGAAGCATGTGTAGACGCGCTCAACAAGGCCCCACGCATTTCCACCGTTCCCGACTCCTTACCACCCCGCATCCTCGGTGTTTTTACCGGGCAAGGTGCGCAGTGGGCCACCATGGGCAGGGAGCTCTACGAAGCCTCGACCGTCTTTCGCTCGGCCTTGGAACGGCTGCAGCACAGCCTCGATACGCTTCCTGTAGGTGATCGTCCTCAGTGGTCTCTGATCAATGAGCTTTCTGCGCCCAAGGAGAGCTCTCGCCTTGGCGTAGCTGCCATCTCACAGCCTCTATGCACTGCTCTTCAAGTTGCTTTGGTGGACGTCCTCCATGCGGCCGGGATCGAATTTGCTGCCGTTGTTGGACACTCGTCTGGAGAAATTAGCGCCGCCTATGCTGCAGGATATCTGGATGCACAGGATGCTATCCGTATTGCTTACTACAGAGGATTTCATTCTCCTTTGGCGCAGGGATCTGGCGGAAAGCGCGGCAAGATGATGGCCGTTGGTATGAGTTTGGAACAGGCATCAGCATTCTGCAACGAATTTGGTGCGGGCCTCAAAGTGGCCGCCAGTAACTCTCTGACGAGCTGCACATTGTCAGGGGATGCTGAAATTATCGACCAGGCGAAGGAGCGGCTCGACGAAAACGAAACCTTTGCTCGCGTATTGGCGGTCGACACGGCATATCATTCTCACCACATGCAGCCATGCGCCGCACCCTACCTCGAGTCGCTACGCAATTGTGGCATCAGCCCTCTGAAGAGCCAGAGGAAGTGCATGTGGTACTCAAGCGTCTGGGGTGCAAATGGTCGTAGTCGCTCGTTCGACGATGACCATGGCATGGAACTTCTTAAGGGCCAGTACTGGGTCGATAATCTCACAAATACGGTACAATTTACTCAGGCACTAAACAGAGCGATATCTGAAGAATCATACGTTTTGGACCTCGCACTCGAGGTTGGACCCCACCCAGCTCTCAAGGGACCAAGCTCCGAGGTAATCAAGTCGCTGACAGGTGTGGTTATTCCGTATTGTGGTGTCCTCAAACGTGGAGACGGTGCAATTGAGGCATTTGCCGATGCTTTAGGACTTATCTGGACGTCCTTCCCGTCTCTGCACCCTATCATCACCTTTGACTGTATGCACCGGGCCCTCTCCCAGGCTAGCCCAAAAAATCCCAAGATTCTAAAAGGCCTGCCAACCTATCCCTGGGATCATCATAGCCTTATCTGGCGTGAGTCAAGGGCATCTCGCAACTTCCGTACCCAAAGCCAGCGTCCCCACGAACTACTTGGCCTTCCTGTCACGCTCGGCGAACACGGTAGGCGCGAGGTTCACTGGCGCCAGATCTTTAAACTAAATGAGCTCTCATGGATACGCGGCCACACTATTCAGGGTGAGGTTCTATTTCCGGCGACAGGCTACTTGACAATGGCGTACGAGGCTGCCGTACGCCTTGTTGATGATCAGCAGGCACTGCATCTTGTTGAGCTGCATGATATTGAGATGGTGCGCGCTATGAGCCTGCAGGAAGATTCCCCGGGGCTTGAAGTTCTCTTCACCATACGCGTCACGAGCCAGTCTGACGGCTGCATTACGGCTGAAGTGGCCTGTTATAGCAGTGATGTTAACGTTACTATGCTGGATGGTCCTCTGACTGGACTTACGGCCCATTTCAGCGGTAGCGTGCGGCTTTTGCTCGGTCCTCCACAGAACAGTGCACTCCCTAGACGAACGAAGCCTCTGCTGCCCATGAATACTTTGGATATGAGGCAATTTTACAGCTATCTGTCTAAAGTGGGCTACAACTACTGCGAGCCCTTTAGGGCTAGTTCGGTGGACCGCCATCTCAACCAGGCGGTGGTGACCATCCCAGTCCCTCCGCAACCCACTTCAATCCGTGCATCTATGCACCCTGTGGTTCTGGATACTGCCATTCAAGGCCTCCTGGCCGGATATTCATTTCCGGAAGACGGTCGACTTGGGGCGGTATATCTGCCAACGGGCATTGATTGCGTCCGTATCGACATGGGACCTACCTCTCCCGGTACTCTCATGGCAGATAGCTTTCTGACTTCGGCGGACGTAAAGTCACTCTCAGGCGACGTTGAGCTTTTCAACGCGTCGAATGGAGCCGTAGATGTGCATATGCGCGGAGTCCACTGGACCGCCCTGAACCAAAATGGGGACCGCTGGCTCTACGCAGCTGAGACGTGGGTACGGGATGCGGCTTACGGGATCGAACCCGGACTCAAAACGAAGCTCTCTCCAGAGACTGAGGTCTTACGTACGCTTCTGGTGCGCACGGCATATTTCTACTTGCGGAGGCTTCGGGACCAGATCAAAGCTTCCGAGATGCTATTGATGGGCAAGCATCGGCGGCATATGATGAAATGGGTAAGAGAGTATCTATTTCCTCAGATTGAAGCAGGCAAGCACCCCGATATTCAAGCAGAGTGGTCAAAGGATACTTTAGAGGATGTGCAGCAATGGAGTGCCAGCTACTTGGCATCAGGGGACAACGATATGCAGCTACTTCATGCCGTGGGGAAAAACTTAACCGCCATTGCTCGTGGAACTATGCCCTCCCTCCAGGTGCTTTTGAAGGACGACATGCTCGACCGCTTGTATGTGGAAGGAGTCGGCTTTGCCGATGGCAACCTTGATCTTGAGCTCTTGGTCAAACAGCTTGCGTACAGATACCCGCGCATGAAGGTGCTCGAAGTTGGAGCTGGAACGGGCGGTACTACTCGAGCCGTGTTCTCGGCTTTGGGCGACCGGTACGCATCGTACACATACACTGACGTCTCAGCAGGCTTTTTCGAGCCTGCAAAGACAAAGTTTAGCCAACATGCGGGCCAGATGACGTTCAAGATGCTGAATATTGAAAAAGATCCGGTGGACCAAGGTTTTGACGAGGGTTCTTATGACATGGTCGTTGCATCCAACTGCCTACACGCAACTCGAATTCTGAAAGATACCCTCCAGCACTGTCGCCGCCTACTTCGGCCCGGCGGTTACTTAGTGTTACTGGAGATCACACGCGATCATCTTCCCATCCAACTTATTATGGGAACTCTTCCTGGATGGTTTCTGGGCGCCGATGAAGGGCGAACCTGGGCACCCACCATCAACCTTGACGAGTGGGACACGTTGCTGAAGGCGACCGGGTTTTCAGGAGTCGACACAAGCTCAACCCCCTCCTTCTGTTCCGTCATCATGTCACAGGCAACCGACGAAACAGTCCAGATGCTTCTTGAGCCGCTTTCTATCACTTCGCACGAGGCATTGCCGCCCCTCGGTCAAGTTCTGGTTATCGGTGAATCCGAGGTTGCATTCAAGTCTCAGGCACTCCTCGCTTCCGTAGGAGCTGACATCCAGCGTGACCTTGATGGTATTGACGTTCCCAGAGGTGCGGCTGTGCTATGCCTTTGCGACCTGGACAGACCAATTTTCGGCGACATAACGGAGGCGAGATTTCAAGCTCTGCAGGCTGTTTTCCGCAACGCCAGTACTGTTCTGTGGGTAACTTCAGGGGCGAATTCAGGCCACCATCCCTTGGCCAACGTGACCGTGGGGTTGGGACGCACGCTCCTAGCTGAACGCAGTGACCTGAGGCTCCAGTTTCTTGATGTTGAGGAGCCCGCATCGCTTGAACCATATATGTTAGCAACTCTTCTTTTCCGACTCGCCTGGATAAATAAGTCCGGACTGGACGAGATTCTTTGGACTCACGAGCCCCAGATGACACTCAAAGACGGCGCTCTGTACATACCTAGGGTTCTGCCTCTGGATACAATTAATCGCCGGTCCGCCGCCAGAAACCAACAGATCACCCAATCAACCAGGCTTGGGCTTAAAAATACAGCCGTAGAGGTCACGGAGAGACATGGAGTGCCGGAACTATTAGATCGCCATGTTGGCAGTGCCAAAGCAAGTGAGATCCAAGTGCAGGTCACAGCGTCATCCCTCCACGCCATGATCTGCGATGAGTCCACAGCTTACTTGTGGATTGGTCGCGACATTGCATCAGGTGACAAGCTTATCGGCCTTTCGCACGCAAACAGCTCTATCGCCACACTTACCGAGGATCAAGTCATTTATCGCTGGCTTACTGTCACAAGCATTGAAGAAGACTCAGATGCCGCACAACTGCGCCGTTTTATGACACGAGCGCAGGCCGAATATCTCCTTCGCGATTCGAAGGCACCCGTTTGGGTTCACGGTGCCCCGGATGATCTTAGCCACGCAATTGCCGATCTCGCTGACGAGCGGGATCTCGCCGTAGTCCAGACGACCTCTGATATATCAAGTTCTGGCGACCAGTGTTTCATCCATCCCTACATCAGCGAGCGAGATCTGCAATTACTGCGCCCGAGAAACGTAAAGACGCTCATCAACCTGAAGCCCTCGCAAAATAAGGGTCTGTCGACGATGATGAGTGCTTCCTTGTCGCGTTCCACAGTCATCACCGAGCTTGGGGATCTGACCATTGGGTTAAGCCGTGAGGAACTGAGGAAGCTAGCCAAAATGCACTTTGAAGATGACATTAAGGTGAATTGGCACGACCCCTTGAATCAAATCTTGCCAATCGAGGGTATTTCGACAGAGGCAGCCAAAGAGATGGGTCCTGGGGCGGTGATTGATTGGTGCACTGCCTCGGAAGTCATCACCGTGGCTCGTCCTATCGAGTACAACGGGCTGTTCACGGCCGACAAGGCTTACCTCCTTTTTGGTATGACTGGAGACGTAGGAATCTCAATTGCTCGGTGGATGGTGAATCATGGAGCGCGACACGTGGTTCTGGTCAGCCGGAATCCCAACGTGCCGGCCAGCGTCGTTGACTTCATGTCGCGACAGGGAGCCGCCCTGCATGTCATGTCAGTCGATGTCACTAACAGGGAAGCCTTGAGAGATGCTTATTCTGAAATCAAATCCTCCATGCCGCCAGTAGGGGGCGTTATCAACGGCGCCATGGTGCTCCGGGACCGCCTCTTCGTCGACATGTCCTGGGAAGACTTCGAGACTGTGCTCGCGCCAAAGGTTGCGGGAACTCGGAATCTGGACGATCTTTTTAGTGAAAATCACACGCCGCTAGACTTCTTCATTGTGCTGTCGTCTGCAACGTCAATGGTCGGGATCATCGGCCAATCCGCCTACAGTGCCGCCAACCACTTTGGGACCAGCCTCGTGCGACAGCGGCGTGCGCGCGGCCTACCAGGCTCCGTTATCGTCATCGGATTCCTGACAGGGCTAGGTTATATCTTCCGTCGTTCAGGCAAGGAGCATTTGGCTACTATTGAGAATTCCCTCCTGCCACGGCTAAACCGGCAGGGCGAGACAGATCTGCATGAGATGTTGGCCGAGGCCATAGCGTGCGGACGGCCCGACTCGGACGAGCCAGCCGAGCTCATCACTGGAATAAGAACGGCGTTCCAGGGCCCGTGGCATGAGGACCCGCGTCTGTCCTGCTATCTCGTTCAAGAAGGCGTGCAAGAGAGTGTTGGTCCGGAAGAAGTCAACGGAAATATCCGGGTTGAGGCTCAGCTCCTGGCCGCCGTAGCGGAGGATCCAAAGGGAGGTCTGCCAGTTTTGGAGAGGTGTTTTTCGCAGGCCCTGGGCAACATGCTCCAGCTTGATCCGGACCAGATTACCGGCGATGTGCCCGTGGCTAACCTGGGTGTTGACTCCCTCGTGTCTGTGCGGATTCGCGAGTGGTTCCTCAAAGAGCTAGGCGTGGAGGTGCCCATTTTGAAGATGATGTCGACGAATCATTCTCTGTCGCGACTCTGCGAGGATGTCTTGGTAGGCTGGCGAAAGATTAAGATAGGGATTGAGACAGCAGCTTCTTCCGACCCGCGTCGTCAGGATCCTGAGATGGATTGGGCGAAGGAGATTGCCGAGCTCATCGATGGGATCCCTGCTCTCATCCCACACGGCGCAGAATTTGTTACAAATAACGAGCCTCGGACCAGCGCACGCAGGGTCGTTCTCACGGGTTCTACTGGCTTCCTGGGCACACATATGCTCCTCAACCTCGTCGCCGATCCCGAAGTGGAGGAGCTGCACTGTCTTTGCATTCGCTCACGGCACGTTCGCGTCCGGAACTCCAAGATCCGCGAATATAACGGCGATCTATCCAAGCCACTATTGGGTCTTTCCGCGGACGACTTCACCCGTCTAAGCCAGACGGCCGACCTGATCATCCATCTGGGCGCGGAGGTCAACCATCTCAAATCCTACGACGCCGTAAGAACTACGAACGTGGTCTCGACGCAGATCCTTCTCGCCATGGCCACACCACGTGGTGTACCCGTGCACTTTGTCTCGTCGTCATCAGTCGCCATGTTGCAGAAGGGGACCCCTGAACTCTTTGAGATCCCACCGTCACATATCTCCCCACCAACAGACGTCGAGTCCCTGACGAAAAATGCCATCGGCTACGCTGCCAGTAAGTGGGTCTGCGAGATCCTGTTGGAGCGCGCCAGCCTGCCAGCCGTCGTCCACCGTTTCCCCAATATCATGGGGCCCGATGCCCCGGACGAGATCCCGCTTGTGGCGCTCGATCGCTTCTGCGCTAGGATGCGGGCCGTGCCGGCACTAGACCCGCAACAGTGGGTCGGTCAGCTCGACATCATCGAGGTCAGCGACGTGGTCCCCGAATTTATCGCAAAGGCCTACGGTCACGACTCTAACGAGCAATTTGCCATACACAACTACTGTAGTGAAAACGAGTACTGGCTATCGGATCTCGCTGGCATGTATGAGAAGAAACTCGGCTGCAAGATCGAGGTCTTGCCGACAGCGGAATGGATGAAGAGGGCAACAGATATGGGCATGCCCAAGGGCGTAGTGACCACGTTTACAGGCCATGATGAAGCTTTTGTGTCGCCTGTATTACGGAAGGGGCTAAAGTAATTGTTCTCGAACATGATATAAGATATCAATTGAACAGCAACTTTAGCAATGAGTGAATTTAGGATACTGAAATTTTATTTTTCCAAGTTCTACTTGTCACTAAAATAAGAATTACTAGGTAAATGAGTGTAGGATAAAGTGCTGCTAAAAATAATTCACAGCAAATACCCTCTCCGCTTTCCTTTTGAGAACCTTGACCCCAGTTGTCGGCCCAATAACCTAGTCATGGAGCAAATGCCACAAGTTTACAATGCCTCTAATTAAATGTCCTAGCATCCATATTCAAGGAATAAAAGCTCCAAAACCCGAAACCAATTCCCTTTTAAGCAAATATTATAAGTATCCCACGTGCCATCATCCTGTATCCTACAACTAGTCGCAGTCAGCTCATCTCCGAGCTGATCATTGAAATCCACAAAGTTATCCTCAGCCTGGCGAGCGCCCCCTCATCATTCCAAGCTTTTTCAATGACCTAAAACGTTTTTTTTTCCCGTGATACTCCTTATGTCTGTAGATTGATCTTATCCCACTTGCTAAGCAAGCTGATCGGGAACGAGATACCCGCAGCCCCAATTGTAATCGCAAAGGTAACCTTGATACCCGCCATATACGCAACTAGTATACCGCTTAGCTCATCCGCCGAAAACACATTGCGGAGCTCCGTGGCGCCAGCGGCTACAACGAGGTTGGGATTGACGGTTGGTGCGGTGCTGGGAAGCCTGCGCAAGAGCTGGTTGACGAAACCGGATTGAGCGGCGCCGATGAGTGCTGCTCCACCGATGGTTTGAAAGACTGCAAAGCAAAAGAAAAAAAGTGTTACCATTAGCTTCTGATAAAGACGATGTGACGAGATCGTAGAATCAACAACGCAATCTGATGAGAACTCACATAGAATGATGGCTGTCATGGAAGCCAAATCACTCGGATCACCAGTACCCTGGCACACTATGATGGGAACTTGGAACGAAATGCCATATCCAAAGCCAGCAAGGATCTGATACCCAATCCATTTTCCTGTTCCGGTCCCAATATCGAGAGTATAGAGCAGACCGGCGGCGATCGTCGCGATCGCAGAGCCGACTGGCAAGAGCGGTGTTGCAATACCTGTCTTCGAGATGCTGGCGCCGGAAGCAACTGTGGCAATGGTGAAGGCGATGATTAGTGGCAAGTTGCGCACACCTGAATTAATCGGACTTGCGCCGTCAATGCTTTGAAAATAAATCGGCAGGTAATATAACGGGACAAAATACGAGCCGGCGAAGAAGGCACCGTATACGCCGCTGACCCAGACACTCCTCTGACGCATCAATCGTGGCGTTAGCATGGCGCGTTCGCCTTGCACCGATTCGATAATTCCAAATACAATGAACATGCAACCACAACCGACGAACAAGCCAATGACGGTGCTGGAATTCCACGGATACGTTACGCCACCGTATTGAAGACCCAAAATCAAAGAGCAAACGGCACCCATGATGAGCGTGGTGCCGATGGGGTCCATTTGCAGAAGTTTGTCTCGGAGTGTAGCCTCGACAGCCTTAGCAGCTGGGGGAGTGCGAAAGAAGAGGATGATTATGGCAGCGGCCAGACCACCGATTGGGAGGTTGATATAGAAACACCTAAGTATCCGATCGGGTTAGGTCGGGTCATATTAGATGTTGGTGAGTGCAAATGTTCTCTATCCGTAGCAGAGACAAACAACCACAAGGCACTTAACTCACCACCTCCAAGAGACTCTATCCGCAAACACCCCGCCGATAAGTGGTCCAGTGATCGCGGCAAGGCCATACGACATGCCTATCACCCCGGTCATCGAGGCTCTCTTCTTGGGCTCAGCAGCAAAGGCGACAATTGTGTAGGCTCCGGACCCAACACCCGCGCCGCCGAGGCCAGCGATAGCACGTCCCACAATGAGGGTCGGTGAGTTTCGAGCAACGGCACAGATCAAGCTTCCCAGCTCGAAGATGAAGATGGCCACCATAAAGCTGATTTTAAGGGAGAAATATTTGTACACTTTGCCCCACATCGACTGGAAACCTCCCAGTGTCATGAAGAACGCCGAACCATACCACGAAATATCGTCGATGCTGTTAAATTCGTCGGTGATCTTTGGAATTGCAGTTGCCACGATGGTCTGGATTGATATATCAGTATTGGCAGGGCATGGCCTGACTGCGCGAGATGGTCGAGTGGTAATGTGTAAACTCACCTGATCCAGAGAAAAGAGAAAAACACTGAGAACGAGCGCAACCATGATGAATGCCAGCTTAATCCCAGATGGGTAGGTTCCGACATCCTGAACCACAACTTCTTCATCAATGGGCTGACCACCGTCTTCGCCAGCTCCTTCCTTCTTCTGTTTCTCTGTATCCGTCACGAGAGTCGATGATGTCCTCGAGGATTCATGTCTAAGCTTGACACTTTGTCTGTCCTTTTCAGGCTCAAGATTAGGTATTGCTTCTCCGCCGACCTCAGGCTTGTCGCCCTGGGTTGTTGATAGAGGCATTGTGGTTGCCGTATAGCTTTATCCCTTTAGCTTGAGACAAGAGTCCCTCCGCCTGAGAAATAAGATTTCAAAGCGATTTGTGTGCGTAGTGTCAGAATGAGCACCAAAGAAGCTTGTTTAGAAAGTAGCGACATCCGTCAACATGATTCGGTACTGTAACCAATGAGACTTATAATACATAGTTCCATAAATAAGGCAGGAATGCTCTGGAGATAAGCTCGGTTTTTGCGCTGTAAGTCCGCCAGCTCGAAAGTTGATAGTTTGGTACCGCCCGTAAGTCCGTGATCATCGCTCTGCTACCTTGCATGTCATTCCGATCACAGCTCGTACCATACATTAATGATACCTAAACTCCGAGTCGGGACTGGGGTATTTCTACATCGCAAATGTAGGGAGATGTGCGGAGATGCATTTCCAAAGTTCGGCGTCGCGCACCTACCTCCACCCACCTCCTAAACTATGCTATGTCAAAACGGAAAGGAGCTATGGATACCACTATCTCTACCTGTGGGGCTTGGAATTCAGTTCTGTATGGTTAGTTGTATGATCGACATTCTAAGTACTTTGTAAAGCTAGAGTAATCGATCTAAACCGAAAACAAAAACCGCGTAACTATGATAGATACTACTCGCAATTGATACAGCAAGCTTAGATGCTCATTTAATGTCGGACAGAAGAATTTATCTCCGACAATATCGGTGATAATCTATACCTGGATAATTTATTGAGACTGGCTTTCCAATTGAGTATTCACAGATATCGATATGTCATTGCTGATGAACTTCAAGAAAGGATTTATTTTCTGATAGACACACACAGAGAAAGAGATCGCGGATATATCACATTTGTCCAGGGTGCTAATAGAATGTTAACGCATCTATATTTACCGTCACTCCATCTATAACAGCCACTGCATGGTTCGTACATATTCATTAGCCGAACAGACTGGGATATTGTGATTGGAGTAGTTAACGGAAATGTCACGGGCTGCAAACGGGAAGGCCCACTATGGCGACGTGGGACGAAAGCCTATGTGGGACTTTCCAGTGGCGTCAACTTAGACTTCCCGCTCCCCATATTTCAGGGTTTTGAGCTTTACTGCAGGTGTTAGTTTATAATAGAATCGAGGCCCAGGTAAAAAATTATAGAAAAAGACTTTGTTCGCTCTTCTGTATTTGCTTCTAGTCTTTATGTAGCTTCCTACCACTACTCTTAAGCTTTTTGTTCATACTTGCTGGGTGAAAGCTATTCTTTATCTGTTTGCCTCCTCCTGTAGCTTTATAATAGCGGTTTGTTCCTAGCCCTCTGTTTGGCCCGTAACAACTGTGCAAAGTACAAGGCTGCGGCTAACGTAATGGTCTGTTGAAATCTGCAGAGAGAGAAAATTGGCTGCTAGCATCTAACTTTATACATGTAAAAGCTAATAAACAGAAGACAACAACTTGGTATGCCCACGAGTACCTAGGCATCGAGCCACGTCAAATAGCATGCAAATAAGTATTAACATCATTGATATTACCAGGAAAAATATATTGATAATGTCCCAAGGCTAATATAGATCAACCATCCTTTTGGTCGTGGCTTTCGAGTTGACGGGAATAAGAATAGAAATCATGGTTGCGGGCTCGATAGCAACGCTGGTCATACGGTTACGAAGCACCTAGAGGACGAACAAAGCAATTTCACGTATGATTTTTTCCAAAGTTCTTGAACGCTGAATATCAAGGAGTTGGAATGTTGCGCTTACGAATGATGTCGGATTCCCGTAGAGAAAGGCAAAGAAAGATAGGAGAGCATGAGACCGATAACGAAATAAAGTGGAAGTTGCGAGCCAAGCAGATTAAGTGCCAGTATTGAACTATTGAGCTCGCAATTAATGTGAGGAAACCCAGCTTACATGGGTCTTCCTTCAATGGCTACAAGCAAGGAAGACATCGAAAGGGCACTGGACACATGTCTCCTCATTGGATACCTTACTGTCAGTTTTCTAGGGGAAAGGTACGATATCATCTATCCGCGTCTTACATGCATGGTTTGTCTAATCACCAGGCAAAATCATCTATTTGTTAAGATATTTCTTGCTAATGACAGATATTTTCCAAAATTATTTCCATGTCCATGACATTTAAACTGAACTAGCAATTGTATGATAGGAGCTCAGCATAGCTATAAAATAATGATCTGACTGGCTATCGAAGTATACTTAACGTATATACTTACGTAGATACGTTCTCCCATGGGAAACCCATATGCAATCCCGGGTATGTTCCTCCACAAGAACCTGAATATTGATATATAAACGACCTCACGTAACTAGAGAATACACTATCCAATCCGTCGCCGACGCCAAAAAGAACTGTTCATGGAATAGAGTAACGAGTCCGTAAAAATGCACTGGAACGAAGTGAAAAGTGTTGCAAGGTTATTCAGATCATCCTGCCCACAGGTAGACGCTGCAGTTCATAGCATTTCTAATTTTGTAACTCGAATTTACTTTTCGCTCCGTATAATTTAGTCTTTTCTTGTTATTATATTAAAAGAAAGTTGACTTGGATGAAGCCCGTTTCTGTGGCAGAACACCGGTCATTATGACCACTTTAACAATGCATAGTTTAGTCAGGTGCACACAGGTAGTGGCAAATATCCCATAACATGTGTGTAAAGAGCTCGTCTACTGGTACAACCAATCAAAACTTGATTTGCCATCTATGGGTTTTTATGTCCAATATCAAGCCAAATTGATGACAGGGCTCGTATTATGCCCCAGAAAGCATAGGGAATATGAAGCCTTATTGTTATGGTACTAAATTAGACCTTTGTATACATTCATATCCTACAGTTACAGTACTGCATTTTATAAATTCTTTCATAAACCATTCACTGGAAAGTATTACGTCGCGTTATTACTCGTTGAGTCTTCAAAGTTGTAAGGGTTTTAGGATGGATAGCTGCAGCAAGCAAAACACGAAAAATAAGACTCCCATCAGGCCAAGTTTACTAGCACTCAATGGACAGGAAGTGCAACTTCTAATATTATTATTGATATCAGACTTGACTACAAACATGATGTTCGCGGAAATCAGTCGCGGCAGCCTGCAAGTCGGAGCTTACAGCACTCCCAAATACAAATCGTATGCTTGAAACAGTGGTCAATCTCGCTTGACGCGACGACCACTTATTCCTGAGTAGTATACGGATGGCTGGATGGATGAAGATTTCATTTACCTTAACAGTGACACCTCGCGGAAGCAATACGCAGGCTGATATACATACCTGCGTAACTTTATATATCTAGCGGAGATATATACAAGTAATGTATATCCCTTTGTAAATATACTCAAAGTCTTATCCAGGTTTCTTATAGTTCAATTATTGCTTTATAGTTGGGCTATTCTTATAATGTTAAAGTACAAATGTTCATTATATGTTATCTAGGGTTGTTGAAGCTATCTTGATTAATATATTTCGTGGATTTCATCTTCCTCGAAACCCGCAACATATCAAAAAGAGTGCTAAAAGAATCTCTGTTAGAGAATTAGTAATGAACTCGTATGCAATAATGACCGAAGAAAGCATTGATATCTGATTCGCTCGAGGCCTGTGAAATAACAAAACTCCAAATACAACTGGTAGTCCTCATCTTTCAAGAACGTGCTAACTAGCTACAGGCGTCTTAAGTACGCTTTCTCTATATGTGAGAGCGTGGTATGTTTTACAGCGGCAACTCCTATTGAACATTGGTGAGACACATAATCATTCTCTCTACTATGCACCTAGCAAGTGTTTATGCAATATAGTCATACAACTTCGACCCGTTCAATGCAGACGTAAAAGAATTTGTCGACACTTTGCAAGGAAATTGCCACACAAGGTATTGTGCCAACAAACTTGCATCATCAATGGCGTATTCAGAGAGACTTATTTTCGAAATACCATCATCTGACTAGACCTGGGCGGTCTCGCAATTGCATCTAGCTACAACGTTTGTATGAGCTTAAGTACAGCTGACAACGCACACAGTGGCTGAGCACACCACAAACCAGTGTCGTTTGTGCAACTACTCGCGAGAGTCATACGTGGGGGTGATTCTACTATCAGTACTCGCTATGTTTGCAATGCTTAAGCTAGGTGTTGAAAATCTTTTTGTTGAAAATTAGAGTACCTGCTTGCTCTCTCGAAGTAGCATGGCAAACGTGCTTTGCAGAGGCTTTCCTATAGGTAAGATCTTTTAGGGTGTATTATGGCTGACAAACCACCAGCCCACGCTCTATTGCATTTCACATTGAACAATGCGGGGTATATGCCTCATTCTTCATATCGATAAGCTTAAGTCCGGAAATTTGTTGATCTTTTGTGGATTGACAGCGTTGCACAGACAGAGATGTCGCCGAGTTCAAAATTACAAGTCCAGCCCTAATCCCTCGACACTTTAACCTTGTTTGGAAATCGGGCTAGCTATCGTTGAACATGATGATGTACCCACGGAGGAAAGTAGGAATTGAACAAAAACAATGCAAAAGTAGTATTTATTGGTCCCCTTGTTTCGCATCTTTAATCCCGCTGAGCTGTCATGGTCACATTGCAAGCCTGATTTGTTCCGACTGCCAAATCAAATACCTTTCCTCATCGTTGCGTTTCATTGTCAACTGTCTGATCTTTTGATATGTGTCATACTTTATTTTGGGACCTAGAACTTCCATTGTTGAAAGCTGTGGATTCTTTATGGGCACATGTGTTCTCGTGGAACCGGTAGTACCTAGGTACATAATATAGCCTATCTAGGTACTCTTTTAGGGGGCTTCGAATACCTATTTTATATGTGACGTCGGCAGACTACGTCTATAGAAGGAATTATATCAAGACCATCAAAGTCCTAGATCTGTAATCTCAATAGCCAGCATACACTATTGTTTTTCTTCAACGGCAGACGCTGTAGCTTTTCATCAATATAGTCGTGCTCAATCAAAATTTTAGTTGCTATGCTCTTCATTGTAGCACTTTTGATTCAATATGCAGCTGCAGGTTCTGTTTTTGCGCATTATATGGTAGGTCATCTCTATTTATTTTTCTTTATGGTACTTCACAGTTTAGAATTGGCACATCTGTTTGGATGACAAAGAGAAACCTAAACTCCAATGCTTAGGTTGGTACAATCACCCAAGACCATGCAAGCACCGATATCGACGACGCCATCTCTGTGGGACGTGATGCCTTTGCGCTCAATGTCATAAGCCTAGAGAACTGGTCCACCAACGCTGTCAGCTCACTTTTCAACGCCAGCTCAGGAACAAACTTTAAACTATTCTTCAGCTTTGACATGACGCATTTCACCGACCCGTCGCAATTCTTGCCCCTTCTCGAACAATATGTCGGGCATGAAAACTATTTCCTATATGACAACAAACCATTCGTGAGCACGTTTGACGGCGGGTCACTCACATTCGGCGCTTCAGACCCTAACTCCAGCTGGATGAAATACTTTAAGAACAACCTTAGCACCGCAGGCATAGATGTTTTCTTTGTCCCTAACTTTGATGATGCAGCCAACTATCCAAGCGGGTTTTTTGATAGCTTCACAGTTGTAGATGGTGCAATTTCATGGGAATTTGTTTGGCCAAATGGGAATGCTGGTAAAGCAAATGTCAGTGACAGCGTCGACTCGACCATGATCAGTGAAGTGCATACGGCTGGGAAGATATACATGATGCGTGCGTGACCCTTCCCCCTCCCTCTCTCCAATGTATTCTACAATGTCAAGAAATGTATTTATGATCACTAATTTCCAAAAGCTCTATCGGCATTCCAATTCAAGCATATCGACACATCTCAAAACTGGTACCGAATCGGCGAAATCAATCTCGTCGACCGAATGGATCAAATCCTCTCTCTTCAACCAGATCTCGTAGAGATCATAACCTAGAATGACGCTGGAGAGGGCCATTACATCGGAAATTTCTTGAACGAGTCACTGGGCAACAGCGACGTCAGGAGTTACGTTGATGGCTTTGATTACGCGGGCTGGCAGCAAGTAATCCCTCCTTTTATATCAGCGTACAAAAGCGGTGCTACAGATCCGAGTCAGATCACTTCTTCTTCAATGACAGCAGGAGGAGGTAGTGGCAAGCTGGTTGGAGTGATGTGGTATCGCACGCTTTTAACAACAGCATCATGCTCGAACGACTCGCTCGGGAAACCCGATAACTGGGAGAACGCACAGGATGCTATCAACTATGCTGTCATATTACCCGATTTGACAAATGGTGATAACTATGGAAGAAATTATACGATCAATGTCTATAGCAATAACGATATGATTGGTTCATTTGCTGGAACTTTCGGCCTTAATGGCGGTACGGTCCTGGGACTCGCGGCTGGTAGTGCAGAGAGTCAACGTGTTGAAGTTGTGGAAAGCTCCAATGGGGTGAATGCAACAACAGTCCTTATTTCAAAGGGCAAGAAAGATGTTCTCTCTGAGACGTCGGGGATCTGTAATTATAATTATGAAGTTGTCGCGATGTCTTGAGCAGCTATAGCAATCACAAGAAGAATGGATGCTGTCTGTAACATCTGTTGCCAACCAAGCTCTTTCACCTTATCATTTAGAGTCAAGTATCATTTAGATAATCGATGTGAGCAGTTCACGATTCCAGCCACTGATTTTGCGTTGCACAAAAATTGCCTGGTGCGGGCTGAAATGATTAGTTAGGGCTTGCCGTTTAGCCCTAACTGCATGTGAAAGATTCAAAGGTTGCACGATCTGCAGTCACCCACGCAGCAAGTCACGAAAGAGAAACAAAAACAGTAAATAGAATATGTACTATCAAAAGCTAATCATAAACCCATGTACATGCGTTCGTCATTTCACAATCTCGATGCCTTTCCAAAATGGCTAAGCTGATAGCTTGTTACATCCCCTACGAAGGCAGTAACCACGTAGTCAAGCTTTGCGAGTACAAAGGCCCACTCCAAGTCTCACCACTAGTAAAGTTGACAGTAAGCTCGACATCATTGTCGAATCCGTTCTCAATGACGAGCACACGAGTACCGTCAGGCTGCACGAATGCCTGCCCCTCAATTTTGTCGCCGTTGCCATAATCATAGCTTCCCGTGGTGCTGAGAGCAATCGAGCCGCGCGGGATGAAACGCGAGAATTGGGCAATCCAATAGAAATCTGCGGTTTTGGTGTATGTGCCTGCGCTCGTGTCGACGGTCACAATGCCGCGGCAGCTTGAGCAGCCTCCTGATAGATGGGGACCGTAATTTGTATCTGTGCCCAACGTCCAGGCTATGGCACCGGATGCCCAGTTCTGAAGAGGTCTGGGAGCTCGGATTAGCAGTGGCCAAAATGAATTAAACAAAGTACTCTTAGTTCCGAGAAGATTCTTCTCACCCCATGAAAAAGTCAATAGTGCTATGCCAGGAAGTAGTCGGAGATGTCCAGCATTCGGTCATGTACTGAGTCACGTCGGAATTGTTGGCATGGAAATCGGAGAGTACAGTCCAAGAATTTCCCGTCGCATAGCAATGCCATGCTACATTCGATACGTAATCACTGGCCCCATCCAGCACAGTCTGAGGATAGGATGGCTTGTCTGAATTAAATTAGTATTTTGTGTCAGCGAATAATGAGGCACAAATATCCAATAGCAAGCACGCAGACACCCTACCGGTATTATGGTCATAGGCCCAGATTTCCGTGCTCAGTCCCGCCGAAGAAAGCGCTGGTCCAACATGATTTTGGATGAGACTTGTCGCTGTGTCGGCATCCAAGTACATTGTGGGATATCCAGACTGGCTGTTCAGAGGCTCGTTCTGGATCGTAATAGCATCCACAGTTACCCCTCCGTCTGCAAAGGCTTGGATATAGTCGACAAAGTATTGAGCATACTCCGAAGCGTAGTCGGTGTTGAGATTGTTATCAGTTGTGTTGCCATACACTGCCCCGTTTAACTTCATCCAGCCTGGAGGGCTCCAGCAGGAGCCCAAAAGCTTCAGCGACCCGCTTGCTGATGCAAACCTTGAAATCCAATTAACCATATCAGTCCCATTTGCTGTAAGGTCGAAGTTCTTAAGCGAGGTATCGGGGCTGCTGGAATCATCGTATGTATAGACACTCGAAGATAGGTCGGAGGATCCAATGGTATGGCGCAGCAAGTTGAACGAGGCGCCGTCATCGGTCGCGTCAGTGAAAAGGTCATTTAATAGGGCCGTCTGTTGGCCTGAGCTGAGCTCTGAGAAGACCGTGACTGTGGCATCTGTGACAGCAGCTGTAATTTAATTTGGAGCGGTCAGCTTTCATCGTCTCTCTCTCTCTCTCTCTGCTTTGAAAAGGGGAGTGCAATTGAGAACATACCACCAAACCCATCAATAGTCTGTTTGTGTCCACTCGATGTATCATCCACAGCTAGGCTCCAGGTCGATGAAATGGAAGAGCCACTTCCGTCTCCTTGGGAGGGAGCATTGTACTTTGTCAGTTGATAGGTGCCATCATTGGAAGAAACCCATGACTGTGCCGAAGAAACAGCTCTTTTGGGAATGCTGCGTCCCACACTACCAGCAGGCAAACCAATGGCCACCAGACTGGCGAGCTTGAGGGCCTGAAGTAACATGTTTGACCTATGATTTTATGTCAAATTTTTCAGATGAAACGACTCTGTTGCTGGAGAATCTTATGATATCTTCACAGGTAGAAAGACCACAGCTGAACGGACATCCATGCCGTCTCTTTATACTACCTAGGTATGTAAGAGGGTCTCTACAACCTCTTGCACGCTGAATTCACACCTCGGCAGTGAACCAGCCTTGCGAGCGGTGGGGGCCTCATCCATAATAGCCCTAATTATGAAAACTGAGAATAATCAGGAAGTAGTCTACATTTCGTCTCAGATCTGATTATGACGATGACGATGGTGATGGTGATGATCAGCGGGGGTAAGAAGAAGACCCGAATGCAACCTCCTATACTCTGGATAATTATAGAAAAAATTGACTCTTTAGTAATACTCCGTGCTACCTATACCATACATCTTGCATCCACAATTTCTCATGCCTGAACCTCCTGGCCTGATTTCTAGTGAGTGGGTAAGTAGGGGTTTCGTATAACTAGGTCCGGCCGAGTGTAACCCTAATTGCCTACCTAGGAAGCATAGGAACTGGTTCGCCGCGGCTGAAAACAGCCAGCCAGTCAGTTTTTCCTTTGAATCTTGGAACGCATTGAGAGTTTGCTCTCGTGCTACCGCAGACATGAAGTGTATGTCATCTGATTTGATATTTGCATCTGCCCCCGCAATTATCCGTGCACAGTGATCATATATTCTTCAGACCCAAGAGGTTCATGCACTCCGTCTGCCTTTAAAGTACGTAAATACAAATCAAATAAACAAAGCTGACTGGGTACTACTGAGAAAAAAAAAGCGTCAGGTCAGATGTTCTGTAGGGCCCCCAAGTCTCGTGATACCCTACTTGATGCAAGAGAAACTACTATTGCTTGCTTTACATAGGACACAACAAGTCCAGCAAATGAACAAATACCCACATACGCAAGATAAATATCTCAGATAAAGAATGTAGATAGCTATCAACAAGAAATATCAAGAAGGGCAGCCCGGAAATCGAAGAGTCATAGACTTCCCGAATAAAGCTCACATTATTATTGAACGACGGGTCAAGGTACATGCTCGGTACTTGGTTCAGCATCAGGGTCCATAGATAACGGGCTATATAATGGCGATAGTTTAGGTCGTAGTTCGTAAGTACCTACAGAGTTACTCCGTTTTTACTACTTGCTGAGTTTCCCCGTTTTGGGTAGTAGTCCGTGTGCTGATGATCGCTAAGTAATTTCCAGATCAGGAAATTCCTAACGTTCAGATCTGCAGCTATTTAGGGCTATAAGTCTGCTACTATCGTGTCTTTTTCGTTCAGACATGAGCTAACTGGCTAGTTTATGGTAATGTTGTATCCTTAATTATTAATAATGTTACACAAGTTTTTGAACTTGTGTTATCCATTTCGGATGCTGATTGGCTGTATCCTCGATAGAAACTGCATAGCAATGGATAACTACTTCGACGCATTCTATCTAACTAACTGTGATTAAATAATCGTCATAGACTGTCAGCCTCACCTGGCTACGCATGACGGACATATCTGAACAAAGATACTGAAGTTTCCGACACACGCGCGATGGGCAGAAACAACTTTGGAAACCCACCTCAGTTCCTGCGAGAGCCGACTTTAGCCTATTCTTCATTCTCTTATAATTAAAGAATACTATTGGAACACACCGAATACCCCGCCGATGGTGAAGAGGAAGAAGAGACCTTGTTCTAACAAGCCAAAATCATAGATTGTGGTGGCCTTCAAGGGAAGAGCTAAGAACATTTGATAAGTCACGGTATAATTGAGAGCTGTAGAGCGTATAGGATTCGGTCTTTTAAAGATACTTTCTTAAACTAATTTGGTGCACTAAATCTCGTTTCGTTCGTGAGCAGTTAACTCTCGTCCCTTGATCGCTAGAAGAGAACATTGCCAATAAATTAAGGAAAGAATCATACATATCACGAAACCCTCAGGCGTGGATATAGATCCCAAGCCCTGTACTACTCGCTACACACGCTGCAATTGCATAGATACTCCATGCCTCCGGTATGGCAGAAACCTTAGATAAAACTTGACAAGATCTGGAACAATTCCGAGATCTCCGTCAACTCTCTCCGGACGGCTCCACAGATATTACAAATCTCACCAGGCACATCTCGGTTCTTGTGCTCGGCTGAGCCAAGCAGTGCCGCTTCGCCTTGCCTCTCAGCTCTTACTGTCGAAAATTCTAGAGAAATACTTGGTGCACAAGATACATGAGGTGATCAGCGCTACGATATACATCCTAGGGTGGACAGACTCGTCTCATTTCTTTCGAGAGTACCATCTTACCCCTTTCTACATAAACTTCCAAGGAAAGAATGGCAAGACGCCACGCATTTTATTAACCAACACCCAGTACATATATCACTCCCCTTTCCGAGAAGCGTTGTATTACGCGAATAACCAGGCAGGATTTCAACTTCAAAACATATCTGGATCAACAGGAAGCTAATGTGCAAGATTGGTTATTTCGAAAAGGGCTAGAGAGACTCATTGACTGAAGCCTTGGCTTTCATCTTATAACTTAGATGTTCAATGCAATCAGTTATTCAGTATCGTGCCGTGTGCAAAAAGCCCCAAGCTAAACAGAGGAATGAAGAGAAGCAGTGGACTGAACCAGACAAAAAAAAACAGCTCAGACCATGACAGGCAAAGTAGACCAGAGGTGAGATTGGAGAGGACAGGTATAGTGATCTCGACATCCCTAAGAAACCCTGATAGTAAACTATAGTTAACCATTCTGACAGATCCCTGAGGCATCTAAAATATGGTGTAGTTGGCCAAGCCTAAAACTGCGGGAAGTCTAACCATCTAGGGTATAGTGTACATACAGTTACACAGCAAATGCCAACATCAGCCTCTTGAGAAGTTCTGCTCCATGCTTTTCTCCGAATCATCGACATCGACACCAGCTAGCTACCTTCAAAATGATGACGGTTTGTGCTGCATCAAGGAGACTGACCCTTTCAAATGCTATCCAAGGCATCTATCGCGCCGAAGTAGCTCGGCAACGCTTAGAAAACTCGGCTGTTGGTCACTACGAGTGCTACAAACGTCAACCACTTTTTGCCCCTATCGCATTCAAGAATCTCTCGCTGTCACAGAGACCGTTTTCGACTTCCTCAGCTCGTGCCAATGAAGAAGGAAGTGTTCCATCACATGGAGTTACTCGCAATGACCGATCAGATAATGATGTGTTGACTGAATTGACCTCAACAAAAGTCGATGTTACGCCTCATTCCTCCAAGACTTCTACGACCACGAAGAAAACTTCGAAATCCAAGTCGGCACGTTCCAACTCCATATCGAATCAGAAAAAGACGATGAAAGGCAAGAAGGCCGATACGAAACTCCCGCAGCACACCGCGAATCCTCCAAAGAAAGTCAAACTAGAACCGTGGAAGGTACAAAAGCAGGCTCTCAAGGAAAAGTTCGAGGAAGGCTGGCTTCCACGCAAGAAGCTTTCACCGGACACTCTGGATACGATTCGTCATCTTCATGCAACAAAACCTACTGAGTGGACGACACCAGTTCTTGCTAACCAGTTCAAGGTGTCACCAGAAGCTATCAGGCGGATTCTGAAAAGCAAATGGACACCATCGGAGGAGGAGAGGCAAGATCGTAAGGAGCGATGGCACAGGCGACACGAAAGACTCTGGAGTCATATGGAACAGCTAGGCTTGCGGCCGAAGAGAGGAGAACGAACTGCGAAATTCTCTGATGCCCGTAAGCTTGGCATCGAATCGGCGCCCTCATCGTCACTATAATAAACACGATGAGGTTGATCTCTGTTCATACAACATTTTGCCTGTCTGCGGAAGATCAGATACAGAATGCGCCCAACTGACGGTTCACGAATTCTTGGAGCTTTTCTGCCCCCAGAAATAGTGAAGGAGACGCATCCGAGATTGCCAACATTCCTCTAATCAGACAATAAATACGGCGGCGAGATCCTTGGTGGCCTGTATTATTTCGCGCGAGATCTGGTAAATATGGTAGATACATGCATGTACTGTAGATAATATTTATAGGCTGGTCGGTTCTATAGACGAATCAATTATTGAATGCATTTCCCTTTCGACTGGTAACAGAAGCCCGTAGCATAGTCACTTCATGCATTTCGAATCTTGATAGTCAATCGCATTCGCGGGTCTCGGTTCGGGCCCGTTCCCAAGAAAAGTGGAGTGAGCAGCTCCGCTCCGCAGTAGTTGACATATGTTCTTCCCTACACCTCAACTCAACTCATGAGCCATCTGTTCGCCGTGTTTCGTTCATGTTGAATTAATTGCTTCAAGATCTACTACCAGAATAGTCCCAACAGAATGTTAAACAAAAACATTGCCGTCGCGTTTATTTAGCCCCGCTACTCCTTTTCCTGTGCGCAAGCCGAACCATCATCCACCACCACCCATGTGGTAGACCAAGCTGCCATGGTCGCCATGCCATCGGACCTCCAAGTGTTCGTGAAATGGAAAGAACAGACAGTCTTTGCGGGTGAAGATGTCGAGTGCACCATTACCTTCAAGAATGTCGCAGAGATAGCCGAGTCGGAACCGAGTACACCTCATCCCCAGCATCAGCGCAGGACATCTCGATCACTCAACGCTGATGGCTACTTGCCCGCCAAATCCTCGCCTACATTCTTTTTCAGCGGCAATCGACGTTCCGTTCCATCGAGCCCCCGTCGACCGGCGTTGGGATCCCACCGTGTCTCCGCCTCTCTGAGCTCTCCGTTGACCGGGTCTCACAGCTTCCCTCCTCTTCATGCGCCGTCACATTTAAATAATGGCCCGAATCATCAGCACAAAAGATCGGTATCGATCCTCTCGATAGAAAGTGACAATGGGGGTGCGCTGGAGAAAACACCAGTTTCGACACAATTTTCACGCCCAGGACCTTGGGCTCATGGGCGTTCTGCTAGTTTACAGATTACTCCTAACCGGGCAGGTGGGTTGGAGGATTTCTTGCCTTCGGGTACGGTGGTAGATGCGATACCATATCTTCTTTTACTTACTGACTGCTTTTAGGAGGCGGTAGATCTCCCATTCGAGGAAATCCCTCGACAGAGTCGGCTCTAAGCCCGCGCCTGGAAGCCGAAGAGACGCTCAGAGCCAGCCAACCCGGTCCAATCAGCGCAGGAAAATTGCGAGGCACCCGCACGAGACCTTTACCAATACCTAATGATTTCAAGTTTCCCATGAGCCCAGATCCTGCAAGTGAGGCTGACGGCGATGCATCATCCAACGGCATGGCAAACAACGATGGAACGGCGTCGCGGCAGCTACCCAAGCAGCCTCCATCCCTTACACAACAAGCTCATTTGGCCCCAGCGACAAGGATACTTTCTAGTTCGAGCGTCAATGGGAGTAATAGAAGCAGTGGAGAGTTTTATGCAGCCAGCAACAACTCAACGGATACTCTGGACTCCGAATACACGAATTATGGCGGAAACCGATCAAAGGCTAACATGGCCAAACATCGGCGACATTACTCAAGCTTGGAGCCAATTGCGAGCAAAAAAGAATTTCTTACTTTACTAATGGGCTACGCCCAGGTAAGCGCATCGTTTACGGTTGACGGTTCCCTCATCAATCAGTCGGTGTTTGAGGAAGTGAAACGTAAAGGTGTTGTTGGCGGCCAGACTACTAATCGTAGCAAGGAGAGACCCCGTCGGAGTGGTGGACTCCTAGGTGCATTTGGATGGGATGCCATTGAAGAGTCCATAAGCGGCTTACTTTCAAACGGTGACCTCGAAGGTCTCAGGGATATGAGGGGTGTTGCAAACTCGAACTCGATTCCGTTGCTTTCGACGCCACAGTCTCTTCTGTTTGTTGACCTCCGACTCGGTCCTGGGGAGGAAAAATCATACTCCTTCTCATTCACCCTGCCTAGAGGCCTGCCCGCTACCCACAAAGGAAAGGCGATCAAAATATCCTATAACCTTGTGATTGGCACACAACGGCCGAGTGGCCCGAAGGAATCTCAACAAGTCAATCGTGTCAATATCCCTTTTCGAGTCTTTAGTGGTGTGAATGGTGAGTTTTCTGACTACAGCATTACTGGGATCAATGGAACTGACAAAACGTTTCAGACCAAGGAGATGTTCTCGGTCACGATCTTACGCAGCCCTACGTCCTTTTGCGCGACGAAGCACGCGTGCAAAAGGTCAGCACCGGACCGCGTCCAGTTCAAAAGGAAAAAAGTATCAGTGGTCCGACCTGGACTACAGCGCCGGAGTTCTTGTCGTATGTAGACGAACTCCTAGAAAAACATCAAACGCAAAACCTTCGCACCCCGATGCCACCGAAGACAACGACTCTTGAAAAGAGACATTCATATACTGCTCATGGGCCACACCCATCGTCCTGTAAAGACGCTATTGATCTTGCCATCCTTCGCAGTAACCAGGTCACCAGTACCAACCGCAGCGCCAATCGCTTTGATATTGCGCGGAATGGCCGCCGCATTGCCGAAGTGGTTTTGAACCGTCCTGCTCATCGACTAGGAGAGACGATTCTCGCTACTATTGATTTTACAGACGCAGCACTTCCGTGCTTTTCTTTGAGAGCGACTTTGGAGACGTCTGAGAAGGTCGACCCGTCATTAGCCTTGCGGTCTAACACAAGCATACATCGTGCCACTCGGCGTGTTTATGCATCCTACTTTGAGAATACGCTGTTTTCTACGCGCGTGGTGTTTAGCCCTGCGATCCCGGTTTCGGCAACCCCGACGCTCTTGACGGCCGGCATAAAGCTGGATTGGGATCTTCGTTTTGAATTTGTTACGACCCATTCAAAGCACGATGCAGATGCACATACTTCTGGCAGCAGGCTCCTAGAATTGATTAGTCAAGACGAGCGGGGCTCGGTCCTTTCTGCGTTAGAAAACTTGCCCAGCGAGTCCTTTGAGATTGCTATTCCTCTAACCGTCTACGGTGAAACGGTTCGAGAGCCATTAGTTGAGGAAAACGAAGGATACTCGATATGAAATGGGTGGGTTAGAAAGTGTCTGTCTTTTTTCTTATGTATTAACTTTTGACCCTTATTGTACTTGGCACCACGTTCCTTTGCTTTCATCTGATGTGCTTGCTGTAACTAAATTCACGATATACCATTTTATATACATGCTGGGTCACATGACCGGCTGTCACCGGGGCAACGCGCAGATCGATCTGGCGGGGGAAAGCACGGCGAATAGACTCAACTACGTCAAGATCCAAGATAGCTGAACATCTGAGAAATCACTCCAGTTTCGAAATATTCATCGCTCACCTGAAGAAGATTTGTTGATACAATTCTTGCCTGATTATTTGACGGCGAGATTCTTGCGTCCGTGAGTTTAGACCACCCACTCTAATCCGTACGCTGGGACAGATTAAACTAAACAGCAGCGTCACTGCATTCTTCAGAACCGAGGCGCACGCATACATTCCAGAAGAAAGTCAATATCCAGCGTATCCCAAACCGGTTATCGCCTTAAAAGACGTCAAAATAGAGATGGCTTCCTTTATGAATACCATGTGCGTACCCTCATTCCCTCAGCCCCTTCGTCCAGAGCACAACACAGCACACAATACCCCATACCATTGCCCATGATGCTGAGTAGCTGGACAAACAAAACTGGCCTCGCCTCTGGTGGTAGTGGCGGCCTCAGCCATTCAGAATCCATTCAGACAATCAATGCCCGTCATCACGACTTGCCCGTCGAGCCACCTTCCTATCTATCAGCTGCGGTTCGCGCTCTCAAAGGTAGCCTACCAATACTGACTCCGCCTAGCAATGCACGAACCAAGGGCCCTTTCAAGCCGCGCTCAACGAGAGGAACAAGTAGCTACCAATTACGAAAGTTCGCGGAGGAGACATTGGGGAGTGGTAGTTTGCGAAAAGCGGTCAAATTGCCGGAGGGAGAGGATGTGAATGAATGGCTGGCCGTGAATGGTATGGCTGCTTCTGTCTCGTTATAGGTTGATGATTTACTGACTCGGTGGTATGATGTAGTTGTCGACTTCTACAACCAAATAAATTTGCTGTATGGCTCTATTACAGAATTTTGCTCGCCGCAATCATGTCCCGAGATGAAAGCTACAGACGAGTGAGTTGACACGATGTTTAATGTTTGCCATGACTGGTTTCTGACTTGAAAAAGGTTCGAATATCTCTGGCAAGACTCGGAAAACTATAAACGACCAACAAAAATGTCCGCGCCCGAATACATCGAACATTTAATGGCCTGGGTTCAAGGAAACATTGATAACGAACAAATGTTTCCCAGCCGAACCGGTATTGTTCCATTTCTTAACTTTGCAATTCGATAATAAGATACTGATTTCACGATACAGGCGTCCCATTCCCAAAAGCATTCCCCTCCCTAATCCGCCAATTATTCAAGCGATTATATCGTGTTTACGCGCATATTTACTGCCACCATTACCATGTGATTTTGAAGCTTGGTCTGGAGCCGCATCTCAATACAAGCTTTAAGCATTATGTGTTATTTATCGACGAGCACAATCTTTCCAGCGGTAAGGACTTTTGGGGTCCATTGGGGGATTTGGTAGAGAGCATGTTGAGAAGTGATTGAAATCGACCATCGTCGGGTTGAGTCGAGCCTTGATGCAAGAAATTGTGGAAATTTTGCTTATATTGATTGACTGCATCGCATATGGATTCATATTAATTCTTTTTTTCTTTCTTCTGAGACTCGGCGTTTTGTTTTCTTATGTGGACATTCATTCTCTATTACGAGGGTCTTTTTTTTTTCCCTATTCTAGGCACAATATCTTAGAGGATGGTTTATTTTGAACAGCATTTCATTTTTCTTCAATTCAATAATACTTACTCCTTGATGAGCACTTGATCTAGGTACATTTCATCGATAATTCTGAATCAACACTATAATAAGTTCCACCAAAAATTGGAAACGGAACATTATGATGAAACATAGCTTAGTATATAATACATATACAAACAAATGAAAGCGGGTTCAAATTCAATCAGTAATCTACTTAGTAGTAACAAGAAGTTTGTTTTTGTCTGTCCTGGGGTTTTTTTCTTTAGATGATAAGATTGTTGGAATATAGGGAAATAATAATAATAGTTATCACTAATTTACACAGCATCGGTGAGAGCTTTGTTGAGACGGTTGATCTTGGAGGAGACGCTGAGGTCGATGGTACGGTCGCCGATTTCAACGATGAGTCCGCCGATTACGTCGGGGTTGACCTGTTTTTATGTCAGTTTACTTCTATGGACTAGGAAAGAAGAGAAAGAGATTACCTTAGCAACAACCTTGAGCTTCTTGCCGCCGCTGAATTCAGACTTGGCAACGGCCTTTTCAATGCGCTGGATGGTCTTGTTGTCGAGTTCCTAGAAGTTCTATTAGCCTCACACTTCTCGTTTCGCGCGTTTCTCTTGTCTTATAATTTTTTTTAAAAAAGAAGAAATAAGGCGCTGGCCGCTTGCAGATCCATACCTGAGCACTGGTAATGTTCAATTCAATCTCGCCCTTGTGCGCGCTGATCAAGACCTGGAACTTCTCAATAACGCCCTCCAAAAGACCCAATCGGTTGTGCTCAGCAAGAGCACCGAGGAGGTTCTTGATGATATCGCCCTTGTCGCTGCCGGCAACCTGCTGCAGCTCCTGGATGATCTTTTGCTTGTCGCTGACCGTGAGAGTGGGGGCGTTAAGGACGGTGGTGAGCTTGGGGTCCTTCTTGAAGACGTCGCCGAGCTGTGAGAGGGACTTGGCGATTTGGTCTAGGGAAGAGGTTTTGGCGGAGGCAGTGTACTATATTCATGCAATGGTTAGTTTTCCATTAGATAGGGTTTCGTCACGGAAAAAGTTTCTGTTGAGCTGGGCTGGATAGAGACTACACGTCGGTCGGTATAGCCGAAGCGCCCCGGTGTGAAATGCCCTTACATACCAAAGCATTGGCATAGGTCCCATCAACGCCGTACAGAGCAACAGGAGGCCGGACATCCTGGGCGGCGGCAGCAGCGTACGTTCTCAATCCACCGACAGCAACGGATCGGGAGATCTGGAGTTTGGAAGAGGCACGAAGGCCAGCGCGGGCGACAACGCGGGAGGACAGCATGGCGCGATTTGCTCGAGATGACTTTCCCCAGGAGGAGGAAATCAATATCAATTGAGGGAGGGGAGGGGAGAAGGCAATGGGGATGGCCTGGCGGGGATTCAATAGGCGGCTTGTCTCTTTCAAAGCTGGTTTTTGGAGGTGAGTTTAACAACTTCCGAAGTTCTCGCTCCGTTTTGGCAGAGTCACGTGGCTCGACGGTCCCGAAACTCGCCGTTCCGCCAATCTCCGCCGAGCATTCGCTCCACTTGTCTCTACTCATACTCATCCATAACTACTGCTAGTTCGCCGTGCAATTGTATTCAATTGTATTCGATTATAGTCTTAAAATTCAATGTCCATTTCCATGCTACATGTCTTTAGATCGCCTGCGCTGCTTCTTGACCTTACAGCCGCACATGTGAATGAAAGAAAAAGAGACACAGCTCATTAGATCTTGATGCGTCTATACCATGACTACTTCTCTTGAAAACAGTCCAAAGTCCAATCCAACAGGCACCGTTCTAATGGCCATTTGTCCCGTTGGCATCAATCTGCGTATGAAACTCGTCCTCATAGGCAGCCAATGACGCACGGTTTCGCACGCGACCGAGCTGATCTGCCACATAGGTACTAAAATGATCCTCTACATGACCGACACCATTTGTGGGTGCGCCATTGGTCGAGACGGCTTCTTCTTCATTTGGGATTCCACCAGCATCTCCGTTGATTACAGACTCAAAATCACTGCGATTTCCAATTGAGCGACTCGTCGAAGACCGTCGCAGCCAGCGTTGTCCAGGCCGCTGTGGTTTTGCAGAACGATGAAATACATCATCGAAGAAATGCGCTGCCGTACTAGTTGGTGTTCGAGGTGTTTGCGGTAGTCGACAGTTTAGACTATTAACAGATAGTTAGTTATTCGCTGCGTACAACGCCAGCAGAAACAAGTAAAGGAAAGAGAAAGTAAAAGTTATAGTGAGACATACCCGGTGTCATGGATGATCTTGGCGAGTAGTCCAGTCCATCCACATTGGTGAGATGCACCTAAGCCTCGACCAGTGTCGGCATCGAAGAATTCATAGAACCACAGATAATCTCTCCAGTGTTCATCAAAGTCCAGTAAATCGTTGCAATTGTTGATAGCACGACGGCCATCATAGTCTCTCACGTACAAGTGCTGTAATCGGTGTTGAAGTTCTTCAGCGACATGACCCAAATGCATATAGTCTCCAGAGCCAGTCGGGCACTCAATTTTGAAAGAATCGCCATAGAACATGTAGAACCTCAAGAGAGACTCAATCAGCAGGAAGTTGACACAAATCCAAATTGGGCCACGCCAATTGCTGTTGCCACCAAACAGTCCGCTGTCCGAATCTCCGGGGACGTATCCGACTGTAAATTTTTGGCCATTTACATCCATTGAGAATGGGTTTTTCTCATGGTACTTGGACAAGGAGCGGATGCCGTGGTCTGACAGAAACTCCGTCTCGTCGAGCATACGTCGAAGTATCTTTTCCAGACGATCTTTGCTTACAAGAGCCAGGAGCATCCGATCTCCTTTACCGCGGTGGCGCATGCTGGCAATGTTGCGTTCTGCAACGTCATTCTTGTTTTCAATGAACCAATTGAGTCGTCGTTTGAACGATGGGAAAGCGTTGATAAGTTCCGGCTCGAGTGTCGAGGCCGCATACAGTGGGATCAAACCGACTAGTGACCGAACAGGGAGTTGCTGGGTCCAGGGACCCCCGTAAGAGATGGCATCATAGTAAAAACTATTGTTACTTGGTTAGCTATCAAATAAAGCTATAAAAGGTTGTTAAGATTTACCTGTCTTCTTCGTTCCAAAGGGAAGTCTCTCCATCCTGGTTCCTGAATGTCATGGCATCGGAGATGAGGATGAAATGCTCGAAAAATTTGGACGCAACTAAGAATGTCAGTAGAAACTAATTTGAATAGGAAAGGTGTCATCTACGTACTGTCCTCGTATGTACGACGATGTTTTGCAAGCTCCAAAGCAATGTTCAACATATTGAGGCAATAAAACGCCATCCAACCAGTGCTATCAGCCTGTTCTAATACTCCACCAGTTGGAAGAGGCTCGGAACGATTAAAAAGACCAATATTGTCGAGACCCAAGAAACCTCCCTCGAACACGTTCTTGCCATCCGCATCCTTGCGGTTAACCCACCAGGTGAAGTTCAGCAGTAGCTTTTGGAAGACGCGCTCCAAGAAATCAAGATCCTGTCGGCCGTACATCTTACGTTCGATTTTGAACGTCCTGAAAACCGCCCAAGCGTGCACCGGTGGATTCACATCTCCAAAGTTCCATTCGTAAGCTGGAAGTTGGCCGTTGGGATGCATGTACCATTCTCTTGTGAGCAGATCAAGCTGTCTCTTTGCAAAATCAGGGTCGACCATAGCCAATGGAATGCAGTGGAATGCAGTATCCCATGCTGCAAAGAAAGGATACTCCCATGAATCAGGCATGGATAAGATATCGTCTAGATACATATGCTTCCATCGTTGGTTGCGAACGTTTTTCCTGCCGGGGGGAGGAGGGATCATGGCAGGATCGCCATTAGCCCACTGGTCCCAGATGAAGTGATAGTACTGCTTTGTCCACAGCATTCCAGCCAGTGCTTGTCGTTGGATATTTCTGAGATCTTCGGCCATCGGAAGAGGGTTGATGCGGTAGTAGAAATCGTCTGCTTCTATTCTTCGTTGCTCAATCACGTTATCAAGCTCCTCCTCATTAACGTAATCCTCGCTCTTCCTAGAGAAACGGAACCTGATAACAGCGCACTCGCCAGGCGGAACTCCATCGTCCTCGTCAAAGGCATACCAGGCTGCAAATTTGGTACCCTCATTATCTGGATTTACAGCTTCTTTCTCCTCGTCAATAATGTACCGGTGGAATGCATCCTTAACGTAAGGAACGTTGTTCTTCGTCCCATACAGCAATTCGTTGTTGGTGTTGTTCTCTGTGAAGAGCATACGAGGTTGGATGTCCTCCTCGTTTTCATTGAATGACGGCGACGGGGAGAAGGCAACATGACGATCTCCTAGTGTGTGATGCGAAGATTTAATTGTGAGAGGGCCAGTTTGCTTGATAATCGGCTTTTTCTCTTTGTCTTCCCAACCCCAGGTCCACGTGTTGCGGAACCACACATGGGGGATGATATGCAGTGGTGCCGGTTCGGGACCTCTATTATAGGCAATAACTCGGAAGGACAGCTCCTCTTCATCATCTGCTTCCTTGGCCGTCTCGATGAAGATGTCCCAGTATCTGTTTTCTTTGAACACGCCTGTGTCGAGAAGCTGATATTCACGGTCTTGCTTTCCGCGACGCGCATTTTCGTCAAGTAGATCTTGGTAAGGGAACTTCTTCTGGGGATACTTGTACAAGTACTTCATGTAGGAATGCTGCGAAATATAATTAGTCAATGAAAGCATCTAGCCAGCGAACGCGACGACGCACCGAGGGGGTATTGTCAAGATGAAAATGGCATTCTTTAATACTCTCGCCATGGTTTCCCTGGGGATTTGAAAGTCCGAACAGTCGTTCTTTGAGAAAGTCACTGGAGAAAGAAAAAAAAAAAATGTTAGCGCTGCGTATCTTTCGGTGAGCAAACTTGGCGCACCGACTCTTTCTCGTTCCAGAATGAAAATGCAATATTGAGTTGACCGTGTGTGTCACAGACTCCGGCTATGCCATCTTCACCCCATCGGTACGCTCTAGACCGGGCATGATCGTGCGAGAAATCTAAATATGCAGGGTCAGCGAGTCGACTAGCAATGGATTCGTCCATCTGCGCGAGGAGGCGCGACACATACGACTCCATGCATCGCCATTTTCACTAAAAGCAGGGGTCAGCTTTCAGACCATGGAAAGGCATTCGCAACTATCAATGACAGTTACTCACGAATAATCTTCGCGCACTGTAGATTAAAATTAAAATCAAGGCACAGAATATCAGCCGTCGGATCTCTCCAGGTACAAACAAGCAAGCCTGTGGCCGTGATTGCATCATCGACAATCTTATGAGGAGCATAGATATAAGACGCACCAGTCGCCCATTGTCTCTCGGCCACATAGGGACCCCATTTCTTCCAGTATCGCTTTCGCGCTCGATCTTCCTGCAATCTCTTCTCCTCCTCGCACAGGTACTCGACGTCGTTGACCACAACCATGGCTAGGGCTCGTTCAGAGGGGATGCGGGGGAGGACGGAGCTGTCGACAACGTGGAGACGAGAACACAGAGATAATGCCAAAGAGCCACAGAAGCTGACTGACTGACTGAACAGCGCAAGAGGTAAAGGAAAGAAAGCTCCAAAAGAGAAGGCAAGAAAGAAAGCAACTCGGTTGTAGAGGTAGACGAGCCACCGCATTCAGCGGCGTTGGCGGAGGGTCTAGAGCTCCTTCCCGCTTATCGATAGCGGCCTTCCCTGTTTTTCTGCGATATACACATAGAGGCCGGCTTGCCAAAAACGTCCCTTCCGCACATAAGTTGGTGTAGCCCGAGGCACGGCGACATCATCGCGCATGTTTTCTGAGAGCATGAAGTTAGACGATCCCTGCACAGTCTGATGTTGAGAAAAAACAGTGTATATTATATTATATTTGGTATCAACGGGTGAGGCATATAAGGATAGTCCCTAACTAGTAACAACATAGGAGATCAAGCGAATGTCTCTTTGGCCTGCTAAAAGACAACGATGCAAATAATATAACGAGAGGGCCTGCCCGACTCCGCGCCATGATAAAAATATCAGTTAAAAAGACAATGAAGTGTATCCTTGATGAAAAGAACAAAGAAAGGATTAATAAGGCAGAAGCGACAGTAGTATGGGGCACCGAAAAGAAAAGGAACGATCCCTTTCCACAGTCAACGGAGAATGTTGAGCACGGTTCCAAGAAGCCTATCGAGGCCATGGCGTACTACCAAAATCAACACATCTGACACGGCTCGAACATTTCGCAACTACCGAAATGCAATCATGGTGGAATATCCAGGGAGACACATGGCGCCGGAAAACTACTGTTGTTGTTATGGCTGTTTTCGAGTATCTTCATGGCGCCTGCGATTTGGCTTTGTTGCCGTTTTCTGGCTCATACATGTCGTTAGAAGTCGCTGCGGAAGTGTCGGAATCTGTAGCGCCTTCATCAGATTGATTCTCATCGGAAAGAGCCGACGACGTGGGAGAAAGGGCCCGGGCCAGCTCATTCTCACCTCGGCCTTGCTGGTGTGCTGAGCCAGTGCTTTGGTCGCTGTCGTCACCACTGTTCTGCGTCGAGGCTTCTTTTGCAACCCTTCCCTCCTTCAAACGTTCCTCGGCTTCGCGGATCCTGGCTTGAAGGGCTTCAAGCTCTCGTGTTTGGATGGTCATCCTCTGCTTCCTATCCAGTGAAGCTCAGTTAACCGTTGTCCTGATAAGGCCTTGAGCCTATCATCTATTTTGACGCCCGACCAAACTTTTCAAAGCATCCACGGGGGACTTACTTTTGTTCAATGGACTGTGTTAGTTGGTCGACATCACTGTCGAGCATAAAAGCGCTATCAAGTGCAAGAGAGAAAGCCTGCGCCATGGTGCTGTATCGAGACGGGAAATCAGCAACACTGTTTTTTTTTTTTTTTTGCGATAGGGATAGCGTGTATATATATATAAGAGCTCAAACATACGACTGTGGCCGGCGAGGATTAGGTTTCCACTCCTGCTCTGTATCCGACATTGTTCCAGGTTGTTTCCCGAGAAATCCGTGGAATGTAGGCAGTATGTATATCGTCGCCCAAACGAGAAGGCCAATCCACCGCTTTCCGATATGACGAGAGGGGTAGACTATGAGACAGTAGAGCTTTTCTGGAGCGGATTTCCGTGGAGGTTTATAAAGTGCTGGTTGGCCCCGCACGCCTCGAGAGTTAAGGGCTGAGGCTTTTAGATTTCGAAATCGGTAATTTTGACGTTTGCTTTCCTTTTTCGCGAAACCAGAGCCAGCTGAGATCACCGAGTCAATGCGAGCACGCGAGGATTGGAGGTCGACAGAACGATCAGAGCGACGATCGCGGCAAATGGTATGAATGATGGACGAATATTATAGGTGTATAATTACAAGGTGGTAGGGAGGGACAGCAAGCGGTAGCGTAACAATGGCCGGGGATAGCAAGTATCAGAAGAGAAAAAGGCGCAAGAACTGGGAATGCTCTCAGGTTGAACAAGAGGGAAGTCGAGGAAACGCGCAGACGAGTGAATTTAGCTGCCAACCCAACTGGGGCCGTCTAAAGGAGGCAGGCGGGCCTGGAGGAAGCAGCCAGCGATGGACAGACACCTCAACCCGTGTTAGCGCGGGTATTGGTACGTTCCGTACGCGGTATGCCGCCGCTTTGCGTGGAGGGCGCTGAAATTTACCGTACCCCACGCGTATTCATACCAACGTCCAGCTGCCAGTGTATATAATACGTAAATTACCGTCGCATATATCTAGCGATGTATCAATTGTCGCAGGGAGTAGTAGGGGCGAGCGGGAAAAAAAGGGGGAGGGGTTCCATGCCAGGGTTAATTAAGCGACTAACGCTAGGTTCGTTGATAGTTGATACAGCGATCTCCAGACGCACGCCTACAAAATGAAATCCTCCATCTTCCTTTCGCACCTGACGTTGTGGCGCCCTAGAGGGTCCGCTTTAAGGGGCAGAGGGTGCTAGTCTCAGCCTAATGAAGGGCCATCTTCGTCGCACACACTCTTAACTCTGCAAGCTGGTGCGCAGTTACCTAGGCATCTGCCAGGACATGACCTTCACTGTGGCTGCAAACTACGCGCTCAATCACAGAAGAGGGTATAGTCATAGAGCTATAAATATATATATATATATATATATGCAGGGTATACTTCATATGTATGGATGGCTACGGGTGGCTTCGTCGGGTGGGGACTGAGTGGGCACGGCCCGGCGATTGGGAATTGGCTTCAACATATTCAGCTGGTCCGAACGCCCTATAAATGCAGGATTATTGAGTGAAAACATGAATACAACCTGTGATGTTGAAAGCATTCACGACGTTGTGCTGTTCTTCTAGTCCCCATCTGGCATGAAATCTGCAGAGCGCGAAAAATAGACTGAGCCCAGCGTGCATGACTTTAGCCTGATTAACTAACTATAGATACGCTATTATTCATGTGTCCCTACGATGGAAAATATAATATAGCCGCCCTCTTATGCATTATCCTGGACAATGTACCGATCTCATAGATACTATCCAGAGACTCCGTTGAAAGAATGGACGATCCGCCTATCACTACAGTCTCGAGCGACTCGCGTGAGCGTTCTTCCAGGCCGATGACTCAGACGACCAAGAGGCCGCAAAGTATGGGCACCCCCTGCTGGTAGCTGGGATGTCGAACAGTACTAACGTGGGAGTATAGTCACACCCCGAGAGTACGCCGAAGCCATCATCTCCCATTCCAAACAAACCATCCAAGACACGTTGTACCCCGGAAATGTGTTCGAGGATCTCGGCCTCTATTTGAAGAATGGGTTACAAAACTATGAGCTACCCGGCAACAACATCCAGGGAACGTTTGCACACCCTCGATAAGCTTGACGGGAGAAGAACTCTTGATATGTATTCGGATCCCTTGCGATGTGTCGAAAAACTAAAAGAAGCGGAAAACTCTATGAAATGCCAGGTTCTCTTCATGCATGGATACCCTTCCCCGCAATGGATCAGCACAATTGGTGCGCTCTGTCGCACTGATCCGCAATTCTGAGCTGGGACATCTCCTCCAAGCGAGTGGAGCGACATGAACCAAGACATCTGGCCAAAGTCGATCCAGGCGGATTCTGCTCCTGATATTGGCATCTTCTCCTTCCAAATGACCTTGCCACCAAAGATCAGGCTTTCGCTTGGGGACACGTTGAGACGGCCGGTGCCGATTTCCTTGTTGCTTTGGAAGACCTTGTAAAATCCAATGAGGCATGTTGTCGCTTGATCGCTTCTTGTGTACTTGAGCGCTAACAAAGCACCTTTCAGTTGAATGACTGTCCCGTATTGCTCGCTGCGCACAGCACGGGCGCGATCATCCTAAAACGGGCAAGTTTTCTCTCATCATACTGATGATCCATGTCTTCTTTGTTGACAAAAGAGTTAAGCTTTGTGTATTCGCTATCACAATCCTCAACGTTTCAGGCCTCTTCTCCGAAATATTGCCGGCATCATTCTGCTTGCATGCCCTCACTCGCGCTCGGAAGACGTCAATGCGTGGTCGAACGTGTCGTTGATATTCAAGACATTCTTGAAGTCAAAGGCGAAACATGTAATAACTTGACAGGCAGCCACAGGCCTGGCAAATGACTGTCGCAACTTCGAACAAGCTATGGCTGAGTTTGCAGTTCTGAGCGTATTCGAGACAGCAAGCACCCGCACTGGAGGCATGTTTGGCTCCAAAGTAATGGTTCGTCCGTGTCTAACTTAGGCTTTCCCCTTTTATTCATGCTGGAATCTAACACGGTAAAAAGCTGGTCAATGAGCGCTTTGCGAGAACGAACACACAGCTCGAACAGATGCTTCCTTCCAAGTCAGACCACGCAAGTATATGCTGCGTTGCAGGTGGCAGCGCAGAGTCCACCGCGATTTCCTCATTCATTGAAACGGCGGTGAAGAAGATCCGTGATACATGGAAAAGGAGGTCACAGGAGGGTGAGTCGGATAGACGCTAAACAAAGAAAGTGCCATCTCACATGATATTTCCTACAGACTTCAACCCCATCGGCCTTGGCGAATCTACAGTGCGAAGCAAGTCAAGCACAGGGTCACTGAAACAAGCAGAAAAGATAACTTCCAAGGACGGAAGCTCATCGGGCCCCAGGCATTTTTCAGTTTATACAAGTCCGAAAGGCACTACAGGCTCTACAATTGGCAGTCTTCACCTTTTACCTGCTCTTACGGACTTTTCCATTGATAAAATGGACACAAAGCTACCCTGCTTTGTGATGCCCCTCAGCCGGAATAGTGTCTTCTCCGGCCAGGGGCAACTGTTGAAGGACCTTGCAAAATATCTCTCACCCATGAACGACAATGATTCTGAATTGTCCGAGGCAGGATCCGGTACTCATCCGCGAACTTTTGCGCTTTGCGGCCCAGGCGGCATGGGCAAATCTCAGGTTGCGGCTGAATTTGTTTATAGATCCAGGGACAAGTTTGATGCGATTATCTGGATCTCAGCCGACGATCCAACAAAAGTTTCTCGAAGCTTTGGCCTCGCAGCAGTCGCTCTTGGACTTGTTGAGGCAGAATCTCTAGAATCCAGAGATCATATCTTGACCCGAGATGCTGTCTTGGGATGGCTTGCAAATCCTGTGATATCATATAAGCAGCTTGGACATACTCAATCGAAGAACGAGGCCACCTGGCTGTTGGTATTCGACAATGTGGAGGATACCGATATGCTTGACGATTACTTGCCAGTATACGCTTCCGGTTCAATACTGATCACAAGCCGCGATCCTCTTGTGAAATCCAACATTTATTCTCACAGGGATGGATTGACTATGCCGCCGTTCGATGCTGGTGAGGGAGCCAAGCTCCTATCAAGTTGACTGGTCGAACAAATCTGAGCGACGAAGAGCAGAACAATGCTACAGCAGTGGCTGAAATTCTGGGTGGTCTTCCCCTGGCCATAGTCCAGATGGCTGGTGTAATTACACGTCAAAATCTAACCTTCTCTGAATTTCTAAGCCGTTTTCAAGATCAGAGCACTCATGCAAGTCTTTTCAGTCTCAAACTCGGACCCTCGAAAGCTCGCGCAGGCTACGAGCATACAATTGCGTCTGTGTGGGCGTTGGAACAGCTGGGAGAAGGCAGTCAAGTCTTGTTGCAGGCCATGTCCCTCCTCGATCCAGATAGTATCCCGGAGTACATTCTCGAGGAAAACCCGGCCGCAGGTACATGGCCGGACTACCCATCAACGAGCACCGAGTACCACAACGCTCGAACAGAGCTGATGCAACGATCCCTGATTACACGCAACAAGGAGCAGAAGACACTCACCATACATCGGCTCATCCAAGACGCAGTGAGGGCGAGAATGACAGACTACGAGTTCAGCAAAGCATTTAGTTCTGTGCTCTCCTTCCTCTCTGCTGTCTGGCCATATGAGAAGTTTAGTTTTGGAAGCGAAGTATACCGGTGGGCTCGATGCCAGGAACTATTTTCTCACATCCTCAAACTCCAAAATCTGTTTTCAAGGTTTAAGGTACCAACGAAACTAACACAGAATCATCTGGATGGCCCGAAGCTTTTCATTGATGCCGCATCGTAAGTTGCTGCTACAGCTTTCACCTCCGAATTTCCTTGGCTGATGTTTCTCTCTAGAAACACTAATATGTGGGGTCGCTTTGACGACACCATTCCTCTCCTCTTTCTAGCAGAACTATTGTGCGATGCCTTGGGTGACGAGAATCAAGATGCTTCATCTCCACAAGATCTAATTGACCAACTGGCCATCTGTCGCCGAACCATAATTTACGAGCGTGGCGTTCAAGCTTTGCATACTAACAACCCGCAAATATCTTTACTAAACATGAAAAAGTTCGGCGAGCTTGTGCGAGACAGTTATAAAGAGAAGCCCAGCGGCGGTACAGACCAAACAGTCGGTGTCTCTTGGAACGAGCTGGGAAACGCTTATTTCCAGAACAACGACACCATCGAAGCGGAAAAATGCTTTCTCAAGTCGAAGTCGTTCTTTGAAAGCATGGAAGATGCAACATCGATCAGTATCTCTATGCCCCTCATCAATCTTGGCTTTGCAGCGTTGGCCCAGGGCCGGCTCAACGAGGCGGAGATGATTTTCTCTCAGGCGCTGACAGATCGAGAGAAGGAATACGGACGCGATGACAAGATTTCTTTTGTGTAAGGACTGAATTCATTCCCAAAGATAGTTGATTTACATGCTAATTTTCGATACATAGTACGGGCAAACTTCTCCTGGGCTACGGCAACGTCAAATTCGCCCAAGGAAAACTCGACGACAGTTCACTGCTCCACCAGCGCTGTCTGCAGCAGTACAAATCAACCGTAGGCAATAACCACCGCCGTACTGCAGACAGCTGTGTCAAAGTTGCTTCTCACTTGGTACGAGTTGAGAATTTCGAGCCAGCCTTGTGAGTATCCCCTCTCATCTTGCCGGCTAACAACCCTAATCTAATGGTGTGAAACAGAATATTACTCAACCAGGCCATCAAGATATACACTGCGGGCGGACATCTGCACTTTATTGCCGAGCTAACACGTGCCCGCCGTAATCGCGGATTGCTGCTCCAGTCCCTTGGAAGAGGAGCCGATGCAATCACTGATTTGGATGTTGCAAGGGAATTGTGGCAGATAATGTGTCCTGGTGACTGGAGGAAGTTTGAGGATTTGAGTGATGAGGATTTCGATCAGAAGATCATGTTTTGGTCGAGATGATGGTGGTGATTGGTTTTTGATATAGTGTAGTACTTGTATACATATGCTTTCGTTGGATACGTGAAAATTACATAAATTACACTGGATCAACATATAACCACATACAGCGCTAGTCCTTTTTCGAAACGCTAAATTTTTCACCCCCCCCGTGAGCTCCAAGCCCGTAAATTGCGCTCCGTTTCGCAGGAAAAAGCAGCGTGTCACGTGCTCTCGAGCCTTGCGATTTTTCGCCCTTCCAAGCTTTGGTGAATGAACGCGGCCACGCCCGATTTCATCGCATCAGACCCAAACGTCATCCGCCGCGTCTCTGAATCATCCTTATTTATCTCCTTTGCTATTTTTCTTGTTCCATCCTTCTTCCGTTTGTTGTTTGCCTTCGCCCTTGAGCCCGTCTTTCTTTTGCGTGGCGGTGTGACAGGCGCGCGCTTCACGGTCGGTCGGTCGGTCGGCGCTTGTGCCTATTGTGGCCTCTTCGTGGCTCCAACTCTTTTCGTGCTTCTTCTGGGCGAGCAAATGCGATTGACACGCAAGAGATTGGGCCTAATAAATAACACAGCTCTCTAGGAGACGTCAGCTCATAAACTGCACCATCCTGGCTCCCATCAATAAAGCCTCCCTCGTGAGTGGCTACTCCGACTTGCAATGGGGGATGCCGCCGCTGTCGGCCTATACACCATTTGAATCTCTTCTCTTCTTCCAATGTCTTGCGTCACTCAGCAGCCGACCGACTAACTTCTCCGCCATCTCGGACACCCTGCGCAAGAATCAATTCATCAAGGACAATGCCGCTTTTGATACCGATCGATTAAGCCCACAGGCTCTCGAGGAGCTTTATACGACTCTACTACAGGAAGGCGTCGACGAGCCTTCGTCGGCCGGCGAGAAAACTGGTCATTTACAGGATGGGGCCGGTACAAACCCCAAGAAGCGCAAGATCGCCAGCGGTAATGTTGCCAGTGTTGGTGCTCCCCAGTCGCATACTGCCCTTGTCCCAGAAGTGGTCTCGCAGCTCTACGCACGGTACAAAGATCGAGTGACAAAGGAGATTCGGGATGAAGAGAAGAGGTACAGAGATATCAGTGAAGAAATCAAGAAACTCCAGAAGGATGCCGTCGAGGAATCTGTGGCGACTGCTCCGCAAGGAGCCAAGGTTCCGGAAGGCCTGACTCCTGCACAGCCAAGTAATGAGGACATGGATATTGATGTTAAAGACGACACCAAAACCGCAGAAGTTGTGGCTTCGACGATTGCAAAACCTCCAGAACAACATAAGGTTGATCTACAATCTCGACCGGCAATACCAATACCAATACACAAAACAACACAGCCTCTGGTAGCCCCAGTCACAACTACCCCTATACCATCACTCCCAGGCCATGAGCCGTCAATTCAAGGGGTCCAAAAACAACAGCTGCCGCCACCATCTATACCCGTCCTACCGGAAGTTGTGCCGCAGCAGCTACAGTCACAACAAATGCTACAACAGCAGCAGCAGACTATCAAGCAAGCACCACCACCACTCGGAATTCAAGCACCCCCTTCCGTCACTTTCACACCCCCTCTCAAAGCACCCGTCAATGGAAAAGGCACTCCATTGGCGTCACAACCTCCAGCATCGTTACAGGCGTCACCTAAGGTTCAAGTCAAAGTGCCACCGCCTCCCCAGCAACCACAACGATTACCACCACCTCCACAAGCTGCACCTCGTGTCGCTGCACCGAGTCGTGGTCAACCTACTCTTCCTGCCGGGTCAACAATCGTGTTTCAGGCACAGCAAGGAACAAGTCTACCTGCTACACCTACAAACCAGCGTCATGCTCAAATAGGTGAAAGAGCTTTTTCCAAGGGAACCCCCGTTCCTGCCGGTTCTCCAGTGACTTCACAGCTATCGCAAGCACAGCAGCCGTTTCAGCAGTGGACAGCACATCCCATTCCGTCCTCATCTGTTCCGGCCACTCCAAATGCACCGTCGCCATCTGGCGCCCAACCGATGCTTAACCGGCCTACGATGCTAAAGCAAGGCAACCTTATACCGCCAACGGATGTTACTGGAAAACTAATACCTAGTGCATTTCAAAGCAATGTGCCCTTTACCCCTGCTCCACTTCTTAGTGCTACGCAAACGCCAGTGGCGCAAATGCAGCAGCAGCCACAAACAACACCTTTCACAGGGACTCCATCGATCTCTGTGGACGTGAAAATTCGGCCACCTCGTCCATCAATGGATACCGCTGGATCACTTACACCGTGGAAGCGCACTCCAACTCTGCACATCAATATCCCCGAGACTCCCGGGTCCCCTTCACGGCCAAAGCCCGAAGATGTTAGCCCGATCAGTGAGACGGCCTCTTCACCAATCGAGCCCGCGGAGTCCCTTCTTAAAGAGACCATGCCACGGGACAACCGCGGTCAACCCGAGACTGAACGGCCCCGCAGTGGCAGGAAACCAAGTGTAGCACCCTCTGGTGCCGAAACGGTGGTTTCAAAGAGCGATAAATCGACGGCTGTGTTGGGAAACAAACGCGCTGGTAGTACAACGTCAACCAGAAGCAGAGCAAGATCAATTGCCTCTCGAGATGAAGAATCGGCAACGGATACAGCGGTAACAACTCAACGCAAAATCAAGCACGAAGCTCCATCCACGCCTGCTGGTGTATTAGAGGATGTCGATGTGGAAACAAGAGCTGGTACGCGGCGTAAAGCAGTTGCGGCAACTAGTCTTGCTGAAGAGGCCCCTGTGAAATCGAGGGCCAAACGTAAGCGTGGCGCCAGTGAAGCTTTAGAAGTTGATACTGCGCATCCAACACCGACTCGCGCCATCTCATCGCAATTCGTTTACTGCACTCGTAACTTCACTCGAACCGGTGCGCCAATCATGAATGATGTGGCTGCTCATAAGCATGCTTCAATTTTTGCGAAACCGTTGACTGAGAGGGAAGCACCGGGGTATAAGGATCTAATCTATCGACCACAAGACCTGAAATCCATCAAATCGGCACTCACTCATGGGAATAAGGCTATCGCTGCAGCAACTGAGGCAGTCAACACAGCTGCTGAGGGAGAATCACCTAATCCTGCTGCAACGGGGACTCCGTCGAAGAACACAGCTTGGCTAGCGAAGACACCTGAACTCATCCCACCAAAAGCCATTGTGAACTCATCTCAGCTAGAGAAAGAGCTGATTCGCATGTTTGCGAATGCCGTCATGTTCAATCCGGCTCCAGAGCGAGAACGTGGATTTGGAGGAGCGTTTCGAATGAGGAAGCCGAATGAACCTCGACCTAGCTCTCATCCCTGGGAACTTGATGAAGGCGGTATTATTCGCGATACGCGTGAAATGTGCGATGATGTTGAAAAAGCAGTCACGAAATGGCGCGCAGCAGAACGTACCACCACAACAGATGACTCGGCTAGCAAGAGTATGCTTTCTCTTCGAGGTAGCAGTGGCGATAGTAACACGGATGGTACGGATGCCGATAACAAGGGATGATTTTGGGAAAATTCAAGAGTTCCTGTATTACTACTATTATTATCTTTTGTCTTCCTTGTCATATGTCTCATGGATAGACATGGTGGTTATCTGAAACAACAAGAGCAGGGGGCTTGGTAGCATCAAACAATAAAGAATTCTATGAGAAATATTATTCTACCAGATTCATTCGTCTCATTCTATATATAATCAATCCTCTTTTCCATATTTCCCAATCTCTATGCACGTATAGAGGAGACCTGCTCCGCACGCGTCCGCCCAAGACCATCCTTAGCATAAAAGTCCATCGGATAAACGCCATTATTAGCCCTATCCCAATCCTCCCTACTCCCCAAAGCCACCAGGGCCTCGTACGGGGTAAGCAAAGGACGCGGAAACGCATACCCCCAATCAATACTCAACCGCGGACAAGCCACCTGCACCCAACACTCAACATCCGACATGGAAGCGAGTTTCCCGGGGAAAATCTCGCTCAGAAGCAGGTTTACGAATGGTATGTTTTGGTCTTGTAGATGCTTTTCTATCATGGCCATGGTGTGCGGGTTGCCCTGCCGGCCGAGCGAGCCGAGGATGATGCCCCATTTCTTCGCGTTTTTCGCGGTTTGAATGGCGTCGCGGCGCAGGGTGTGCATTTCTTCGTGCTCGTATGTCTCGCGCGAGAGGACTCGAGAGTATGGGTCGTAGCGGTATGCGGGGATTTTGGGGTTGTGGATCATTGCTGATTCGAGATGGAAGCGGCCATCGCCAAGGTAGAGGAGAGCGTCGATTTCGTGCTCGGATAGCTGAGGCGAGGTGCAGCCTAGGATTTCGCCCTTTGATAAGGGCATTATCTGCGGGATTATTACCTTGAAGCCTGCCCGTTCGAGCACCGGTTTGAGGCCGTGGAGTGTCGCGTTGAACTGGATTGTGCCGACGGTGGCTATGGTTTTGCCTGGTTGGAAGTTGCGCTCGAGCGTTGCGATGAGGTGGGAGGTGTCGATGCTGATATCGACGAATATATAGAGGGTTTTGATGGTTGTGACGTCCACGGGGATCAGGCAGCTATGCGCGTAATGGACGAGGAGATCGCAGCCTAGTGCGCGCGCTGTGTAGTCGTCGATACAGCAAGCGCCGTAGGTGACATCGCCCATGATTAGGGTTTCGATGCCGTCGCAGAATTCGGTTAGGATGTCGGATATTGTCGTTGCGAAGAGGAGCAGGCCCTCGGGGAATTGTAATGCGACTCGCTTGGCGCCCAATGAGCGGATTCGGTGGATGGTCTTGGGGATTTCAAAGGAGTAGTTTTTGGGCAGAAGCTCAATGGCTGCTAGGATATCTGGATTCTCGGAAATCTCTGGAGGGACACGATTCAGGGTGCGAGGTGGCCTTCGAGCGGCGGCTGAACAGGTTTGTTAGACTGACAGGCTGTGATCATATAGCAAGAGTCGTACCTTTTTGCATGCTCGTGTCGGTATTGCCTGAAGATTCAGTGAGTGCCTGCGCATCTGCTGTACGTCTACCCACGAATCTTTTCTTGGGCTGCCGGGTTGAAGTGCGGGGCGTCGCCGCGGGAGTTTCGTCTTCCATTATCTAAGGTCAGCCAGGGCAGAGTAGAAGAAATAGAACGGGAAAATAAAAATTCCCTAGAGACGGATTCTATATTTCGAGCGAATATGCAACGTGTATGCAGGCTTGCAGGTGGTGGCAGTTGTACCAAAGCAGAAATTCCGTAGAAAATCCAAAGGCGGCACAGGTGGGGCGGCGATAGCTAAGCTAACTAACGCCGATAAGGCCTGACTAAGCTCTACTTCTCCGCATTGTCTTGTCTGACACTGACGTTCTCTGCTCAGAATGCTGTTGCCCACGCATTCTTCGATACAAAGTGCGGTTCAATATCTTGTCATACTTGGAGGCTGGAAAGTGGCATCATGCAGACATTCAAGCCCCGTCTACTCTTCCGCTGTCCCTTGCAAACTGCGCGCCCCCGAGCTGCTCGTCACTTCGCGACTGAAGCTCGGTTAACCGCGGACCATGTTCGCATCGTCGAAGTAGGCCCTCGAGATGGGCTACAGAATGAAAAGAAGTCAATCTCGCTAGAAACTAAACTAGAGCTTATTAGTAAGCTTGCAAAAACCGGGTTGACTACCATCGAAGCAGGGTCATTTGTGCCTGCGAAATGGGTGCCGCAGGTAAGTCAGTTAACTACATTTAACTAATACGATGGAACCAGCTCGGCATACTAACAATGGCATGGTTTGAAGATGGCTAGCACGTCTGAGATACTCCAACATCTCATCAAAAAACCCCCTCACTCAGATAACCAAATTGCGTACAACTATCTGGTTCCAAACATCAAAGGCCTGGAGGATCTCGTCAAGATCATGGATGCAGAAGGCGCAACAGCCGGGTCCAAGGGCGATCCGGAATTCAGCACAACGACCGAGATTTCATTATTTGCCGCGGCAACAGAGGCTTTCTCCAAAGCGAACACGAATTGCACGATTGCTGAATCTCTAGAGAGAGTCCGGCCAATAGTGGCGTTGGCCAAGGAAAAGCACATCAGAGTCCGTGGCTACGTGTCTGTTGCGCTAGGCTGTCCGTATGAAGGACCAAACGTTGCTCCTTCAAAGGTCGCTGACATTACCGCAACGCTGCTGGAAATGGGCGCCGATGAGGTGTCGGTTGCTGACACCACTGGAATGGGTACTGCGCCTCGCACATTGGAGCTTCTGAAAGCGCTTTCTGCGGCTGGCATTGCCAATAGTGACCTTGCGCTTCACTTCCACGACACCTACGGACAGGCCCTTGTTAACACTGTCGTCGGTCTTGAACATGGTGTCAGAATATTTGACAGCAGTGTAGGTGGTCTCGGCGGATGTCCCTACTCCAAGGGTGCTACTGGCAACGTCGCTACCGAAGACTTGGTCCATACTCTCCACAGCCTAGGCATGCATACGGGGATAGATCTGGAAGAGATGTCTCGGATCGGTTCATGGATTAGCGATCAACTCGGACGTGCTAACGATAGCAGGGTAGGCAAAGCGACGCTTGCGCGCATAGCGAGGGAGAAAAGCTGCCCTTGATTTGCCGTCAAATGAATAAAAATACAATATGCGATGACCAAAACGGTCGTCACCTAATCAATGTACATAACGATTGCTGTTTTCTGTCCAACAAGAAAAAAATTGCACACATGCTCGTTTAATCACGTTTATTTTCCTGTGCCATGGCAAAGGTCAAAAGTCCGTTACCCGACCATTATAGCTCCAGTCCCCTTGATGACCCCAGCGCAAAGGCTCATTCTTAGGGCCCCCAATCTCCCCAGTCTTTGGATTCTTCTCTCCTTCGAATTCGGGCTGCGCAGCCTGCCGTAAATGCGGGTATAACGGCTCTTCTTTACTCGACGAATCCCGGTCGGCTGCTTGCGAATCGGGGGACTGGTTGACTTTGGGTGTGCTGAAAGCGCCTGTTGACTGCCTTTGAAGTCTCTCGAAAATCTCCTGCTCTTCCTTTGGAAGTCGTGGAGGTGCTGGTCCGCCACCGAAAGGACTCTTGTTGCTGTTGTTGTCTTCGGCTACTCGGCGGTTATATGACGATGTGAACGAGCGGCGGGTGGAGAAGAGGAGGGTTCGTCGGAGAGGATGTGCTGCAGCACGAGGCAAGGCAATTGTTTGAACGGAGCTCATTTTTCTTTTCACAAAATGAAGTATATAGTGGTGGTATACGCAGTTCGTCAAGAGATCAAAGTAAGTGTCAAGTTGAGAAGGAAGAGTCCGCCAAGACGCGCGCGCCTTTATGGGATGGATTCTCCTTATCGATAAGCGGCCGATTTTCGGTCAACCCGTCGAGTCACACTCCGAGTTATTTTATTTTTCTCTCGTCCAATTGACTCATAAAGCTCAACTGCTGTTCTTTTCTCTGCGTTTGCCTCTGTACAATTCCAGATTTGTATACCAACCTATCTATTTCAAGCAGTGCAAATAAGTCGCAAAATGACTCTTCGAGCGGCGGCGCGCCGCCTGCATTCGTTGAAGACTGTGCAGCCTTCGTTCACAGCACGCACATTCAGCTCGACGTCGTCAATAGCTAGCTTACCTCGAGATGCCAAACCGCGGACATTAGTAAGACCAAGCTGTTGTTTTTATATTCGTTATATATTGACCACCGCAATTGCAGAAAGAGAATTCCCTACCCACACCCGATCCCGGCCCAGAGTCGACCACTGCAGCGTTTCTGAATGATCGAACTCCCTATATGGTGCCTACATATGTCCGACCAAACCCTGTCTTCGTTAAGGGCCAAGGATGCTATCTATGGGATATGGACAATCGACGATTTCTCGACCTCACAGCCGGTATCGCAGTGAATGCGCTCGGCCACTGCGACCCGGAAATCGCAAAAGTGATCTCGGAGCAGTCAGAAACGCTGATCCATGCCTCGAATCTATATCACAACCCTTGGACAGGAGCACTCAGCAAGTCGTTGATTGACTCGACTCTTGAGTCTGGCGCTATGCGAGATGCACATCAGGTCTTCATCTGTAATTCAGGCACAGAGGCCAATGAGGCTGCTATCAAATTCGCTCGCAAGGTGGGCAAGACTCTTGATAGTACTGGCGAGAAACATGAATTCGTTTCTTTCTACGGCTCCTTCCACGGACGAACAATGGGTGCACTTTCAGCTACACCAAACCCGAAGTATCAAACACCCTTCTCTCCAATGATTCCAGGATTCAAGTACGGCACATACAACGATATCGAGCAGCTAGAGTCCCTAGTCACAGATAAGACATGCGGTGTTATAATTGAGCCAATTCAAGGCGAAGGCGGTGTCAATGTTGCCACACCCGAATTCTTGATTGCTCTGCGCGAACGATGTGACCAAGTCGGAGCCGTGCTCATCTACGACGAGATCCAATGCGGTCTATCTCGCACAGGAACGCTCTGGGCGCATGGAAATCCCGCATTTGCTCCTAAAGACGGCAGCAAATCAGCTGCTCATCCGGATATAATGACAACAGCCAAAGCTCTCGGTAACGGTATCCCCATAGGCGCAACTATCGTCACGGAGAAGGTTTCCTCGGCCATCAAGACGGGCGATCACGGCACCACGTTCGGTGGGAATCCGCTCGCCTGTCGTGTGGCGCACCACATTGTCGATCGACTGGCGGCTTCGGAGCTCCAGAATGGTGTAGAACTCAAGTCGTCGCAGTTCGTTTCTGGATTCAAGGCTCTTCAAGAAAAGTACCCAGACATCATCTCTGAGATCCGTGGTCTGGGTTTGATTCTGGGTGTCCAGTTATCCGAGAAGTACGCCTCCAAGGCCAATGATGTCTTGACCGCTGCACGACAGCGCGGTTTGTTGATTATCACTGCTGGTGACGGATGTCTGCGCTTTGTGCCGTCGCTGAATATTACGGACGAGCAGATCCAGACTGGTCTGAGGATTCTGCGGGAGAGTTTTGAGGCTGTTTTTGCTGGTGAAGCATAAGTACAAAAAAAAGAAGAACGTTGGAAATATCAGCGTCTGCATAAGATTCATGTAGCGTTTATTGATACATAGAGTGGTATATCAGGTAGCTAATGGATACCTAGAAAACATTGAAAAAATGTACATTAACCGATATCTAAACCTGATCAAAATCCTAGACACTGCATTCGCGTCCTTGACATGGTCAGAGCACAGCATCCCTAAAACATACACGGATCCGTATATGGTATACATATCCTTTCGTGATGCGTTTCTGCTCCAATATATCAAATCGATTGCTCAAGGCGTTCGTGCACCCTCTCCCAACCCCATCAATCCACCTGCCAGCCCATTCATCCGTCTGCCTATCAAGTCTTCCTCACTCGGTAAACGAGTGAGCGTCGTCCCATTCTCGGAAGAGGCAAAACTCTTGGAACCGTCGTCGTCATCGTCATTATCATTATCATCGTTGCCAGCATCATCACCAGCTACGCCATTTCTGGGGACTGCCTTACTCGAATTCACTGATTTCAGCAACGGTAGAAAAGAAAGTGGTGTGTTGCTGTTAGTTGAAGATTTGGTGATGCTCAATGATGAAGGGCGACGGCGGTTTGCGAAGCTATTATTTGTGCGTTTTGGTGCTGCTGGTGACTTCTTTATAATCGCGTTGTTCGAGAGGAAAGTTGATTCTTTCGTCGAGTTTATTTTTTTCTCTGTCGAACTCGTGGCTAGGTTGTCATTATTGCGCCTTTTAATGGAAGATGACCGTTCAACAGCAGCGATGCCAGGATCCTCTTTCTGTGTCAGTTTAATAGGCGTAAATTTTGTTAAGTTCATTTCCAGAGGATGATCTTCGTCTGCTGATGATTCTGCGAAAGAACTGCGCCTGCTTTCCCGAGCACCATCTGCTATCCGATCTTCAGCCTCTTGAGCCTCAAGGGATAATCTTTCTTGACTCAGTAAAGCCTTGCTGCTGCTGCTGCTTTTGAAATCAGAAGCGCCAGCCGCAAAAACAGAAGGAGAAGAAGCCCTGAGTTCCTTCTCAGCAGCCTGTTCCAACAAATCGACAATCCACCTTGCACATTTATGGATATGTCGCCTACCGTCAGGGAAGATTCCGGGGAAATTGACAAATCCATGCGATATGCCAGGTATCAGGTTCACTTCCACGTGCTCCTTTTCATTGAATTCGAGCTGCGACTTTTCCAGTCCCAAGTCCTGTCGTTCACGGAAGCGTTGGAGCTTAGCTTGTCTTATTCGCCCAGCGAATATGACAGTATCATCGACTAACGGGTCTCGCTCACCGGTTATGAAATATGTTTTTGGGAAAGCGGCGAGGATAGCATCAGGAGCTAGGACTGGTGATAGAAGGAAATCTGTCTTGAAATCAGGACGGTTGTGCGGGCCAATATATAGAATGATCATTGCACGCATCATTTCCGGTGTCAGCACGCGGTCTCCAAAGTACGAAATCATGGAGGATACAGCTAATCGGGTTTTGATCTGTGTTGGCTGATTGCTGACAGCGGCAGCGAGCTGAGATGACAAACCTGCTGCATCTACTGTCCCGGAATTTTGCGGTTCCTTATGATGGCGAATGCTGAAATAATCCTTTATTGGGGATGTTGATGATGGTGACTCTTGTTGTTGTTCTTCTTCTTCTTGTTGATTAGCGCGTCCAGAAGACGCCTTGGAAGAGAATGAACGTGAAGGCTTAGGTGTAAGACGACTGTAGTCTTCACTCTTCCTCCTTAATACGCTCTCATTTGTTTTCCGCATGCCTCTGTCCTGGATTAGAGACATCTGCTCTTCCGTCATCCAGCTGCCGATATTCAAATCCAGTGACGGATACATCAAGACAAGACCATCCGGTGTTGGAAGCGGAAGCTCACCAAGCCACTTGCGAGTTTCGCCTCTTCCAGACTGCAGGATCATAATCGTCATGCCCGTGGCCAGGTTACCACCGGCACTGTCCCCGGAAACGACGATGTGAGGTCGACTCTGGCCTTTGAGACCAGCACAGCGGCCTCTGCTCAACACAATGGAGCGATAAACATCAAAACACTCGTTCAACGCATATGGATACGGATACTCGGGCGCCTTTTGATAGTCCAAGCTCAAAATGGGCACGCCAGTCCGGCCAGCCCAAGCCAAAAGTCTGTCGTCTGCCGACCTAGGAGTCATTGCGACGTATCCACCGCCTGGAACATCCAAAACAAGTTGCGTTTGCTCACGCAACTCGGCCAGTGTGCCGTTAAAATAAAGCCATGCATTAACTGGTTCTCTATATGAAGACCCTCGCGGACGGGGAATCCTGATTTGCCGTGGCGCGTAATTCATATACCTCGGACGCAGAAGCCCGTTGGCAAAGGACAAGTACGGCGTAGTGGCTTTGTTCCATGACACACGCAGATGCTCTAGGGTTATTGTTGCTCGCACACGGCGAACTTTTTCATCTGCCTGCTCTGCCGCAATCAGATAGTAGACACTAAAAGCGATGGAAGCAATATCCTTCAACCACTTAGGCCTGATCTTCATCGCGGTCCAGAACCCGGCGTCGAGAGCAGTGGTAATCCAGGTGGCGCGGAAATATGATCGAGAATAGAGGTTTGCCAGTGGCTCGGGGCTTTCGAAGCCCATGATCTTTGCGAAATTTCGGGCGACGTAGAGCCACAGGACGGTGATTACCATTGTCTGCCATGGCGTGAGACGATCTCGAAGTCTGCTGGAGAGCAGACGCAGTCCTGGTGGGCCATGGCTGTCTCCTCTAGAGATCAACTTGCGTTAGTTTGAAAATCTAATGCTGCTTCTTCTTCTCCTCCTCCTGCTCAGAAACTGCTGTGCACACGCACCTGACAAGGTATGAAAACCAGAAAGAAACCACGGCGAGAACCTGGATCTTTCGGAACTGAGTGGAAGGTCGACCGAGGACGTGGTCTGTCTGCTGGTCAGTTTGTAGTCAATATCAGCTGGGGAATATATAGCAAACCAATCATTTTCACGCCTTCAATCCTCAGCAAGTGTAATCATAGTTTATATACATGAATACGGGCTATACTTATGTGTCGCTAGAATCACCGAGCATTAAATGATTGCGAGAAAATGAGCCACGGGGTAGCATTGAGACCAGCTGTCGATCACATGCAACACCTGGGGCTGATGGTTGGCACTTCAGGATGCAACTATGTTGGTATATCTCCTGCCTTGGTAAATTTTTATGGAGATTTATGAAGAAAATAAAAAAAATAAATAAAACAGATCAGCAGATATGAGTAAGAACAAATCCTACTTTCCCGGATCCCTTGCATCTGTTCCATATATAACTTCGCATGCCATACACTGAAATTCTCGAAGTTATTTGCATGTGAAAGTGACGCATGTGAACTAACCACATGGGGTAATCCAAAGACGATTAGGGCTAGGGCTAGGGTGACGACCCAAAAGTGCCCAAACAAAGCAAAATAATGAGTTACAGATAAAAGATAACTGTAGCAATAGTCTCGGAATACGAAGCAATCATGCCCTACGTCTAATCGTGGTCGGCATGGGCAGCGGCTTCCTCAGCAGGCCCTCAAACACAGCCATCTCCTTGTGGCATTCACTGGTATACCTTTTGAAAAATGCAGCGGTCACAATCTTCATCTCCATCTCAGCCAAGTTCCGTCCAATACAAGCACGAGGACCCGTACTAAAGGGGAGAAAGGCATTCTTCTGTCTCTCCGTGACAGACTCCCAACGCTCAGGTTTGAATTCCCATGAATCCGGGCCCCAGATTTCCTGCGAGTGATGGATTGTGTATGATGGCACGCTCAGAGTTGTGCCTGGTGGGAAGTAGTGTCCTTCAAATGTCAGGCCGTGTCCACATTTGACATTTTGTGCGCGTGGTAAGCCGAGTCCAATCAGACTGTAATGTCGCAGGGCCTCTTTGATAACACTGTTGAGATAAGGCAGGTTGCGCACCATGTCGTGGGTGGGGACAAGAACATCGTCGGGGATGGCGGCGTCGAGCTCTTCTTGCAATTTCTTCATGACTTGCGATGCCTTGGAGACATAGTATACGATGGAACTAAGACTGTTAGAGGTCGTATCGCTACCAGCGATGAGTTGCGTGAAAGCCACAATGACTAATTCACGTCTGTCAATTATGTTGCCCTCAACATCTCGGTCTTGTTTCTCGATGGCACGAGTCAGAAGATCTATACGCTCTTCAGGTGGAGGATTATCAAGTCGTTCTGCCACTTGGGTGGAAGCCAGTCCAGTTAATTGGGCCAATCCTTTGGCCGAGTCCCTGAAGCGAGCAGTAGGAAACAGATATGCAATATATGGCTTAAGGTATGGCATTCGTCCAAGAGCAGTGGTAGCTCGTGCTCGATGATCAAGGGCATCGATTGCCTTAGCATAAACAGGAGGGCTGCCGGGCGATACTTTTATTTCTGCTAGATCTGCTTCATTCTCCAGCATTTTGAGCGGTTTACCAAAGGAAAGGTCACTAATGACGTCGAATGTGAGGTAGTGCATCCAGTCGACAACGTTAAAGGGGGTCCGATCGTTAGCCTTATCGCCTATGCCATCACCTTCAAGAGGCTGTCCGGTGAACCTGTCAAGTTTCTTCAGAAACAACTCGACATGTCTGTAAATCAATGGTTCCAGCTGAGCCAAAGCATTGGAGGAAAACGCGTGTGCCAGCAGTCGGCGTTTATAGGTATGCTCGGCTGGATCACGAGAAGCGAACATGGTCGCTGAGTCTTTGTCGGCAGGAAATGCGTCATAAAATTCTCTGACGATATAGTCATTAGAGTATTAGCCTACAATAGGCGAAAAGTAAGGAGTACTCACGATTTATGGAAATTCTTGCCGTGGCCATATATCAACGGAATGGCGCGGTCATCGGCGATGCTCACATGGTTCGGTTGGATACGTACTACCTTGCCCTTTTCCTCGTGCAGCCTGTGAGTACTTTGAACAGAATTGCCAATGTATGAGTGGTAGAACGCCCAAGCATTGGTGAACTGAGATGGGAATCGTCCAGGAATACTGCGGAGATGGCTGTATGTTACAAAGTACGACCAGAGGAAGAAGAAAATAAGCACTCCAAGACCAACTAGGAAGACCCAGATGAGGTGCAAAGAATAGTCAATGAAAGCCATAATTTTTTCCGTCAGTCATTGACTAAACTAACTTGGTAGCTGTAAGCTGAGGGTGATTTTTTTTCGCAACCCTCACGCATCGCCAGGTCATATTTATACTACCACTCGATCCCAATGCTATAACAACACAATTATGCTACCATGCAACCCGCCTGGTTAAGTAGTTGCTCCGCCATGCAGGAAATGTCCATGCATCATACAATAAAAAATATCCATGGATATAATCGGAAAACCCGGCTGGCAAGCGAGTAACCCAGACAGTTTCGAGGACAACATGCAAGATAAGTAGTAGAAGCCAAGAGATTGTGCAGCGAACCCCGCATTACAAAATATCTAACAGATGCGCTGTAGCAAACGTCCTAGGCAGGTAACCTTCCTATGTATTCAGGGATACTTTTCGGTTAGGGCTTGGTGTAGTGTTGCACACGACGAGGCATTTGCCAGACTTTGCCAAGCAACTATGAATGTTTTTACTACAAATTTCAAGGTGCTTCTTATACATCAGTCAGCTTCCTTAGCCCAAGCTGTTCTTGGTCATTTGCTATAGTCGTCCCGCAATCTCCATGCGGAGTACGGAGTATATAATGTGATTCCAGGCAGACTTCGCAAAGGAGGGGAGCAGAGTTGCATCAAGGATTTAGACATGACAAGTGTCTAGGAGACCGTCTAACCGACTTAGGATTCGCTTTTATGATTTACATCTAAGTATAGCTCGGCTTTTCGGACGGTACAGTGTGCCGCTGTTTCCGGTGTCTTCCCCGCCTTGACTGTAGATGTTACTAGGGCTAGAATCTCAGGGACAGGGGTCGTTGTCAGGATATCAATTTCAACTAACTATCTATCTATCTATATATATATATATCCCTGTATAACTGATGATCACAGCATGTGACTGATGTAGATCGATAGTTTAGGTGCCTCCTAGCTTTACAAGTGTTGTCAACCATTGTTTTTTCTAGGACATCGTGCAATATTCCCTTCCATGAGAGACCTGCCATCGACACAGCCACACTTCAAAAGCCATTCCCAGAAACCCAGCAATACAAATTCCAGCTGAATCGCTTACAGTAGTCGCAGCCAGGGAGAATTCTCGTTCAGCAGGTGGAACACGATCGGTAATCTCCGCAAAAGTATTCACGTAGACCAAACCACCAAGTAGCCCTTCCCAGAATATAACTACAAAGATGAGGTATACATTGGGGATAAAGTTGAATAGAGCGTGAAGAGTTAAAAACGTTAGGTTGGCGACTTGTAAGAAGGATGGAAGATATAGGTTATGGATGCGGAAGAATGGGGTGGAGGACCGTGAGATGAAAACTCCCATTTGGTAGATTGCGTTGTATGTTGGGTAAAATGCTCGATATTGCTCGAATGGTGTCTCTTCCAATGGAAAGAGGAGGGTGGGTGTAACACCCTGGTTAATGGTATATTCCGCAATATAGACTAGAAGAAGGGGGACCATGCTAGGGGGAAAAAGTCAGAAAAATATATAAGACTAAGAGAGAACGTTTTGTTCTTTGCTTCTTTCAGAGTGTAGACTTACAATGGAATAAAAAGTCGTTTGGAGCGGTTCAGATTCTCCCGGAACAAGGCCCATTTATCAGAAGATCTGCTGGCCACAATAGCCTTCGCATACGACCTGGAATTCCTCGGAGGATCTAACAAGCCATCTCGTTCATTGATGTCATGCTCGTGATCTACCTGGCGCGCCTCGGCCTCCTCTTCGAAGTCGTTACTTTCGTCGGCAATGGCTTGGTATTCAGATGCCTCGCGAGATAGATGACGCAGTGGGCCCAGGGGCAGGACTACAAAGAAGCTCACAAGCATGATAACCGGCAAACAAGCCGACCCTAGCAATGTAGCCTTCACGCTTAGGCCGAAGGAAGTTGTAGCGATAGCATAGGCTCCGGCACCAACCAGTCCTGCTGCGCCGGTCCCACTGCCCCAAGCTGCAAGACTGAATCTGCCATAGAAGTGTGTCAGGCCGAGAAAGCTAAGTTCCCCAGCGCCACTCGAAAGACTCGCGAGGACTACGCCTGCTAGCTTGGTTGCAATCGATCCGCCATCGGTGTGGGCAGGTGTCAGGGATATAATAAGCATCCCGAGAACAGACAGCCCCACGAGAATTATGACCCTTGCCGAATATGGAATGAGATGGATGAAATAAGGGGCGGTCAATTTCGTCGCAAAGGACGGTACGACGTCCGCCAGGAGTACCACGCCTTTTGGAAAACCGGAGCCAACGAGATCAAGCGCGGCCGAGAGTATGATAACATAGAGGACGTTGTTAATCAAGCCTAGGAGTTGGCGCAGCGAGCAAAATTAGTCTGAATTTTGTATACAAGATATACCGAGTCCTTCGTAGCGTCACGCGATCACAAGCAACGGGAGTGGGAGCTATATACCAAAGAGCCAGAAAGCAGTGCAGACACGAGGATCTGCATCATGGAATAGAGTTTTGAATCTCTCTCGAAAAACAGCCCATGACGAACCAGGGCTCCCAGGCAGAGGAAGGGGCATGGTCTCAGTGTCAGAACTGTCAGACATTCCAGATGGTGGGAATTCGTAGTTGGGTGTTGATTGACATGGAGAGAGAATGTTCAATTCTTCAAGAATCTATATTCTATGGAATATAGTGAGATATCATTTCGCTAGTAGCATAGAAAGAGCGAATTTTGGTGAGGCTGTAGCGGAGAGTTGGGGATTTGTTGTTCCACGCTGTCGCATCGTGATAAAGTGCACGGGCCACTAGAGATAGCGCTGATAAGGTGATAGAGTAACCCTAACCCTTATTTGATGCAGCTGGCCAACCTTTTTTTTATTAAATAAACTACATTAGTTAGTTGGGTATTAGTTTACAATATAACATTGCCCACATGCTAGAGTTATGAAAAGGTCCTCGTCATCCGGTAGGGAAATTGCTGACTCAATATGGCTGGCATGTGCGGAGCTGGTTTCCTACACAGGCTTTAGTGCCCTAGTTTGGTATGCATCTGCTCAGTCTGGGGAACATGCCACAGAAGCATTGAAAGATATGAAGATATGGTTGTTCAGATGGCCTAACTGTACGTTAGTCCAAAGTCCAAGCTAGCTCTGCAAGTATGGAAGCCCTTCCAAGCACAACTATCGAAATGACGTGCTATAACCGGTTTACCGGGCTTGTGCGAGGTGGTTGAGTAGGACCAGGTCACGCTGACCGTCATTCCGAGCTCGTCCCCTTGGGCACACATCGGGCGCGTGTTTACCAGAAGCTGTTCAATAAAGGAAGAATTAAGCAACTGCTGCCCTATCACGCGTGATGGGAGGCGGCGACTGAGTCGAGTGAGGTTAAATGACGAAGGGCTTGGTAACAGCCTGCACAGCATGGCACATAACAAAGGGCGGTCGGATGTGGCAGCATATTATTAATACAAGGACATTGTAAGTCAGTTAACTAGCCAGTTAGCGACCTTCGGCATAGTCAAGTGTCTAGCGTCTAGCACTAGCAGGCTAGTTTGCTGCGTCGGCGCCAGAACTTGGACGTGCAGACTTTTACGGTGAAAGTCGAAGCATCAGATCTGATAAGGCGGAAGAATCGACACTGAGTGCGTTTCGCGCATTACGTAAATTACAGCGCGGGATCCGCATGCTGGCTGGCCGTGGCTGTAATATATTACAGCTAAGACGCAGCGGGCCCACCCGGACCCCATTCTTTCCATGCGGGCTAAATCTGTTGTTTCTCCACACTCGCTTTTGTGTGTTTTCACCCAACGGACGGTGAGCCTGCTGCCATCCTACACTATACCACCAGCTGCAGCTCTTCTATTCCTCCTCCTCTCTCCCTTGCTACCACCCCCAGTATCCTCCCCATATTACTGCGACTTCTCCTGGCACCGATAGTCGTTGTTTTCGTCTTTTCCTTCGTCGCTGCCTCTCGCATTCCGCGCCGTTCCAAATCAATAGGTGGCTCGTGTGATCGTGCGCTTTTTTCCTCCGCATCCTGCCAGGGCACGATCGCTCTTACTCTCACATCTAGCACGTTCAAGTATACCCCATGAAAACAATAACATGGAGTCCCGGCCGCCTTCTGTCCCCCATCCACCGTTTCCTCGCCCGTCACTCTTCAGCACCGCTCCTCAACACTCCCCCCAGTATGTTTCGCGAACAGACGCACGAGCGCATGCGCCTTACGACGCCCTACATCGACAGGAGAGCGAACCGTCTCGCACCGCGTCCGCGTTTGGCTACATGTCTTCACAATCGTACAATCCAGATATGAGGTCTCAGACTCGGTCGACATCACCTACGCGTTTCGGCGCAATGCAATCTGACGCCGCAAAACACTCTGCTGTTGCTTCGCCCGCCAAACATAATGGATTTTTTGGGAAAGAAAGTGTGTTTCATCGAGAGGGTAAGGAAAAATGCTATTTTCTTTCCTTTTTTTTCTTTTTTTTCTCTCTACTCCTTTTTCCCTTTTTCTCTGTTTGAATTTGGTTTAGCTCTTTTCACCTGCGCCCTTCCCGCTTTTCCCGCTATTCTCTTTGTTTACTTGTGCCTGTTTTTATTTTTACTTCACGGTCGAACTATTTCCGCAGTCAGCGGAGTGGTTCCTGGCTACTACTGGCAGATGCATGCACTAGGGTGAAGGATCCATGTTACGCAAGCTGTGTAACTGGACCAGACAGGACAGCAGATGGCTTCTATATTCATCGCATTTTATGGGATGACAACACAAAAGCCTCCTCTGCGATCTTTGTACAGCCCTGCCTTGACATTGCTGCCACATAGCTCCGTTCTCCCATGCCCATCACCGTGATTGATCATCGGCAAAAGGGCCGAGCGATGATCAAAATGCCATCGATCACGGGAGCGCTAGCCTCTTTGGGTCAGCTCTCGTCCTAGCCCGCTTAGCACTAGCGCGCGCACGGACTCTCATAAGCCACAAGGTTGTGTACCAAACCTCAGGCCAACACGCATTCGGGCTGTTCCTTCCCCTGCCATCCATTGCGCTCCCTTTTCTGCCCATCATTGAACAATGACCGCCCCTCATACGCACTCAGATTTGTCGCCTCCTCTTTTGTAGCGTGGACTATGCGGCGTGTGTCTTCTCCACGTGAACACGAGAGCTTCTTCTTATCTTCGATCCGTAATCGGAGTCGCAAGCCAACCAGTAATGGTGAGGCTGCTGCCAACATTCCGCTATCCGCCCTTTTTTTTTGACGCTTTTCTTCTTTTTTCCTCCCACATTTAATATTGTTCGTTCAACTATACTTGAGCTACTGCTGACTGGTCGGGCATAGCAAACTTAGAAGCGTCTTCCGCACAACCTCTGAGCCATCGTCAGATGCCTCCTCCGTCGCCTCCACAACCGTATCCGTCCCGGAACACATCCGGATCTCTATCTCACACGTCACAAAATCTTTTTTCTCGTGATCAAGGCCTAATACCGACACATCGCCCTGGCAGCAGCATGTCCATTTCTTCAATGCTCGGGTCAGATCCCGATCGGCCCACCCGCGATCATCCAACCTCACTGTTTTCTCGACCATCCGTATCGACCTCTGCTTTTGGAGCCTCGCGCCCCTCTGCGGGAGCGATGTCGCCTCCTACAGCTCCCGCACGGCCGGCATCCTCTGTCGACAATCCACTTCTGGGTCGCTCACAGACCCCGGACAAACCGTATGGTAAGGACGCTTTCTCCCGACAGTCCTCGAGATCCGACTCCGGTGGCTTATCATCAGAATCAACAAAACTTGGCTTCGGGAGGAGTTCGTTCTCACAATACCCCGAAAAAGGTTCAAGTTCACAGAAATCCCCTCATATTACTTCTTCCGATCTCTCCTTCGCCCACTCCCGCAGAGTGAGTGGCAACGGTTCTATTCAACGCCCTAATAGCCAACCACAACATGAAGATACCCGACCTACCGCATATAGTCCTCGTTCTCGAGTGTTAAGTGATGGGCTTTTCGGAAACGCGCAACGTCATGCCTCCTACGCCGATCACGAAGCCCGTCAACCTCTACGATACGGTGGAATTTACTCGGACAGGGCTAGAGAGGAACAGTTGGCGCGAGAAAGAGAGATGGAAAGGGAAAGGGAAAGGGAACGAAATTCTCTGCATGATGCGGATCACAAATCATCTTTAGGAATGCTGCATGGTAGATATGGAACTCATCCCGGTGAACGGGACTCTGACCGAGCCCATAACCACCAGTCATGGGAAACTGGAAGAAGTCAGCCTCCGTCCCCCGAAACTCGGCGTTTCACAACTTCCTCTGAACCAGGATCCGGGTTTGGCTTTGGTGCTATTCAAAGCTACACAAAATCCCTTGGCTCGCAATTAGGGGCTTCGCGCAATGGCCCGACATCCGCCCCGCCACACTCGAGCTTCTCCCTTAATTCTCGTCAGGAACAGCCAACACCACCTCACGAGCAACCGTTTCCAGGAAAATCCCAGACACAATCTCGTCCACTTCTAGTGACTTCAATACCTTCGGCAAGTCAGCCATCGATCGGCGTTCCAGGCTCGGCACCATCCGACGAACAACATCGGAAGGGCAGTGATGATTTGATGCAGCACCGAAATCTGCTTGGGCTAGCAGCGGATGGCAAGCGTGCTGGCCGTGCGTCACCACTGCCGCAGGCCGTACAAGGAGCTCAAGCCCAGTTTATTGGCCCAGCTGGCGAGCCTGGAATCAAAGGGGAGCTAGGCAGGGTATTTGCAGGTATTGGTAGTGGCGTGGGCACCGGTGCTTCTAGCTCAACGGGAAGCGGACCCTCCACACCCATGACCCCTAGTCCATTCAAACGAGACAGTATTAACGGCCAACCCGAGCAAGTGGATGATGTTAAAAATGGTCGCGGTGCAGTCACCCTCGGCGGTAGAAAGAGGAGCTCAAAGGACGAAGAAATTCAGGGCGAAGGAATTGAGCAGGCGCAGTATTTCCGGAGTGTGTCGGCTCGAGGTGGCTCTCGTCGCGGACGGCATGTCCATCACCATCATCACCAGTATGTATTGTTGCTCTCTTGGAATGTTTCATTGAGGTGGAAGGGGCTAATTTTAAATATCTACAGTCATCATCACCACCGATACAAGAATGAAGATGACGGTGCTTCATCACGTATGCTCGCTGGACCAACGAGTGTTTTACCTAAAGCGGTAGCGCCCACTGATTCGATAAACTCCTTAGCAAATGCCGCTTCAGCGCACCACCATCACCACCACCATCATCATCACAATGTGCCTCGTGGCGTGTCTTCAAATGTTACCTCTATTCCAGCACCTTTCTCTTTACGGGAGGCCCGAACTTCAGTCAACATTGAGCCATTGTTAAAAAGCGTCGCTAAACTGCCGCGACATCATCTTGGTTCAACGTTGTATGCTCCCCGCATCGGGGTGCCAAGTGCAAATTCTTCGGTGGAAAGTCAAAAGTTCGGATACACCAGCACTCCGGTGCCCATCCCTCGCTTTGAAGGAAAAGAGAACTGCACGTTCACAGTGCGTGTGCCTCGTTTTCGTATTGATTCGAGCCACCGAGAAGAGATTTGCGCGCGCCGAGCGCTGTGGGGAACTGGGGTATATACCGACGATTCAGACCCAGTGGCAGCAGCTATTCACTCAGGATATATCCGCGGGGAATGGGGCGAAGATGTTGATATCTCGATGCTCGACCTCGAGATTAAGAGTGATTATCATCATGCCCCACAGCCTGCCACGGACGCATCATCGTCAGGGAAACCGACGATCCCGCCCGTGCCTCCGGCAAACAAAGATTTGCACATCACCTTGCTCATTCTGCCGCGACTGGAGCGCTACGAGTCGAGTCTTATGTTCGGGATCAAGTCTAGAGCCTGGGAAGGTAGACATGATGGCATGAGCTACAAAATTGAGCGCATCGAATGGGTGGACGAAGGATCAACACGAGGCGAGGAGCGCAGTGGAGCGGCACGGCGAAAGCGTCTGCGCAACATGATGCAAACCGGGCGAATTTGCACAGGGCCAGGTCTTTTACGGATGCGAGGTGCTCCAGGCGCGTTGCTAGGCGAGAACACCGACAGAGTTACTAGTCAAACCCCTGCATCAGCCGCGATGCAGCCTGTATCATGATCTATGTATGTATCCATATCTACGGAGCAACGGAAGCGTTTGTCCATGGGACGGAGTTGTTTTGTTGTTATTTATCTTTTGGATATTTGAGGCTGTACTCCTAGTAAATAAACATAGTAGTACTATAATCCTCTTCTTCATCTGCTAGGCCATAAATGACGTCGAATCTGGAAGCAGCCGAGGAAAGACGTCGGCCCGTGGCATCAGAACATGCGGTGGTTAGTTATGCAATAATAACAAAGCGTGCATAAACCGACGGTCTGGTGCAGCCGGCAGCCGAGGTTAATCTGGAAGGCGCGGCTGTGGGGGACAACCGCCGATAGCTGCTCCTTCCTAAGTAACGGCTGCTTCGTTGCTTGTGACTGACTCTGCCTCCTGCTGTGCCTCTTGATACCCCCTTTTTGCTGTCTTTATTATTGACTATACGCGCGCTCTCTCTCTCTCTCTCTCTTTTTCTCCCAACTTTCTCTGAGCTACTCTGTCGTTAGTCGAGGGGATGTTGCTGGCTTCCGCGCGACGAAGTCTTGTCTCACCATCCTTCGGACGTGCCGCTGCTTTACGACTACCGAACAGAACTTCTCCTGTAAGAACTATATATCGTCAAGTTTTTGTGTCGTTGCTGACAGGAATTCTTTAGATATTAGCCATGGCTCCTCAGCGGCGAAAGCAGTCGTCGGTTCCAGAAGGTGAGCGTTGCGTGAGTTCCAAGCATGTGAATGTATCTGACCTTTAGCGAAACAGGCTTTGTCGAGGATTTATCCAAAGGAAAGACCCTCCGATTCGAAGACTCCCTTCCCAAGCTTCCCGTCCCATCTCTCGAAGAGACTGGTCGTCGCTACTTGAAATCCGTTCATCCATTGCTTTCGGCTGCCGAGTTCGAGCGGACCTCCAAGGCAGTGCATGACTTTATCAAGCCAGGCGGCGAGGGAGAGCCGCTGCAGCAGAGACTGCTTGCTCGTCGCGATGACCCAAAGATCAATAATTGGCTCAGCGAGTGGTGGAATTATTCTGCCTATCTTGGCTACAGAGACCCCGTTGTCCCTTATGTTTCGTACTTCTACTCCTACCGTGACGACCGTAAACGTCGCAACCCCGCTGCTCGTGCCGCAACGGTTGCTTTATCGGCCCTCCATTTCAGGCGCCAGTTGGTCGATGGAACGCTAGAACCTGACTATCTGCGGAAATTGCCTATCGCCATGAGCTCGCTGCAGTATATGTTTAATTGCTCTCGTATACCCGCTGAAGGTGCGGACTATCCACAGAAATATGCTCCTAGGGAGAACGAACATATCACGGTTGTCCGCAAGAATCAGTTTTTCAAAGTACCTATAGTCGTCGATGGCCAAGAACTCACCAGTGCTGAATTGCAGAAGCAGTTTGAGCGCATATATGAACGTGCTGAGCACCCTGTTGCCCCGGTCGGTGTTTTGACTGCAGCAAACCGTGACCATTGGACTGCGGCCCGTGCGAAGCTAATCGAGGCCAGTCCGGCTAATGCGAAGGCTTTGAAGGACATTGAATCTTCGGCTTTCTTGGTATGCTTGGATAATGCTGCCCCCGTCACACTTGAAGAGCGAGCACATCAATATTGGCATGGTGATGGTTGCAACCGTTGGTTTGATAAGCCCCTTCAGTTCATCATCAATGACAACGGTACTGCCGGTTTCACGGGCGAACATAGTATGATGGACGGCATGCCAACTCAGCGACTAAACGACTACGTGAACAGTCTCATTTTCGGCAACAAATTGGATTACGACAATACTTCTGTCCGATCTACTCTACCACCGCCGGCACCCATCAACTTTGAGCTCAACTTGGAAGTCGAAAAGGCTATTAACGAGGCACACCAAGAACACCGCTCTCATATTGCTGCCCACGAGTTGCGGGTCCAGGCATTCCAGGCATATGGCAAAGGACTTATTAAAAAATTCAAATGCAGTCCTGATGCGTATATACAAATGCTTATTCAACTTGCTTACTACAAGATGTACGGCGTCAACAGACCTACGTACGAGTCAGCCTCGACCCGTAAGTTCCAGGAGGGTAGAACAGAGACAATACGTTCAGTATCAGACGAAAGTGTTGCTTTCTGTCGTGCCCACCACGACCCAGAGGTTCCCCGGGAGGAAGTCATCAAGCTTTTCCGTGCAGCTCTTGCACAGCACACAAAATACACCGTGGAAGCTAGTGACGGCAAGGGTGTTGACCGACATCTATTCGGTTTGAAGAAACTCTTGAAAGAGGGCGAGAAACTCCCTGCACTTTATGAAGACCCAGTCTATGCATACAGCGGATCATGGTACCTGTCGACATCGCAGCTGAGCTCAGAGTACTTTAATGGATATGGATGGAGCCAAGTCATTGATGATGGGTTTGGCATCGCATATATGATCAACGAGGATAGGTGAGTTTCTTATTTACCTCCTCCAAACAAAATACCGACTAACCCGTATAGTCTTCAATTCAACATTGTGTGCAAGAGACTCGGCGCAGAGCGCATGAGTTTCTATCTTAATGAAGCCGCGCTGGAGGTCCGCGAGTTGTTGATGCCCGATCTATTGTCTGAGAAGGAGAAGGCCAAGCTATAAAATCTGATTATTGTGATGTTCATATTGAGGAGTTAGATTCTGTATGTAGATAAGAATTGCGATGATTTCTCATAGGGCTACGAGCCCGTGTATAAACTCATCATCGACACGAAGTAAGCTAGCTAGCTAGTAACGGGACCCCTTCGGATCTGCCGCCTCAACCAACGTCTCTTTAATTATTTTGGGCACGAAGGTTATTGATAGATGCGGTCTAGCATAAATGTTTTCTTCTAAAGTAAAAAGACATGCTCTAATCCCTTCTGCGGTCTCTCGGACGACGATGGAAACCACTCAATTTCCTGCCTAGCGCGAACTTCGTCCGCATCCCTGACTACCACAAAATCGAAGAAGAGATCCTGCCAGACTACATCGCGTCCCGGGACTATCCCACCGGAATAGGGGAGGTTGTCCAAGAGCGATACCAAGTCGTGGGTAAATTAGGCTTTGGATCTACCTCTACTGCGTGGATTGCGCTGGATATGGAGTAGGTGATCAACCCCAGGTACCGTTAAGATCTACAGAAAAAAAAAAAAAAAAATTCCGGCTTGCTAATTGCACAATTGTAGCGGCTGTCGCTATGTCATGCTCAAAATATTCGTGCACGCAGACTTCGTCCATTGGCACGCATGTGGATAACGAGCTCAACATGTACACACGTATAGAGCAGTCCCCAATGGGTCATTCTGGCTGCGGCGCTGTTAGAACGTTGCTCGACACGTTTGACAAACAGGGACATGAAGACAGGAACCGATGTCTTGTGCACCCGCCGTTGTGGCAGAGTGCTGGCCTTTTTGCGCTGTAATCCGGTCGAGAGGCTGCCTTCAGCTGTCGTGGCTGTGGGTCTTACGGCGCGTGTTTCAGGCATTGGACTTTCTGCATACGGAGTGTCGGGTTGTACGTGCTGGTTCGTTTTCTCTCCCTACTTTCGTTTCTTCTCTGCTTACTTCTACGTCCTAAATATTAAAGCTGATAACATAATGTTCGGCATCGACGACAATGTCTTCACCGACTTTGAGAAGATGAAACTCCAACGACCTGTACCACGCAAGGATATAGAAGATAGCAATGGTAGAACAAGTAGAACAGTCTACATGTCTCGCGATTAGAGAATGCCTAAAGATCCGGGGTACCCAGTCTTGTGCGATTTTAGATCTGCCATGGCCGGAGACAAGTATCGCTGTGACTTCATTCAGCCGAATATTTATATCGCGCCGGAAGTTATCCTGGAAGCTTCCTGGACGTATAGTGTTGATATATGGAATGTGGGACGTATGGTATGACATGAGCATTCACCATTATTATTATTATTGTTATCATGCGCTGAAAGTTAGGTTTGGATCTGGGATATCTTGGAAGGCGGCTCCTTGTTCACCTGGCAAGATCCTGAGTTCCAGAGATATCGAAGTCGAGCCCATCTCGCTGAGATGATTAAACTCCTCGGGCCCCCACTGAATAGTCTGCCGGATCAGGGGAAGTTAAGGAACAAATTCTTCTCTGATCAAGGCATGATACTCACAGTTCAAAAAAAAATGTTAATTAAGATCTATCTACTATCTATCTATCAATTCTCTAGGTGACTTGCTCGCTGAAAAGCTACTATTGAAAAAACAAGCCCCGCTCGAGAAGCGCGAGACTACTCTTGAGGGACAAGAGGACGAAGAGGCATAGCTCTGCTAAGGAGTTGGTCGAGGATGAGTGGATACGTATGCATTCTTGATTATCTACTGGGCATGCTGTTGCTGTCTCGCTGATGCATGGGTTTTCGGGACCCACCGTGGAGCGCTAAAAGACGGGCCGCTGCATGCTACATATACCTAGTGGGGCCGTACTGTTCGCCCAGGGCTGGGGTAGAGGATTATTCATTGCTAATATGAGCTATAATCTATGCCGATAATGTTTACCATTTACATAGAATCTTTTCTTCGGTGCTAGTAGCTAGTTACTTAATCTAATTTAGAAGTTGCAAAAAGTTCTAAGAATCTGCGGGGCTCGGGCTCTGTCTGGACCTTTGACCTACTCCTTTTCTCTCTGTTGAACCCCACCATGCATACATACCTCTCCTCAAAAACTAAGTGTGCTAATGCTCGAGACACCAGTCAGGATTCCTACCATGAGAAATAAATTATGTTATTTGGCGGTGCCGTAACTCCCTTCATGAAAACCGCGTTCATCTCCTACTGTGGGTATTGCTCTACAAAACCTGAAGCGATTGCGCATCCCCTGGACGAACGCAATGAAGTCCGACAAGATAAGCTCCTTATCTGGATGAGCACTTTCTCTAACAATGGCGATCGCAAAGAGGTTACGTAAAGCAATGTGGCCACCACAAAGCCCTCTGGATAAGTTGCAGACTAGTCGTAAGTGGTCGCAAGCTCCCAGACGCAAAGAACTGGAATGGAGGAGAATCAAAGTGCTGACAAGAAGCGCGAGTAAAGCCCCTCGTTTATTCCTAAAAATCTATCAATTCAGTTGGCTCAAACTAGGGCTTCAAATTATTTTTAAGGTGCAGACTTACGCATGCAAGCCTATGTAGGCTAGAAGATTGCCGACGCTCCAGTAACTGCAATTGCTAGTATGGTGCAGGCGCAGGCTGTAACTGATACCGCTGCGGCTTCTTCTACCTCGGCATGAGACGAGAGCTCATTGCTTCTTCGAGGAACGTAACTCTATCGGTGAGAAATGGGTTGAAAAGCTGGTCGGATAGAAAACAAATACCGTGACTCTCTCAGATGTTCGTAGATACAAATCTGCTGAGCAGCAATATGGGGTAAGCGGTTGCCAGAGGTATGGCTGTCTCTCGGCGCAGATATCCATCCGATACCATCACTGATGCGAGGGCAGCATCTCCTACACTCCCTGCTCTCACAGACAACGCAGCAGTTGGACTCAGTGACATTTGGCGGCATGGAGACATCTCTGGGTATCGCAGTCTGAGGGTGTAAATAAAGAGTCTCACTATGTTGACTAACTTTCAGGCGAAAATCTAAATGAACTACCTAGATATTGATTTATTGCTTATGCTAGCTACATCAATCATGTAACAAGTTCCAGGTAGTCGGTTGATTATGAACATGAATAGAGAACATAAACACATTTTTGCATGTCATTAGTCAAGAATTATGCCATTCAAGGAGCTGGCAGGTAATAGAAATACATTTTGAGTGTGCACAGGCACATATGCACATGCATGTGAGTTAGCGTGCATGCAGATGTGCATGACAAGACTAGAGTTGATTTGACGCTTTGTCAGGTTTAATGAGAAAGCACCCTCATCTTCCTCTGTTGGTGAAATATAATCGATAAATCAATCAAATCGCAAGAAGATCAGGTGTGCAATCATTCATTTGTTCTTTTCCTTTTTCATGAATGTAATCCAAGTCAAGTCTTTTCTGGCCCCTCAGCTTCAGACACAGCAGCGACAGTCTCACCAGTAGAAGCACCACCACCACTGCCATGATCGTTATTGTTTGCTGCTGAAGACAACTCATTAAGCTGACGCTCAAGCTCCCGTATCCGCATTTGAAGCATTTGGTTCTCCCGAGTCAACATTGCAGCTTCAGCCTGATAAAATACGCTTTCGTCGCGGCTGCTGCGGCGAGCCGACGATGAAGGTATTGCCGCTTCATTTCCGCCACCCAGAATGGACCACTCAGAACCAACGCTGCTGTGTACCGGGTCTATGGCTGGGCTGGACTGTGCGGAGTGTGGCACAGCACTCAATCTGGGCGACATTGTTTCTGATGCTCGTGATCCTCGGCGAGTGGAAAAAGATGATTGTACTTGCTGCATCGAGCGAGAGCCTGGTGTTGGGAGCGGTGGGACTGTTGGAAAGGATTGTGAACGTTCAGAGCTTGGCGTAATATCATCGACGATGGCTGTTCCAGAGTTCGATGGCTGGTTCTGTTGCTGTTGCTGTAGTTGCTGTAGCTGAACTTGCTGTTGTCGAATCATTTGGAGTAATCTGTTCTGTAAATACTGTAAGCGAAAGAATCATCATCATAATGGCCTGTTCGAGAGCATACCACTTGTGCCTCTTGTTCCTGTTCAAGCTCTTGGTGTAGCTCTCCTAGCGACGGTGCTCGTTGGTGGTGGGGGTCACCAATCCCAATAATTGGACTACCTCCCAAGCTCGTAGGACTAGCAGTGCGGAAAAAGTTGCTGAATGATGGCGAGCGGTGCTCATGATGATGATTATCAGCACCCAACGGGTTTGGATCATTCAGATTCAAATGCATCCCAATACCTGATCGTCGACGGCCTTCTGAAACCGAGGGTCTGTTGCTATGCGACGAGCTGCGGAGGCTACTGCTGAGGGACGAGCGGTGCGACAAGTCGGTTGAGATGTTATTCATTGTGGGCGCGGCACTGGATGATCTTGGAGATGGTGCTTGAGGATTATTTCCGTTACTGTGGTGTGCTTCAATGGCAGCTGTTGACCATGTGCTGTTGGTGCGTGGTTGTAGCGGGGATGAAGTGGATGATCGAGATGGAGGGAGAGAGTTGAGGTCTGGAGCCATTTGATGATTTTTGATGGGTAGGCTGCCGTGTCTGAGCCAACAATGAGTGGGAGGGAACGATACTTCTGGGATTCTCGAGAGGGCACAATGCGATGAGTTCATTTGCCTTCGCGGGGTATCATGTGACCCTTATCGGCAGCTGTCCGCATCCGGTTAGTATCCCAGAATACAATGAATGGTAAAACGGTTGGCGATGTCAAATGATGTGGTTTTTCTTTTCTTTTCTTTCTAATATTGTTAAATGTACAAAACAGCCAATAGTATCACGGTATATGCCTGGATAGTTGATGCGACATCGTCATGATGGAACACCTTCATACTCCCAACCCTCATTGACTCTTTTCCTTCGAGAAATCCTTCGGTTGGAATTACACTTCACAAAAATGGTAGAAGCCGTGATGGTTAATATGATAATGGCCGCGATGGTAGGAACGAGAATAGTTCGGTGTCCAACATCATTTGAACCCTCGGTATATATACAAGTCGCGTTGGCGCCTCCGAGAACCCAGCAGTATTCAACATCCATAGAGTTCAGGTTTACCCAAATCGGCTCGCTAGCCGATGTGCTGCCCACCTCTGATACGGCTTGATGGTAAAAGTATGTATTTTCTAGTCCAGTGCGCGGCACGTCAAAAAAGGAATTCGAAGGGCAGGCATTCGATGAGCCTGAAAAGGAATGCGTGTCCTCGGATAGTGTCCATAAGTAAGGTTCATTGGTAACGCGACATGCTGCTCTATACTCGTCTGAGCAATTTCCAGCACGCCAGTGTCCTCCTGAAGAAGGATCCATCATCGCGCATCGGAGCACTTCACTGGTGTCAGTAAGTTCAGTGTATCCGGGAAGACTGGTAGCGTTGCGAGGCTCGCCCACAGCCCATGACCACGTAGCTGACATGGACAAATTCCGATACGGATCAATATTGGCGTCGGCTGTTTGTCCGTATAGCGTCTCATTTACCAAAGGAGAAATGCCGCAAGATGTGTAGTTCTGCAATAGGAAGGAAGAGTACGACGTGTTTACACTGGCCAGCGCCCAAGAGTTGTTCACATTCTGAAGATTCGTGTTTCGAGGATTGAAGAAACACCCGGACTGTAGTCCACTTCCATCCGGTGTATTAGAGACCGAGATAATATCTTCCACGTCGTCGGACGGGAAGATAAATGCATCGTCGCCGGTGAAGTTATAGCTTTGCAGTTGAGGATCGACAGAGCCCCGTCCAAATAACAAACGTTTAGACGCTTTGTTAATCAAGTAAGATTCACAGGGCCACCCGTCCGGGGTACTTTGTACTCCATGAGCATCGTTAACTGTAGTAAAATAGTCGCTCAGGACTGTCGTCCACATCTTGGTATCGTGAAACCATGACTTGTTGAGATCTCTTCGCTCTTGTGCGAGTTCTGGCGGGGTGTATATATATGAGCCCATCACTTTATCTGCTACTGTTCCTAGCAATGAGGATTCCGATGGGAGACTGGCGGCAGATAAAGATGGTGCGGGCCCGTCGGGATTATCAGAATCGGCTGCCGCATGCATATTGATAATGACATGAAGAAACGTAGACTCCAATTCCGAGTTGGTATCCTGAATATAATTGTTTAGGACGTCTAGAAGCGTGGTGATGCTAAACGAGTTTGAGCATGTATAACTCCCTAGCGTATATTCGGAACCATTCGACGCATTTGATGTTGGAAATGAAACCGGGCAAAGAAGCCATTGCAGATTCTGATGAGACCAGTATACATCTATGATGAATCGGAAATATCCAACCGTCAAAAGATCCGATAGGCATAAGGATGCGGCATCTCCATTGTAGCTATTATCACCGAAACATGCCGCAGTAAGCGCAATCGAAGGCCGTGCTACAAAGTTGATCGGTACTTGTGCCGAGACATCTCGTTGGCTCTGGCATAAAGATGTTAACAAATCAGTGCAATCGGTCAATAGCCTGATGTATATACAACCTACCAGCAGATCGACCCAGAATGTGTCATTAAGCAGAGCAAAGTCCGAAGTGTAAGCACCAGACATCAGAGCTCCCTTGCAATTTACCCGCCAGAAACGTGTGGTCAAATGCAAGCTGCGATCAAGTCATGGTCAGGGAAACTATGCGAGAAACCAGCCTTCTGGCAGCGCCCGCCTTGGAAATGAGATAAAGAAGTCGACAATGTTGGACATAAGAGGTTGATGATGCAGAAGAATGACGGCGCCGGCGGGCTTACCTCAGTCAACCACGCAGTGAGGACACGCTTTACCCCTTTGGGACATGCGTCAATGTAAACTGGCCTCTTCCGGGCGAATTATTTCTTACAATCAACACCTTCACGAAACATCGTCTTGCCCAAATTATCAAGCCGCCGCGGAACAGCTGTTTCGGTCGCAAACACTGCCTTTCTAAAATTTCCTCTACATATCCGCCGCGAGGACAACGTGTGATCGTTCAAGATGGCCGCACCACCCGGGATGACGCCGCAGCAAATGGCGGCATTTCAACAACATATGCAGCAACAAGCCGCCGCTGAAGCCGCCAAAAGAGGCATGACGCTAGAGGAATTTGTGAAGATGCAACGAGAGCAGGTAACTGCAGAGGCAGCAAAACACGGTATGACTCCAGAACAATACGTCAGTCAATTGAGGATGCGAGCTTTGCAGCAGCGTGCCGCCGCTCAGCAAGCAGCTCAGGCGCAAGCACAGCAGGGACAGCAAGGACAGGCAGGGCAGGCACAGCAGCAAGGCCCTCCAGGACAGCCAAGACCTCCAGTACCACAGCAGGCAGGTCAACAACAGGTTCAAAGACAAGTTCCTGTTAACCCGAACAACCCTCCCGACCCGAAGGCTATCGCGCTGGCAAAATGGCTGCGGTCGCAGGATTTGAAGACCCGCACATGTATTCTAGACGGTCAGCGTAAAGATATGTTCAAAGGTACTGTGTTCATTATCTTGTCGTGGTTGCAAGTGTGAGCTACACACTGACAAAAGATCGATTTAGTCAAACGTGCGATCCGAGCGCTCGAGTCTCCAGCATATGCGAAGGCATCAGCTAAGAGCAAAGGACTCCTCCCTCCAGTTACAGACAGAGCATCTGCAGAAAACGCCTTTAAATTGCTTCCTCTCTCATTACTTGCCTTGCGAGTCTCCAAGCATGACCCACACGCCGGTCATGGCCACGGCAAGGGCAAACGGATAAAAGGACTGTGGACGGTTAAGATCGAGCAACAGCAGGATACAGATCCCATGATGCATTACGTTTTCCTATATGAGGGTCCTCAGTGGAAGCAGAAGGCCTTGGCGGCCGCCGTTGTCGCTGGTATCTTTGCCGTTGTCTTGTTCCCGCTGTGGCCTATAATGTTACGCCAGGGTGTTTGGTACTTAAGTGTGGGTATGATGGGTTTATTGGGATTGTTTTTCGCTATGGCCATCTTCCGACTTATTCTATTTTGTGTTACGGTGTTTGTGGTCCCTCCTGGTCTGTGGCTCTTCCCAAATCTCTTCGAGGATGTGGGATTCTTTGACAGTTTTAAACCACTTTGGGGTTGGCAAGAGGTATGTTGTCTTCTATTTTCGCTGACTGGGTTGATACATTTACTGACTTTACATCCCTCGTGCAGAAGAAGCAGAAGAAGTCTAAGAAGTCCAAGAAGTCAGATTCATTGCCGACTGAAGCCAAGGCTTCCGAATCAACGCCCACTCCTGCTCCTGCTACTTCATCCAGTGTTGCGCCTACTACAGGTGCCGGTACCCCGTCAAAGCGTGCTCTCACTGCGAGTGTTGAGGATGCCGAGGAAGAGTAGGGTCATTGAACTGACACTTTGATTTAAGAATTATCCCACCCTATAAAATCCACGGAGGAAATCTCATGGTGGTCATTTACGCTTTTTACCTCATTTCTCTTCCATACTTTGTTTTTATTTATCTAGGCGACGGGGATCATTATAGGGCGTTAATTTTTCTTCATCTTGCAATATGTCAACAATACCAGACTGATATGGTCGGATATTTCTTGCCTTATCTGGTATGATTCATTCGGTCTATGCAACAATGCATCAATACAGTTTTCTCCGGTTGATAGATCATTATTTCTTTGGTATATCTAAATAATACAGTCCCAGTTTGGTTCGTGTGGCCTAAGAAAAACCTTCCTAGAAGCTATGTCAACGATTCAACTGGGGCATAGGAATGAAGCCTGTAGAACTGTTAACAGTCTTGGATCGCAAGGCAGGTAGAGAAATGAATATTTTTGCCTCTGACTATCATGAACTGACAGACAGTAACCATCGACAATTTCCATTCGTACATGCCACTGTTGCCATCATACTTCCAAACTCGTTGCTGGCGCACGAGAACCCAACAACGAGAGAGCTATGGAAAACTTCTAATAAGTGGCTCTCCACCAAGCCCATCCCAAAAACCCAACAAAAGCCACCCAATGGCCCAATGCCTTCGTCTTCAGCTGGCCATAGTTCCAAACCACAAATCCATCGCCCAGACCAGCAAGCGACAGGACCGCCAACAACGAGGTAACGGCTTGCTCCTGGCCCTGGTACTGCAGCACTATCAGAGCGAGACCATACGTAGTCTCCCGGATAGCTTTAATATATACCAGTGGGGAGATGGAGCCATTCGTTTTAGAACTCGGGGATGGAGTTCCAGTTTGAGTTTCGAGGGGGAGGCCAAAGCGTGGATATTCGTGCGTAGGACGCAGGAAGCTGTTCAGGCCGAGGGCGAGACACAGTGTGCCTGCGATGTAGATGGAAGTTGCCACGTTGGAGATTCTGACGATTTTTATTTTCGGAAAAGATTGAATAGGTTGGCGGGGTTTGGGGGCAATGTACATGGCTAAGTTGAAGGTTTCTCAGAAGTCTCAGCTTGTCAGAATATATACCCAGGCAGTAAGCCCTAGCAAAGTTATCTAGGCCGAATACAGCATGTACCTTGCATAGAAAGGTTAGTGCATGTGTTGTATTTTGACCCTTTGAAGGTTTTTGTTTAAAAAGAAAAAAATTTCATATACAACTTGCATATATGCTTAATCCTATAAGATGCACGTGCAGGATCTGTCGAGGCACCCCACACCTCCAGCAAAGCTTCATCTTAAAATCGACAGAACAAGCGAGTCAATAGGCGCACCTTAGCCGTCGTGGTGACACTTGAACGCGCCACTCTCATGGATTCCTCCACCTTCGTGGATCTTTGGTTTCCTTAGTCAAACTCTTTCCTTACGATTGAGCTCGGCATGAAGCGTTTCCAACGAGCTTGAGCGCACGTGGGCACTAAGATCGTGTAGCACGAGTGGATTAAGGGTCTGAGCACCCATATTTTCAGGAACCCGGCCATCTTTCCATTTTTCAAATGACTATATAAGGGGGCTTTGTCCTTGGTAACACGATGCCATGTTACCTAGGTACATACTCAACATGGCTGTCCTATCCCGGCTTCTGCTCTCCGCCTCTGTCGCGGCTCTAGGGTTCGTGTCCTTATTCAATGCCCCTTTCTTTCCAGGACGATGTCTGAACATTGCATAGAGTTTCTGCCTCTCCGCTATCTCGCAGAGATACTACATGCAGCAGTGTCGATGAGGGATACACATGTTTCCCCGACATCGCCCAAAACTGGGGGATGTACGCACCGTACTTTAGCCTGGAAGCGGACTCGTCAATCTCTCCAGACGTTCCCACTGGCTGCGAGATTACCTTGGTGCAGGCATTGACGCGCCACGGTGCTCGCTATCCAACCTCGGGCAAGAATGCGCATTACCAGGCCCTGATCGAGGCTATTCAAACAAACGTCACCCACCTGGAGGGGCAGTATGCCTTTTTGAAGACATACAACTACTCCTTCGGCGCCGGCACGCTCACTCCCTTTGGCGAGTTAGAGCTCTACCAATCTGGCATCAAGTTCTATAACCGGTATGAAAGTCTCGCTCGTGACAACGTCCCTTTTGTCCGGTCGTCGAGCTCCGAGCGCGTAGTGGACTCAAGCGAGCAATTCAACGCCGGCTTTCAGGCTACGAAGAACGCTGACACTCTATCCAACAAGACCCAAAGCGCACCGGTCATTAATGTGATCCTGGAGGAGAGCTCCACGTTCAACAACACTTTGGATCCGAGCATCTGCACCAATTTCGAGAATAGCGATCTCGCGGACGATGTCCAGGCTACTTTCGCCGGCGTATTCGTTCCGAAGATCTTGAAACGCGTGCAAGCGCATCTTCATGGAATCACACTTACCACTAAGGATGTTATCTATCTGATGGACATGTGCCCATTTGACACCATTGCCAGAACCTCGGATGGCAGTGAGCTATCTCCCTTCTGCGAACTCTTCACCAAATCCGAGTGGGAGCAGTACAATTACTACCAGAGTCTAGGCAAATACTACGGTTATGGATCCGGTAACCCGCTTGGCCCAGCGCAGGGAATTGGCTTCACCAACGAACTGATTGCGCGCCTTACTGGCACACCTGTCCAGGACGACACCAGCACAAACCACACGCTAGATTCGTCACCGGTCACTTTCCCGCTGAACCAGGCTTTATACGCCGATTTCTCGCATGACAATGGCATGGAGCCTATTTTTGCTGCCATGGGCCTGTTCAATGGCACCAAACCACTCTCCGAGACTCGAGTTGAGTCCCTTGAAGAGACGAGCGACTTTTCTGCTGCATGGAGCGTCCCCTTTGCCGCGCGCATGTATGTGGAAATGATGACATGCCACAACGACAGTAATGAGCCACTGGTGCGAGTTTTGGTGAATGATCGGGTTATTTCGCTGTATGGGTGTGAGGTGGATAGCCTGGGACGCTGCACGAGGGACGATTTTGTGCAGGGATTGAGCTTTGCTCGATCTGGAGGGAATTGGGCGAGTTGTTTTCATTAATGTTATCCCGTGAAGTAGTATTGACAACGGAGAATTACGCCTAAAAAGCACCATTTATACGATTACCAGAAAAGCCCCATAAGGAGTCCCTTTTTGGTGGCTTAGTGGTTAAAAACCTGCTGTTATATATGTATATAGCCATTATGTCTAGGTAGTTGTGCATCCAAAGGCACAATTACTTGAATGTGCAATCCGTTCAATACTCTCAAGAAAAGTAATTACAAATGAGGTTGGCTTGTTAAATCAGATTGACATCAGGGTTAGGGCTAATACATAGAGTAAACGACCCTAACCCTATTTATCTAACCCTTTTAATATATCTGACAGCGGATTATGACCGCTATTCCGAATACAGCATGTAATCTACAACCAACATCGTATTTCACAGAGGTGCACCTAATTGGCTAGAATAGGCATTGGATATGTGTCTTAGTTGACCCCTATTCTAATTATAAATATGGCCTTAAGTAATCTCTGAATATTCTCTTTAGTTAGATATATAGATTATATAGTATTTTTAATACTAGCTAATACAGCGTTCCAAATCCGTTGTTATAATAGTATATCTTGATGGTATTGGATTTCACTGATTCAGAAAAGGAACTGATTAACAGGATATAAGAGCTTATAAATAGCTGAATCCTGATTATTGAAGCTATTCCTAATCTATATATCTAAAAATTACACCTCTGCTAATCTATGGTTCTTATTAGAAATAAATGCTGGTAATCTCATTAAAACATTATGAATTTAATATTGAAATAATAATGATAATTTAGAAGAAGGTTAACTTGATTGAATGATTGTATTAGTATGATTAGTTTAAACTAATTTAAATTAGGGTGAGATAAGAAAAGATTTAGAAATATATTAATCCTGACTTTAAGAATTTTAAATTGAATAAATATCCTTCTATTTTTAATAATCTTAAGAATAAGATTAATAAGGCTAATTATAAATAGAAAGTGGAAGAGTATAAGAAGAAAGAATAGATTCTTAAAATTATTCTTTCTTATATAAATAAGTTAGTTAGTATAATAACTTAATTCTTGATCTCTAATAAAAAGGAGATTTATAATATATTAAAAATGCTATTAATTTATTTTAAATTATTAGATTAAGAGATATAATATAAAATTATTAGTAAGTAGACCGAATTGAGATTAAGGTTATTAAAAAGTAAAGATCTTGCTATCTGGGTATTAAATTAGGTAAAAATATATAATAAAATGAGAAAATTTAATATTAGTGATTTCTTAGATTTAATAAAATAATTTTTATATAATTTTCTCAACTTTATTAAATCTAACTTTAATAGCTTTTACTAAGTCTATTTAATATAAGTTAAGACTACTGAAAATGTTATCTTTAAGATATTAATCTCTTAATTTAATAAAAAGGTTGTTAATTAGATTAAAAAAGATTTGAATTTAAAAGCATATATGATCTAAAGGAGTGAGAAATCCTTTAGTGAAGAAGATTTAAAAGATTCTATACCTATTAGTTAGAATTAATTAAAAAAGAATAGAAGTAATAGAAAAAGTAATTAAAAAAATAATTAATCTTATCTATATATTCTTTCTAGAAATCTTTATCTTAGATAAGAAGATTGCCTATACTATAATAAATAGATTTAAGAAAAAGACTAGATTCCTAATTTAAAGAAGGCTAAAATAGTAGCTAAAAATATTACTAAATATCTTTTTCTAATTAAGTTTATTAAAGAGTATAAAGTGCAATCTTTAATAGAGTTAAAAATATATAAATTAATATACTTTTAATTAAGCTAATCACTTATTTTAGAAGGAAGCTTTTTTTATTAGATTAGTAAGGATACACTAGTAGAAAGTTTTATTTATAATAATAGTTTAAAGGATTATATTTATAATACTAGAAGTCAGTTTATTGTCTTTAAAGATCTTAATCTGACTACTAACTTTATCAGTATATTAGGAGGTTAAATATTAATATATAATATTGGTGTGATTAAGGTCCTCTTTATTATATTAAATAGAATAGAATTTAAACAGCTGATAGTTTTTTATAATGTATTATACTATCTAGAGGCGTCAGTTAGCTTTATTTCTATTAATAAGTATAAGAAAGAGGGTTTTTACTAGGATAACTATGATAATATTCTGTATTTTCTGGGGGAAGATTCAGAAAGAATATAAATTATAAGAATCTCTAAGTATTATAGTCAAATTGTTGCTGAATATAATGAATTATTAATAAATATAGTATATATGGCTAAGAGGCTAATTCCATGTTTAAAGTAGGTTACTGAATTAACTACTTCCTATTAATATTAATATAATTATCTAGGGCACTCTAATAGAGAGGTTCTTGCTTATTTTAAGAAGAATATGTAAGGAATATATATTTTTAGCAATTTAAATATATTTTTTTATAAATACTATAAATTAGCAAGAGTATTAGCTTAAATCTTATAATAATCTTAAAAGACTAGAAGCTTATCTTAGAAGATTATTCACTTTAATTTTATTTCTATTAAGAAGTTATATAATAGTATAAAATATATAATTTACTTCTATTATCTTTATTTATAATATTATAAAATTATCTTTACACAAGATAAAAAGGTTTAAGGATTAATTTATAATTTCTTAGAGGGCCTTATAAGAAGAGGCTTTAATATCAAGTTTACTTATATTAATAATAAGTAAATACTAAGAAATAAATATATCTTATTTTATAGAAGAATGAATATTAAATAAAAATATACTACAGATTATATATATAAGTAAAATAGCTTAGCAGAGAGATCTAGAATATTTCTAATTACTTTTACAAGAATCTTTATATATAGAGTGAATCTTTTATATTTATTTTAGCTAAAAAAATTATAGTATGCAATTTAATTAGTAAATTAACAGCTGAACTAGTAATTTAATTAAAGAATATCTTATAAAATTATTTAGAATTCTTATAGCTAGAATAATGTTTTATATTTGGGAATATTAAAAATCTTTAATTATAAAATATATTGAAAGATTCCTAATATTTTATATCTCTAAAAAATAATAGAATATGCGGAGATAGAATATCTTATAGAAATTAAATCTTTTAATATTTTCTAGATTTAGATTTTAGGCTAATAGGCTATTATTGTGACGATGCAATGCCAAATCTATTTGGTCGCTAAACACGAAGAGACTAAACTGGAGAGAAGAAGAGGAAAGAATAACTACTGGCCTTCTTTCTCCTACTTATACTTCCTTCTATTCTGGATATCTGTAGGCTATCTCTGTTGTATGCTAGTGCCTAGTAATCTAGATTTCTGGAAGGTTCTAATAATGTAGAATACTGGCTGGCAAAGGCTATTTACCCTTCTTGATATTATATAGATCCTCTGGCAATCTGCAGCGTGAATTAAAATATGGGGTAATCCCTATAAGGCATATCTAATCCTACATCTTTTCTGCATGTGATTTGTCTATGGGAGGTGGCTTATGGGTACTTCTGTAGTAACTGTGTGCTGCTAAGCTAAATTGTACTAGGCTATTACATTATTCTTTGTTCTAAGCGATGTTCACCCTAAATATTAAGTTAATAATAGCATATTATCTTTATTGTAATTAGGTAAGAATTTATCCTTCTCAGCTATATATAGCTAATTCTTTAAATATAATAATGGTCTAGGTTTTTCTAGATAAGAATTGTAAAATATCTTTATGATATTTAATATATTTTTGAAATTTCCTGCTAGATATTATATTATATTATTATTATAGCCTTATTATTAAATATGGTACTATAGTTTCTAATAATATATCTATATATTGAGAATCTGTTTAACTTCTTATTTGTTATAATTATTGATTTTAACTGGTGATAAAAAGTTCTTAATCTGTTTTAGTAGTAATTTTGTTGAGTATGCCTTTTAAAGTTTATTTAGTAAGAAAATTAGGTATATTTAAAAATGTTTAGGAAGCTTTAATTTAAATGTGTTTTTTTTTTTATAATAATCTTAAATGGGTTTAAGTTCTAATAAGAAAGCTTTTAATTAAATTATTTATTATTAAAGTATTTAGTTGTTAATATAATTTTATTTTTAATATTAAAATCTATTTCTTATTAATACTTATTCGCTTGTATTTTCTATTATTTTTATGCTTATATTATGTTCTATTTTATATAATCCTATATCTGTTATAAGTATTTTATCTAGGTTTAAGCTTGCTTCTGATTCTATATAAAATTTTTGTTATTTAGTGGTAATTAATTAAATAATATCTTTGATATAAAATCTCTCTTAATCTTAAATAATGATAGTCTGGTTGATTTCTAGGGTAAGGATGTTATAGTAAAGTCTATTATTAGTAATTATTTAGATTAATTATCTTAGTAGAAGCTAATATAAGGTTATAGATGGACTAAAAAATATTAATTTGTGATTTTGGTTTGTCTATCTGTAGATATATAATATATTATTGATAGCTTTAGCTTAATCTTTAAGATATGGTATGTCTTTATTTAGAATTCTGATATAAATTATTCCCCTTAATCTGATACTATTGAATCTAGTAGGCTAGTCTTAGGAAATATATATCTGATTTATAGTCTAGCTATCTTTCTAGCTATGATATTCTTAATATAAGAAATTAATCTTAGTCTTTTACTTAATTAGTTTACTACTATAAAGACTATATTAAAATTGTGTTTATTTTCTAGATAAGTTATAAAGTCTATTAATATATGCTATTATAGTTAAATAAATATAAATAGTGGTTTTAGTAATTTTAGTGGTAAGTTTTTATATATATTTATCTTTTTATATATAAGATAGTTATTAATATATTACTTAATATTCTAGTTCTATATCTTCTAATAATATTATTCTCTTAATAATTTCTTTATTTTATTTTTTCTAGGGTGAGTGATAGTAAATTATTAGTATATCTTGTCTAGTAATTATATTCTGAGATTTTTCTTATCTAGTATATAAAGTCTTTCTTTAAATATTAATTAATTATTAA